ACGGGTTCCTCCACGGTTGGTCCCAGCAGTTCATACACTGCTTCTACCACTGTTAAGTCCAGCACTTCATACACGGGTTCCTCCACGGTTGGTCCTAGCAGCTCATACACGGCTTCTACCACTTCGTCTCAGACCGTCGGGCCACAGAGCGGATCAACATCGTCGTCCTCGACCGGTAGCAAAACGAGCAGCACGCTATCATCCACCATTTCCGGAGGCAGCACCAGCACGTCGTCCTTGAGCAACGCCGGAACTACCAGCGTGTCTAGCAATGCTGGAGGCAGCAGCAGCACGTCGTCTTTGAGCACTACCGGAACTACCAGCATCTCCTCGTCCAGCAACGCTGGAGGCAGCAGTACGTCGTCCTTGAGCACCACCGCAACCAGCAGCAGCGTATCTTCCGCCGTGACCTCGGGTAGCAGCACATCATCCTCAACAACTGTGACAGGTAGCCTTACTCCCACCGGAACAGGATTTTATCTCAAGATCAGTTCGACTCCTGTTCCCTTGAGTCCAAGACAGGCTGTCATCAGTTATGTGGGTTTCAACTCCGACAACGATGGGATTGCGGTTTACGACTTGTCTTCAGCCGCACTTGTATTCAGGGGCAACAATGACACTTTCATCTCGGATGGAAAGGGCGTGGGTACGGCTGTTTTCCAGAAGTCCCCCCTCCACCGCTTTCTGGGCCTTCCACCCGGATTTGCCAGCTGGTACATGGTTGGGGAGTTCGCCCACCTGCGAGGTACAGCAGGCTTTTGCCTTGAGCAAGATGGTGTTGTCAGTGCTTTCCTGGAAGGTGATTTCTGCCCTAATCCGGTTGACATCATCCCTACCTGTAAGTTTATCCCAGGAAAATTCAGTTGCCCTCTTCTCATCTTCTATAGCTCCATCCACCACAAGCTCCACGACGTTAGCCTCTACTACATCAGCACCGACTGGGTCAACTCTTTCTACCAGTTCTACAACGAACACGGCATCATCTGCAACTGGCGGTGTTTCGACCTCAACTGGCGGAGCAACAAGCTTGACGAGCGGGATCTCAACCTCGGGTGGTGTCTCAACCTCAGGCGGTTCCTCAACCTCAGGCGGTGTCTCAACCTCAGGCGGTTCCTCAACCTCAGGCGGTGTCTCAACCTCAGGCGGTGCCTCAACCTCAGGCGGTGCCTCAACCTCTGGTGGTATATCGACTACCGGCAGCCCATCGGGATCGACCACTGGCACATCAAGCTCAACTGGCCCTATCTCAACCTCAACTACTGGCGCATCAAGCCTGACAAGCGGTATTTCAACCTCTGGTGCTATTTCGACATCCGGTATCTCGACCTCAGGCGGTATCTCAACTACAGGTGAGTCATCAACCTCTACTGGTGTTGCATCGTCCTCGACTACTGGCGGCATATCGACCTCCGGCGGTATTTCGACCTCAACGGGCAGTGGCGAGTCGACAACCTCGACTGGCGGTGGTGCATCGAGCTCGACTACTGGTGAATCGACAACCTCGTCCAGCGGTGTGTCGACTTCGACTAGCCTCTCAACCTCGACCAGCGGCTCCTTGAGCTCCGGTACGTCGACCTCGTCTGGTGGTGTATCGACTTCGACTTCTAGTGGATCGACTACCTCTTCTAGCCTGTCAACCTCCAATGGTGGTGGTACGTCAACCTCTGATACGTCAACCTCAACCTCGACTGGTGGTGAATCCACCTCGACTACTACTGGTCCGTCAACCTCTGGTGTATCGACCTCGAGTGGTGGTGAGTCGACCTCGACTACTACTGGTCCGTCGACTTCTGGTTTGTCAACCTCTGGTGCTTCAACTTCCGGTGTATCGACCTCGGGCGGTGGCGAACCAACCTCGACTACTACTGGTCTATCGACCTCTGGTGCATCAACCTCTGAGACCTCAACATCGACTGGTGGCTCTTCAACCTCGGGTCCTTCCACGTCTGAGAGTTCAGCCTCGACTTCCTCTACCAGTATTACGTCAACCTCTGGTGTATCGACATCTAACGTGGTAACCTCGACAGGTGTCTCTACCTCTACTGGTAGCGGTTCGTCAACCTCTGGTGCCTCAACCTCTGGTGCCTCAACCTCTGAGACTTCAACCTCGACCGGTAGTATATCGACCTCATCCATTAGTGTTTCGTCAACTTCGGCTGGTGGCTCCTCAACCTCTGGTGCGTCGACCTCTGAGACATCAACCTCTGGTGCTTCGTCAACCTCTGGTGCTTCGTCAACCTCTGGTGCTTCGTCAACCTCTGGTGCTTCGTCAACCCCTGGTGCTTCGTCAACCTCTGTTATCTCAACCACTGAGACGCCAACCTCAGCCGGTGGTAGCTCCTCAACCTTGACTAGCAGTATCACAACGTCAACTGGTGGGTCCTTGACCTCTGCGACAACCTCGTCTGGTGGCTCGTCAACCTTGACAAGCGGTATCTCGACATCGACTGGTGGCTCGTCGACCTCAGCATCAACCTCCTCTGGTGGTGGCTCCTCAACCTTGACTAGCAGCCTTACGAGCGCGACTGGTGGATCCTCGACCTCTGGGGCTTCAAGTTCTGGTACATCAACCTCGAGTGGTGGTTCGTCAAGCTTAACTAGCAGTGTCTCGACCTCGACTGGTGGCGGATCAACCTCAACCTCTACATTTACCAGCGTCACCTCATCGTCACCTTCATCGAGCTCATCCAGCACGACACAGGCTATATCATCCACTTCCTCGGCGACTATCACCACAGTGACGACAGTGACTACAACGACATCAAGTACAGCAGCAACGACAACCACATCTGGGCCTATTTGTAACCTCAACGTCAATATCTGCTTGGATTCTCAACTAATAACGGCCAATATTGTTGCTACCGCCAGTTGTCCGTTCGCTCCTGGCCTTCTTTGCACCGTCAACGAATTGTTGAGTCTCGTCCCCACACTCCTCGGTGGCAATCCTCAAGTTCTATCGGTTCTGGTCGGAGACAACTCAGTCATTGGTCTCAGAATTACACCCGAGCAAGTTGCTGCAGCAGTCAATGCTGGAGAGTTGAACCAGGTTTGTGATCTTCTCGGAGGTCCAGTCAGTGTTATCGTCCGAGACCCGACATGCCCAGTTTCGCCAACAACAACTACCTCGAGCCTTACAACCACAACAACCAGTCAGCCAACAACAACCACTGTGTCGACAACAACAACACAGCCAACAACAACCACTGTGTCGACAACAACAACACAGCCAGCAACGACCACTGTGTCGACAACAACACCACAGCCAACAACGCTAACTACTCTCACTACAACGACCACGACCACAACGACCACCTCAGCACCAGCGACCACCACGACTCCCGCAGTCCAGTGCAACGCCCAGGTTCCATTCTGTGCGCCCCTAATCGTCGGATATACAGTTATCAGCCAAGCATGTCCTAACGTTCTCGGATGTAGCGATGCACAAATGCAAGCATTTGCCAACTCGTTCCTCGGCCAATTTGGAGTCAAGTCCGTGGCCTACGCCAACAACATCGCATACGGATTCAGTCTGACAACCTCTGAACTCCAAGCCGCCCTGGGCCCCATCAGTCTGCTCAATGGATTGTGTAACGCAGTCGGCATTTTCACCCTCCAGATTTCCGATGCCACCTGCCCTGTTACGCCCCTGCCGGCTCAGCAGTGCAACGTCAACGTCAACTTCTGCGCTCTTGAGAGTCTGTCGTCCGCCGGTATCTCATCTGGCACATGTACGGCCAACGGACCATTGCTGCCATGTCTTCCTTCGCAGGTCACCAGCACCGCCATCACCAATTGTCACAATTTGGGCACCACATGTAAGGCATACGGGAACAATCTTCTGACTCCATTGACTGCAACGAAGTCCGTCGCTCAGATCCAGGAAGACATTGCCACGTACGCCTTGAGTAATTTGTGTCTTGCCGGAACGACGGTCACGCTTAGTGACGCTTCGTGTGCAAGTTAGTGGGTTTCTGTCGACTGAGTCATACTGTCGGGCAGGCTACAGTGTGGAGGAGTAGGGTGAGGTGAGGGTGAAGATGGAGAGGATGGAGGAGGAGGAGGAAGCCCGTTTTTATTTTTATTTTTTTTCTTCTTTCACTCTTTTTTCTTTTCTTCCGGGCAAACAACCCCCCGTGTTCTACAGACATCCATCGTTTTTTCGATGTTGTCGAGCAACAACGCGGTTTCTTGTGTCTTTGAACCTTTCTCAGAAAACAAAAGCCCCTCCTCTACAAAGACAAGCTTCGCTCGAGTCAGGAAACCATATTCGACCACACATCAAGAGGAACCCAATCGTCAGACTCACACTGATGACAAAATGTGCCGAACTGCACAAAGACGAGCGAGACGAAGTTTTGACGAGGGGATGAATAGAATTGCGCCCATTCATTCTTTTCTTCTCTTCTCTTCTCTCCTCTCCTCTCCTCTCGAGGCTACATGGCCACACAGCCTCGGCCTCGAAAGGAGAGGGAGACTATTTATATAGGTACCTACATTGTAGATAGGCAATACATATTTTGCACAGCGACAGCTACAGCGACAGTTTTACAGTTTTACACTTCCTTGGTCTTTTCTATCTATACTATGACATGTCTTTCTTGTCGGCAAAAGAAATGGCAACCCGAGCGGCCGAGTCAAATGTCACAGTCACCCTTAAAGTCTGACAGACCGCTAGCTCCGGTAAGGTATCTAAGATATCAGCCCGGGATCTCCCCACGATCTTGCTGCTGTCAGTCATCGTCAGGCTGAAGTGCGTACAGTACTCCGACCATCACCACATTGCAACGCATGCCAGTGTCCTCCGTAGAGTCCGACTATTAAACCCCTACGATTAGGGGCGCATTTGAACAATAAGCGCCCAGCATATCTGTACTGAGGCGCTACAATACCAGCTGGGTATTGATGATTCGAGTGTTGTATCAATATCCAAAAGCTAGGTAAAGCTAGGTAGGTACTGTACACGGCATCAACAAACCGTGTCCTGTCCCGTTCCATCCTATCGTACAGCGAGCGAGCGGCATCATCACCGTGTTATATGCCCACCCACCATAATTTCTGTTGACAACTGAGTTCGGGTGGGAAGTCCACTCGTGCCCTCGTTCACTCCTTATTCTTATTCCCCCTCCATCCACCTTTCCAAAGACAACAAACGCCATTCATTTCGCACCACTCCCTAACTTCAAGCGCCGAGACTTCTCGATCCTCCCCTATCGCCGCGAATCCTTGGGTATTCAACCATGCCGTCAGATCTTCGAGGACAATAGGGTCGTACATGAGGATTTTTTCACGCCATGTCGGCACGCGCGCAGTAGCTGAAAGGCATGCCTTAGTCTTAGCCTTGGAGCTGGAGTTGGTTTCCCCCTTGGGTTGGGTGGCACCGGACTCCGTCCTCTGTGAGTCTTGCGGAGGTTGAGGCTGAGGTTGAAATTGAGGTTGAGGACGGAAATGGATCGCTGCGTGGATTTGGGCTTGGATATCGGGAAGTGCCGCTGGAGGAGTGTGGTCTGGTGTAAGTGAAGTGGTACAAGGGGACTCTCGAACCGTTGCTGGATCCGTTTTTGACTTTGCCTTCGCCTTCGTCTTCGCATTTGTTCTCGGTTTTGGTTTGGTTTCTGGCTCTGGATCCGGGTCTGAATTTGTCGCTGCTTTTCGCTTCCGTAGGGTAGTCTTCGGTCCTCCTGGTGCAGGGAGACTTCCAGCTGAGGATGGTCGCTTATCTGTTTCTTCCGGGGGTGTCACTTCAGTAGGTGGATGGTTCGAGTACGACGCTGTCTGCACCAAAGAGCCAAGTGCACCACTCTGGAGGCCTGTAACTGGGGCTGGAGGAGACGATGAGAAGCTTATGGGTGGCAAGGTGGGTGGAGGTGTTGCCGGCTTGTTCGCTTGTGGAGTTGGGGCCTGCTTCAAGCTTGGCTTCGTCTTTGAATCGAATGGAGTGGCAGCAGGCTTTGCCGATTCCCCAACCACAGTCCCACCATCTAGACCACCATCAACCTCTTTGTCGGCGTCAATATCATCCACATCCATCACCACTTCCTCTGATAGCGCCTTCTTGGATGTCCGCTTGCGAACCGCTTTTTTGGCTTGTTCGGCCGGCGCTTCTGTATCCTTTTTCACTTCGGCGGCTTCTGTTGACAGTCGCTTTGATTTCGGTTCGGCATTCTTCCTCTTCTTCGGCTCCTTTGCGGGCTTAGGTTCGCCTGAGGTTTCGGATTTCCGCTTGCCGCGGGGCTTCTTCACTTTAGGTACAGGCCGAGCAGAGACATCATGGACTTTGCTGAGAAAATCTCCGTGCGTCATTGCCTCACGATTCTCTTCTTGGGGGGCAATGCCGTGCTTGTCATCCCAACATCGGTCGAGTAGTTCAATCATCTTCTCGCGCTTCTTGACCGGCTTGAAACCGTATGCCGAGATCTGTTTCTGCAGCTCGTGAGTGGAGAAACCTGCGTAGCATGGTTTCACGGGAACAGGTTTGCTGGGAGCGGGAGATGGTGCGACATCTTCGGCTGGTCGAGCTTCGGATTTGCTCGGCTCTGTAGCTCTCGCCTCTGGTTCTAACGGCCGTGAAGTATGGTAAGATCTCATTTGGATCTTCGAAGGAGAGACTGTGGACCTTCCTCCGGCAGGAGTTACGATATCGTCAATATCGACCAACGAACCGGCTTTTCTGATCAGAGGGGTATCCGAGACGTGGGCGTGCCATTCTCTTAGCCCGTCACAAGCCTTTGGAAGCACAGGCTCCGCCGGCTGCAGGAGGACATCTTTCCCAGCAAGGGCCAGCCGTACCGCGGGAGAATCAACAAGGTCAACGGTATCAACCTGCAACAGTGCATTATCTTCGTCTCTGCCGGCAGCGCTCCATAGGTTTTTCTTCTTGACGAATCTGCTTGTGCCTCGGCATTGATATGGTGAAGTTGACTCGATGGATATCGGCTGTGTCCTCTGCGGAGAGATGGGATCTGACGACAGAAAGCACTCTGAGTTCTTGAGAGCTTCCAAGGTATCTCGCAACAAAGTAGGTGACTCGTCGCGAGCGAGCTGGCTTGCAGACCCGAACAAGGCCTCCTGACTTTCAATAGCCTTCATGGCAGATGTAGGGGATACCAGACGACTTCTGGCCGGTGCTTTCTTGTTTGCGCTGGCTTTCTTGCGGCCAGGTTTCGGCTTCGCTTGCTGTTCAGTGGCAGATCCAGCCTCGCTTTCTGCACCAAATTGTGTTGATGTTAAATATTCCAACATTGGTGCAACTTTTCTGTCGCTTTTTCCATGATCCTGGCCATAATTGGAGGTAGCCAATCCAGTAATGGTGAGCATCTTCTTTGTGGGCGATTTACTCCTTCTCTTGCTCCCTTTCATCTCGCCCTTTTTGCCCTGGTTATTATTTGGAGGAGGTAGCATTGGCACTGTTTCCCTTAACGAGTTCGCCGTGACCACAAAGTCTATGCGCCTTCGTTTCATCGGTTCGCCATTGACGTCCAATTTGGTCGTAAGCTTGTTGGTTTCAGGACATTTCGACTCGGCATACGTAAAATCCTCCAACAGGCTTTTCGAGAAGCTCGCCGCATGGTCTACCGCTTCGTTTGTATTGGTTGATGCCTTACCGCTTGGCTTTACCGGCGTCCAATCTAACCGTCTGGGTATCGCCTTTTCCAAGTGCAAAGGACTATCATCCATATGTCTTGGTTCTTCCACTCTTGAAAGTTTTTCAGGCGGCGTGCTATCCGGAAAGTCAAATATATCCGCATGAGGAGGACATTCTTGATCATTGGCAACCATTTGCGGTTGAGGTTGCGAGGGCGGGAAACAACCCGAATTCTCGTCCGGCCGGCCATCTACCTTTTCCGAAATGAATCTTCCTCGAGGGCTGCCCGTCCCACCACGATGCTGCGAAGCAATTGGACTGCCTGTCTTGAACCTCTCCTTCCCAGGGGAACGCAGAGGGATATTCTCCGCGCCAGTCTTTGTTGCGAGCAACGACCGGGCGGTGCTGAAACCATTGGAGAAACCATTCCTCGACTTGCTAGCAGATTTGAACCGCTTCGAGCCCTGTGTGGCGTCTCTCAATATCCCGCCGGGCGAGGGTAAGGGTGACGAGCAGTCGACCGGAGTCGGGGAGCGGGCAAATGTTTGCGGCGGCGAAGAGGACAGGAGGACAATGGCTGACATGATGGGCGAACCAGGGATTGCCCATCGGGGCCGGCGAGTGAGTGCCAATGCGAAAGATTAACCGGGATAAACAAAACATAACACGCAGCATTGGGCTGATGAGGGTATCGCAGCAGTCGGTGGCGGCGTTGATGACGGAGAAGCAGCGCTGTCAACATAACAAAGTCCTGCGCCTCATTTGCACCGCCACTGATAGTCATTAGAAACACTAGGAGGTTTTAGGACTTCTGCACCGCCACGTTTGCGGCTCAACAAAGGCTTGGCACTGTTTTAGCGCGTAACCCCGCGTCTGGAATCGCGAAGTCACGTGCCAAGGAGCCCCAACTCCCTACCTACCTAATGTTGCAGGCCATCATACAGATTCACTTTTGATACCAGGGAAACTTAGTTATCCATTCAAGCCTGCCACGCCATATTACCTTAACCGCCTCATCCTGTCTAATGACCATGGCGCTCCAATGCGCCCGCCTGCCGGTAAATCGCTCAGATCACGTAAAACCTTGTAAAAGCATCATACGTTGGGTAGAATTACCCTTCTTCAAATATGCCACCGATTCCGGCAAAGTCCCCCAGTTCATGTCCCATCGGCGGCGGAGATAGACTGTCGGTCGATGACGATGTCGGCGTTGACCGACCAGACGAGTTTGCATTTGCAGTCGATACTGAAGGTTCAGGAGCGGGCCGAGCGCAATGTTCGTGTGCGGATCCGGGATCCTCGATGTCATGGTGTCCGACTCGGAAGACTGTTGAATATGTCAACCCTGGTTGACGCAGCAGAACATACCACCCTTAGTAGGGACACTTACAGTGCAATACAGGAGAGAGCAAGACGCCACATACGGTAAAAACGGCGCAGACAACTGATAGAACGCCCGAGATGACGTGCTGCCAAGCAGCGTTTAACAGAAATCGGAGTTGATGCATCATTGGGCGCGCATAATCAGCCGGAAGCCGTCACGGTGCCATCAACAAGAACAAGACCATGCCAGTGTGCCGCTTTGGAGTGGCGAATAGTCATATATAAACACAAAACGACGATTTGAATCAGAAGGAGACGAATTCACCCTCCATAAATGACGCATCTTGTTCCAGCCGTCGAAGGCCATCATTGTTCGCTCAAGAGTGCATGAAGCTTCGCTTGCAGAGGATTTGGGCAGTCAGTCCGCGGTCGCAGACCAGCGGACACCATGGTAGCCCGCACCCAGGTGTACTTACTAGCAGCATGTCCACAGCGAGGGCTACGGCGCCGGCCGAGGTGAACTACTACTACCTACTAGTAATGGTTGGTCCCATGAAATCAAAAACGGGAAACGAAGAAATGGGCGCGTATTTTGTCCATCCTTGAAAATGCCTGAGATGCTGCAAGGTGAGTTATACTTCACGGTAGTCACTTGTGTACTACTACAGTATGGAAGAGGGATACGGTCGACCACATGAGCCTCCTCGCCCCTGGATAAGGCGTCCAAAGTGTTCAACTCGAAGCTGACAGTCCGAGTTCAGCGGCCCGTCTCCCTGATCCAGTCCCCTCTCCACTCCAACGGCCGCCTGTCGTCCCGTTGGACTCGGCCCTGGATCGTGCCGGCCAAAACCAACTTGACCTGGAAGACTCCTGACCACCAATGCCAGTGCCAGTGCTGTAGCACTAGTGATAGCACTTCAGCCGCAGAGCCTTCCGAGTCCTAGGCACTTAGCCCCATGATCAACGATTGGGGCCGATTGCCAGGGATCGGAGAGCTACTACGTAGAGCCAGCGGCATGCGTGATGTCCTAACCTGATGCAACCAGCAGCAGCTCCTATTAGCGCCTTGCTTCCTGCTCAATAACAATGAGAACATGAACCGCAAATGGTGTAACCATACTTGAAGTCTTCCGCCTGTACCACAGCCAATTTGTCTTGCCAGAGAAACAAAGAAAATTCGCAAAAGACTAACAGAAAGCGCTGGTGCTGCATCGGAGTGTTATCAGGCTGAGAATCAGGTTCGAAGTTCGCCTGTGTTTCAGGTTCTTCTTACCGGGTCCCGTGGCGATGGCGTCTGAGGACGAGTCATCGTCATTAGACACGCGTCACGATGAAGAGGAATGGGAGGCTCAAAAGGAGAACTTCCGACGTTGCTACATCGATCAAAACATGACAAAGAACGATGCCGCCGAATATATGAAGAAACACTTCAATTTCGACGCCACGCCGCGGCAATGGGAGCGCAAGATAAAGCAGTGGGAATTCAAAAAGTACTCGAGTCGCGATGAAAGGTTGCAACAAATAGCTCAGACAGGTAAGACTATCTTCGACATTAGTCGTCCTGGTCGGAGGCCACGATCACGGACAGATGAGCGCGGCAACCTTCATCCTTATGAAGATCGCAACCTGCGACGGTTTGCACGTCGAGAGGTCAGCAAGTCAAGATCAAGATCGAGGTCTCATTCCTTCACAGGCGGCACGCGTCCTGACCTTCGGGACGAGCAGTCACCTGGGCCATCCAATGCGATCGTAGATCAGACATACAACCTCCAGCTTTCCAATCCCACGCTTCTTCATCCACCGGCAAGTGGTGGTTTCAATGTCGCTGCCACACCAGCTTCTGGCGACCAAGACGAGCCTATTCAGTTGCATTATCTTCGTGAGGAGAAACCTCCTGGTTCCGGTGAAGGAAGCGACCCCGAAATCCTTCTAACCGTTGAAAACAGCGACGAGCTGCCTTCCCTCGAGTTTTCTGACGTCTCTGGCCAATTTGATCTGGCTGGAGGCGAAAACCAGTACCAGAACTTTGGTGACAGTGGATTGTCGTCAGAAGGCCTAGGTGTGAATGGTCTACCGATGTCGAATGAGAATGCTGAATATCCTCATGCCTCCAGCAACTCTGCCTACAATTACACCATCTCTGATCCGACAATGCCAGCCTCCGCTGGCTTTGACCATTTTTCTGTATTCCAGAACAACATTACAATCCCTCCGGATATGCTGGAGGAGAATTCAATGCTGGATCAGGGGATGTTTGACTCCTCGACACAACTTCAACAGACACCCAATGCGACAAGCACGTCCAACCAAAACAACCTGCCGACTTTCGCCATTGTGGATACCGACTCACAGTCAACTACATTTCTTCCCATGGCTGAGGATACGACGCCTTTCCCCGATTTGGCGACTATTCCGCCATCAGACCCAGAATTTCCTGTAACAGATGCTGGGCCATTACATACGGACGTCATGCCACTGTTAGACGAGTACACCGCAGCTGTCCGCGCGACGGCTTTACGCTGTTTCACGGATCAACCCTATGGTGGCGATCTTGACGCCAGGCTGGCTGCCGACCTTGAATATCCTGGTATGTTGTCCCGCTTGGTCTGGGTGATTGCGATGCTGAGTCTGGTTGTACCAGGGCAAGTCTTCAGGGCTAGAATGGCCGTGATTCTGGACAACTTTGCCAAATCTCAACAGCGAGCTTTTCAGAGCATGCGAGATACGTGCAGCAAGCTTCGACAGAAGAATGTATTGTTGGAAGGACTGGTCAAGGAGGGTGAGTTTGAGGTGGTAATATGAGTTCATTAGTCTGACATCTTGTGCCATGTAGGAAGACAATTCGAGTCTGACGTGTCAAGGCCTCATCGAGCGTCACTTCCGGTCCAGTCTTCGGCTTACGGCAACATCTACACAAATGATTACTGAAGTAGAACGTTGCCAGAAGGGACGACATCCAGAGAGCCCTAGAACTAGCCCCCGTATCACGTGCATTGGCCTTTCGTTTGGGGTCCCGGCCGCGATGACACTTCCGAAGTTAGGGCCGGATGGTGCCGCGATCATACAGTTGGTAGTTTCCACTACGACTTCTTCATGGTTGGAGCGAGCCATAGAGTGGCATCTTTGTTAATCGCGACGCGAGTCACCACGCCGTATCCTCAACCCAGTTTTCGACATATGCCATGCTCGCACAGAAATTGCTCGTTCAAGATGCTAGTCACCCTGTTCGACCCTGACACGCTTCTTCACAACACGGTGGAATTGTTAGGTTCCAAGCTTATCCCTGCTCTGGAGTCGCCCAAACGAATCAAAGTGATCCTCGAAGCTTTGGGCATCTCCGGACATGAGATACGGCCGATACGAGCGGGGGCCAGCGGTGGACAAGAACCCGAGGCGCGACTGCTGACACTCACCGCGGACACGCACGACTATGGTTACTTGCAGCATCTACGGGATGTGCACGACGAATGGGTGGCAGCAGGGTTGATCGAAAAAAGCGGCCATGTTCTTCCAGAGTGTTTCTTCCTGCCGACCTCCACGGGAAAGCCTATGCGACCGCCAAAAGATCCTTTCGCCCGAGCCGGATACTACGCCTTTGACATGAGCTCTGGTATCATGTCAGAGAGCTATCGTGCCATGGTTGCGTCTGCAAACTTAGCTGTCGAAGGAACAGACATGTTATTGGGGTTCCCGGGAAATGCCCCGGGCTCCAACCCTGTTGATACAGTACTGGCCCTCTGTCGCCCTCCAGGTCACCACTGTGATGGCCGCCGAGCCGGAGGGTATTGCTATATCAACAACGCCGCACTGGCGGTGAGTACATGGCGATCTGCTCACCCGGAGGCCCACATCGGCATTCTTGATATCGACTTTCACCACGGTAACGGAACGCAAGAGATCTTTTACGCCGATCCTAAGGTCTTGTACACCAGCATTCACGGTCAAGACGAGTTTCCGTACTATACCGGAGATGAGGAGGAGCTGGGCATCGGTGAGGGCAGCGGGAAGAACTTCAATTTCCCCCTCAAGGTCGGCAGTTCGGTGGAAGAGTACTTGCAGAAACTTGAACTGGCACTGCAGTGTCTACTGGACTTTGGACCGGAGTTTCTCATCGTGAGTCTCGGATTCGACACATACCATTCAGATCCTTTGGGATATTTTCAGATCCATACAGAAGACTACTCGATTATTGCGGAGCGCATAAGACGGAATTTGAAGGATGTGCCGGCGCTCATTCTGCTGGAGGGAGGGTACGTGATTGAGCATCTGGGGGATAATATGTTGTCTTTCCTCCAAGGTTGGAAGAGTGTCCAATGATAACCATCCTATCACTGATCTGGACAGGATAAAATCCCTTGTTCCTCAGTCTCGATACTTCTTGCTGCATCCAGTACTTCTCTTCCGAGGTCAATTCATCGCTCTGATAGTACGGAATCACTGCCATGATCAAAAATACAAATTGCAAACATGTGGAGTTATAGACGGCGTTAGCGGATTTATGGTTGTTTCCACGTGATCAGCCTCGGCATATTTCAGCCAATCACACGCCTCTCAGACTAAGCCAGATTCGACGTCATTCTCGAAAGCCTTCGATGGCAACTCGGACTCGGACTGACCTACGCAGCTGTATAACTGCCTGCGAATGTCTTCTTCTTTTATTCTTTTCATCAACCACAACAGATCCCACTTCGCTTCTCATCCGTAGTCGCGATGTCCTCCTTCGTTCTCAGAAGGCCCTTTGCGGTCTCCTCGAACGCCTTCCGACAATTCCGCAAACCATCGAGCATCATCCGGACGTTCCACTCTTCCGGCTCGAAATCGTCAAATGCTTTCTTCAACCCACGACCGTCAACGACCAACGCCCAGTCTCTGTTCAAGTCCGCCGCCCTTCGAAATGCCTTCAAACGCGGCTACCAGACACCTTCCTACCAACCCGTCAACCCGGCAGCGAGCGGAAACCTGACGCAACGACTTCTCTATGGCGCGGCATTGCTGGGCGGTACCATTGTTGCCACCAACCTGATTTTCAACCGGGAAACGCGTGAGGATGGTGGTATGCCTCCCTTCGAGCGGGAATACTTGAACCAGACATTTATGCACACTGGCTTGGGCGTCGGTATTATTGCGCTTGCGGCCAAGACACTGCACTCCAACGGATGGAGCTATCGGCTTATGGCAACGAACCCATGGTTGGTCATTGGTGTGTCTTTGGCGGCAAGCATTGGCACGATGTACGGCACGTTTTACACCAATCCTGACAAGTAAGTTTGAAACACAAGATATTCCCTTTTTCCGGCGAAATACTGACTGTGTTGTTGTAGCTACGTTCAAAAATACGCCCTCTGGACTTTGTTCAATGTCAGCCAAGCAGCCATCCTGTCGCCTCTGTTTTTCATGTCGCCGGCCATTCTGGCTCGCGCTGGTCTGTACACCGTCGGCATGATGGGCAGCATTGCGTTCGTTGGTGCCACTGCCAAGCAGGAGAAATATTTGTACCTTGGTGGTCCTCTACTGGCCGGTGTGGCCATCGTGGCTATTTCCGGCTTCGCTCCTCTCGTTCTTCCCGCCACCGCTGTCCGAACCTTGGCTTGGTCAGAGAACATTTGGCTGTACGGTGGTCTGGCCGTGTTCGGTGGCTTCACTCTCTATGATATTCAGAAGATCTTACACCATGCTCGTATGAGTGAGCGTGGCTTGGTCAGAAAGGACGTTGTGAACGAGAGCATCAGCTTGGAACTGGATTTCCTCAACATTTTCATCCGGATGGTGCAGATTTTGTCCATGAGACAGCAGAACAGGAGATAAAGTCAACAAAAAGGGGACAATTTGATATTACACATTAATTGACGTGATGTCCGAAGATGGATCGGCGCCGTGCTGGGTTATCAATCCACGCTGCGAGAAGACAAGTGGCATCGAGGCATCGAGATCAGACAGGTGGCCAAGAGGCACCCCCGACACGGCGCGTTTGAAGTTGGAGATACAACACGTCTGTTCAGATATGCACTGTACAATCATGATACCAGGGGAAAACAGTTGAAGATAAATCATCTACTAGGTAATGATATTCCACTCTTGGACAACACTCGGCTTGGTCATTTCGACGCTACTACTACCTGTAATAATCCATACTAGTAATCCAGACAGCTTTGTTCCTTTCAGCTCTTCCAACACGAGGAGGTGCAGTACCCCAGAATCGTAGCTTACAAAATCGAACCTGTTTTCAATATACTGTGTCTACACCCCTTAGATCTCGGTGATAAACATGTCTTTAGCAAGATTCGAGATAAGGAATTATACCCAGACGTTACATATCCACCAGAGTGTCTACATACCAGGTAGGTACTCATACCACTATAATAGTAGTAGTACTAGTAGGGCAACTTACCAAAGAACCGAGGAACCACCAACCCCGCGTTGCAGCCTTGCGAGAATCCCGCATTCGGACTCCAACGCCTCTTGTTCGACTAGGATTCAGCGCCCATTTCACTCTATCCTTAGATACCTACCATCGGCCTTGGTATCTAATCATCTTTAGGTGCTTACAGCAACCCAGTTGGGGAGATTTTCGTAGGGTTAACAATTACGAGACAGAAGAGTCAAAATAAACCGAGCACTACACCTGCATACAAGTCTCACTGGAGGTACCATTCTCACCACATTACCACCAGTATCGCGAGTTACTGTGGTCATTTATCATCACCTTCATAATACTACCTTGGTTATATCTACTCCTACTACATTTTACTCGCTCCAAAGAAAGGAAGAAATATCATCACACCACCATGGCCGAACCCAAAGTCGAAACCATTAGTAAAATCGAAATCCAAACCTACCACCTCCCACCAACCCGACTGATTCCTAACTCTCCACATCGTCCGTTGATCTATTACCCCGGCCTCCTTCACCTTCTCAAAGACCACCAGAAGTCTCCGGCTGATAACAATCACCATTCCTCTCTGGATCCTACACGTCTAGCCACAATCGCCTACGACACATTCATCTCCAACGGCTGGGACGTGCAATGGATCTACCGGTACGGCCGTACCCAAAGATCTCACTATCATTCCTCCGTGCACGAGTGTATGGCCGTGTTGAGTGGGAGTGCGACGATACGATTTGGGATTGCAGACGGCGAAGCGGACGGCGGACCGGGAGCAAGGCGCGGAGCGAACGGTCCTACTTCCACTCACGATCCTCCTTCCTTCAAAGGTGTTTTCATCCACGCCCGCGCAGGCGACGTTTTTGTGCTGCCCGCCGGCGTGGCCCACAAGACGTACGACACTGAACCAAATGCGGAATTTGCGCTGTTGACGCCGGGGGATGGACATCGTATAGAAGTACCACCTGACTCCTCTTCCACATCCACCACCAACGCTGGATCCGCTGCCACGGATGCCAACGCCAGCGTCAACACAAGCGCTGCCGCCAGAAAGCGCAACGCAGTAATCGATACCCCGCTATCTGGCTTCACCATGCTCGGCGCGTATCCCAGACTCACTGAGACCGGACAACCCGATCCTGGGGAATGGGACTTTGCGACGGGCGGTGAAGATGTCGGACGGTACGAGAGGGTGTGGTCGGTGAAAAAGCCGGCGAGGGATCCGTGTTTGGGAGTTGATGAACGGGGGTTATGGGGGTTATGGTAGTAGGAAAGAACTTGAACAATCCATTACAGTACACACTTCCGCCCCAGGCCCTTCCCAGCATATATACATATATATATCACAGCAAGGATCACATCACATCACGGCATGATTGGCGTTCAATTGACTTGTCGTATCATTCCATCAATTGCTTCTGTTTTATTGTTCTCAGACCAGAAGACCTTTACGCCAATGCTTGAATTTCAGTAACCTACACACCTTGGTACTTACCCACCTCGGTATCTTTCAGTCAATGAATGAATCATGTAGAACGAAATGTCACGTCGACCAGAACTGCAGCAATACTTTTGCCACCTAGTACCTCCCTACCTACCTAGGTAGAGGCAGAGACACTTGGCTTCGCCGGGTCTAATACCTTACTAGTAGGCACAGGTACTTCGCCTTGCTCAGTTTAATGCCTTACCAAGGCAGTACCTCGCTTCACTCGTAGTACTCAGATCACTTCGCTCAATTTGATACCTACAGGTACCTCGCTTGGCTTGTTTCAATACCTACTGAGCGAAGCAAAGTAGGACTACTCACTTTTGATCGGATGCAACACCATGATTGGCAAACACATCCTTCCACTCTGCACTTCGTCATCAACATCTTCATTTTCTCGTCCCAACCACCGTCGCCAAAGATATCCCGCAAACGCCGCGTTGGAATAGTACGTCGACCCTCGGAACACATGCTCCCCAGGCCCAAATACACTACCGTTCTCGCCATGAAAGTACCCGCCCCCATGGTCCATGCCGGCCTTCTTGCTCGCTTCACTGAGCGGGGCATTGTTAAACACCTCGTCAGCATGTACTGGGGGCCAGTCACGGTCAAAGTACACCGGTAGAGGCACGCTGATCGCTTTCAAACCATAATGCAGCGCAATCGACGCGGGATACATTTCAGGGAACATGGTATGTTTGTTCCGATATGTTTCTTCGTGCATGAGCAGCAGCAAACGGCGCGACATGCGCGATGCAGTGATCAAGGCGGCACGCGTGGGCGGTCGACCCTCGGTAGTGAGGTTGTAACCCGTGATGTCGTTGTGAAAGGCCCAGTGGGTATGAGTTGGGTCGAATAGAGGGTTCAATGTGATGAAGTCCGTTATATGATCCGACCCCAATGGATTCTGCTGGGCTGGAATCTGAAACAGACGCTCGGAGGGCAGCTGTGGTCCAGACACTGGTGTTCGATTTGCTGCTTTGACCTCTTCGACAATGGACTGCGCATAATTCTCATACGAGTCGTGGTGCAGTGAGGGGATGTAGAATTTGGATGAACGCTCCCCTGCATATTCCTGCGCCTGCTTTTCTGCCCATGCCGTGAGGCGGTGTATTAACTCGTGATAGTGTCCGGTGATTCTAATGTCCATTTCCCAATGCCAAAAGTAGTCATACTCTGAATGCAAGGATGCGAAATACTGCATGGGGAAATGTAATGACCGATAAGCTCCGTAGATGTCTTTGCCGGAGAGGTTGACTATACTTTCGGGAAATGGTGGGGGATATATCAACTTCATTTGAGCCTCAGACCAGAGAACACCCATGCCGCGGAACGCCTCCGGCAGGCTATCCTTTAATGTCTGGTTGTAGATATCTTGCGATGCCCAGATGGGGATGGTATCGTCTTGGACGTGAATGAGGAAGTGAACTCTATATTGACCACCGGAGAGCAAAGCCAACTCGCTGATGAGAGCCCGGAGCATCATGATTTCATAGGCGGTGTATTGGTGCGTGTTCCACGTCCGGATCACGAATGCAGTGCGAGATTTCAGTCGCTCCTTGTTCTTGTCCAGACATTGTTCCTGCGCCGCGTGCCAATTGACATTTCTCCAGTCCACGACGGGAACCCGGTCGAGTCCTTCATTGTCTCCTTCCATACTCACGCCCAGTCCACCGTGATCAGCGGAGATTCCTAATCCGTACGGGCCATATCGGTTGACTCGATCGTAACAGACTTGGTCGTTGAGTCCAAGCTCTTTCGCAGAACCAAATAGTGGTACTGGCATTCCCTGCGGCATGCCTTGATACGCAGATATTTTAGGCGGGGCGATTTTTCTCTCCTGGTCTATGTAGCACGCGTCGATGGTCGGAGCTGACCCAGATGACACATCGACCAACTGGGGATCACTTCGAGGACCGCCATCGAAAAGATCGGTCCGGTCGCTTTGTTGTTCAGGGACATATTGCGTGAAGGGAACGATGTTCTTGCGCCCGTGGTAGAAGCCTTGAAGTCTGAAAGGCAGTTAGCAGGAGACCACTCTGACACCGGCTCACAGCGCGAGTGGCCTACCGATTGAATTGCTCCCACCAAAAGACCTCTTTTCCGTCTGGATACCTCGATTGACCGATCGGGATGGGTCCTTGCTGGGCATTCTTTTGGACAACCTTGGAGAGTTGTGGGATCGACCACAACAGGCCGGTAAAGACGAAGAAGAGAATGGCGATGCCTAAACAAATCGCCCTTCTGGACTGTAGGCTGGAGAGACTCAATTGGCGTCGATGACCCCATCGCGGCCGCAGGGCTCCCACAGGGCTGAGTAACCCATCGCCGGCGATGGAGTCGACGCTGAAACCGCGTCTATGAGATGCTGGGGTTGGACATGACTTGTCAATGTCGCCAGTAATCGACTTTGGCAACTTGGACAGTTGAAGCATTCCAACCGCCGGTGAGGCGTGGCAGCAGTTGGCTCGTGTGCCAGTGGGAGGGCCGGTGCCACACACGGTGGGGAAGCTCAACTGGAGCTGGAGCTGGAGCTGGAGCTTTACTGTAGTTGTAGGCGTGCGATGCAGTGCCAGTGTCAGTCGTGCCAGTCCTCCCAGTGGGTGCGCTCGGTGTCAGATTCGGGGCTGTTTCGGGGCTCCGGGCGGGTACTTTATGGGGATCGACGGAAGCGGATAACACTGGCAGAAATCCGAATTACAGTAATTGTACTTTTGGGATGCGCTGGAATGGATTGAGAAAGAATGAGAAATTGAGAATCGACAAGCCTGAGATCCCTTGGTATCTACCGAGGGAGGAGTAGTTGTCGTTTATGAATTGAGCTGTCTACACTTTGAAGTCTGAGGGCATGCTAGGCCCCCTACGCCCCGCGCGCGCCGATTTCGCACCTGGTTTTGCCCGCCTCCACAGGCAATGGCAGCCACCCGCAGCCTAGATTTACCCAGCCTAAGGCCCCCTCGGCCCCAGTATCAACCATGATGCTTGTTTGGTGCCCACTGGAGGCTAGGGTAGGCTCCTTGGCTGAGGCGGGCATGCTCTACTCGAACAGCTGGGGTGGGATTACCTACGTTGTAGCTAAGCAAATCTACACCATCACATCATGACTACACCATCTTCTCAACACAACCCACGCGGCTCTCCCTTCAGTTGGACGGTCCTCCAAGTCCAAGCTGCCGGATACGAGTACCTAGGTAATCATTGCTTTGAGATCACGTCACGTCATCACTAATCTCACTGATGCCTCCTTAGCTATCTGGGTCAGTTGTCGTGATAAATTGCATTGACCTTGCTACATCCATCCTATGACTATTCTGATATCTGTCACCTTCATCTCCACTGGCAGCCGTCTGTCTGATAACCAGAAACTCATTCTTCGCCTGTTTCTCGTCAACGCACAATGCCTACTGCCGTCGTGACCGGGGCCAACAGTGGCATCGCCCACGCCTTTGCCAACATACTGCTCGACGAGGTCAGCATTGCCAAAAACACTAGCACATTGCCATCAAAATTGCTCTAGGATGACACTCAGGTAGGGGTACAAAGTGTACGCCGTCGATCGAGACGATGGAGAAGGGCTTAAAGCTCTGCAATCCAAGCAAGCCCATACTGCAGTTGTCGACGTGACTGCACCCGATTCGATCCGGGACTTCAAGGACTCGCTGGGTGATATCCCGATTGATCTTTTACTCAACATTGCAGGTTCGAAATCACCATCTGTGATCCCGTCTTCAAGTGTCTGTGAAGTGGAGTCCACTGATCGATACAAAAGGTGTCGCCTCCCCATCCGATGAGGATAGTCTGACGACCACCAACCTTGATGTCCTACAACGTACCTTTGCCGTCAATACTTTCGGACCCTTGCTTTTGACTCAAGCTCTATTACTCAACCTGTCAAAGGCATCCAATCCCAAGATCGGGATCGTGTCCAGTCGCGTGGGGTCTATCGGCGACAACAGCTCCGGTGGACATTACGCCTATCGCGCGTCCAAAGCTGCGGTCAACAGCATCGGCAAGAGCATGGCCGTGGATCTCAAAGCCAAAGGGGTCACGGTCATGCTTCTGCACCCTGGCTTTGTGAGGACAAACTTATTGCCCAAGGCCAACATGCCACCAGAGACGGTTGAACCGGAAGAGGCTGCGAGGAAATTGTGGGAGAATATTGTCAAGAAGAAAGGGATCGATGAGAGCGGCAAGTTTTGGCATCGTGAGGGCTTTGAATTGCCTTGGTGATGTCTAACTCCTGTTCCCATGCAAGGACTGGTTGTCAAATGTTACGCCCGTATGTCGACGGCGTAAATGTATCAATCCAGACTTGAAGAGGAGGACAGTCTGGTGTTACCACCATGCTTACAAACCATGGTGTATGTTATCGTCTAGGTCCAGATATACCTAGTATACACATATACCAGTCGATGTCGCTCGTCATTCGCACTACTAGTAGGTTATCGCCGAAGTGGAGACTGGTTCAATGGTGTGAATTGTCAATTCCAAGGTTGTCAATTGTCGACATCCTCGGCAAAGGGTCGGCTTATCTTCCCGAAGCGTCTTCGTCTCCAACAACATGGGGCTTCATTAGAAATCAACTTCAGTTCAACACAATGATGCTTTAACCTCCAGTCTGATATTGATACTACTTGTATAGAATCTCGTTGATATTCTTTTATTCCTCTTCTTTAGATCTGTCGTTCTCTATACTAGATTGGTATTGTCCCCTCTCACGCTCCGAGTCGCGCATGTTTAAAGCTCGGTCTCTACCTCTCAGCCTTGCCAGTCAGTCGATTCGCAGCGTCGCAATCATGTCAACATCAACGCCAGCTCGTCCAACGACTCTAAACCCCGGCGTGCCCGGCCTACCCTACTTCACCCCCGCCCATGAACACAACCCAGGCACGCCGGTCAAACTCTCATCAGAAACACCAACACTATTCACCCCACTGAAAATCCGATCCAAAACGCTACGCAACCGAATCATCGTCGCTCCCATGTGTCAATACTCAGCGGCCCCATCAGGGCCCGAAATCGGCCAACTAACAGACTACCACATCGCAACCCTAGGCCACTACGCACTCAAGGGAGCCGGACTCGTCATCATCGAAGCGACGGGCGTCCAAGCTAACGGGCGCATCACGCCCAACTGTCCCGGAATCTGGAGCGACTCCCAAACCGCAAGTTTCAGACGCGTGTCCGACTTTATAAAGTCTCAAGGGGCCCTATCTGGAATTCAACTAGCGCACGCGGGGCGGAAAGCCAGCACAGTTGCTCCCTGGATCGCCGCTCGCGCAGGGAAACCTTCGCTCCGCGCCGACAGCGACGTCGGCGGATGGCCAGACAATGTCGTTGGACCGATGGGCGGACCTGAAGAGTCCTGGGACGGCAAAGGGTTAGCTGACGACGGCGGATTCTGGCCTCCGCGCCAGTTGAGCGTGGACGACATCAAAGAACTCGTGCAAGCATGGGCCGACGCGGCACGCAGGTCCGTCGAGGCCGGTATCGATGTGATTGAAATCCACGCCGCGCATGGGTATCTTCTTCATCAGTTTCTGAGTCCCATTACGAACCGTCGAACGGATCAATATGGAGGCAGTTTTGAGAACCGGATTCGACTGTTAGTTGAGATCGTGCAGGCTGTAAGATCTGCGATTCCGGATACGATGCCTTTGTTGCTCCGGGTCAGTGCGACGGAGTGGATGGAGGATACGGAGCCGGGGAATAAATTCGGCAGTTGGGATCTTGAAAGTACTATCAGACTGGCGCGTCTGTTGCCAAGTTTGGGAGTTGATTTCCTTGATCCCAGCAGTGGGGGCAATCATCCCTTGCAGCGGATTAATATGTTTGCCTCGAAGGATTATCAGACGAAGAACTCCCATCGGATTCGGCAGGTCATGAAGGCTGAGAATCTGGATTTGCTTGTTGGTGCGGTGGGTCTCATTACTGAAGCGGAACAGGCACGCGACATTGTTGAGGATGGTAGCGTGCATCAAGACGGAGCAGGAGCCGGAGCAGGAGAAGGTTTGGATCGCAGTATCGGCGAAGAAGCCGCCGCTGCTAAACAAATCACCGATGCAAAGGGGGGCAAGGAGCCCATGGCCGACGCGATCCTGGTGGCCCGCCAGTTTCTCAGAGAGCCCGAGTGGGTGTTGAAAGTGGCGTGGAGGTTGGGCGTCGATGTGGCGTGGCCAAGTCAGTTTAACAGAGTCCGATTCCCCAAGTTGTGAACTTAAGTTTGCTTCAAGTTGTTGGACTTGAAGATCAGTGGGATTTAAGAGAGATTGGCATTAGCAATCAACGTAAACGGAGCGGACGGGATGGCGGATACATACAGACACAAACACCACCTTGATACTGATAGACCGAAAGAATGCCTGACGCTGCAGTCCTTGGGTTTGGCCATGTCTCAGTTTGCGTCTCTGATCGACTTGAACATCACATCAACCACATCACATCACCTGCTCGCGTCACCTTGACTTTTTTTTGTTATTCTTTATTTTTTTATTTTGTTATCTTTTCCACGCCTCGTTTTTGTTAATATAATTGACTGCTGCAAACACGAAACTCTCAACTTTTGTTATCCTTTGCGCGACTAGAATGTTTTTGTTGTTGAAGATTGACTGTTGTCCAAAGTTACAGACCTGACTTCGGCCACACCATCACAGCTTACACGCACACACAGCCCACACTTCCGTCCACACTACGGCCAGACAAATTGCAAATCCAACAGGAATCAGGGACACAAATTGACACCTTGGCCGCCCGGCCGTTGACTTTTAGCTAGGTACAATGGCAGAGACTGTCCTTACTGTACTATTCCGGCTCTCTCAGCACAGCCTCGTGTCACTCCGGATCTTGTTGCCCTGACACAACGGCAACTAGTCTGCAAATCAAGCCTTGCATTGTACGACTTTTTGGTCAGTGACGAGTCTCTTTTCTTGCTGAAGATCTGTCATGGCATGGCATGGCGTGGTATGGCGTGTTGGTTGTTATCATCGCTCCGGACTTCCGCGAAGTATGTGAGTTGAGTTTCAATGTCCTATGCATTTTGACCCATTGCAATGCAATGCAGTACAGCAGTCAGTGCAATGGACTGCACGATCAAGGTCGGTCCTCGGATTTTGTTTCATTTTTGGATCCCTTGCTACGTACTATGCCCCCTCTGCAATGCACCGACACCGCATGCTATATCTAGCATTTGGTGCCACTTCAAGTCATGTCTGCTCGCTCCAGACAGACAAGTTTTCAAGCTGTCCCTATCTGTTGCCATGGACTCTCTTCAGCCACAGCAATTGAAGATTCTCTGAAGACGACAGAAGTCACTCTTTTGTCACTCTTTTGTCTCTCTCGCTACTAAGGCCTCAGGTAACCGGTACCCCATGACTTGCCAAAGCCTCAAAGTCTGATACCGAGGGACCCATTCAATGGCCATCATGTCCTCCTCTCGGCTGCTCTTGCAGAGACTAGGCATCTTTCTGTGTCTTATTTCCTCTGTCATCAGCAACACCACCCCTCGACCGGTCCCAGTTCCCGTCCAGCACGACTCCAATTTCGTTCCAGACATCGTACTTCGAGTCGACGTGGCCACCATCCAATTAAATTGCCAGCCTCGTCTATCGACCTTGATCAACGGGACGTACCCAGCGCCGCCGATCTACCTCGAACCCGAGCGAACGACTTGGATCAGAGTATACAATGACGCATATTTCAATACCACAATGGTAGCTATGCCTCTGGATCCAGACCCAAACCTTCCCAGACCTGAATCTTCCGGCCCACTGACCATATGTTCTACTACAGCACTGGCACGGTCTATCACTATCAACGGCCCCCTACGCCGACGGCACGCCCCAAGCCTCGCAATGGCCCATCCCACCAGGTCATTTCTTCGACTACGAACTTCACCCCAGCGCTGCTGAAGCAGGGACATCATTCTACCATTCTCACGTCGGGTTTCAAGCAATTACGGCCTCTGGACCTTTAATAGTCAAAGACGCCAGTCCCCTGCCGTACGCGTATGACGACGAAATCATCCTGAAAATCGGCGACTTGTATCCCCAGGACGACAAGACGATAGAAACGGAACTGACTAGCATTCCATTCCGATGGATAGGCGATCCGTCCGCTTTGCTAGTCAATGGCCAGAGTGGAACAACAATATCGCAGCCACAGACACAGTCAACAACAACAAACTCGAACAGTGTCAACTCGACCGAGGCTGGTTCTGACACCTCATGTCAGCCGTGGGTTATGAATGTCTTACCAGAAAAAATATATCGCGTTCGTTTGATCGGCGCCACCACGATCTCGTTGGTCCTATTTGGATTCGAGGACCACGACAACCTCACCATCATCGAAACGGACAGTGCGTACGTCTCTCCCGTGCAGACAGACCATATGCAAGTCGACACGGGCCAGCGGTTCAGTTTTTTGTTGCCGACGAAAAGCCGAGAGGAACTGGCAGCAACAAACAAATCGACTTTCTGGATCCAGTTCGAAACGAGACAAGATGACCGGGTTGTTTCGGCGTGGGCGCTGCTCAACTATACTTTGGACGCATCGGCATCAGATCCATCAGACAGTGATAGTGACCAATACTCACCTCCAGCTGCGCCCGCCACGCCCAGCAGTATTCCGTCCTCCTCGGTTGTCAGCCTCCCGAACAACGTCACCTCTTGGATGGAATATACCTTTATCAACCCCCCTTTCGCCGGGTACGACTCACCCCCGCTGTCGTCCGAAGTCACCAGACGAGTCATCATTTCGACTCTACAACTGCTCAACACCACGACTCAGAACACACTCATGGTCTCGAACAATGCCTCGTGGTTCGACGGGCCTCCACTCGGCCCGAGCGTACATGTTCCGTATCTTGTAGAGATTTTACAGAACGAAACCATTAACGGCGGGGTGCCAGATTTTGACGGAGCAATTGGTTCCAATTCCAATTCCAATTCCACTTCTTCAACGTTCCCTTTCGAGGGGTCTGGGTTCGACCCGTTGACAAACACATACCCAGCACGGATTGGCGAAGTCATTGAAATTGTATGGCAAAACGCCGCGTCGTCGCCTGCCCGCGTTTTCGGCGCTCATCCAATGCATGCCCACGGCGGCCATTACTGGGATATGGGGTCCGGACAAGGCGTGTATAGTCCGGCCGTACATGCGGAGATGTTGCGTGCGAATTCTGTCGTTGTCGATGCACCTGATGACGGAGAAAACAGCAGCACGCCATGGTCTTCTCAACAGATAATAGTTCCTTACCCTGGCTCCCGCCGTGACACGACCTTGCTCTACAAGTACGCCTCGCTGGGTACGTATCCTGGCGAATTGAACGGGTGGCGCGTCTGGCGGGTCCGTGTCACCGAGCGCAACGTCGGCGTCTGGATGATGCATTGCCATATTTTGCAGCATATCATCATGGGTCAACAGACCGTTTGGCTGTTTGGGACTCCGGAGGAGATTAGGCAGCATGTCGAGCCTGTCCAGGGCAGTTTGGACGGGTATTTCAATTTCGGCGGCGATGTGGTTGGTCGAACTGGGACTGGCTATGATGGCCAACAGGAAGGAGGTGAAGAGTGGCACCGTGGCAATGATACAGTTTGGGGGAATGGCCCGAGACCGAACGGTGAGGAAGCAGTGAAAGGCAAGAAGATGAACAAGCCGAATGGCAAGGGTAGGGTGAAGAACAAAGGTGAAGCAGGATGGAAGCAGGGGAGTAAAGATGAAGCGATCGAGGTCATGCAGTTTTTTGAGTGATATCGTAGACCCTGCCTGCGTCACGACTCGGAGTGATGGTGGCCATGAGTGCAAGATACATGCTGTTGGCGCCAGCGGCGGCGGTGGTGGTGGGGACGAGTTGCCTGCTTTCCAATGGTGTTTATCGTCCCTCGGGATTTGTTGCGCAGAGCGATGACTTATTAATTCGATCAAGTTCAATAACTTCAATTTTCGTCCAGTTCAAGACGGAATGTTTTCAGTCCATTAGACACCACCATATTGATCAGTGGCCTCCTCATACTAGTAGATCTCTGAGATGTTCTGGTAGCCTTTGATGCAAGAAATATAGTGTGCTGTATGACATTTGGATTCTGCAGCTAGACTTTTGGATCAACCGAAGGAGTTGATCGACTGTCAATCGCGCGTTAACATGGTCTTTAAATATTACCTAGGTAGTAGATTCTAGGGAGAGGTGCCAATTAGGGTGGAGCTGTGATCAGCTGCACTGGATGAACAAATGTAGTCGATGGAGAGAATGCGAGAAGGAAGTATTGTCGTCGAACATAGTACATATACATATACTAGGTAAGAACACTAGCACCACTAGTAGCATAGTACCACACTGCAAGTGTCACTAGCACTGCTGTTAAGCAATACTAACAGCCCTTTCAGATGGGTCGCCTCTCAAAAGCAGCATGAACGCCAAGAAAGGATAATTCAACTCCAGTGCAGCAGTGTACCTGTATCCTCCAGCCGAGCCTCAAGTTCAAGCCAAACTTCAAGCTTGGATCCCGAATATATCACCCTAACGTCCCATTTGTGGATTTCCATGAAGAGCACGAGCAAGCATCTTTTATTCTCATCTGCATCCCTCCCACTGCACGCCATTCTAGAGCAGATTCCTAGTAGGATTGCTCTACCTCGACTCCTCGACTCCTCGAGAATATTTGTAGGAAGGCTTCATTCTCAGATCTGAAGCACATATACATACCCTACACACACGCAAGCACCATCATGGTCCAACAACTCCATCTAGCTCACACTCCGGCCAACTTGGCCCTGTATGTTGCCGTCTACCGTGATGTCGAGAATGTCACGTTCCTCAGGGAACAGTTGCTCGCGGGAAATGCGGAATTTGAATATGCATTTATCGATGCTAGTATGGTGAGCGACCAACCTTGCATTTCAATCTGCTTTCAATCCAATCCAATCCAATTCAATCCAATATCTACCCCTCTTCCGCACATTTGAACCCTTTCTAACACCGATCCCTTTCGCAAAGGTCGTCTCTACCAAACATGCCCTCGCAGCAGCATTCCGCGCCATCAACGACTACATGAACGACCGGCTCAAGTCCCGCAACATTCACTCCGAGATTGTCTTTTCTTTGAGCCCCAACAACAATGTAAGTTTCCTCTTGCCGCCCAATCTGATTACCCCTTAGCAACTACTACGTAGGTCCCAGTATTGACCTTCCTACCACTACAGATCGGTGAAGCATTCCGCCGCTTCGGCGTCTCCGAGACCGCTAGAGACCTACTCGTCATGAAAGTCGCGATGACACCTCAAATCACATTAGAGAGCGTCAGCCAACATTTCTCAACTCATATCCAAGGCAACGAAGTGCCCTTTGATGATGCTACCTTCCAGCAGACGGCCGATTTCGATCGCATTCGGAAAGTATATAAGTTGTCCACTTTGGCACCTAGAACTAAAAAGGGCGGCCCGGTTCCCAAGGTCGACGGCGCCGTTAACGGAGACGCCGCACTTACCAATGGCGATAAAGCGAACTTCAATGAGACTAGGAATCTGGAGGTTCAGATTCTTGGACTTATGGCACTCAGAGGAGCTACGTGATTGGTGGTGTACAGGCACTGGATCACCTCGTTGTACGCCGGACAGAAATTCGAAGCTGTAACCTTTTCAGCAGATGGTATTGCCGTCGCTAAGTCAATCGGGACTCTCTGGTGGGTTTGATTGATGCTGAACTCGACGCCGAGCGGTACGTCGTCCCACAGCGGAGATTGTCGCCTGTCTTCTGGTGTGGGTTGTTGACGGTGTGAGTACCCTTTTCGGGAGAGCTGCTCGACATATCGCAACAGCTCGGGACAAAAGCCCTCATTGGCGGAAGCCTGCCGTGGCTGTCAACTCTCAAGAAACGAGTGCTCTGGGAACAAATGCTCCCCACATCAGAACTCGAAAGCGATATTCAGGAAGATGTCAGCATGCAGTCTAGCCTCGGAAAGGCCTTATCCTTCAGTCCGCCGCCACCATATCTCTTCCAGAAACATGCGGTGACATTACTCTGCCATCCACAGAACAGGACAACCTGAAATGTGTGTTGACACCTTCGTCGCGCCGGGTCGACTTCAATTTTGTCCCCTGACAAATTAGCCTTCTTCCAACATCATCAAATATGACCCTCCCGAATCGAAGCTGCGCCAATATACGCGACAATGATACCATGCCGAGTATAGCCATACCTACCATCACCAAGTCAAACGACGTACTACACCCCAACCATGCTATACACTACTCTATCACCCCATGGAAATGGGATCATGACAATGACGAGAAGATGGAGATGACGATGCCTCCAGTCACAGTGCCATTCTTCCTCAAATCTGTGTCCATCTGCACTTTATCTCCCAATTACAGCCACAATGGGCACAGGTAACAGTACCTAGCTAGGTAGCTGTCTATTCAACTACCTCTTGGGTTCATCCATCCATTCATCCATCCACATTGCTCACACACCATACATTGGCAACCCCCCTTCCCTTCCAGCCACCCTCTTTCCGCAATCCCAGTCCAGCTTGTGGATCAAAGCGACACCATTACCTCATCCCGACCTGGTGAAAACCAATTTGAGTCCCTCGGTAGCGCAATAGTCCGCAGTCTGTCTTGCAACTCTGGTCTCGACTACTACACAATCGATACTTACAGGAACACACATGGGCACTCATGCTTACCGGTGTCAAGTAGTCTAGTATACTATAGTCCACATTTAGCATCATTATTCAGACTGGGCCTCAGAGAACCAAAAATGAACTTGATTTATATATTGGACGCTTCATGTACATCCCTCAGACCCACCTACTACAGTTAGGTACGGTATCTACCTTAGCTACCCGGGACGTACACTTACAGTAGTAACGAAAGCACAGCAGTCGTTACGCACTGGTAAGCCAGCGAAGCGAAACGAGGCAGGCACTGGCAGGCAGGCTCTGCATCTGTCATATCCATGAAGCAAGCAGGCAAGCACCACAGTGAGCACTGCCAAAGAAACCCGATCGACAGAGCAATAACATACATTTCGTACCTTAGTTACGCAGGCAAAGTGTCTGTTCGATTGCATGTTGCGATGCTACTTTGCCTTGCCTTGCCCTGCCTTGCTTTTGGCATGCAATGCTGGCTGACAGGCTGGCTCAGTCGCCTGCCTGCCCCTTCACTTTCCTAGTTAGACAAAACCCAGTCTAGAATGCTTTTTGGAATCATAAAGTTACACACACGCTCGCACACAGAGCTGAGGCATGGTAAGCCCTGACCTCTTGTGCTGGCTTCTTGTCTGGCAAATTCCCTCCCTTTCCCTCCACGACCCGGTTTTCTCCACAGATGGTAATATCATCCTGATCTCCGCAGACCACACCATTGGAAACCAATCCTCCTTCCACTACATGTGACCGCCAATGCATGTCTCACTATCCTTTCCCTTTCCTCCACGAAGCACACTTCTAAGCCCCGGAAAAGAGCTCCAATTGCCGCCTTGAACCTCACCTGACGCAAGAATATCCTCTCTTCCTGCACTTTCAACAACTCTTCGTGAGCTGATCAGAACCAATACAATCAAAAGCAATTTCTTGGTCTGGAGAAAACAAACGCGAAAATCCATCCAACGCCGTCGCTAATCAAACATTTATCGGTTTTGTTGCCGGAGTAAGTGATGGGCAGAGAAGCAGGGTGGTCGTATTTCTTGACCATCCCCAGCTTCTCGCCAGAACAATCTTGTGATTTTCCGAGCGTTAAAACATTGCATAAAACATAAAACCCCAGCCGCCAGACACAGGATCGAAAGACAGAAGGTCAAGTTAATGGATCCGTCCATCAACCCTGCGCTGGGCTTGAGGTTGACTTGCTGACATTCAAGTCAGGAATGATGGTACAAGAGGAATCTAATCCTCTTTTGGAGAAGTCGGCGAGTATTGAGGACTATTTGGAGAATACTGCGGACTGGTGACAGACGTCGGCCGACCCTGTGGACTTGTTGGGGAAGCATTGTACATCGGACTGGTAGGAGAGTACGAAGGACTTGTAGGAGAAGTCGGGCTCGTCGGACTGTATGTCGGAGACGTGGGTGAATAGCTCGGTGACGTGGGAGATTGCTTGTTACCAGTTCCACCGTACATTGGGCTAGTAGGGCTGTACATTGGGGACGTGGGACTGTACACCGGCGACGTCGGCGATGTAGGTGAGGTTGGACTAAACGCCGGCGATGTAGGAGAGTAGCTTGGAGAGGTCGGAGATCCATAAGCCGGGGACGTCGGCGAATAGTTGGGCGACGTGGGAGAATAACTGGGTGAAGTCGGCGAGGCTTGATACCCAGGCGACGTCGGCGAGTATGCAGGTGAAGTAGGAGTAAACGCTGGACTGGCCGGAGAGAAGGACGGTGAAGTCGGTCCAAACCCAGGACTGGTGGCACCAAACATTGGAGAGGTAGGACTATACCCAGCAGTGGGAGAGAAGCCAGGCGACGTTGGGCTTGTTCCACCGAAAGGACTGGCAGGCGAATAACCTCCTGGGCTTCGAGCACCGTATGGACTGAATCCTCCAGCACCACCGAAACCTGGTTGATAATCTGTAAAGCCGCCTGGTGTTTCGGCTCCCGAAGCACGGATTGGCGAGAAAGAAGCACCGTAATCGGGCGAACCAAGATAGCCAGTATCCTGCATGGGAGATCCCATGTCGTATGGAGTGGCAGCACCGTCCAGAAGTTGTTGCGAGCCTTTGACACCGATAGCTCCTCCAAGACCGAGATTGGCGTTGTCACTAACAACTTGAGAGAGCATGTTTTCGTCGAGTAGGATCTCCATTGCACCAGTACCGACAGGAGCAACCTGGCCCAAAATGAGATTCTCCGATACACCACGACAGTCGTCGAGTTCACCGGCAGCCGCAGCCTCCAGCAAAATCTCCACGGTTTGCTCAAAGGAACATCTCATGAGTGCACCGGTGTCGGACTTATTGATACCATGTCGAGTAACAGCCATGACATAACCACGGGCGGTCATGACATCGCAAAGAATACCCAAATGACGAGCATTGACATAAGAACCATCAAAAGACAGCACCTGCGTCAATTCCCGCAGAATAGCGGCTCGGGTGGCTTCAATACCAAGGACTTCAAAGATTTCAGTGAAGCGATTGGTGTAAGTCCGAGTGGTATCAACGCCTTCGATGGCAAGCACTTTGGCAAAGGCACTGCCGCTGGTCTCGAGCACGTACTCATTGCACCGTGGGTCACTCTTGGACATAAACACGGAATTGTCGTCGTCGATGATGGCGCGACTCTTCTGGTCAATGAATGCTCGGGATACTCCAGGAACACCATGGAAAGTCAAATGGTCGAGCATCTCATTCATGAAGCGGCGGAGCACCTCATCATCTTCCTTGCGGTCTTCCTCTTCATCTTTGGCATAGGAATTGACGAGACGAATGCGGATGACTTGCTCGTCAGCGTTGATGTCACTGAAGATGACGGAAAGATCCTTCATGTAGGTCGACTTGATCTTCCCGGCGACATCCTGAATGTTCAAACCCTTATCCAGCAGTTTGGCACGACTCAGGATGATACGCAACAACCATTTGGAGTGAAGGGACAGGTCTGCCTCATTGTCCTCGGGGATGATGAAGTAAGACTCGACCATATCCAAGTCTTCCGGGATGATGGTACTCTGGATATCAGGGTCATACCACAGCTCGCAAGTCTCCGCGACTGACCGCAGGTTGGTGTGCTGCACGCGAGATCGCAGAAGTTTGGCAGCCTCCTTATCACCTGCATTTTCAGGCAGTTGATAAACAGTCATCGAGGGCGTCCGAATGTTCTGGGACACGTTCAAGATTTCCTTGAGACGTGGTACACCCAGGGTAACGTTCTTGGCCGACACACCGGTAAAGTGGAAAGTGTTCAAGGTCATTTGAGTGGCAGGTTCACCAATAGATTGAGCAGCAAGAACACCAACCATTTCACCAGGGTTTGCATGGGCGGCGAGGAATCGACTTTCCACAGCGCCGATGACGTTGTCAAATGCCAGTCTATTCAGACCATGCTCAAGCACCAGCCGCTTGTACGCTAGGCGCGACCGCAACTGAGCCTTAAGCAGAAGTGTGGCATTGGACTGAGCTTCTTTGGAAATAGGGTCATCGCCACGAACAACAACCAAGCGATCCAGCAACTGCTTGACCGCATTGAGAGCATGACGAGGATCCAGATCGGTCTTGTCGCCCCGACGAATCTTGAAGTTCTTCTGGGCTTGATCGATGATACGCGCGATGTTGAGTGGGAGCTGCATAGAGTCTTCCGTACCCTTGCCCATCTTGCGCAGGAACTCTCGAGACTCACGAAGAGCTTCAAGCTCCTCGTCAAACATCTCTTGCAACTCGGTGTCACCTTGGATCTCTCTCGCCTGAAGCAGTTTACCTCTCCACATGGAAGTATCACCGCTCATGATGTCCACGGCATAGCGATTGTTGAAGGCTTTGTCCGACATTGTAATGATGTCAACCTTCTGGTTCTCGATGTGTGCACCATCAAGACCATCTTCTCCGTAGATGAACTGAACGATGTTACCACGAGAGTCACGGACAGTCGAGTCATATTTGACAGTAACCTCTTCCAGTGCCTTGACGAGACGACGCTGGATATAACCTGTCTCGGCAGTCTTGACCGCAGTGTCAATAAGACCTTCACGACCAGCCATGGCGTGGAAGAAGAACTCTGTAGGTGTCAGACCACGCAAGTACGAGTTCTCCACGAAGCCTCGAGACGGTGCAGAGTAGTCGTCCTTTGCAAAGTGAGGCAGAGTTCGATACTTGAAGCCAAAGGGGATACGTTTGCCTTCGACGGCCTGTTGACCGACGATAGCCGTCATCTGGGCGATATTGATCGTGGAACCCTTTGAACCAGCTCGGGCCATGGTGATGGCATTGTTGAGATCCTTCAAGCTGTTCTCGGTGACAGCACCAGCCTGATCACGCGCTTGATTGAGGGCGTTCATGACCTTGCTCTCAAACGTCTGACGGACGTTCATGCCAGGCGACGGTTCCAAGTCCTCTTTATAGGCTCGAATAGTGATCTCCTCGACTTCTTTCTTCTTTTCGTCAACAACTTCTTGAATCTTCCGCACGGTCTCTGGATCGGGTACTGTATCACCAATGCCGATACTGAAACCATTGTGTAGAAGCCAGTAATTGACCACATGCTGAGCGCCGTTGAAGAAAGCCATGGCAGCTTCATGGCCGAACTCGTTGAAGATGGTGTGAATAACACCACCAGCACTCGTTCCCACGAATTTCTTGCTGAACAATCCAAACATCAGGTGGCCTTCGAGGACCATGAGACCGGTATCGTTGGCAGGTACGTATGGGTCTTCGCCTTTCGCGTCCAATCGCTCCAGATTGAGAGCACGTGGAAGGACCATGCTGATCATCTGCTTCCCCGTCCAGCGAGGTCTAGGCTTGATGATAGCAGGTTGAGGGATCACACCGTCCCATTCGGGCACCCAGAGCATGATGTTCATGACTTGTTCTCGGGTCAAAAAGATGTCACGACGACAGATCTTGTAGATACCGCAGAGCGTATCCTGCACGATACCCATCAATGGACCGTTTCGCTGAGGAGACACAATATTGAGCGGAACCATGCAAAGATTGGCAAGCTCAGCTCTCGATTCTTCACTCTGTGGAACGTGCAAGTTCATTTCATCACCATCGAAGTCGGCGTTGTACGGTGTAGTCACGGACAGATTGAGACGGAAAGTTGAGTAAGGCATCACGCGGACACGATGTCCCATCATGGATTCCTTGTGAAGGGAGGGCTGACGGTTGAACAAGATGACATCTCCATCCTGGATATGGCGTTCAACCTTCCACCCGTACTGCAAGGTCATTTCTGAGGCTCGCTTGTGGTGACGCAAATCGATACGCTCGCCCGTGTCTCGAATGACATATCTCGCTCCCGGATGCTCGGTAGGGCCATTCGCCACGAGACGTTTGAGCTTGTCCAGGTTGAAAGGAGTGACGGTTTCGGGATAAGTCAGGGTGCGAGCAATGCTGCGAGGGACACCGACCTCGTCCAATGACAGATTAGGGTCACCTGTGATGACAGTACGAGCAGAGAAATCAACACGCTTGCCCATCAGGTTCTGGCGCAGTCTGCCTTCTTTGCCCTTCAACCGAGCACGGATCGACTTGATGGGACGCCCACTCTTGTGTTGCGCCCGCTCCAACCCAGCGATTTCGTTGTCCATGTATGTGGCGATATGATATTGAAGCAAATCGCACAGATCCACCTTGATATGGTCTGGTGTGCCATCGACTTCCGTCCGCAAGACCGCTTGGTTGGCTCGAATGATATCTCCAAGTTTGAAAGTCAGATCGTCTTCGCCGCGTTGTCCTTGACCACTACCGTCCACGCTTATACTAGGGCGGACTGGTGGAGGAGGAACAGGAAGCGCCGAGAGGATCATCCACTCCGGCCGAGCATAGTCCAGACTGAGACCCATCATTTCCAGGGTTTCGTCAGTCAGAGTGCGGAAGGTGTTGAGTGCATCTTGTGGGAAGATACGTTTCTTGTCCGGCGTGGTGTCTTCCTCATCTTCACCCTTTCGGGCTTTCCAGGTCGCCCATAGTTGCAACCCGCTACGTCGAATCTCTGGCTGCATGTTACCACAACCACCATGTTTGGGTGGCGCAGGTCCCTTGAGTGGCTGATCGGGGTCTTCGGGAGGATCTGCTTCACAGACGTTACGAGGCTTGCTCAACCGCCAAACGGCATCGAACCGCCGCTTTCGATCACGGAGAGAGATGGCGTGGCGAAATTCTTCATTCTAGATTTGAGGTGTCAGTGATCACCCTGAAGAAATTAGATGTAGAGACCAACATCAAGTGCTTTGATCTTGCCACAGTTGAGGCAGACCGTCTCCAAAATCTTCTTGACTTTCCCCATGAAGCCATAGTGATAGACTGGAGTTGCAAGCTTGATGACACCAAAATGACCAGGACATTCCGACATGTTCTCTTCACAAGTACTGCACTTGAAATTGCGATCGATCGTCCCGAGATGAGGATCGTTCGGACCTTTCTCGCGAGGTCTGAGGCGTTGCTCATCCCTGAAGTCAAATGTTAGAGAGACATTTCAGAAGGGTATTTTTGTGGCGGATCTGTATTATCTACATACATCGTCTCCGGATATTCGATTTCGATGACCGCGAGGCGTTCAGTTTCCTTGGCCGAGAAGAGGCCAAACTGAATCTCCTCAACGGTGCGCAGAGGCGCGCTCGAATACGGGAAATTGAGGTTCGACATGATTGCTCGTAATATCCTTGGGATATCCTTGGGAGACGATATTTATTCTTCAGCAACGATCGGGATGATCGCACTCCTGCGCAGATGGCTGCGCGATGTGGCCAGAAATGACCTCCCGCCCTATCGGGCCACCCAAAACAAAGCGACCTTCGCCAGCTGCGCGCTTCACCAATTCTCTCGTTTTTCGACCGATTCTTCCAGGAAAGTGATTGACTCGGCGGTCGGAACGTGTAAGTTCGGGCGCGCGATCGAGTCGAGATGGTTGGAGTGGGAGTGAGATGGAAGAAAGGTGGTCGAGTTGGTAGGGAGCGAGGTCGAAATTTCAAACTGAAGGCGCAGGCGACAGCGCCAAGGAATATCCGGCCTAGCGCAAAACAACCGCCGCAACCTAGAACGTCGCGCCTCACCTCACTATGACTTCACTGGCTTCGCTTCCAGTGACAACCAGCTTACAATTACCTCAGTTGAATAGTACTGCATACGGCTGTCTACAGCGAGAGCAACCGATCTATGTCTCGAGAACTCGATAATTTGGTGGCATTTGAGCCAGGGCAGACGCTGCTATAACGACATGCCCACCGAGAACGGATTGACCCTCGACAATGAATGCAGAGTGTTGAATGAGGTCGTGCACCCCTAGTACAACTATCTTTTTGTCATTTCCTCACAAAGCCATGCCCAGTAGGTACAGACATGGCCATTACGATCGTTTTCATTTCCTGTTGTGTGAGATTTAGCTCATGTTTGCTCTTCGGAGCAACGCTCACTAGTATCTAGAGGATAGTCTTAGACATAGGCAACGCTCTTGACGGGCTTAATGGACAAGAGCTGCACTGTGATGATGGCGCCCTGCACAGTCAGTCACATTTCACTCTCACTAACATTCCTGACTCTTCTCTGTCCATTCCTCTGCCAACTGTAACTGCACTCTCCGCTGATCCAGCCTGATTCCTTCTTCAACCATCGAATCTCGCTGCTTTTGCACCTCTCAGCCTTTCGCCTCCTTTAGTTTCACGCTATCCGACACTAATCAACTAGCGTGTCATGGCGGAGTCACGTGGAATCGACATTGAAGCCTGGCGACAGGCGATTGTGGTACCTCGCAACTTTTTGGGCGTCCGTATGTAGCCTGAGTCTCCTGTCTACAGACAGCCCGTCCTTTCTTTGACCACAGTCAAAGAATCATGAATTTGGCACTGATTGACCCTTTTCAATTAGCCCAAGACTCTCCTGATACGCTCGTCAACGACCTGAGTAAGTTTGGCAATTCCAACTTTGTCTTGTTCGAGGACTAACACGAGGACGTCTAGGATCTGGCCATGCCACAACACTACGATTCAGCCGGAAGGGCGATTACCTGGCCTCAGGCAGGGTCGATGGAAAAGTCGTCATCTGGTAAGTCGAAGCAAAACTTGAAACGCGTTGCGCTTTGCGACACTGCATCTCGTCATGCCAATCATTACTCGCCGACATAACTTCGAGATACTCGAATGCCCCCTCTATGCGCGCTCCTTTCTACATTGGCTGTTGCTGACTGCCTCAACACAGGGACATGGAGACCATGGGCGTCGCGATGAAACTGCACGGTCACTGGAAGCAGATCCAAAGTCTTAGGTAAGCAAGTCCATCAACATCACCATCCTCCTGGGACCAAGCCCAGCACATCACCACCCCTGATAGCCTTGCCCTCTCCCGCTGCATAGTCGCTGACACGGCTATCGCATCTAGCTGGTCACGAGAAGGCCGATATCTACTCTCAGCATCCCAAGACTGCCGCGCCATCCTATGGGATCTCCAGACTCAAGAACGACTACGCACCGTAAAGTTCGAAGCACCAATCTACACGGCCGAACTGCACCCCTACAACCACAATCTTCTCATCGCATCGTTGTTCGAGGACCGCCCACACCTGGTCGACATCACCAACCCGGAACCAACCAAGCGGATCTTGCCAGCCACACCATTGAGCGACAGCATCCCCCGATCCGAGAACAAGCAAGCCACGACCTCGGCCATCTTCTCTGTTCTCGGCAACCACATCATCACCGGCACATCGAAAGGCTACATCAACATTCTGGAGACCGAGTCGCGCAAGATCATCCACTCGACCAAGGTGTCATCTGGTCTGATCTCTTTGTTGCGACTGACGTCCAACGGCCGACAGCTGCTAGCAAACAGCACCGACCGAATCATCCGAGTCATCAATTTACCAGACCTATCCCTCATTACACCATCCAGACCAGCCAATGTCGAACATCAACACCCAACATCGTCCACTGCCAACACTCCAGGTCCCAATACTACCGCAGAAGAAGACGAAGCTCAACCAGACCCAGCCACCCTAGCCGAGAACATTGTCCTTACAACGGAACACAAATTCCAAGACCTAGTGAACCGACTCCGCTGGAACCACTGCGCATTCAGCCACTCGTCCTCGACTGGTATTGCCGACTACGTAACCGCGTCGACATACATGAAGAAAGACATCTACATCTGGGAACTGCGGACCAACTCACTGCTACGCATCCTGGAAAACCGTGAAGAGCCGGCCATTATCGAGTGGCACCCGTCTCGACCTCTCTTGGCCTGCACCAGCATCGAGACCGGCAGCATCCAGATCTGGGGCATCGAGCCACAGCAGAAATGGTCCGCGCTGGCGCCCGACTTCACCGAGCTGACAGAGAACGTCGAGTACGTTGAGCGCGAGGACGAGTTCGACACCTACCCTCAGGAAGAGCACCAGAAACGTCGTCTGGATCGCGAAGACGAGATCGTCGATGTCCTCACTGTCGAACGCAAGCCCGGCGAGGAAGAGACGTTCGTCTTACCCATGATCTACGACATCGAAGACAGTGATGCCGATGATCAGGAGCTGGTTCCCATGGGCGTCGGCACCATGAGAAAGCGCGATATCAACGAGGGCAAGGAGTACGAGAATGATGCTGACGAGGTCGCCAAGTCGGCTAGAAGACAACGCAAGTGAGCCCGAATTATTGGTATCTCGCAATCAGTCATCGATAGGTATGCGACTGCGCATACCGGCAGTTACTAGTATCCTGCGGTCTTGGTTGTCGCAGGGACACATCTCATGCTTTCCACAGTTTTTTTGCTTCTCTTCTCGTCTTGACCGGCATTTCGCTTGGCGCAATGGCAATGGAAAATCAATGGTTCAATGGTTCATCTCTGGCCGCTCGGGCTTGATGAATGGTCCGCGGGACGACTATGGGTCCGTGCTACTCGAGCAGACATAGGGCATTCGCATAGGCGTTGGTACTGGGATTGGAGTCTCGTGCTTTGCTGACAGGCAATTGATGTTGTATGATTAAATCTTGAAGTGGTGGGCCCACGATGCTGCTCACAATGTCTTCTTGGTGCTTCTTTCTTTGTCTCTGCCTACGGGGCGTAGTCTGGCGTTAAAGGGATAGGACACGATGTTACGTGACATGGTAGACAAGAACCATACCAGTTACTACGACACAGGACGGGAGGAGAAAAAGCCTCGCAGCACTATTTGTGTACTCCAGTCCCGTGTTGAATCAATGAATCCGGAAACTAATATGCGCACATTCTACGCTTCACGTCGCTCCCGATACGCTTGTATCATGTCGAGCGCAAGATTGCAGTAACCCTGTCTACCTATCATGGCAAGTAAAGTCTAACGCATATCAACTGAACTTGAGGATATCCTTGGCCTGCCAACCAGAAACACGTCCTATAACGTACGCCCCACTCGATTCCGTTTGTTTGTCTACACGGACTTGTCTCCTATATATCACTAAATATCCTCACATCCATCTCACACATTTCTGCACACGTGTGACATCTTCAACCGCAGCCTTCCAACAACCGAATGACGCAGATCTACTTGCGTTTGGCATCTGCACCAGCAATTGACAAAAAAGGTGAAGAACAGGCCGACAAGACACAGTTTACTGTAAATCATAAGGCCTGCTGAAACAACATCCCGACGAGGTCGGGTTATCTGTCCCCAAACCGTCCTGGTAATGTCGATCATCGCATCTTAAATTCGAAGTATCCCTCCTGTGCAGATATGCGGTATGAGGATGGCCAAACGTAGCAGCCATATTCGTTTCATGGGTGTCATGGCTGAGGGCTATACTCGATGCCGTGACACAATCCGACACAGGAGAAGTCGTGTAGTGAAGTCGCATATCGAGTTGCCATAGATTCTGCGCGACATTGAAGACGGTTTAGCAACGGATGTCGCGACAAGCTCTCCATGCTCTAAGCATTCTGTACTTGAATGCACTTCAGTCGACCGGGTGACACCGCCAAGTCGCTGTGAAATTGCCAGTGTCCTCCACGGGCGGCCATGCTTCACTTTCTGGGTGACTGAATCCATCAGCCAGGTAGTTCTGGGCGAGGGTGGCGTTTTTCTTAGGAATCCGCCTCGATACGCGGCGTCGAGGTCATGGAAGCCACCATGGCACTTTCGCTTGGGACTGCATATGGGGACTTGGTTGTGCTTCGGTGCTCCTGCCCAGATGGAAATGGCGTCTTCTGTATTGGACTGGTAGCCGCTGCATACAATGGTAGGTTCTCGTGGTAAGACCCATGAGCAACCATACTCTTCACTGCTGCTCGGTGACGCTTTTTCTCCCGGAACGGAAGGAAAGAAAATATGCCAATAACTCCAAGAAGAGGAATACCGACGCCGAGTCCTGCCCCTAGCCCAGCTGTCGTTGCTTTGCTAGAGTCGTCTGAAGACGACATTGACATGTTGTTTGGATCACTGGTTGTCGTAGCGGTAAGGGTGATGGGGGAACCGTCGACGTCGGTTGTAAATGTCAGGGTTGAGAGCGAGGGGAGGGCGTCGCAGTCTTGCCAGCAGTGACGATGTTCTTTACAGGCGCAATGCTATACCCATTCCTGAAGGCGGAACCGTTCTGTACCTGGGCATCCTCCGGTATTCTGAACTTGTTGACGCCATCGTCCTCGCAGCAAGATGTGTTGTTTGCGCCATCCGAGCAGCACCAATAATCGTTGCTGCACCGATAGACAGTGCTGATATAATGAATGCGCCGGGGCTTCAAGCAATACGGGAAGCATGCTTTATCGCCCCACGTACTGTCCGTACATAGCCCGGTAGTGAGAGAGGTGTTTGTCTGTACAACGTTAGAGGCAGTGGACAAGGTCATGTCATTCTCATTGCGTACGTACTTTTGCTAGACACGGACCGTTCTGCAGGCAAGTCTGGCCTCGATCACAACAATGCGTTGCATTTCCAGTGCTTAAGCAGGGCGTGTAAGTAGTCGAACGTGTCTCTGCACCGTCAGGTTTGTAGCAGATGTCTTTCGCACCGAGAACAGTAGTATTGACGAGCGCAAGCAGCACAGCGGCTGCAAGGTCAGAAAGCATTTTGTCACCCGGGGTAAGATTCGAGAAAGAACTGCAAAGGACAAAGTGGGAGTATTGTCGGTGGACGACTGTCCATTTATGACATGCACGACCTACCTTTGATTTCGTTGATAACCATATGTCTGTTTGTTTCACACTCCAGCCACTGGGAGAGGCATTCTCTGGAACCGGAAACATGACCTCGTATAGAAGCGTCCCCCCAAGTGGGCGATGTTCCTACCTAGCATTGGTGGCCTCACACATCGTCCTAAAACGAGGAAGCGCGGGTAGATCTGCTGCTAAAAGTATCGTATCAGGTCAGTGATTGGGCCTCAGCCTGGTGGCTACCAAGCCTCCCGAACCCGTTCATGCATGGTCCTCTAGGTTGTGCTTCGGACATCGGTGGCAGCGGCAGCAGCAGCAGCAAAGTGAGCTGTGGGATAAGAGTAGTCCAACTTGTAGTTGTAGAGCCGGAAAAGATCCCACCAGCAAGCCACTTCGTGTATGCACCACCACGTCGATCAGCCAAGGCTCCCAAACGGATAATACAATAGGGGCCGGTTGGACCACGCTGGCAAATGGACCGAGATGGCTGATCGCCGATGCTTTATCATCCACTCGGCATCTATTGCACGCGGAAGCAGAGTTCTTGGATCGTTCGAGGGATAGCTTGCAAAAGGGTAGCAGAACCTAAGCTTCAAGTATCAGATGTCAGTATACTTGCTTTTCAGGAAACAAAATGGTCCCCGAACTTGAGCAGCTGTGGATGATGGTGAATCCGAGGTTGTCATTCAAGTTGAAGGAAAAATGGGAAATCGCAGGCGACTGGTAGTGGGCATTACTACTGTACTGTGAACAGCACAAACAGGCGAGTAGATCGTATCATTCGCGTCACTAGTTGTACACTGTAAATTCATCCTACGGCGGAACATGAATCAGGCACATCCGAGCATAAGCCGTGCAAGGCAGGTTTGCCGGCCTGCATGTTCCGATATTTTGGAGGAAATGAACCGGTTGTCCGGCCATATTGACGGATTGAGACTTCTTGATTGTTTCCACTGATCTCCTGTCTCCTGTCTCTCAAACATCCTCCTCCGCCGGATGGCTTGGTCGATTGATGCACTGCTTTCGGAATGACATCTGTAGATGAACTCTTCCGGGGGACCAGCGCTGGTTCCAAGCGTAAACTTGAGGACCCGACCACCGCCTTCTCCCATGCGCTCTCCAACAAATCCACCAAAGTCACCAACGGATCCTCTCCGCGCAGCCTAACCATCGACAACCACGATTCCAATGGCTCTGGCAACCCCGCTGCGTCTGTACAGGACGATACCCTAGATGGTCAAGATGACATCGAAGCCGGGCCATCGTTACCGCCCGACGGAGTCGAGGACGAACCCGGTGACGATGAGGAAGGCCGCTTCTTTGGCGGTGGGGTGTCAAAACAAGAGCGCGAATTGATAGACTACATTGACAAGAACGATGACGGGGACGCAGAGGAGAAGTTTGATTCTGCCTGGCTGCGTCGTACCGCAATCAATTTCGAACGAAAGATCAACAAGAACGCGGAGTTGCGCGCCAAATATGAAAATGACCCGATGAAGTTCGTGGGAAGTGAGGCGGATCTCGATGCGGAAATCAAAGGCTTGAGTGTGCTCAGCGAGCACGGCGAGTTGTACAAGGAATTTGTCAAAATGGGCTGCGTTGGCAGCCTCGTCGGGCTCCTCGCGCATGAGAACACTGATATTGCCATTGCGGTTTGCGAACTGTTAGCAGAGCTTACAGACGAAGACGCCTCGACTAACGAGGATCAGTGGAAGATCCTCGTTGAAGCAATGCTACAGCATGATCTTGTGGACCTTCTTTCAAGCAACCTCAGTCGGCTCGACGAGGACAGTAACGAAAGCGATAGGGCTGGCGTTTACCACATCCTGAATGTACTCGAGAACATTTTGTCAGACGCGAAGAACCAGGAGATCGTGGGTGCCAATGACAAAATGATGCAGTGGCTGCTGGCAAGGATCAAGAAGGTTGACCCTTATGCCCGCGGCAAGGTTGGGCAAAACCGCCAGTATGCGGCAGAGATCCTTGCTATCCTTCTACAATCCAATAGAGCGAATCGTGATCGCCTTGCACAAAAAGAAGGCGTCGATATGTTTTTGGAGCTGCTGAGCACATATGCCAGGAGAGATCCTGAGAAGGACTCCGACGAAGAAGAGTATGCTGAGAATCTCTTCGATTGCTTGGCTTGCGTCGTCGAGGAGAGACTGGGAGGAGAGAAATTCGTCGAAGGTGAAGGCGTCGAGTTATGCCTTATCATGCTCCGAGAAGGGCGGCTCGCAAAGGCGAGAGCGTTGCGCGTCTTGGACCATGCAATGAGCGGAGGCAATGCGATCGTGGTTTCAATGAGATTGGTGGAAGCGGCTGGGCTGAAGACTGTGTTCGGGATGCTTATGAAAAGCCAAAAAATGGAGAGGAGCCTGGTGGAACATCTAATCGGCATACTGGCCAGCTTGCTAAGATATCTTCCCGGAGGATCTGCAGCGAGGATACGTACGCTGGCCAAGTTTGTCGAAAACGACTACGAGAAGATCTTGCGACTGGTGGAACTACGGCGAGAGTACAAGACGCGTCTCAGCAGAGTTGAGGCCTCTATAAGAAGAGAGAGGGAACAAATAAGCGACGCCGAGGCTGAAGCGTTAGCTGATGGGTGGCTCTCCCGCCGCCTCGATGCGGGACTGTTTTCACTGCAGGCTATCGAGCTAATTCTTAGCTGGATGGTGGCTGAAGACAACGGCGCGCGGCAAACGATAGCCGTGCTGCTTGGTGAGGATGGACTGAAGATACTGGAGCGGAGCCTCAGAGATCAAATCGAGGGTATGGACCACAGTCAAAGTGATGAAGCTAAGGCTACTGAAGAGATGCTGGAAGCGTTGCTCCTGTGCGTCGAGCAGTAAAAATAGCAAGCAGCCTGGATAGCAAAGTGATCAAGTAGCATTGATCATAAAGTACCAACAATCGAAGATACCCATTGTTGTGATGCCGCAATTGCCCACCCCTTTCTCAAACATTCCTACCATTGCACTGCGCACGTACGTTGTAGGTACTCCTTAACTGGGACGGCGGTCCAAGCCTTCCACGTGATCTGGCGAGGCAATTCTGTCACGTGATAGGTCCCTGCCAAGGCTGCGCCTCTTTGAAGTCGCCTCTGCGTCTTTGTTGCCCTCGAAAAGTTGCAGGAATCCAGTTGCGCTCAAGTTAACATCAACCCTCCTCTCGTCTTGGTTGATTCCTGTCGGGTGTGAGGTTTTGGTGACTTGCGACTGTTTCTCGGCTGTCTCTGGCACTGTGGGTTCTACGTGCAGGCATCCTGAAGTCTTGACTGACAGTTCAGTGCCTTCAAACTAACCGCGCCTTGAGACGATCCCAAGCGCGAGGCCAACGAGTTCCTTCCTCTTCTCCAGCCTCGAGCCTTGAAGCCTGACCGCACGCTTCCAGTCCTCGGGCCTGTGCCGGGCGAGATGGCGGACTTTGGAGATGCTAAATACGAACCAAACGGATACTATGGGGGAGATGGCACCTACGAAAATGGCGACGTGGTCGATGCAGTCGACACGGACATCACATCTGAAGACTGCTGGAAAGTCATCAGTTCTTTCTTCGACATCAAAAAGCTGGCCTCTATGCAGATAGATTCGTTCAACCACTTTATGAGATCGGGTTTGCAGGATCTGGTAAACGAGAAGGGAGGTGTCACCTTGGACCATGCGCAAAATGTCGACGAGGACGATCCGAACCCAGTTGTCATCAAGAGGCACGAAGTCAAGTTCGGCAAGGTCACACTGTCAAAACCCAACATGGTCGAGGGCGATGGCGTTACCGCCGACTGCATGCCACATGAGGCGCGCCTGCGGAGTTTGACCTACGCAAGTCCGGCCTTCGTGAAGATGACAAGGAGGACGTACTATGCTAAGGAAAAGCCGTGGGACGATGCAGGAGTCGATGAGGGAGTCATGAGAGAAGACGGCTCACAGCTCTACTGGCGAGAGGGCACAGAGGAAGGCGATTTTGATTCCGAGAAAGAGGTCTACATTGGCAAGATTCCCATCATGGTCAGAAGCATGACATGCCACCTTATGAGCGACCGGTTCCAGGATGAGAGGGATTTATATGCTTGGGGAGAGTGTCCTTATGACCAGGGCGGTTATTTTATCATCAACGGCAGCGAGAAGGTGCTTATCGCCCAGGAACGAAGTGCAGGCAATATCGTGCAGGTTTTCCAAAAGGCGGCGCCTGCACCTTTCACACATCTTGCTGAGATCAGATCGGTCATCGATCGGGGCGCACGGATGATGTCTCAGTGCACAGTGAAGCTCTTCCGACGGGTGGATGGTCCCGAGGGTACAAAGATCGACAACCCGATCCGAGTCCAGCTTCCTTATGTCAAGCAGGACATTCCGCTTGTCATCGTCTTCCGGGCGTTGGACATCGTATCTGATGCTGATATCCTGGAGAAGATCTGCTTCGATCAAAGTGACAAAGAGATGATGGATATGTTGATGGGCTCCCTCCAAGAAGGTCAGCCTATCCAAGGTGCTGATTTGGCGCGAGACTTCATTGCTCGTCGAGGCAATGTCCCGACGCTGAAAAGCCACGAGAGACAGAAGCATGCCACGGATATCCTGCAGAAAGAATTTTTGCCGCACATTGGACAAGGCCCGGATGCTACTGCTCGAAAGGCTTTCTTCCTCGGGTACATGGTTCATCGCCTCTTGAAATGTGCCCTTGGACGAGCAGAACCAGATGATCGTGACCACCTTGGAAAGAAGCGACTGGATTTGGCTGGTCCCTTGATGACCAATCTGTTCCGCTTGCAATTCGACAAAGCCGCGAAAGACTTCTATCGGTACATGCAGAAGCGGGTAGAGGCAGGTCAACCCATCAACATCATGGCAGGCTTTAAACATCCCATCATAACAAGCGGGTTAAAGTATTCTCTAGCCACTGGCAACTGGGGCGACCAGAAGAAACTCGACAAAGCCAAAGCTGGTGTCTCTCAAGTGCTGAGTCGGTATACCTTCTCCTCCACTCTGTCCCATCTTCGAAGAACCAATGCACCCATCGGCCGAGAAGGCAAAATCGCCAAACCACGTCAATTGCACAACACTCACTGGGGATATGTCTGTCCAGCTGAAACGCCCGAAGGTCAGGCTTGCGGTCTGGTCAAGAATCTTTCACTCATGTCCATGGTCACAAACTCCTATGAGACTGCACCTCTTGTGAATTATGTCCTGACAAAGAACGTTGAGGCGCTTGAGGATTGGGAACCTCGTCTCAATCCAAAAGCTACCAAGGTCTTCGTTGATGGCGTCTGGTTTGCTGTGATACTGCGGGATCCGAAACGACTGGTCGATGATCTCCGCATGCTTCGAAGAAGGGGCGTCTTCGACTCTCAAGTAAGTCTGGTCTGGGACATTCGGGAGAAGGAGTTCAAGATTTCCGGGGACTCGGGCCGGATCGTTCGTCCTCTTTTCGTCGTCGAAACCGACCGCTCTTCAGAAAACCATGGTAATCTGGTACTCAACAAAGAGCACATCAGAAAGCTGGATGAGACGACATACTTGAAAGAAAATGACTTTCAAGACTGGAACGAGCAGGTTAAACCGTTTGGATGGACTGAACTCCTTGCGTCGGGAGTTGTCGAATACTTAGATGCCGAGGAAGAAGAAACCGCCATGATCTGCATGACCCCTGAAGCGTTGTCCGACTCGAGAGCCAAACACTTCGGATTGGAGATTGAAAACGACGATGACCCTCTGAGCAGAAATGATCCGCTACTCAATCCTCACGCGCACACATTCACTCACTGCGAGATCCACCCAAGCATGATCTTGGGCGTCTGCGCGAGCATCATCCCGTTCCCCGACCACAATCAATCGCCCCGAAACACATACCAATCTGCCATGGGTAAGCAGGCCATGGGTGTGTTTTTGACGAACTTTGACCAGCGCATGGAGACCATGTCCAACATTCTCTACTACCCGCAGAAACCTCTTGCTCGCACAATGGCCATGGACTACCTCAAATTCCGCGAGCTTCCAGCCGGGCAAAATGCCATTGTTGCCATTGCAACCTACTCAGGCTACAACCAGGAAGATTCCGTCATTATGAACCAGAGCTCCATCGACCGAGGGCTGTTCCGGTCGCTGTTCTACCGAACCTACCAAGATTCAGAGAAGAGTGTCGGACATTCCGTGGTGGAACAATTCGAGAAACCGACCAGAGCTGATACACTACGACTCAAACATGGCACATACGACAAGATTGACGAGGACGGCATCGTTGCTCCAGGCGTTCGCGTCAGTGGCGAGGATATCATCATGGGCAAGACAGCACCGATGGCTCCAGACGCGGAAGAGTTGGGCCAGCGACTCAAACAGCACATCAAGCGTGATGTCTCTACACCGTTGCGGTCCACCGAGTCTGGCATTGTCGACCAGGTGATGCTGACCACCACGGCGGAAGGGCATCGTTTCGCGAAAGTGCGCGTCCGAACCACCAAGGTCCCCCAGATCGGCGACAAATTTGCCTCTCGGCACGGTCAAAAGGGTACAATCGGCATTACGTATCGGCACGAAGACATGCCATTCACAAGAGAAGGCATCGTGCCTGACCTGATCATCAACCCGCATGCCATTCCCTCCCGAATGACCATTGCCCACTTGATCGAATGCCAACTGTCCAAAGTGGCCACGCTACGTGGAGACGAAGGCGACGCCACACCCTTCACGAAAGTGACGGTGACGCAGATTTCGGAGCTGTTGCGGAATATGGGCTACCAGTCTCGCGGCTTCGAAGTCATGTACAACGGGCACACTGGTCGCAAGCTGGTGGCCCAGGTCTTCCTGGGACCGACGTACTACCAGCGGTTGCGACACATGGTCGATGACAAGATCCACTCGCGTGCCCGTGGGCCCACGCAGATCCTCACCCGTCAACCGGTGGAAGGTCGAGCGCGTGACGGTGGTCTGCGGTTCGGAGAAATGGAGCGCGACTGCATGATCGCCCATGGCGCCAGCTCGTTCCTCAAGGAGCGTCTTTTCGACGTGTCGGACCCCTTCCGCGTCCACGTCTGCGACATCTGTGGTCTCATGACGGTGATTGCAAAGCTCAAGAAGAATACCTTTGAGTGCAAGAACTGCAACAACAAGAACAAGATCTCTCAGATCTACTTGCCGTATGCCGCCAAGCTGCTGTTCCAGGAGCTTTGGGCCATGAACATCGCTGCTCGGTTGTATACCAAGAGAAGTTAAAGGAAGTTAATTACCTAGGAGTGACTTGACTTCTTGCCGTATCTACAATCTGTCTGCAAAAGACTGGCAAGTGGGCGAGATTGCGATGACTGGTCGATGGACGGAATCGGTTTTCCCTGCCCCCCTTTCCTCCAGGTTCTTTGCATCTCAGATGGTCAGTCGTACTACTCTTTCAACTGCTACACTGGCAACTTGGCTGGTTGGGTGGTTGGCGGTGGTGGTGATGGAGGTGTTGGCGCCAGCGAGGAAGAAGTAGAGGCCAAAGAAGAATCAAACAGATATCAATGGTTGATGGATACACGCATGCTGCAGCTGGCTCGGAGGAAGACCATTCGAGCACGTGCTGTAGATCCAGAGACCACGCACGCACGCACGCCGAACTTACAGTACGTTGCTTGGGAGGATGGCGTTCTCTCCCTTTTTTTCTCTCTTGCGTCTGCTTGTATTGTAAGCTTAGCTTTACGTTAGTACTGTACTTGTATCCAAAATTGAGCGCGTCGCGTTGCGTTTTGGCTTTGGTTATGCAATGCAATGCTATGCAATGTAAAATAAAATGATTAAATCCCCAACTACGTACCAGATTAGGTCTTTCATTACTAGGCGTACAATTACAGTAATTCAAAAGTAGGACGGTAAGGTATCACAGCAACGGCGTGACATTCGATGGTGGTCGTGGCTACATAATTAGCTAAGCTAAGCTACAGTACTTTGAGTAGAAGTAGTAAAGTCGTCAATCTGGGTTTGAGGCTGGGTAGGAAAAGTCACCAATGTGGGTTTGAGGCTGGATAGGAAGCATTCCGCAGACTGCACAATTCGTTCGGACATTTCTCAGTCGTGAGTAGTCGTAGTATGAGTAGGCTCGTGGCCGTGTTCACGAGCAATCTCGTCCGGCTCAGGCAGAGGTTTCAGCTGGTCAATGACGCGGTGGAGAAAGCCACCCTGGTGGTGTTCGCCGTGTTGTTGATGAGCCTGCTGCTCGACTTCCTGGAGATGGCGCGACGCTTCTGGGTCATGCTTGGGGTCGTAGGGGAGGCCTGTTGTTGTGGTGGTGCCAGTGGTGTTGCCATAGTCTCGCGCTGTGGTGTCATGGCCAGCTGAACCTGGGACTGTAGCAGCAGCGGCTGTGTCGGCAGCGGTAGGGCCTGTGTCGTAACCAGTACCAGAATGAGTACCGGCAGGGTACGTTCCTGTGGACGATGACACGGGTTCATTCACGCCGGTTGCTGTTCTTCCTGTTGTCCCAGAGGCTTGATGTGCCTGGCGCTCGGATGCGAGGTTATCTGCGATCGGGGTATCGGTCGAAACAAGAGGGATGGTCTCATCCTTGTGGAGGGGGTTGTAGGAAGGCTTCTGAGGAAGGATACCCTCCCCAGCGGCGCCCTCGTCGCGGTGGTGCTCATGAGCTGCAGCTGCAGCGGTAGCAGCACCTACACCGGCACCAGCGCCTACGGCTGCTCCTGTTCGCCCAGAGTGGCTGGAGTGACGCGGCTCTTCCTCTTCGTCAGTGCTGTACTCCTCTTCGAGACCGGTGTCCTTGTTCTTGCGGCGCTTGAAGATCCGTTTCAAGATGCCGGGCTTCTTCTCCTGAGGCGGGTCCTTGTGAAGACGGTTGCGGTCGGTTTCTCGTGAGCTTCTCGGAGTTGTTTCTCCAGGTTGCTGCTCTTTGTCATGAGCCGCATAGGCAGCGGTGCCAGCGGCAGCGCCTGTTCCAATTGCGGCGGCGCCGGCCGCCTCTTTTTCACGTCGCTTCCTCTCGGCTTCGGCAGCCTCAAAGCGTTCTCGTTCTTCACGTTCGTACTGCTGTCGACGCTCTTTCTCGGCCAATGCGGCGGCGGCGGCGGCCTTCTCCTTTTCTTTCTGTTCCTTCTCAAGCTCTTTCTCCTGCTTCTTTTCTTCCTTGGCTAGCTCCTTCTGATGCTTCCTCTCTTCCTTTTCCTCCTTAGCCAGATCCTTTTCGTGTTGTTTCTGTTCCTTCTCTACCGCCTTCTCGTGTTTCTTCTCAGCTTTCTCCTCCTTAGCGGCTCGCTTTTCGGCGGCTTTTTGATCCTTTTCGAATTGTCTTCGACGAGCTTCCTCCTGCTCAGCAATGTCTTGTTGCCGCTTGGCCTCCGCCGCCCTAGCGGCTTCCTGCTCAGCTTGATGCTCGTTGTATTCGTGCGCGCCGTAGGCCGCAGCTCCAGCTCCGGCAGCTCCGGCAAGGGCTGCATCCCGACCAGTGTGTCTGTCTTCCTTTTCTGGCTTGAGAACTTGCTCGGTCTTGGTGCTTTTCTCGGAGCTTTGGACAGCCCCAGGCGTCGGTTTAGTCGTAGTGGAGTCCCTTGCCGGCTCATTATAGGACGTTGTAGCAGGCACCGGCCCACCCCGATCAGTACCCTCGTTGGATCTCCTGGGGTCTTGATGAGTAGCGGCAGCAGCAACAGGCACTTGCTGTGCAGTTCGATCTCCCGCCGATGGCACGGGTTCAGGAACAGCAGCCGGTTCAGTGGCCACCATGGGTTGGTCTTCGACGGTAGTCTGTGACGTTGGATACGCTTTGCCTCCTGACAAGTCACCGGTTTCGGGCTCGTCCTTGTGTTGCAGGGCATAGGCTCCTGCTGCACCAACGCCGGCACCAACTCCCGCAGCGGCGGCAGTCCTGCCATATCCCCGAGAGTCATCCGTGTGTTCTGCGGTAATGGGTTGGCGCAAATCAGTTGGTGTTTGGGAGAACCCGCTTCTGGCCGCGGGGTTCTCATCAATGTCCCGGCTCAGACCTTGGGCGTGTTGGCTGGATGCGAAGGGGACATCTGAGCTCGCAGTAGACTGACTGGCAGCCGGTGCATTGCGATAGGGTAGTGCACCTGCGGACTGTCTTCCACTGTCCTGATAATCGTGGATGGCAGCAGCGGCAGTGCCCGCACCGACACCAAGACCTGCAGTGGTGGCAGCCGCACCGTAACCGGTCGAGTCTTTTTGAGGGTCGGTAGATGCGTATGGCTGAGGGGAAATGTTGGAGGGATGTTTGTACGCTTCGTAGCCCGATGTATCCTCCTGAATAGGCCGGCTCAGGCTTGAGGTGGGCTGAGCTGGTTGGGATGGGGTGTCAGAGGTAGTCAAAGAATAGAAGGTAGCCGATCCACTAGGTTGGGATCTGCCGTACTCCTCATGTTGAGATCTGCCGTGTTCCTCAGGTTGAGATCTGCCATGTTCGTATTCATGTGCTGCGACACCGCCGGCAGCTAAACCAATGCCTGCGCCAGCGGCGGCGAGGCCTCCTCTATGGCCACCATGGTCCTGTCGGTCTTCTTCGTCCGCAGCTACAGCAGTGCCACCGACAGGCGGGTTGATAGGAGCCGGAGAATCTTGACCTTGGGGATAGGCCGTGGTTGGAATGCTTTCCTTGCGATAGTGTGAAGGGGTTGGCCCGGAAGGTGTGCGACCAGTGGAAGCAGCTGCCCCTGTAGCCGCGCCTGGTCGTTCGGACACACCGCTAGAGTGCAATGGGGTAGTGTAAGTATCAACCCCAGTCGTGGTGGTAGGCTGGTTCCAATCATTACCGGAGCGTGTGGGCGCGTTGTAGGAGTCCACGCCGGTAGTAGTAGCCGGCTTGTCTGCAACGTCGCCGGAGCGCGTAGGAGCAGTGTAGGAATCCACGCCTGTGGTCGTCGTCGGCTGCTCTGGGTAATCACTTACAGAGCGGGACTCTTTCTCTTCCCCAGTCCCAGGAAGGGCAGAAGAGATGGCGGCAGCAGTTCCTCCAAGACCCACTGCGCCCAAGATCCGGTCAAATGTGCCAGATGACTCCGGCTGGCTTGACGCATTATCAGCAGATGTACTGGTTGGTATCGTAGATGTAGTAGCTCGATCTGGTACCTTGGTCCCCTCGGCTTGGCCATAACCCGTGTCTCTGGTTGAGGGCGAGGCCGTGGTGGTCAAGGTTGAGGGTGCTGGTACGCTAGTATCCTGCGCCGATGGGCCAGCAGAGATACCAGATCCGTAGGGACGTGATCCTGTGTCTGTCGCTCGAGTGCTGCCGGTTGCAGTTGCCCCGGCGGTCTCCTCTATGGGTGTAGGATGCTCATCTGTGGGAAATGCTCCGGGTATATGAGAGACTGGCTGATGTCAGAGCAGGCTTTCTCCATATTGATAACAGGACTCGTGGCTTACCAGTCTGTTCGATGTCCTTGTCTTTGACGGTATCTTTAGTCTGATCCCTCTCATTAGCCTTGTTGAATGCTCGCGAGGCTGCCGTCTCAGCTGCCCCCGGCGGAACCCCAGCAACGGGTTGATAAGACGAGTGCTCGGGCATCTTGAACGTAGTAGGATCGCTTGAGGTCGGGTCAATGACACTGGGAACCGGATCACCCTTGGGAAGGACTCTTTTCTTGATTGTCAATGTCTCGCCAATTGCTGCAACCCCAAGTCCTTCACTCGATGTGTTCTCCGCTGCCTTCTCCTGGTCGGACGGGTTTATGCCTGTGCCTTCTAGCGTGTCAGCAGACCCCAGACATGGTTCTTGCAGCCACAGGCTGCTCCTGCAGATACATACCTGGGATAGTGCTTTCCGTATCTTGGTTCGCGGATCTGCCAGTGGTCCCAGTAGATGCAGATGATTCAAGATCGTGTCTGTCGTTGTTTGGGTCGTTAATAAGCCGGTGTGCAAGGAAATGCGTTTGGGGATGCAGAGGATCTTACCGGATTTCCTTCGACTCGTCCATTCATACAACCTGGAAGATACTGTGGCTGCGTCGATATCATGTGCCGAAATGAAGAAGCTCTCTTACTCTGAGACGACTACAATTGTTCAAGAAAAACAGATAGATTCTACAAGCACTCCGCAACTTGGCTCCTACATGGCGGTGATGCTGGGCTTGATTGTGACACTCGTGCTTGTTTGCAGTTGCGTCATCATACCCTGTTCAACGGTGTGACAGCAGCAAAAACCAAGGAAAGTGATTGACACAAGCTGCAGGTCTGCCAGCCACAAATACAGAAGGGCGACTTTCTATTGGGTCGAATATCAGATATCCCACTCCTGGTGCAACTCCCGCACTGATTGTGAGCTTCCCTACCAAGATGAAGTCATCAGGATGGTTTGGAGATGGCCTCACTGTGGCTGGGAATGGGCAAATCTGCATTCAGATCTGTTGTTGCTGCTGGAGTTGATGGTGCCAGTGGAGGTGGTGATGATGGTGGGGTTGATGGAGGTTGCAGTGCCAGTGGGTAGACGTGTTATTGCATCACCTGCAACGACGCGCCGCAGTGGGTCATGACGAGGCGTCTGAGCGCGTCACGTGACTCACAGGGCACGTGAATGTAATCACGTGGTACTGCTGTGGTCATCACGTGCTATCAGATGCCATCCTTTTCCCTCTCGCCACGTAAGCTGCGCTTTCGCCCGAGTGTTGGCCGCCAGCGGGTTAAGCTGAGCTCGCAGCATACCAGACACGGAGCATACAGGAAACAGTCCACCATCAGACCCTCTGATGACACCATGCTAACGTTCCCAGGCCCGTGCAACGAGAGGTTGATCGCGCCCGAGATTTGAAGCCATTCATACAGTATCTGTGGCAGACAAAGCATGGCGACTCGCCTTGCCTTGAGCATACTTTATCCAAGCGAAATATTGCATCGAGCCAGATAGAAGCCTGGAACTGCAAAAGAGCGAGCCGTCAGATCCAGCAGTGACTGCTGCTGATGCAAGGAACCATATGTTCTGTCCAACCAAGTCCCTAGACTGCCGGAACGAACCCAGCGCTAGGCTTTTCTAGAAGGTGACAATCTCTGGGTCAAGCACGAGAAGGCGTCTTGGGTCCGGTGGGCGTGCATCGTGCATCCAGTTGCTGATCTCGACGGGTTACAAGATCGCGGCAGTACTACGCGAGGGATCGCTACCACCATAAATGCACCATAAACTGGTCCGCCTCAATCTTCGCTGGTGGCCTTCCAACTGGTAAAGAGCTTTTGTTGTTGCAGGTTACATTGCATGGGAAGCAAATCCAGCAACAGCGCAACCTTCAGGCCAGAACACCCGGGGGACCGAGCGCTTTCGCCCACTCCGACCATAACTTAACCACAACTAGTGAGGTAGGATTGGGATTCAAGCGCCCCCAGAAGTGCTCACATCTCCGCCAATAAGCATGATGGGGATCCCCCATGCGGACCCAGCAAGCCACAGGAGATCGATAGGTACTGGTCAGGGAGCCTATCGGAGCCACCTTTCAAACGGAATCGTCGGATTGACGAGACCCTGTCCCTGCTTGTTCGTGCTTAGGCAACTCGCCTCCCTTTGGTCTACACACACTCAACCATTTATGCTCAATTAAATGCTATCAAAACATACGACGATAATGGTTGTAGAGTGGATACTACAATCCACACACTGAATCATGCTCGGACATCCAAAGGTCCTCCGGGGCAACTTTATGCCTGTTTTATGGCCAGGTTTGTCTTCACACTCCTCTAGCCCCCACAGCGCCGGGGGTGTCCACTGTCTCGTCACTTCCCGGCACGTTTTATTGAGTCGAGCCCGATAACATCTCGGAGGCGGAGACATCTCACCTGATAGACGAACTCTCTCTCCTAGTAGCAGCGGATCACTTCAACCACTCTATTCTTCTTCTGTCTTTCATCCTTCTTCCCGTCTATCAACACAACGAAACAACACAGTCGATGTTATCACCATAACATTATAGCCACCTCCCGCTTTCAAAGACACATTTCGAACCTACAAGGGGCATGCTGCTCCTCTGAACCAGACACCTCTATATACCGATATTTCGCCGATACAGCCGTCATGGGCTTACGAGCACGACTACGAAAGAGGTTCTCCTCGTCCTCGAAGATGAGCAGCACACCGGATCCTATTCTACCGAACGAACCCCATTATACCGCCCGAACCGACATAGAATACTATAAACCGCACGAGATTCCTCGATCCAAATACAGAGGCAAGGTTGATCCGGAACATCAAGCCAGCCTAGCCGCTTTCTCTCTCGCCGATGCCTTCTCCGCGCCGGCTCGACGGAACTCTATGGCCTTGTCTGGCACGTTTTCGCCAGGTGGCACCAAGGCGCAGAGTCTGGCGGCTAGCAGGATACAGAGTAGAGCCCAGAGCAGAGTACAGAGCAGAGTGCCCAGCAGAAGACAGTCATTCGAAGAAACAATTCCCACGAGGACAGAAGAGGAACGCAGCAGCACCGACAGCTCAAGTCGGGAAAAGAGTATTACTGCCAGTACGGTATTGGACCGTGATACCCCTAGCAGTACGTGGCAACTTGTGTTCATTTAACTGGCCAACCGCTAACTGGACTTCCACAGCGTCCCTTTCCGAGCGAACAACCCCAATTCCCTCTGCACCAGTTGAACCGGCCATGAAGCTCGCAATGCATGACAGTGGAATTGATATTCCGGATATTGTACTTACAAAGCAAACCACGGCTCACGACACTCCCTTCACGGTCGAAGAGCTCGAGCAGGCCATGACACGGGCTTCCCTGGGACCGAGACGATTTGCCGTCAGCGGCGCTATCTAAGCGGTTCGACCCTGTGAAGCGAGCAGACGCCAAGTTGCAGGAGATGTTAAAACATTAAAACAGCATGACATGATGATTTTGGGGATTACGGCGTTCCGTCATTAGATTTGACGTGGAGACTTGGAAATGGAAAGACGTGGTTATGATGAGAAGGGCGTTCGGGTCAATATTGGTGTTTTGAAAACACGAGACAGGGATCGGGGGTTAGGAGGGTCAGCATTTCGATTAAAGCTGTACCGAAACCTCTGGTGGAATGTTTGCAAAACACTGTTTCACTATGAATTGGTTGCAGCTGGTCATGAATCGCGTGTTAGCCAATTTCAAAGCTGGCGAGCAACCAAGGACTGGAGCCTGGAACTGGTCAGCATTGCCCATTATGTGGCTTTGTGAGGCTAAAGATTATTCTTCAACAATCCATGCTCGGTTGAATTGAACGAGTTCCCAGACTGATATATTTCCTCTTGCGGTGACAAACGTACGATGCGTCTGCAAGTATCCTTGATCGCCACGTCCTCTAGGCCGTTTACCGCCTTGCTATCCTCCTAATTTGGCCATAATTTGACCTGGACAGAATACAGGGGATCTTCTTGCGTCGTCTTAATGTGTATTCAGGTGCCGGACCATACCCTGCACAATGCATGCACCTAAGACGAGTGAGCGCAGACCTGTAGAGGTAGAATTTGACCAACCCAACAGACGTGAAGACGGTGTCGAGGTTGGTAGGTCTGGTGGCTCGTAGAGACGATCTTGTGGAGGCAATGATTGCTAGAGGCGCGATATTGTCCTCAGGCATATGATGATCGCCTAGTTGAGGCCATACTTGCGTAGTGTCCTTTGAGCCTCCTCCGCGTCCGCCACGCGCCATGGAGAATCGGCGCAGTAGGCCATCCTGTTCGATTTGCAGCGACCACGGAGAATCGTCCTAAGCCTCCATGGACAGCAGGGTGTGAAAGAGTGATGTTGCTTGTAGTTGATCCGTGGGTCGTATGATGTGTACGATGTACTAGGAGAGGCTACCGATCTGTAAAGCCAAATGGAGCTCAAGGGTCGATAATTCAATCGTCGGTGTGTGTGACAGCCATATCAAGAACCTCAAGTCTCCCTCTCCCTTTTGTTTCTGCCGAACAGAACTCTCCCAAAGCCTTAAAGGCGCCAGGCTCGACAAAGCCAACAACCTCCCACTCGTCCCCTTGGACGTCCTGGCTTTCGACCTGTTCGACAAACGATAAGATCCTATCTTTGACCGTGCCTTTGCCCTGCTCCCCCTCGGCGCCGCCATCGTCCGTACTGGCCGCCTTCGACTTGGGTGCCTGCTTCGCGATACTTGTTGGACATGTGATCCGTAGTCTCATTCTCGCTCGCATGACCGGGATGGGCTGCCATGCTATCAATGCGCGTATGGCTTCAAGCGCTTGCTGCTTGACCGATTTGGTCGTCACCACACCCGTCCACATGGGCATGTCGCTCTTTTTGCCTTTGGCATTTCCTCCGGTCGACTCATCCTCCTCGGTCACAGGCGTCTCCTGGCCACTTGCATCGCGGGATCTTGCTGCACTTCCTGAGCCTTTCTTGCCACCCTCTTCGATGTTCAATTTCCCCAGTTTATGACCCAGAGAATCCTGCGGCGGTGCATGCCCGCCCTGTTTGGAGAGCACATCCAAGCCCTTCTTGATCATGCCGGGAGTGTATACTCTTTTCGTCTGCGGGTCAACTACCCGTTGCGCAACTTCTTCCACAATCTCTCTTTCCATCCGGTCGAGCAACTCTTTCCTCTCATTTGCATTCACCTGGATCTCGCCCTTTTTCAAAATCTCTTCAATGATACTGTCCTTCCAGGACTTTTCGACATTCGTCTCATCACTCGCCGCCTTTCCTTTGCCCTTCTTGCCCCCTTTGCCACCGGATTTGCCTCCGTGCGACGATTCTTCGGATTGCGTGGGCATCGGCCATGCTTTCAACAATTCGGAATTCGGGGCAGTCTCGCCCTTTGATGCGTTGAGGAAAATCGTGGGGACTTGTAAGACATTGTCGAGGTCCGTCTCTGTGCCCTCTCGGTATTCTAGGAGCTTGTTTTTGTAACAGGCTAATTCGAACCGCTTTTTGCCCTTCTTGTATCTTACCAGCGAGACATTGGTCAACTTAATCTGGTTGGCGGGCTGCTGAATCATAGGCATTTTGAAGGTGTCGGAGTGGTTGCGCTAAATGGACGGATAGGCAATACACATGCTCGAGTTAAAGCAGAGACGAACGACAGGTTGCCCAAGTCTCCATAGGTCACACGATAAGTGAGACGGTGAATATCCAAGGTGCAACGTTGGTCATACTACTTCACCATACCAGTAGGTGAGTAATAAATAAATACATCACCGATCAAACCTGCGGTGGAGGCTTGAGGCGTGGAGAAAGATTTGAGCGCGCCGCAGTCTCTCCAATACCCGAAATCTATTACTTCGTCACCACCATCTGTCAATCTCTACATAGTACAACTTGCATATTGCACCAGGTATCACCGTCTGTTGCGTTTTCGACGGTCGAGACTACGGGCCCTAGCATGCAGGTGTCTCGGAACAATACCAGGTTGACTATAACCAGACATCTGCGATACAATAGCCAGGAGTGTCCCTCCTCCCTTCGACGCCATGTCGCCTCTTATTCGCAAGAGAGATTGTCTTATAACATTGTATTGCAACCAACCGTCTCTATCACACAGCGAAGCAATCCGGTAACGACACACACAGCAAGATTCAGCACTCAATCTAGACATGGCGCTCTGGACGAGTCCTCACAACCGCCTCAATCCCTCGAGTCCGCCGTTCTCTCCTCGTTGTCTAGTGCACAACACCGACCAGAAAAGACCCTCCCAGGACAGTCCGCCGTGCGAGATCATTTGAGAGCATGGAGTATTCAGAATGAGAAAAACAAAGCGGAGAGAGCCGCGGCAAACTTTGATGGTCCGCGCAGGTTGACTGCGTTGCCCAATTCCCTCTTCATCGAAGAGTCCCGCTTGACCGACGAAGCAACGGAAGAAGATGCTGAACTTGAGGAGTTCGAAGACTCGTTGGAAGGCCGCCAGTCGGTCAATCTGTATCCGGGAGACTTGATCTACCACCGTCCGCGTGGTGTCAAGTCCGGAGAGCAGTTGGCGATCTACATGGGCGAGGCAGGCGTACAGAATCAATTCTTTCTAGCCGATGGCCGATGGCTGGCGGAAACTACTAGGCGCACGACCAGCCCCATTGTCAGGGGATTCGCCACAGTGGAAGAGATGCGGCCCATTCAGAAACATCTGCCGGTGAAGCCTCTCGAAAGACAAGCTCGCGAAATGGAGATTGCATCAAGCTTCAGCTTTGCCGGGGATGTCCCTCATCGTGACTCTGCACGCTTGGTGCGCCGTCTGCGCGAATTCGAGGAGGAAATGCTGGCCTTTCGGCGGGATAATCTCCGCTCCCTCGACTATGTTCACGAACGCTTGTCGCATGAAGAGTACTACACTTGTCTCACCTTCGAGGAAGTTGTTCAGAAGCTGCTCAATGTCAAGTATACCGATTTGTCACCAGCGGCCAGGATGATCATCTTTTTGACGTTGAGAAACAGCGCGACGTCGATCCAGCTGGTGCCCACCAAAGTGAGGGAAGCCCCAATGTTTGTCTTCACGCCAAAAAAGCTGGTCAAGCGCTTCGAGGATGTGTGCGAGTGGGCGCGAGACTATCAGGAGTCTGCCGCTCTGGCAGCCCAGGGGAAGGACGTGACAAGAGCCCTCGAGCGCAACCCTTTGAGTTCTTTCATTGAGAAGGCACGGCGCTTGATTCTGAAAAGCCGTGCTCTGAGGTCTCCAACAACAACTGGCAGCTTGGGCCCGAGCTCAATCCAGCTGATTGAAAACGGCAAGATCGTCACCAAGGACACTGGCGAAAGGTTTTCCGAGACCGATAAGATGCTGCTGGAGTTTCTGTGGGATTGCTACATCCGCACTCCGCTCCCCGAATTTCGGACTCGGTATCATTCCATCGGTTCCCTTATTCTTCGGGCAGTTGGGGCATATCCGAAACTTCGCCTTGAGCGCAAGATCGGAAGTCTATTACTACAAGAGCTAGGGGTACTCCCTCCTTGGTCGGATCCTATGGACCACGACGTATCCATACAGGTTCCTGGGAGGAAGGGTGCACATGAGGTCGATCGGCTCTTTGCAGAGTCAGACAGGGTCTCTAAAGAGTTGGGACTGGAAGAGAACTGGGATCATACTCTGCTTGAAGATTCCATGGCTTCCTTGCGAGAAGATTTTGATCTCCCCGTATTCTGCGTGGATGAAGAGACCACCCTGATCAGGGATGACGGCTATTCCCTGGAGCAGAACCAGGCCATTCCAGGCACATATTGGATTCACTCGCATGTTGCGCATCCATCTGCCTTTATTACACCCGATCATATCTTTGCGAAGAGGGCACGCAGCATTGGTCAAACGTTGTATCATGAAGAGGTCCAACCCATGTTTCCCTGGGGGTTCTCGCATGCTGTCAGTCTCAAGGATAATTCTCCCGCGTTGACCATCAGCACCCTCATTTCCGAGGATGGCGAGGTCAAAGACATCAAGATTCGACCTACCATTCTCCGGAATGTCATCCCCCTATTACCGACGACCGTGGATAATCTACTGGGCAAATCTGTCAACGAACAAGCGTACATGGTCCTCGGCCCGCAAGCAGAGGATGCCCTGCCTTCCGACCGCAACGGAACGAGCCAGAACTTCGAGCATGCCCGAGAGCTTAAACCAACTATCCAGAAGCTCCACGAGCTGATGTTAGCCCGAAGTGAGGCGCGTCGAAGGGCAGTGCCTGAATACGCGAATTGGCTGATCACTCAGAACGAGACTGATGTCAAAACTTCGTTCGTTGAAGAATACTACCCAGAGCGCCTCTACCGCAGCTACCATTACCAAGGCGATCCGCTCATCAAGTGCGTTGCGCCTCGTGTGGTCGAGCCAATCCGACTCGGAGAGTGGGAGCATTCAGCAAACTTGACCACACTGGTAATGACGCTGGCGGCCGAATCAGCGGCAAAATGGTTTGCGGACCGGGGCATTCCCGCCTTTTTCAGCGGATCTCTGACCCAGCCTGGTTTCCCTTTGTCAAAGCTCAACACCATGGATGTGCAGGAGAACAAACGGCCTGCCCTGGGAACATATTCCTCGACTCCGATTCCGCATGTGTTTTTGAATACCAGCTCGTACTTGCGTGTCACGAGCCCGATCCGACGGTTTACAGACACACTTGCACACTGGCAGGTCGATGCATACCTACGAGCGGAAGCCGAAGGGCTCGTGGAGGCTGGAGGCAATGCAAGCCATCTGAGTCTACCATACACCAAAGAAATGGTGGACGAGTACATTGAGACGGATGCTGAAAAGCTACGCTCCCTTCTCTACAAGGTCATGAGGGCCCCCAAGACACGCTGGGCCCTCCGGGCACTATTCCGAGCCTTTCACTTCAAAGAGGCGGAGCTTCCTGAAGTGTGGGATCTCAAAGTGATCACGCTTCACGATGTCACCGCTACTACTCCTGAAGACAGTGGACTGCGGGGCCAACTTCTGCCGTTCCAATTGCCCACCAAACTTTTGGAATCTCCGGAAGGATGGGAAAAGAAGGCCCACCGCGAATCGTATCTGCCTGTAAAGATCGAGCTCGTCGACCTCGATGAGATGTGGGTGTCCTGTCGTGCCGTTGGCCCTCCCAGCGACACGTATAATTTCAAGGATCGCATCAGAATCGTCCCTAGGTCCGTAGCGGCGACGATGGAGGGTGCGTCGAAGAATGCTCGAGCCAACAGCTAGAAAGCTGCAGCATCGGATCGTAAAGCTTTGGCTTTGGCTCTCGAAGGTCTCGACTTTCAGCATCTCGAATATCAATGCATATATTTGCGTCGAGGAATGCTCGAGCCAACAACCAGAAAGATGCACAACTTCAGCATCGTAAAATTCTGCCTTTCGACGGCCTCGACTTTCGCCAGACGGCTCAACATCTCAAATATCAATGCATATAGTTTACACGATAGCACCGACGATGGGGGAAGCGTCAAAGAATGCTCAACCCAACAACCAGAAAGCTGCACCTTCAAACCCGTAAAGGTTTGGCTCTCGAGGGCCTCGACTTTCGCCAGACAATTCGAATATCAGCAATGCATATAGTTTACACAATACCACACGGCAGGGGACGACGGTAGCCGTGCGCAAGGTGCAGTTCGGCGTCGCCGTCGTCACGATCTGGCTTCAAGGGGTCTGGCCAACTCAACGCTCGTATTCGCCTGTTTCAAGATTGTTGGCCCGTGTCTGAGGTTTGAACCTTCACATCTGCACGCCGAGCCAGTGGTACTACTGAGTAGTGAACTTTACTTCAGGAACATACTATCCTATCCAGCCATCCTGTGACCACAACTTGAACCCTCTAAACCACTTCCAGTGTCAGGAACTGAGCGGAGAGTATTTCCTGGCGGCAATCTGCGGTCAACATGACCTAGATATCGTCCGCCCACCCGCTAAAGGCTTGAGTGTCGCTAAGGGAGGTTGGCCTGACGTTCTGTTGGCCTGCTGGCCCATCTCAGCGCCGCCCTAGTCGGGGGGATGTCGCTTCCGGTGACAAATACTCTGCATTTTGGCCAAAGTATGTTTGCCCCAATTTGCCGCTTGGCCTTATAAGTTAGACTTTTGACATGCTTGACAGGTCAGCGGTGGATGGCCTTCAGCTGGCCATGATGCCATAACGCGTAGGCTTCAGCGGACGAAGGCGAGCAGCAGGAGGCCACTCTTCTGGAGGATTCCTTGCATTACGGGGTGATCGCCGACAAATTTACTGTAGAGAGCCAAGGTCTCTTTTCCTTGGAAAGTATCTCAGCTTCTCAAGGGTCATCCGTTGCGAGCTGGCAGAAGAAGCCGAGTGGGGAGACGATCAGCGAAATCGTGCAAACAATCAGCTCGTAGAGGATCAGCTGGCGCAACCCGCCGGTAGCGAGACCGACTCCCTACGATGTTGCGACAACGACAAATACTACAGCAGCATTATTACAGACGCAGCGAGATTAGTTCTGGGGCTGGTCATGAATCACCATGAGATTCACTTTGGGCGGCCAACCCGACGAGGCTACCCAGTCACGGAGCAGGCCGCAAAACACTCAAAGCGATGTTCATCGAGATGTTCCTCGATTAGGACTGTTGCAGATATCCACCGCTCAAAGTTACCGTGGGAGGTTTACTTTGCAGTCGAACCAGTGTACAACTCCTGTCGGCCGCAGTGGCACCAGGTACGGCTCAGCCTTCCATCTGGAGCCCAAAGACTTGTCGTGGCCTTCACTGCTAGTTGACTACTGATCACAATTGTGTAGGATGACGTTACAAGGGTAATCCCGTCGCGTTGTACGTACATTGCGAGACGTCCAGTGGTTATCCCTTGGGGATCGAACGGGATGCCCAGTCAACGGTCTGGTTCGAAACACTGATGCGCCGACGTCCAGTAATCTCCCCTAAGGTTAGCGAGTGATAAAGTGAGGCGCAATCGTTAAGCTTAGCAGGACGGTGCTACTGGCAATAGCATTCGACGCCAATCCCTGGATGCCAGGTATGGCGGAGTCGGCAACCCTGGTGATAAGCCCCGTACGATTTTACACAATCTCAAACAACACAACTTAGGTGCTGAAAGCTTTCAAAAAGTCGGACATATCGCAACCAGGAACTCTTCAGACCAATGTCCGTCAGAGAAATAGATATATATCAACCCCTTCGGTTGTACCTGGGAAGCAACTGCCGACGAACCGCGAACCAGTGCCAGTGGCTGAGGGACGAGACAAGAACTCGCCTACTCACGAAGCATGATACAGCAAACTAAAGATATTAGATCGGGCCACAGCCGAGAGAGACAGGACGAGCCATGCCGATTAAGGCACAAGGTCTTTCTCCCCTCCCACACGGACCCGGTGACAGCCTGGGGGGCTTTAACTGAAGGCCTCTGCGTCGAAAGGACACACAGACATGTTTGAATTAAGGGTTCAGGCTAGGATCGCGCCTTTCGGTCCTCGCAACGGGTGAACGCTTTGTTGCTCCTCGAGCCCGTTTTTCACTCTCTTTTAAACTAATTTGCAACCTCATCTCAAATGTCCAAGGAGTGCCAGGACCTTGCTTGCAGGCTTGATCAGACCCTCACCTGCAAATGCAAGCCACAGACAACCGGCTCCCTGTCAGTTTCGCGGGACTCATCCTCCGGTTCAATAATGCGCACTTGGCCCCTCCGTAAACCCCTGGAGGCAGCTGACTGTGCGCGACTGGCTGCAGCAGAGCGTCCAATCGAGCCCCATGACCAGGGGCATTGCGGCGGTGAAGGATCATTGCTTTATACCCTGGTCTCATAGATCGCCCTAGAGCCCATAGTCCTGGCACCAACAACCAGATCTGGTCTTACGATCTCTCGTCTATCATCCCTGTCATTGACCTCTGCCGGGCAGGGGCCGGGACTCTCACCAGCAATTTCATATCCCGATGCCCAGCCATCCTAGCGATCAAACTTGTTTGCAGAGGATCGTTCACAGGCCCTGGTAGATCTCGGCCATTCGGCTCAAGCGATCGCATACTGTTTGCTGCCTTGCGCTCAGCTCTACAGATGGGCGGCCCTAAACAGCTGATCATGCAAACAACTCGTGGCTGAAAAGATGATCCTTGGAAAGCTCGTGGTATATGCACATACGCACGATGTGATCTGTCGGCCGCACGGCGTTTCCTGCAGAGTGCGAAATAACAACACATGCAATCCTAGTACAGCATGTCTGAGAACTGTATTCAGGTCTAACGTGTGCCCTGGACCCGGTCAAAGACGGAGGCTAAACGGTGGAAAGCACGGACACTTTTACGGTCCCGATTACTGGCTGGCGCAAGATGACCCCTTCCGATGCGACACGCTGGCAGGCTAAAGCTGCCTTCACTATATTTTATACAGTCAAAGATTCGGCTCAGCTTTCGCAAGGCTAAAGGTCGCCCTGGCCTTCATGTCATGGAAAGCTACAACAGTAGTCGAATCGACCGAGTAAGTGTGGACTCGATTGGCGTGACGGCTGGCTGCAGAAGTGGAGAGGTGAAGCTACACTGTTCTGTGCCTCTCGAAGAAGCAAGCCTCCCTTTCGGTCATCCTTCGCCAGGCAAAGCCTGCTCGAGTCGTCGTCTTCGAACAAATCGAGAGGGCGGGCCCCCCTTGATTGGTATGAGGCGACTCTCGATGCCAACACCAACGCCAACGCCAGTCAAACATCCCCACTTCATTACTCAACCGCCATGGCATTCTGGCTATTCACAGTTCGACAAAGCAACATTTCGTGCAGCTGAGGGTCCCCCGGCATCCTCGCCGTTATCCATTATTTGCAATTCCATATCACTAGCATCGTCGGCCCTTCCTGACGTGCCCGCAGCGCCGGAAACCCCCTTCGTGCCCGCACTTTGACGACTTTTATCGACGGCCTCGCATTATTCTTGTTGTCCTCAACCGTCTAATAACGCCTCCGAGATCGTGGTATATCGGGTGTGGCTTCTCCCCGGGTAGATGTCTGTCCCGTGCGCACATCTCTCTGGAACCAAACGTTTGGTGGCATCTTGTATCTTTTTGTATTCTCGGTCCAGTATATCGCTTTAGCCGACTGGAAACAATTCCAACGCCAGATCTCGTTGCATCTGCAAGCGATACACTACATCGTGTCTCTGTCCGACCGAATAAACCGAAACACAGATCTGCGCAGCCGAGTGAACTGAACCCTGCCCTCCACTAGGCGGGGAGGCAGTGGTTGCACAAACTATCATGGTGACACTTCAACACACCAATGTCAACACAAGGGCCGCCATCGCCTCAAGGCGGTGATTCTAATAAAGTTGCCAAAAGACGAGCCAACTCCTGTGTCCCCTGCCGTGTGAGCAAATCTCGGGTACGACAGTGCAACGCCCAGGAAGTAGGGGAGCGATGTCCACTGACTATTGGTGCAGTGCTCTGGTGGTATTCCTTGTTCAACATGTCAGAAAAAGCGAGACAAGCCTCGCTGCTGGTATCGCAATGTGGTCTCCAAGGATGATGAAGATAGCGAAGTGAGTAACTCTATGATGGTGATCTGGATGATGTCTTCTCATATACTGACCTGCATGGTGGCAGCCTAAGACCTCTCCTCTTGAACTTCAGAAGGAAGGATCACAAAGCACCCTTCAACAAGACACGGAGGACACCGACGACGAGGACATCTTCCCGTGGCCTCACAGGAAGTTCTTTGGCGCATTCTCCCTAGCACGATGCGTCGACAAGGTGATTTCACGCATTCCTCGCTTTCTGCTCGGGCCTGCTAATCGAGTCTTTAGTTCAAGAGTCTGTCAGCCACCGAAACACCTAGTGAGGACACGATCTCGTCAATACAGACGGTCGAAGTCTTTAACTGCAGGCTCAACGAAGAAGAGAAGCTGAGGATCCTCGACAAAGCGCTCCAGGCGTCTTCCCCTACCCGGACAAACCTTCGTTCGCTCCTGATCCCAGAGCCTGACCGTAGACTATCTGGACGTCTCCGTGGCCTCTACTACAGATTCCTCGAGGCGCATCAGCATCTTGATGCCGGGATGGTAGTGGAAGCATGGTGTGCCTTGGGAAGTCTGTTGCGCGATGCACAGACCTTGGGTTGTATGATTCGCCTGTCCTCCTTTCGTGTGCATACGAAGCTCGTGCTAACAGTTGTTAGTGGACGAAGATGATGGCTCCAGCATTAATACCGATAGACAGACGGATCGTGAGGCTGGCCGCCGGGTCTGGTGGCTTCTGATCGATTTCGACGCCAAGCTAAGTTTCATTCTCGGTCGGCGGCCGTTGATATCCCCTTCCCACGGCGTCCCCAGACCTACCGTGGATTGCCCAAGGAAGGAAGAGAGAGACCTTCTGCTCAATATCCTGGACTTTACACAGTACATGCAAGAGGTCCTCAACGATATTCTTCCCGAGAAGTTTCCGGGCAAAGCCGAACCAGAAGTCGACAAAGCAACACTAGAATCCCACTTGGCACGCCTACAGGAGTTGCACTCGAAGTTCTCCTATCTTCCCCAGAATGGGAAAACGGACCCTCCTCTGTGGGCCGCAATCGCGGAACACCAATATAAGATCCAGCTTTTCTTGATGGTACTCAATTCGCAGATTGTCATGTCAATGGCGCTGGGTCGAAGTTCAAGAAAATCCGAGAAATCCGAAGGACATACACCATCATCTACCTCCTCTTCCACAAAGTCGAAAAGACCTCAACCCCTCCGAAAGCACTCATCGAAGGGATACCTCGAAGAGATGTTTCAGGCTGTGCGCCGAATCACGAGTCTGTTCGAGTACATCAACGCTCTCGATTCCTCACCCACTCCACCTTGGCCGCGATGTTTTGGTGTTTATTGTGCCGCCTCATTGCTGGGTATTGCCCGGTTACGGCAGGATATTGATCACATTCAGACAGATATGGATCGCTTACAAGATATTCTCAAGTTCTTCCAAGGGTCGTTGAGAAGATCACCCAGATCCTCCATTGCCCAAGCTGCTGTGTTGTCATTGGGTGCCATTGTGGAAAGGGTGCTGAGACCGTTTGATCAGCAGCAGCCCAATGCTGCTGCAGATGGCACAGCCCAAACACAGGATGGGCTCAGCCAATCTTTCAACGATGAAAACACGCATACACCTCAGTCACGATCTTTCGCGAACCAAGCTCCCGTTGACCACTCCAACCCCATGCAACTACAACGACAACATCATCTCAAACGACCTCAAACATTCCAGTACGAGGATGAAGCCCGACCGGAGAAAAGACTGAGATACAGTGCGAGGCCTCCAAACTATGAGAATGCGCTGCATGGAAACCCGCAAGCCTGGGCACGTGACCAAGGACCACCACCTTATGCGCAACCCATGTCTTCCTTCAGTGAAATGTCGGCTGCTTCCTTCCACGATGCGTCCATGCAGCATAGTCTGGAGCAGGCGTCTTTCGCCCACAGCGCACCCACTTCGTTCAATGCAAGCGATCAGATGCAATATGCAGCCATGAGCTATTCGAGCGGACACCCGGACAATGGATCGCAGATGCACTCTTTCCCGTTCTGGATGCACCCTCCCATGTTGATTCATCCGCCAATGTATCATGCCGGATGGCAGGCCATGGATCCGTCCACCTGGATGGTGCCGGACACGAGTCAGCAGAGTTTCTATGGAGGACCACCCACAATGTCCGTCAATGAACCACGCCAGCACGACGGCAATATGCAATCATCGCAGTCCGCAAACATGAACAGTTTTGGTCAAGGTGGCCCGACCCGCGAGGACGGACGGCAAGCAGGTAATATGACGGTCCCCTTGGACAATGGCAGAAGAGCACCTGATGGTCAATTCTACACAACGTCATCCGGACAGTATCAACAACTCGATCACCCTGTCAGTTCTCCCCTCAAGGACGACGGATTGTCTCGCCAGGACAACGCATACGGCCCACCGCCGCCAATGGATCGACGACGCAGTGCTGCTGACATAAGATCTCAGCAGCAAAGCCATAACAATCCTTGGCCCATGGAAATGCGAACAGAGTACGCCAATCAACACCCCATAGGAGAGCAACAGCGAGACACACCACAGGGAGGTGACTCCCAGACAGCCTCTCGTGATGGTCTTCTCTCCCCCGTAAGTGAGACGGAATCAAAGTCGCGACGCAACTCTGGCACGCCCAGGCAAATAGCTCGCAAGGGCAGACCGCCACCGCCACCGCTACCACCTGCACCTCAACATGTCGATGCTAGCACTCCGCAGGGTGTGGATGCAGGAACCATGAACAATATGCGAGGACATTCCCTAGCTCAAGCCAACGACATGATGATGGCCGACGTCGCTTCAGGGGGCGGTGGAAAGGATCCTGGAGGTGATCAGCCGGATATGCCTCGGGAACAGCAGCAGCCTCCTATGTGGCAGAACCAACCACCACCACCACCACCACCACCACCACCACCACCAAATCATGGCCCGCCGGGCCATGCAGTAGATGCGAGACTTTACAGCATGGAGATGGCGGGCCACCCCATGCAATACGAGCAGCAGTACGAACAGCACCTTCCGCCCAGACCGGTGGTCACGACGGGCCCCTTCACGGGGAACACAAGCGGTCACCAGTGGTGGCCCAGGTGAGGTGTGAAGACATGTGTTCCCAATGCATTTTTTCTAACCAAAGATGTAAATATCTACGGTCCCGACCTTATGATTCCCCCTGCCGATTCAGGCTTTGTATACAACGAATATTGTACAAAATTGATCTTATTATATCGTCTCGATGGACAAGGACCTTACTATTGTGTTAGTACCCGTTGGTTCTATGCGGCGCCCACCTCCTGTTTACATTGCACTTCGAACGACATTCCACCAAAAGGCCAACTGTCCAATCAGAACAAATTGCGCCGTAGACCGGAACGGAATCGTTCTTCCGGCCGAGGCTAAAATCACGTGCTGGATGTTTTAGGCAAGTGTAAGCCTGACCCCCGCAGCAACACCGTCTGACAGAAAAAGTACCCCATCTGTTCGCCTGATGAAGTGTAAGTGGACTGGTCTGACGGACGTTAACCGGTATCCGAAACACGTATCCGACAGTATGCGATATCAGCAGCGCTCAACTCCTCTTGCTGGCGCGTGTCCTCGAACCCATTCATATCGAGACAGCTTGCTTCTCCTTCTCTTTTATTTGTAGACCTTTCTTTCCAGAGGTCGGGTCATGTAAATCTCCAAGATGTATCCGCCACTGGATTATCTTGAGCATCGCCGTGCCTGGTAAGGAGAAAGCTTTCTGTTTTCCAATGTCGTTGCTTTATCTATCACTCATATGCCTTGGCGGGGATGGCCTTGACTAACACAGTGATTGTTCCCTATTACCAGTGCGATCAAGCAACGGCAGCGCGATGCCCGCTTCGAATCTCTCCCCGAGACATACCGAGGCCCCTTGACATCGCAGCAACGATCGATCCTGAACGCTCCCATCGCATCTCTAGTCGAAGACGTGCACAACTCGGTTCTATCGCCCATCGACATCATCCGCACCTACGGCAAGACCGCAGCGATCGCTCAACAACGAACCAACTGCGTGACGGAAGTTCTTCTCCCGGAGGCGGAAGCATGGGCGAAGAACGAGAAGGATATGAACCTGAAAGGTCCACTGGCCGGTATTCCCGTATCACTGAAAGACAGCATTGTGGTCGGTGGATTCGACACATCAGTGGGCTACTCCAAAAACGTGTTCAAACCCTATCCGGAAGATGGGATCATGGTGAAACTGCTCAAGCGGGCCGGGGCGATTCCGCACGTCAAGACGGCCCTGCCGATTACTCTGTTGTCGTTCGAATCCGCCAACGATCTCTGGGGAGTATGTAAAAACCCGCATAACCCGAAATACTCGCCTGGCGGCAGCACGGGCGGCGAAGGCGCATTGTTGGCTCTGAACGGGTCTCGTATTGGAATTGGATCCGACGTGGCGGGATCGGTGCGTGCGCCCGCCGCATGGTCGGGAATCAATTCTCTGCGATGCAGTACTGGCCGCTGGCCCAAGATGGGCATGAACACATCCATGCCCGGGCAAGAGGGGATTCCGTCTGTGTTTTCGCCCATGGCTAGAACACTCGACGACCTCACGTATTTCACTAAGAGCTTCATTGGCATGAACCCCTGGGAAGTCGATTACACTGTCCACCCGATCCCCTGGCGACAGGACGTCTACGACTCCACGGCGAACAACAAAAAGCTGCGGATAGGGTTGATGTTGAGTGATGGCGTGTGTCGGCCTTCACCTGCCATCGCACGCACAGTCAAACTTACTGCCGACGCACTCCGCTCCGCCGGGCACGAGGTCGTCGATATCAATGTCTCCGATTTCCCAGAGACAGCGACGCCCGCGCTGGGGCTGCAAATCGCATCTGTGCTGTTGTGTGGCGACGGCGGCAAGACGTTCCGCTCCTTCTTCCGCACCGGCGAATCCAACGACCCCGGCGCCGCCCAGATCAATTTCTACATGTCCCTCCCCCGACCCATCAAGTACCTCTGGTACCTGTGGACGCGGTATGTGAAGCGTGATCCGCTATGGGCTTCGCTGCTACGGTACTTCCATCCGCTGTCCGCGGTCGAGAATTGGAAATGGGTTGCGAAACGTGAAGCGTTCCGCGCCACCTGGTTCGATTGGTGGGAACAACCCAAGCAACAGTTTGATTTCATCTTGTGTCCTGCCAACGCCACGCCGGCTTTGCCTCATCGTGCAATGCACGACGCTGTCTCCTCGTGCGGATATACTTTCTTGTGGAACTTGCTCGATTACTCGGCTGGCATTGTGCCCGTGTCCAAAGTCGATGCTGAGCTTGATAAACTCTCGCCGACGTTTAGACCTGTCAACGGTGTTGAAAAGGGTGCTTATAAGTTCTACAATGCCAGAGATATGGCGGGGCTGCCCACTGCCGTCCAGGTCGTCGGTCGACGACTCACGGAGGAAAAGGTCCTAGCGGCAATGAAGGTCGTCGAGGATTCGCTGCGTGAAAACGGGGTTGTTTACGAGCATGTCGATGTCGAGAGTCTGCCGGAGTTTGTTGCCCAGGAGGCGAATAAGCTGAAGACCAGCACGACGAGTGCAAGTACTTGAGCCCGTCAGTTAGTGGTCGGTCAAATCAACTACTTCGGCTAAAATACCTCGGTTGCAATGCCTAGCTGCCCTACCGTTCACCATGATAGGTCTTTTCTCTTGCTGGTGGTGCTGCTGCTGCTGCTGCTGGTGTAGGTGATTCTGGTAACGACGCTGCTACAAGAGCTCCCAGTCACGTTGCCATTATACTCTATCGTCACTCATACAGCAGCTCTGTACAACTGTAGATAGTCATTACAACTAAGGGATGAGATACTGTATGATCTACCCAAGGTCCGAGATTCTGCAGTTGCTTCCACACAGCAGCGTCTGAACCCACGAACCCCACTACACATCCAATCCGCACTGCAGGAGAGAGGAGGGGAACAGGGGTAATAACAATCATAACAACATGCATAGCCCTGTGTCCCATGAATTTGTGGGGTGATTCCGCCAGAAGACCTAAGCATCGTTCAAGTTGGAGGCATCCACATTGCGAGGGTTGGGTTAGAACCACACGAATGCTAGCTACTTCGACCTGATTGTTTCTCCTCCTCCTCCATGGTTGTCTCCATAATAATGTAATAGCATGGTCAGCTTCTAGACATCTGCGTCGTGCATGACCCTTGTCCAGCCTTGAGGCTGTCGCAGCCCGAGCAATGGGAAATGCACAGTCAGGGCATAACAATGCGCAAGTGCACGACGGCTCGCAAGGTATCGGTAGGTAAGTAAGCACCCGGGTGTATTGTGTACTGCATACGGTATACATACCTTAGAGCTGGCCGCTTCTATTGCCAAAGAGCGACCTAATAATACATACAAGACACTCGCAGAACTTTAAAAAGAAAACACGAACCCTCACTTTTCTTGCTCATCAACAACCTGACTTGCCCCTTGTAACCCTTGACGCCGGCGCTCACAACGTGCTCGATTACCAAAGTAATGTAATGTATATTTTCCCTTAGCCTTGCCAATACAACGCATAAAAAGGAAGAATGAAGAAAAGAACAGAGAAAACAGGTGTGCATGTTCTTCCGTCCATCCCACCAGCCCTTTCTTCCTTTATCTGTCTTTGCCCCGACCGGAGATTTTCTCCACGATCACTTCGCTGAAACAGTGTCGGCCCATCTCACTGCTGTAGATAGTGGGAATAATCTCCTCACATGAAGAGTAGGAAAGGCGGCAATTAATTGATCTCCGATCACAACAGACCAAGAACAGCCGGCCGGTTAGATTAAGTCCTCCGGCCCGCTCAGTGAGAATATATTGCGGGCACATTCTTTCGAAGCATTAGATCCAATCACGCCATATAGTAGTCGTAAACTTTCGTTAATGTACCCCAGGTTTAGGATGCCGGACCAGGCTTTCCATGGAATTCCGCGGTGCTGCCCTGATACTCGGCAGAATCGGGACTATAATGGATGTGATCACTGGCTCTGTGTTGCTGTACAAAGCCAACGTTCGAGGGCCGGTCATTGCGAATATCTGCTCCATGTGCAGCTCCCAATGCAGATGAAGCATTGCGAAGATGCTTGGTGTATGAGGTGTGCGGGCTCATGGGAGGGTTCTCGCCGCCCTCGCGCCCAATGCTTGAGGTTGTCGATTCTGCGCCCGTCGAATATCTTTTATCTCGGTTCATGGTTGTCTGCGTACTTGAGAAAGGAATACGGCTCGCACTCAAGCTCTGCGAATGTCCTTTATGTCCGGGCATGCTGACGGCGGGACCTGGCCCATACAGCTTCGCCCTTGCGCTTGCTCTCTCGCTCTGATCACCTGCTGATTGTCTTCGAGAACTCTTTCGAGGTAGGGCCGGGACGGCTGGAATGTCTTCCGCTGGTGGTGGGTGCTTGCGGGATTTCCGGGAAGCTTCGGACCCAATCCGACTTGGCAACTCGATTGCACCACCAGAATCTATATGAGGCAAAGAAGGCGGTTTCGAAGGGACGGGGCTGATTGAAGAGAGTTCGTCGTCTTCCGCGGACTCTGCGGCCGAATCATCGTCATAACCGTCTTGTTTCTGTGGCGGCGGCGAGGCAATTCGCAAGCTTGACCGGTCCGGCCGTCTTTCTTCTTGTTCAACCTGACCATCATCATCGCGATAAGGTTCCTCCGGGCGACTGTCTGGTACAGGGGTAGGCGGGAAAAGACCTGGCGGCGGAGCTCGGGCACTCCTGACGACTTCAAAGCCTTTGTTCTTTTCTTTGGTCTTGCCACCAAGGAGACCCCTGAACCAACCCCTTGCCGTGGATACCGGTCCAGTAGGATCGGCTGGCCCGGTTTTGAGCTTTCTGGTCCCGCTGGACAGAGCTGCTCCACGGACACCATAATAAAAATCAACTTCTCTCACCGCATAGTCGGTCTTGGTCCGAGTCAGATCGTTCGGGGGATCTTCAAAATCGTCGTTATTGACGCGCATGGGAGTTGACGAGCCCTCACCCCCACCGTCCTCTGCTGCGCCCTCGTTGAGCAAATTTCCCTTCGACTTCTCGCTTGCTAGCGACATGGCAGGATCGGTGGCAGAGAGAGGCTCCATCGTGTTCCGCCGTGGTGGCCGGTAGTACGGGTCTTTTGCTTCCACTTGCTTCTGCAGACCGACTATCCCTCCAAGGGATCCAGAGCCACTTAGTCTCCCGGTCAACTGCCTCGAGCCTCTGCTAGACCGGTCGGGGGTGGTTTGATCGGCAACACGGCCATCAATAGTCTGGCTCATCCTGCTAGAGTTCTGCCCGCCGTCCAGCAATGCGTTCGAAGTGGCAGACACACTCCGGGATCGGGTCTTGGCCATATTGAGTGGCTTTGGTTCAGTGTCCACAGCGGCAAGCATGGCAGCACCCGAGGACATACTGTGGCGAGGGTTCTGATCACGCCGCGGTAACCGGCGAGATAACTGCCTCATCCCGAACACCTTGTTCAAGCCACCTCTCGTAGCAACCCCGGTGACCTCGTCTCGCCCACCGGCTCCCGCAAGCCGAGCAATCACCTCGATCAAGGTTTGGATCGCATTGAGAAAGAACCCGAAAACAAGGGTGCAGGCATGGATGACAAGGATGGCATAACCAATCCAGCCCCTAGACGCAGACCCAACACCTAGAGAGGGCACAAACGCGATTGACAGAAGGATGGTGAACAAGCGAATGATCGAGAAACAGGTATGATAAATGTTCATCGAGGTAGCAGAGGGAAAGGGCCTGAAGGCGTTAATTGTCAAAATTAGGACGATCTCGCAAATGGCGAGCAGGACAAGCTGCGCGACTCCGGATGGTTGCACTGCACCGATTGCAATGCCTCGAAGAAAGTTGATAAGTAATGGCACTAGTGCAAAGGTGGCCGCATCGTCGCAATAGGTGTTATAGAGGGGCCCATACGCGAGGACAGTCATGAGATCGTCAAAAAGGAAGGACCGTGGTCTCGTCCGAATGAAGAGAAAGAGGAGTCGAACGGAAAATCCCAGGATTATCACAAGGCAAAGAGCCGCTAGTGCAACTGAATATGCTGGCCCACGCCCTGCAATCAGCAGCTGATAGAATGACAGGCTAGTCAATGGCAGGAGGAAGAAGTTGAACACAAGCCGCAGGACATTACCGATAGTAAAGGGGAAATTCTTAGAGCGAAGGTCTTCTGCTGGCTCGTTTGCAATCTGTCGGTATAGCCAGCGCGCTGCAAATCCTAGTTGGGTGAGAATCGTGACGCCTGCCACAATCGCCACGAGCCAGACCATCATGTCAGCCCACATGTCGCGGTCCGAGGTCATGCCCACCAATTGACTCATACGGTCGAGTCCATATTTGGTGTTGTTGCGAATTTCGTATACACCGTCGACCAAGCTTTGCGTGCCGTTGCCGCCAGTCACAAGGCTTTCGTTGAACATGAGAGAGGACCATGACACTCGGCTCACCGCCGGTCGGTAGAAGCCAGGATAATTCAGCGTCAGGGCGCCGGTAAGCACAACGAATTGAATGTATTGCAGACAATCGCCGAAGCCTGGTGTGACTAGACGCAGTAGATCTTCGTCCCGGCCAAAATTGCTACTCCAGTTGAAGAGATCACCTGAACCCCAAGGACTTAGGATGGCGGCGGCAATGGTGGCGATGCCAACGACGATAAGAACCGCCAGGGGCAAATACCGTAACATGCCCTTCAAATAACCACCCAGGTCGGGCGTAATGGTGGCACTCACGCAGCTGTAATATTGGCCGCTCTGATCGCCCGACTGAACTCTCAATGTAGCCTGGAGTGAGGCGAAGGCGTAAGTTGAAAACATATCATGGGCAACGGAGAAAGCAGGCAGCCGGTCCAGTTCGCTCGAGTTGACGTAGAAGGCTGGTGCCAAAGGACAGCTACCTTGAACGACTGATTCGCAGAATCTTGACGGCTCTGCATTCCACGGGGTGTAACTTAGAAAATTGACCTCGCTGAAAAGAGTGGTATATTTGTTGTTCGATTCACTGAGATCCGGGATCTTTCCGAAAGTGCTGTTGGGATCGCTCCAAGAAGGATCATCCGGGGGAGGATAAGGCTCCGCGGTTGCTTTTCCAGTGACATTTCCATAGACGGTAACGTTGAGGTTGTGCCTGGATGAGGAAGTGTTGAAAACAGCTGACACGTTGAGAGGAACGAATTGGAGGAGGCGGGGTCGGGAATTGACAATACTATCATCGAGACAATTCTCAAATTCGACATAGGCGCCCTCTGCACATGTGAACAGCAGTGCCAGGATAACGCCGATGATAGTCCGAGTCGACGGAGCCCACGTTGAGGGTCCGAGACGAGCATTGGGACCGTCTTTCCTCCTGCTGTTCAAAGCCGGCTTCCGTTCCCATCCTCCATGGGGACAAATCATGGTCACTGGCGTGATGTCTTTCTCCGTCCTTCTCGGCCGCTATCGTTGTCTCAATACTCTGACATCTTGACTCCCAAGGCCAGATAACGCTAGCAGGGCGGGGGTTCAGGCTTTGGCTCGATGTTCGGGTTAATGGAGGATCGAATTTGATGCCAACTAAGGTGTCTGTGGACCAGATGAGGCAGATAGAGTGGCGTTACCACCAGACGCCTGCGTGCGCAACGACAGTAACCGCAACGAAGGTGAATTCGAAGGCTTCTACCAGAGCGAACGTGACAACATCGAGTGGAGGAAGTAGAGGGCGTACAGGGTTAAGAAGAGTAGGACGTCGCGGAAGTCGAATACAGGCGGACGGGGCCAGTAGATCGTCCCAGGTATAATGTTCGACTGTCTCGAATGGCTACGCCGACCGAATGCTTCGACAACAGAACGTGAAACCGGAACGAATTAAGAGGCGAAACGGTCAATCGTCATATGAAACGTAAAGCGAAGGATTTGGACGCTGTAAGGAAGTTTGGGATGGTCGAACAAAAAGAGAGACGAGAAGATGAGAGCCGACGACGACGACACTGGCAGAACAGGGCTGGACGGGAGAGACGTGCTGTCAGTATGGAGAAGGTGAACTCTAGCGGATGGAGCCTGAGGCGCAGGGAAGCCTTGAACTGACTCCAGAGTCCAGCGGCGGCCAGTGTGTGAAAAGACGAAGGAAAAGGCCAGTGCCAGTGCCAGGCCCCCGTGTCCTCTACCAGTGCCATCCTGCTGTTTCTGCTGGTTGTGGCACGCTATCCACTTTAAAGGCCTTCAGGTCAAATTTGATTGGATTGGCGGAGCTTTAACAAGGCGCTAACCAATACAGGAAAGATACCTTCGTCTACGCGTGGCGATCTGCCGGTGACTTGGACGACTAAGCACAAGAATCTTGCCTGTCAACCGTGATGCGACGCTAGTACTAGAATACTCTAGGACGTTGCTATTTCAAGTCCGTTTGGCTCTGCAGAACTTGAACCTCCTGAAGTCAACACACTTCGAAAGTTACGGTATCATTTATACCTACGATGTGCTCACTCACTGCAGGTTTGTTCCTGGGATTCGAGCAGAGCAACAGAGGTAGGGAACATGGGCAGTCCAAGTTGCCAACGTCCATATATAGGCAAGGGTCAATTCTCGCTTACAACTTTCAACATTGGAATCTCAGCAATCAACCTGCCTTGGACTCCAATCGGACTACTAGCCTTGTCGTCCCACCAGCTACATCATATTGTGTCACTTTTGCTAGCCGAAATGCCGGCAAGGATGTGGCATTGTTTCACCCATGTGCATGAACTTCAAGTTACATTTTCACCGCGTAAATATATCTCCCTACTATGTATATCTATCAAGCATCTCCTCATCGGGGGATATTCAATTCAGGTACACTATGTGGTCGTTGTATGAAGCGAGAGCAAGAGAGCAAGTCTTGTTATGCTCCACTACCTGGATATCCCAGTCACTCGCCCTCCTGAACCTGGCCGAATAAGACCAGCTCCTTGGTCAATGTCCCAGTCAGTGCTTTGGAAGGCTCTCAACATCTTATTGCCATCTGCTACCACAGGATCCTGCACATCTCAGCAGCCACTCACCGATGTTGTGAGCTTCAAAGCAATGTCGCTTAAAGGGTTGCAGGTCGCTCCTAACAAAAGTTGAAGTAATAGAAATGCGATTTATTTTACGTACCTAGGTACTAGTGCTGCTACTACTACAGTAGTGGTAGATCTGTATGACCGACTTACTAGCATATCGAGTAATTACTGAAAGTCGAGACAGTGATATTACTTGGTACCTTGCCCTGATATGCACAGAACCAGTCTCCGTACACTTTGAACGTTGGGGAAGCCACTTTCCCGCTGAGCGTCACTAAAAAGAGCGGAGACCGGAACTTTTCTACTAGTAGTCTGGGCCGTCAATAATGGTGACTTGCCCTATTAGTGAAACCGGTCTCGACTGATACAGTATCAGTAGGTATCCAGTTCTCGACTAACCGAAGCCAACATGGACATGCTAACCGAGCCACGCCTTCACTGAAACATGTTAGAGAGGTCTCGACAGCAAGGCAGTTCTTCTTCATGTGCCCATTTAGTGACATTTGATGGCATCCAAGTTCGCCCCTCCTTGCAATCGCCTGACGGCCGTCACTGATTGGCAATGGACGCATAGACATCTCTCAGACGCGGTGGCAATAATACAGTCATTACACTTCCACCGATAAAACCGACTTTAGCCTTCCATGTGCCGGAACCGTTGCGGCGATCCATCTCGCCGATGTTGATATCTATCAATGTTGAAGCACTGTCTGTGGCATTGAACCTTCTCACAACCACATGTTCCCTTCTGTTATCATGTAGACACCTCTTCCGCCGCCCCGAGTTTTTGCGAAATTACCCAGCCTCGTTGCTGCACCTGGTGCCCGGCACGTGTGATGGTCTCTAAGTCCGTTGCCTTCACGTGCCCAACCTTTGACGCTCACCGCGCCAACTCTACGAGATCCTGTTGTCCGCTTGGGTGCCGATAGCCTTGTTCTCATCACAGTCTGGCGCGGCCATGTCTTACGCAGATTCAACAAGCTCACAGAGTAGCTTGGAAACCGACTCTGAGACACCTCTCCGTCACTCTCCGCCTCTTCATCCTGAGTTACACCCATCAAGACGTCCATTTCTGAATGCCTCGCTACAGCGACCGCTACCGGAATTGCCTCGATGGGACTCCTCGGGATCCAATAGCCACAGGCCGGCAGCATTTCTGCAAGATCGCCCTCTCCCTGTCCCGACATCTCCCCAGACTCCCGAAGAGCGCAGACAAAGCCTGATCGCTCTAGATCGCAAGAGACGATTGACAAATACCACATACGATGAAGGCAGGATGAGGTCAAATAGTGGTGGCTACTACGACAGAAGGTCAAATCTGGAAGCCGGCTTTCGGGTTGCTGGGCCTTCTTCCCCTTCGCCCAGGCCTCATGCATTGTCCGACGTCACCAGGCCGTTGCCCGAAATCATCGACCTCACCGGGTCTTCTCCACCTACACAACCTCGGACGCCTCCTCGAGAAAGGAGACGAAGCGGAGGCCTCTCTGGAAGTGCAAGACAATATGTCGTACCGCGATGGCAGCCGGATTCTGAAGTCAGCGAGTGCCCCATTTGCAAGCGACCCTTTACCTGGATGTTTAGACGGCATCACTGTAGAAAGTGTGGTCGGGTTGTGTGCAATGACTGCTCCCCCCATAGGATCACGATTCCTCGACAATTCATCGTGCGTCCACCTGGAGCGGATGTCCTTGTTTCACCAGAAATCTTGCCTACTCGCCACACCGGTACGGTGGACCTGACTGCGGAAGACAATGACGAGGATCCATACGAAGCCTCACCAACTCCAGGAAGCTATGCGGGATCACAGCTGGAGGGCGGTGAAAAAGTGCGTCTTTGTAATCCCTGCGTGCCGGATCCGCAGCCTGACTTTCCACCAAACCAAACCCACTTCGGCAATGCAACTACTCCTCAAGCAGTGACCCCTTGGCGGGATCCTGCAGGAAGACCTAATTTCAACGAGCGTCTATCAAACGACGATATAGTCGGTTCTGGGGGAGTTGTCAACGGCTCATTAACGAGACCTGCAGGGGTAAGTGCTCGTCCCGCCCCCATTCCCTACTCGCGAAACAGCGTGCTCATTCTGTTTGTTTGATATTCAGGGCAGTTTCCCTCGCTCGAGTGCGTTTGGGCAGAATCATAATGACCAGACGTACGGCCGAGACAGTGGCCTGTCTTGGTTTGGCTCATACCGGGAACAACCATCGCCAACAGGCCGTCGTTTACCTCGCCCACCTACTTCAGATGCCGGTCGAGGCTTTTCCCGCCCTCTTAGTGTAAGCACCAACTCCGCCAGACTATTTCTTGTATTAACCGGTCTAGGATAATCCGCTGCGAGACGGCCGATACAATAGCACCATGACCCGCCCTTCCGATCCCGACAGTCGCCAGCCTCGACATGAGCCTTCAGGCTCTCCAGCCTCAAGGTACCCTTATCTGGGAAACGACCGAGTCTCTGCCCGGGTTCTTCCCAGCGTATTCGAGGGGACGGCTGCTTCGCGTCCTCCACGACTTGATGAGAACGACTTTTGTCCTATTTGCAGGCGTATCCTTCCTCCCAAAGGGCCGAATGGTGATGAGAGAGATCGAGAAATGCACATCATGGAGTGTATAAGTGCGAGGGACCCTTCATATCGTGCTCAGACCGAGACTGGGGAGCCTTCGCAGGCGAGGATTCATATGCTTCCTTTTACTGCCACGGAAAAGGATTGTGTTGGTCAAGACGGGAGTGCACAGGAATGTTCGATATGCATGGTGGAATACAACGTGGGCGACGAATTAGCCCGGTTGGAGTGTCTGTGCAAGTTCCACAAGGAGTGCATTGTGGAATGGCTTGGTCACAAAGCAGAATGCCCGGTGCATAAAGTGATTACATGATCTGTACGACGATATGAGCGATGCGACGACTAGCATAGTGATAGCCATGCATGACAGGTTGGGAAAGCCATGGATAAAACGGATAAGGAGCACGGAGGATAGGTTGGTTTTGATATTTCACCCCAGGGTTGCAGACGACGATGTCCCCTTCTCTTGCGGAGTATATCGGGCGTTGGAGTTTTGCTTGGTTGCTGAGCTTGAACATCTGAACTGATGCAACACAATACCTTTTCCGGTCATGTTCGTTGCTGGACATTGGAGCAGAGGATGTCTGGCCACAGGCAAGAGTGGAAGTGACGGTACCGAGACAGTACAGCGTACCTAGTACATTCAAGTTGTGTCAGACCGTGCCAATATCATGCCACTAGCACTACTTAACAATGAGTTTCGTCCCGCCGGCGCCTTGCTATACCGCTTATAGCTTAGGAACCTGGTAGTAGTGGCTGCTATCTTTCTTTAGCTTGTTCTAACTGGTTCCCGCTCTAACTTGAACGTTGTATGCAGTGATCTGTGCTCCAGACTGTAGACTTAGCATGAAGCGTTAAAAGACTCCCCGCGTTCTTGTTATTATTCCTGTTCAAGTTTCCATCATCGTACGGTGCCATGGAGAGGCAATAATGACCTGCGCCAGGGCTTAGGAGCAGCACTGCGACCGATGCTGTTTATCGACACGATGTTCACGTCTGTGCCTCCGCCGGCTGCTGGAAGATCCAAGTAGATCGCATCGCATCGACCCTGCCAGCCCCGGTCGGCGCGCGGACATCGCAGACGGCGACTTCTAACCACCGCCCTCCCGACGCTCACCGTTCGCATTCACGTCCACCACGACTTATCCACCACAATCATGGCCAACGCTCTTGAACCTTTCACCCACATTGATCCAGCCCTGCGAGTTTCTACCTTAAGCAGTCCCACAAAGCCGCGTGATCCCCAGCTGGCCCAAAATGGCGCTGCTGCCTATTCTCCCCTCCAACCGTCTCCGAACACATCATATCAAAGTATCCAAACACCCAACTATTATCCAAACAACCCGCAGAACCAGGAAAGCCCAGATGACCAGAGTCCATCCGCGAACCCGGCCGACCCGAATGACCTGAAGAGACCGCGCGCCTGTGAAGCTTGTCGACAGTTGAAGGTTAAGTGCGAGCTGGACGAGAACAGCCCTACCGGTTCCTGCAAAAGATGCGCCAAAGCCAATAGGCAGTGTATTGTTACAGCCCCCAGCAGGAAAAGACAGAAGAAGACGGACAGCCGCGTAGCCGAATTGGAAAAGAAAATCGACGCTCTGACTGCTACTTTAGCCTCACGAGGAGGAGGAGGAGGTGGCCCTGATGCAGACTTCACGGCCGACACAACCATAGCGCATCAGCCCCATGCAGTGCGTCCGGGGCCGTATGGCGGCCAGTGGCCTGGGCTACCACCACCCCCTCCGCCGCCGCCCCAACTGGGCCTTCAGTCGCCGCAGAACATGCATCAAGGTGTCAAGAGGAAGTCTACAGGCAACTACGACTATGTCGGAGGAGACCTGCACAAATCCTCAGAGCCTCTCTTCAGATCTCCTGCGCCCGTTCCTCCCTATCCGCCGATCCAAGCAGAGACTTCGAGGCCGAAATCAAGTTTTGACAATGAGGCTTCGGCTGATCCTGTAGAGCGCGGTCTCGTGGACGTCGTCACGGCCAGGAAATGCTTCGAGCGTTACATGGCAGAGATGTGTGAGCATCTACCAATGGTCGTATTTGCGCCCGGCACGACTGCTGAGCAGGTTCGCAAGACCAAACCTGTCTTATTCTTGGCTGTGCTTGCTGTGGCGTCTGGCACCATCCGACCGGACCTCCAGCAAAGACTAATCACGGAAATTACGAGGACGCTGGCGGATCGGCTCATCAACCGAGGGGAGAAGTCGCTGGAGCTCGTCCAGACACTTCAGGTGACAACATGCTTTTATCAGCCTCCAGAGAAGTACGAGGAGTTGAATTTCAACCAACTTATTCATATCGCCGCTGTTATGGCCCTAGACCTCGGGATGGGCAAACGAACCAAGCCTGGTGGTGGTCCTTCGTGGCGACCATATCCGGAGAACAAGAGACCTTTAACAGAACCCAACAGTGCCGAGACGCGGCGAGCCTGGCTGGGCTGTTACTTTATGTGCTCAAAGTGAGTTAGGTAGTTTTTCTGTTTCGCTGGCTGGCACTAACATGTTGGCAGTTCCTCTATGTCCCTGCGACGGCCATTGTTGATCCGGTGGAGTCCCTACGCCGAAGAGTGTATAGAGATCCTCAACTCGTCTCCCGATGCACTTCCTTCAGACAAATGGTTCTGCCATCTGGTCCGGGCGCAGCACATAGCAGAAGAAGTCGGCTTGGAGTTTTCCATGGACGACCCGGCTTCTCTTCTCTCCCTGACTGATCCCAAGACACAATACCATCTGAAGGCATTCGAGCGTCAGTTAGCCGAATGGCATGATGCAGCCACACCCGAAATCCTGAAGAAGCCGGTAATTCAGCATACCGAAGGCATTATAAATCTGTACATGCACGAAATTGCAATGCACCACAATCATAATGTGGATGATTTTCGGCCTCCTTTCAATGCGACACCTATTGAGGGTCCCCCGGATCCTGACAATGTGACTCCAGCTCACATTGAGGCTCTGACGACTTGTATCCACGCTGCACATGCCGCCTTCGATGCATTCTTGACCATGGATACCAAGATGGTCCGAGCTCTGCCAACGCTGTTCTTTGTCAGAAATGCCTATGCAGCGGTTGCTTTGATCAAGATGTACACGGCAGTATCAGCTAAGGGCTCGAAATTTGCGTCCATCTTCAAAACCCAAGATTTGAAAGTCGAGTACTATCTCGATCGGCTGATTGAAGTCCTCACCAAGGCTGCCGAAGGAGGCGTTAGTAGGGTCGCCCACAAATTCAGCCTCATCTTCACCATGCTGAAGAGTTGGCATATGAAACGCACTGAGCCTGCCAATCATGGCAGCAATCCTGTTTCCAGACAACGCACGCCCGCCAGTAGAAACAACATTTTGCCGACGTATAAATCCTTTCCTCCTCAGCAAGATCCGAGTGGTCTTGGCTGGCACGTACAGAACCGAACTGCCTTGGAGCCTGGCGTTCAAGCGCATCAACAACAACACCAGCAGCAGCATCCACAGCAGCAGCAACAACAACAACAACAACCAAGGAGTGGCCTCCAGATGCTCTCAGAAGCTGCAATGGGTCCTGGACCGCCACCGTCGTCTGTGATGACCCAACCACAACAATGGATTCAGCCCATGAATCCACCTCAGATGTTGCCTGGCATTGCAGATATGACGATGCACGAACAGAATATGATGCCTTACGGTATAGCTGGCCAAGATTTGGGTCCTATGGATTTTACCTCGGACGAACTTATGGCATACGGATTTGGCGATGAGTTTCTAGCCATGAATTTCGGGTTCGAACAGGGTAACTGGCCGATATGACTGATATGCACTTACGTTTTTTGCTCCGCTACCAAATTATGCGTGGAAGGATTGTGATTGTGTCTACTTGCGGTTCAGCAGACCTGGTTTCTCCTTTATGTATCTTTACACGAGCTGCGGAAAGTCGGTCTCGGGCGCTTGTTCACGAACTGTATGTTGATGGTGGCCAGCACGACGTTCTCGCGCGGCAAAGGTCTTTATCATTTGACATTACGAAAGCTCAACGTTGATGTCGTTACGCGTGCAAATTGCACAGTGTGGCCAATCGTTCAAGTCGAATGTGTCTGGATCATTGCTGTCAAGACCGTTCAATATAGTCCCAACTTAATGATTTTTGCAGCAGGCGAGTCTCTTTTACCCTTGGACTTTTCTTTCCTCCCTTGGATTTGTAATCTGAAAGCTTAGCGTGAGCATTGGTCGCTGAGCAGTGGATTGCCGTCGAATGCAGCCCGACAATGGACCAGGAGAAAGAATGTGGGATCCCCGACAGTCATGCGCCACAGGTTTTCGGCAGTTGACATTCATATCGATTGGCAGGTCTAGCAAGCAACGCTTCGACTCACGGCAAGAGATTGATGAAACTACCGAACGCGCAGTCGGTGTCACTTGTCGATTGTCGAGCAACTAGTTAGTGTTTGATGGGAACGAACCAGCGCACTCACTAACTCCCACATTTTTTCCCCATGTTCTCTCCAAACGAGGAGGTGTGTATACCGGGGTTTCTAGACGCAGACGCATAGGTATCTATCTACCACTATACCCAAGTCGGGTATGGTCCAGTCCTTCTCCATTATATCTTGTTACTGGTATTCCCCGGGGATAATACCCTCGGGCGCATGGGGAAGAAGAAGATGAAGATGATCTGATGTCGGAAATCTGTCTATTTCACCATTGACGGAGACTTTCGAGGGTCTTTCACAGGCAGTATCCGTCGAGGAACGCAAGGACCTTTTTCCATTCCATCTTCCAGGCTACCTATATACGAGGTATAGGCTTTGGTACAGTGCAACATGGTCGCCGCTCCTATATCCGCCAACCCTCTCCAACTCGACGTGAAAAGTCACCTCAAATGTCTGGCGATTTGTGTTGTTGCGACATTGTCGACCTTTCAATATGGTCTGGACTATGCCCTTGTGGGAGGGTTCCTGTCGATGCCCGGGTTTCTCGAAGTGTTTGGATACCATTCCGACAAGTTGGGCAAATGGAACATTGATCCGACTGTCCAACAACTCATTTCGTCGCTCATGACCATTGGCACATTTGTTTCTTCGTTGATGGTCGGTCCGTTCAGCGCCCGGTTTGGGAGATTGCATGGACTGTGGGCCGCCACTGTGCTCAACTTTGTGGCGACGAGTGTGCAGATTGGCACGACGAGTAAGGCGGCGTTGTATGTTGCGCGGCTTATCCTTGGTGAGATCGTCTCGTCCCCTCTGTTATTCGGGGTCGTTTCTGCTCCGCTTGTCGCTCATGGTTCGCTCCGCTTGTCTGCTCAGCTGTTCGCTGACATGTTCACTTCTCAGGCATTTCTGTCGGCTGGTTCCTCACTTTCGCCCAGCTGTACATCCATGAAGTCTCACCCGCTCATCTCCGCGGCATCGTCTTTGCCGTGTATCAAAGCATGCTCTCGATCGGATCCATTGTGGGCGCAAGCATCGACTTCGGCACTCATTCCATGCACGGCCGAAAAGCGTATCAAATCCCCCTGGCGATTTTTTATGTTGCACCCGCAGTGCAAGCTGTGCTATTGTACCTTTTTGCGCCCGAGTCGCCTCGCTGGCTGATGGTGCAGCGGAAGGAAGAACAAGCTGAAATGTCGCTACGCAGACTTCGCAATTCAAAAATCGACGAACGCGAGTTCCAGGCCGAGTTGAATGAGATCCGTCAATCGACTCGTGAACAGCTGGAACAGAATAAAAAGGCGTTGTTCTTGGAGATGTGGCGTGGGACGAATCTGAGGAGGACATTGTTGTCGATTGCGGTTGTGTGTTTTCATTCAGCTAATGGGTTCGTATTTGCTCCCGTTTCTCCGTTTGAAATTTGTGGAGATTCGGCGGAGGTCAAGTGTTCTTCTCTAAACCATTTGGCTGACTCTGGACCATCATCAGTTCGAGCTGGGTCAACATTTACACGACGTATTTTCTGCAGATCGCCGGCGTGCATAACCCGTTTGCTTATTCGATCTTGGTCACTTGTACTGGATTGATCGGGGTGCTTGTCAGCTTCTGCTTCGTCCGTCTGATCGATCGGCGGACCGTGATGTTGGTGGGGATTTCCGCCTGTGGACTCTGTCAGCTCGCTCCGGCGATAGCGTGGAGCGTGAACCCGGCGAGCAGGGCCACTGCAAATGTGGTCGTGGGCTTCATTGCGCTGTTTACTTTCTTTTATGTGGCTTATGGTATGTTGATGGATTTGTCTTCCCCAGAACTAGCTTCGCAACTCGATGGTGTCTGCGGCATGTTGTTAACAAGTACCCGTCACTAATATTGTGTGTTCCTTCTAGCACCGTACGCATGGCTCCTCGGCGGCGAATACGTCAACAACCAACTCCGCGCATTCACATTCGGTCTCGCGACGGCCCTGAATTTCCTGGGAAACTGGTTAGGGACGTTCACCGCGCCGTACTTCATCAACCCGGCCAAACTCGGCTGGGGTCCGAAATACGGCTATATCTGGTTCGGATCGAATATGATTCTTGTCATTTTCACGTGGTTCTTTCTGCCGGAGACTAGAGATCGGACACTGGAAGAAATCCATGAGATGTTCGAGGCGAGGTTGCCTGCGCGGAAATTCAAGGGGTATGTTTGTACTGGGGTGGTAAGCTATGCTGAGGAAGCGATGCACGGCAAAAAGGGTGATTTTGAGGTTACGACTACTACTGCTACTACTTCGGCAAAGGCAGCCGGGAATGGTGACGAGAAGAGTCATTCGGGGCATGCGGCGTATGTTGAGGATGTGAGTGAGGTGGATTTGGAGAAATGAGGGTAGAATGATGATCGAGATAAGCCACGACCGGGCATGAAGTTGGGTTGCATGGGCAGCAGGGGAGGGCTTCACGATGCCTCAGGGCTGCTGGGTATCTCCAGTCCGGATCTTACAGGGAGAATCAATACGTTTGTCCATCATCGTACTAGAAGCCTGAGATTGTGCCTACCTCCTGGGTAGTTATAACTAGCTACGCATTGAAGCTCCGTCGGAACAAGGCTGAACCCACTAAAGGAGAAGCGGGCGGCGGACAAAGACGGGGCTCCTTAGGCAGTAGAGTCGACTCCTTATTGGCCGTGTTATTGTCGTTGTCCCCCAACTTCAACGTCAAGCATCTCCGCACATTTCTTTATCTCTTCCACTCTTGCGTTCACTCTCTGTTCGGCAGATGTCTCAAGGGCCCATGAATCGGCAGTCATGGGCATGCTGTCTACCAAGAGGCGGGCGCAGGTTGGCATCTCCAACTTGAACTGTACGACCTGCCTTTACCGGTATACTTACTGCCTAACACCGTAGGCATGTACCTAGGTACGGTGCCATGGATCTAGCTACAGTCCCAGCTGTCGGGGAACGTGCCGACAGCCGCAACACAGGGCCTGAAGAACAAAGACTTCGCGATTCCATCGATCTGCCGACCGTCTGCTCCACGGACTGATCGCCAGCAGGGAAATGTGACAGCAGAGTCAGAGCATTGGCAAAGCAACAGTGCCACGATTTTATTGCGGTCGGTACCGGTACAAGAATATTCCCCACACAATGCACAAAACAGTCTATCCCACATTGTCTGGGGTAAAGTGTGTACTACTGCTAGTACATTGGGTCCAAGATCTGCTGCCACTTCTTGCCTTTGGATGTCGACTACCTACCTTAGTAACCTTTGCTTCCTCGACACTCAGGCTCGCCGGTGAGGGTCCAGGGAGAGGGTGTAGGAAGCCCCACGTCGGATATCATGGGGTCCTTGAAGCCAACGGACCACATGTGAGCAGGAGAAAGAAAGACTCAATGCCGAGTCGCTTGGAGGATCACGATCGGTCTCACGCTTCACTCTTGGGATCAATTTAAGCCGAGCAGTCGTGAGTTTGCCATCTCAATCTATTAGGACTTTAAAAGGGCTTTGTTACTGTCCATAAGACATCGTTCTGTGTCCGGGCCGAGTGCTAAACTGGAACGAGTGTTTTGCTTCCAAGGTCAAACTTCCAAAGGGAGGACGCTTTAGGGACACCCACCTACCTGCCGTACTTGGCCGGTTGGCGATCAAGCCGTGACAGGCGACGTTTAACGGGGCATCGAGCATCAGAAACGTCTCTGTTGACCTGTTCAGGATCACCAATTGTCTACTAGACAACGATTACTCTACACAGCGGAATTCTCGAGATCTACTCGGGGATCCCTCATTTCGTTATAACTTCCAGCCTTCGTCGCCAACAAGGCCGTATATAGACATCATTTGCCCACGACCAAACAGCAATCTAGGAGCGCCAACTTCAAGCGTCTTTCCAGAATCACAATTCCACAATGGGCTCACTTCCCACCGCCACCAGCCTGCGTCGCCAGCCGCTCAAGAACTCCGGTTCCATCGACCACCTCGAGTATGTCGACGTCACACCCATCATCGGCCGCGAGTACCCGACCGCAAAGCTGAAGGATATGCTACACGCACCCAATGCTGAAGATCAGATTCGGGACCTCGCAATCACCATCTGCGAGCGTGGAGTCGTCTTCTTCCGCGCTCCACAGGATGATCTGACGGTCGCCGAACAGAAGACGATTACCGACTTGTTGGGCAAGTTGACGGGCCGTCCCGAGGATCATGGTTTGCATGTGCATCCGTTATACAGGGATCCGAACAATATCCCGATGGCGGATGGGACGACGGATGAGAACATGTAAGTTTTGTCTTCTCAATGGGGATCTAGCATTCCTTGGGTTCCTCTTCCTTACATCTACGATCGGCTTGTGGAAGACATTACAAAGTCCATATGAGCACATTCACCACTGGGAGCATGTCACAGAGATATATGTCTGCAAAGCCGTTCCCCGCCCTTCTTCTCGCCGCTGTGCTTGGAGCAGCCTACGTCGGCTATACTCTACTATTCTTGCTTGAGGACAGGCCTCTTGCCAGTTTCGAGTTGTTTCGGCCGGTTGAAGAACTTGTCGCTTTTCAGAACGAAGTGCTGGGATCATGACGCACGTTTACTGATATTTTGCTTTTCTGCTGCAGATACGTTATCAACTCGGAGGCCATGAAGAAACTGTACAAGACGATGAAGAACCGACCGGACGGCTTGAACGAGCCCAGAGACTTGGGTCGAGAATGGCACAGTGACTGTACGTTTTCAGCTCAGTACCCTTTTGTTCCTCACTTCTCTGCTTTGAAGCACAGATGCATGTGTATCGGCGATTGTTGATCGTCTATCTACCGTGTACATCTCTCCACTCTCGAATTTCCACTTGACCTTCTCCTCCATTTACACCTGTGGCCGGAACCAGCTACATACCCTGTCTCTTCTTGTATCCGCCTCCATCACATTTCTATCCCCTCTCTTTCCCTTCTCCCGTCTCTCTGTTCCGTCCACCTGCCCTATATCAAAAAATACCACCCACCCAAAGAACCTCACTAGACATCCAATCTTCTCGATAGGCCTCTTCGAAGAATGTCCCGCCGACTTCAGCTTCCTCCGCATGCAAGACACACCTCCCTCCGGCGGCGACACATTATGGGTATCCGGATATGAACTGTAAGTACAGAACACACACATTTCCCATTTCCCACACATTCTCCCCATCCATCTTCTAACCCTCTTTTGTTTCTGATCCAGCTACGACCGCCTCTCCCCACCATTCAAAGCCTTTCTCGAGTCCCTCACCGCGACATGCGCCCAACCCGTGTTCCGCTCGGCCTCTGAAGCCGGCGGCTACGAACTCATGTCCCCGCGCGGCTCCCCCCTGAACGTCGGCGACAAATTCTCCCCGATCCATCCCGTCATCCGCACCCACCCCGTGACAGGATGGAAATCGCTCTTCGCGGGAGTCGGATTGCACGTCACGCGCATCAACGACGTCTATTCGTACGAAGACCAAATGATTCGTGAATACGTCTTGAGACTGATTACTCGCAACCACGACTGTGTTGCACGTATGCATTGGACGAGACAGGCCTGTGCGATTTGGAGCAATGCGTGTACTTTGCATGCTGCTACTGTAAGTATTGACACTTGAGTGACTGGTACGCTTGACGTGATTTATGGACTGTCTAACGACTTTTTATTAGCCCGACACCCATCTCGTCAGCGGCAATCGAGTCGGCGTCCGCGCATCCGGCGTCGGCGAGAAACCGTACCTTGATCCCGCGTCGACGGGCAGGAGAGAGGCGCTTGGGTTGCCGAGGGTTTGATACAAAGGGACCGAGAGAGAGAGAGGGAGGGGGCAGAGGAGGAAGAGGTCACTGTGTCATTTTTATGTCGGTGGCCCCTCCCTGGAAGATTCTGTGTTTTTGGATCAATCAGCCTTGCAAGCCTGGTTTCCCATTCGGGGTTGGTTGGATTGAGTATCCCATTTCTGCCCAGCTCTTGCTTTTTATACCAGTCATTGTATGCAGCAGGATCAGCGCTCTAATCCCATCGAGAAAGATAACTTGCCGTTTCTCTTGCCTAGCTGGTAACTTTGAGTCTCGTTATACGTTACAGTATGCACATGGTACCTACTACTATTGTGTTTGCAGACTCCTTCCCACAACCTAGGTATGTTATCACTTTGTTAGGTATTCAAACGCATCTTGGACGCTTGTGCCTTAGTTTCTACTTTGATAGTTGCTCAACCAACTAGATTCGTCGAATACCAGTTCCGGGTACCTACCTGCCAGTGAGATACCTAGGTATGGTTCAGCACAGAGCACACAGCAAACGTGATCAGTCATCGTCTCTCCTGAGCTTGGCAGCCTTGTCTGTCAGTGCGTGCAGTGGACCCGATTGAATCCTCCGGGTCTTGCCGGAGAAAATAATCGAAAGGCCGTATTTATGCATATAGACAGCGCCGCGCCTGTGTTGGAGCTGAAAAAAAATGCAATTGAAATGCGGATCTGAACAAGTCTTTCAACAACTTTTATCACAGGACCATTTTCTCAAGCACGCACGTCTCACAGCTCGTTTCATGTCCCCTCTTGCGCCTAGAACTCCATAACCGTTATTGTCAATACCATGTTCACCTTCTCCATCACCACTGACATTCAATCTCGTCCGAATCTCTCTTCGACTGCCTTTGCAGATAGCCAGGTTGGCCACCACAAGCGCTAGTGTTCTGCTTGAACAGCACCGTCTCCATTCCCCTCATCAGCTGCAACATCTATCTTGGGGACCCGTGCCTGTTGGACAGCCTTGCCGTTGGTGTCAGGAAGCTTGGCCTCGTGGGCCTTATTGTCCTTTGTCTCGGCAAGCTTGGCTGCATGAGCATTATTGCCATTGACCTGTTTGGTGCCTTTGCCTGGAGCCCCTGCATCGTCCTTTACTGCAACTACATCACCATTCTTGATAGTGACCATAGCGCCATTGTTTACAGCATCGACGAGCCCGTTGTCGTGCTGGACATGGGCGGCTGCATTTGCTTTCGAAGCTTGTCGACGACCTTTCCAGTATGGTCTCTTCTTGCCCTTGGATCGACGTTCGCGTGTGGATCGGGTGACCCCATCAGGAGGAGTATTCTCTTTCTCAGATGTGGTGCCATTGCTGATCCCCTTTCCCTCATCCTCATGACTTGTATCCGAGGTTACTGCAATCGTGATTGGACTGGTGGAAGAGTGGCCTGAAGTATCCTTCCCTGCGCCTTTCTCCTTGACGTTGCCGTTAGGTTCCTCTCGGTTTGCTCGCGATATCTCCTCGCTGCCTCGCGTGGCCTTTCGTTCAGGGGTTTGCCCGCCATTGGTACCATTGCGGGAGCTACGTGCAGCTCGACGATCTCTCTTAGCCTGATTGAGAGCACGGCGTGGCGAAAGCTCACTCTCTCCTCTCATGTAGGCAACAGCACGCACGATGGTGTCTTTGGCCTACATCACCGAAGCGGTCAGTCATGTTGGGCCAAAGCATTGTTCGTATTACTTACAATGTATTCGGCATTCATGATTTGAATCAGACTTCCGGTGAAAGCTGCCAAGTCCATGACCTCTTCATGAGTGAGCCCAGTCTTCCCGTTGTGGATTGAGCGGATCCTGGTCATCATGGCACGAATCTCCTTCTCAGTAGAGGCATCGAATTTGGGAATGCTGTAGACTGGGCCCTCGGCCGGGGTCGTGGCATTCATGGCAGGAGGCGTGCTTGTTCCATTTTCCGGGGCTGCTGTCTCAACTGGGGCAGGGGAATCAGCCTGCTTGTTGTCGCGAGAAAGGCGAGTGTCTTCGGCGTTTGATATGGTCTTCAGTGTGTTCCCAGAGTCAGTCTGCTCAGAGGTGGCAACAGCCTTGGTAGAGTGGTCATCGGGCATGGTGGAGGCTTGTTCAGGCATGACTCGATTGCAGTCTTACAATAGAATGGGAGAATAGGGAGGTTGAAGCTTTGAGTCGTTCTGTAAAGCAGCCTTCGTATGGTTTTGAGATTAGATGAAGGAGACAGAACAGTGTGATATGAAGGAAAGGTGAGCATGGACGGCTACAGGCACAGGGAGTCCGCTCCAAGTTAAAGTTTGGTGCCTGGACAGTTTGCTGCCAGGAAGACAAAGAAGGCAAGCACATACCCGCAACAAGGCAAGCGAAGGCAGTTTGGTCAGAGAGGATCACCGCCGCAGCAGCACGTAACAGACCGCAGGCGCAGGCGCAGGCACACAAGAGAGTCAGGAAGAGGGCGCACTTTGACTGAGCTGATTGCTTTGGAAGGATGCATCTACACCTCAACCGAACACCTCCGACCCTGCCGTTGGCCACTGGCAGAATCAGACAACCACCTACTGCTCGCCTTTCCGTGGCCTTGTCTCTCACACTTACTTTGCAAACGGAGCATCAAGACAACCTCAACAGTACTTCGATCGACCATATGGTAGGCAAGTGGGCTCTCAAGATCGCATTTCTAGTCATCGAGACTTGCCTGATGGAGCGTTTGGCTCTTCCAACTCGACTCCACAAAATCTCACATCCATCCTCGAACGCTCTTCCTCATGACATACAGTCCCGTAGACACTGCACCACTGCAGTCCATAATGCAGCCCTGGTGATCAGGTCTGGAGGGACACGAGATGGGGCGAAATCATCGTCTGGCTCCCTGGGGCCAGCGCTTTGAGTGGACAGCACGTAATCGGCAAACCTGCTGCTAGTAGAGGGACACCCGCCAAATGGCCGACAATTTGCCATACAATAATCAATAACGGACGTGGGGTGCTCGTCTCCTACCTCAGGTCTGACCCCAGCATGGCAAGTAAATAGCAAGATACTCATAACAATCGTCCCTCTTGATATCGCTTCTCATCCGCCATGGCTAGCCTTCTCAAGAAACCGTTCAAGCTCGCGCTGATACAGCTCGCATCAGGTAAGTGGTGAGTGCTATTTCTCGAACGCCGCCCTGCAGATATACTGATGCGCAATCAGGTGGTGACAAAGCGGCAAACCTGGCCCATGCTCGGACAAAGGTTGTCGAAGCAGCAAAAGCCGGTGCCTCCTTGATTGTACTTCCCGAATGTTTTAACTCTCCGTACGGCTGCCAATACTTCCCGAAATATGCCGAGACTGTCCTTCCTTCCCCGCCGTCCAAAGAGAAGTCACCGTCGTGGCATATGTTATCCTCTGTCGCGGCAGAGACAAAGACATACCTAGTGGGTGGGAGTATCCCAGAGTTTGTACCAGAAACCAAAGAATACTTCAACACCTCATTGGTATTTGGACCCACGGGCCAACTTTTGGCATCCCATCGTAAGGTACACCTGTTCGATATCGACATACCGGGGAAAATCAAATTCAAAGAAAGTGATGTGCTGTCTCCGGGTAACAAGGTGACGATAATTGATCTGCCAGAGTATGGTAAGATTGGGCTTGCGATTTGCTACGATGTCCGCTTCCCAGAACTCGCAATGATTGCCGCGAGGAAAGGGGCTTTCATGTTTGTCTATCCTGGGGCTTTCAACACTACGACTGGTCCCATGCATTGGTCTCTTCAGGCTCGTGCCAGAGCCATGGATAACCAGATCTACGTGGCCATGTGCAGCCCTGCCCGGGACACCGAAGCAACATATCATGCCTACGGCCACTCTATGATTGTCAACCCGAATGCCGAAGTCTTGGCCGAGGCGGAGGAGCATGAAGATATCGTCTATGCCGAGATTGATGGTGCCAAGATCGAGGAGACTAGAAAAGGCATTCCCATCTACACTCAGAGGAGGTTTGACGTCTATCCTGACGTGAGTGCTGGAAAAGTGCGATATGAGGAGTGAAGCCTGGAACGTGCCGTGGGAACTCCCAATGGATAGCCTTATGGCTAGTCGGCAACTGTCACTCTTCGAGCTCGGAACGAGGAGTGCGGTAGGCGGTATATCCGGCGGATGCATCATGCATACTGCGTAGTAGAAGAGCACGATGGAGCTGATGCAACACCAGCCACCAATCGCCACCTCAACCCTGCTCAATATGGACTCCAAAGTCTACTCCTTTAATAGATGACGATTACTGAAGATGTGTACTAATGTGCAGTGTACTATGTTACAAGCCTGGAAGCTGTACGTTGTACTTGAACATTGTAAACTGAACCCGCTTTTTAGGTGGCTCCAACGGTGGCTCACAAGCGCGGGGAGATTAGAATCACGATCACGTGAGCAAGTCTTGGCATAATTTTCCATTTGTGGTTAGCCCACACTTTCAGAAAGTTCCGCCCCGGCTGCGCCCAAATTCAAGTTCCTTGCTCGATTTCAATCCGCAGCCGACCTTTCTCTCTCGACGTCCACCAACTCGCCGGTTATCCCAGAACTCCGTTCAGTCCATTTGCTCGACTCACATGTAAGTGCTATCTTGGGCTCTACAGCCTTCCCGAAGTACTAGTTTCAGGCTCTTGTCGCAAAGATCAACCACTAATCAACCGCGTGCGCATTGCAGAACCGCCAAAATGGTCAAAGACAACCCCAAGACGCAGCCCAAGAAGACGACGGCTTCCAAGAAGTCGCGCTCTGCCATCTCCGACGTCGTCGCCCGCGAGTACACCATCCACCTGCACAAGCGAGTATGTTCCTATTTACCCTGAGCTCGAAGACTGGAGGGGACCCTCTCCCCTCGCCTGTCTTTCTCTCCCAACCATCCACAAATTCCATGAGAAGAAGAGGTGGACAATCTTCAAGAAAATCAGTTTTATGAAGTCCACCCGAATGGCTTGTCTTGGAAAAAAAGAAACATCACCTCCCTCGCGTCTGTATCGATCATCAAGCATTTTGGACGGAAGACTGATTTATACACTTTTTCTATAAAGGTTCATGGCGTCAGCTTCAAGAAGCGAGCGCCGCGTGCGATCAAGGAAATCCGCAAATTTGCCACTTTGGCCATGGTACGTTCTTCCATCTCTACACCGCGTCGTCCATCTTGACGGTTGCGGTTGGGTTCATTGGCACTTGTGATTGTTAATTTACTAATCATATTTTCTACTGTACAGGGCACCAGCGACGTCCGCCTCGACCCGCAACTGAACAAGAAGGTCTGGGAATCCGGCATCAAGGGTGTTCCCTTCCGTCTGCGTGTGCGCATCAGCCGCAAGCGTAACGACGAGGAGGGTGCCAAGGAGAAGTTGTACAGCTACGTCCAGGCCGTCAACGTCAAGGAGAAGGAGGCCAAGGGTCTGCAGACCGTCGTTGTCGAGGACTCATAGACAACTCCACTCCCATGATCTACTCCCCAGTTCGATCCAGCGATCAGTTCAGGGGTTGCTAAGACGTCCGTCCCTTGTTTTGTGGTACGACAATGACGATACGACAAGACAAGGATGGGTGATCCGTCAGAATGGAGTTGGGATTAGTGGTTGTGATGTGGCGTGGCATGGCATGGCGGATGTTGTGTCATGCCGCTGGTGCGAACGGAAAGCGTGGGCCGTCACCTGGAGTACTTTCAAGGTTGCGGTCCACAACTCCTGGCCCTTTGGCCTGTGAGAAGATGGAGTTCTCTTTTTCCCCAGGAACTCTTGCAAGGCGGTTGTGGGCAAATCCATAGGTGGAGAGGGCGACGACAGAATCAGAGCCGACGCCCCATCGGCAATGCAGTGGCTGGTCTCAAAAGAGCCATCCGATTCTTGTGTTACCATGATCAGATTGCCCTGGGAGACCAAAAAAAACTCAATCAGTGATGGAGCCCCGCAAAAATGAAAATCTTTCATGCACACACAGCTATGTTGAATCTTCTTTCCCTGTGTTCTTTCATTGTCGTTCTCTGTCTAGTAAAAGTCTCCGTATTGCTTTAATCGTTACATGTTGGCCATTGATTTGATTGCAGAGGCGGATGGTAATACTAGTACTGCCTCAATCTTCCAGCCAGATCTTGCGCATCAATAAATCTGTTGGATGGAAGATATCCAAAGAATGGCAATTGAACGCTTCAAGTTCCGAAGAGTCGACTCGAAATCCACGAATTTCACGCAAAGGGCACGCAATACTACAGAATCAAGAACTTTCTTCATTCAAAGCCCTTTACGGGCGCTAATTTATCAACACAATGCCATCTGAATGAAGTACAATGAATTCCTGCCGCCCAAGAAAGGCTGAGCAGGTACAACCCACGACAGTGTATGTACGGCTTGTTCTGGTTCCAATCTCAAGCCACTGCAGAAGCACCGGGGCCACATACTCTCTGATCACGCATACCTCCACCATAGAACATCTGCAATTCTTGACCATTTTGAAGATTGTGTGATGTCCGGAGCAATGATTGTTTCGGCTAGTGTAGCCCATAGTCTCTGCGAGGGAATGAAAACCGAGGCTGGCAGGATCTCGATGGCAACGTCAAGCAATAAAGCGACGGCGCCAGAGTTCACCACCACTGACCCCCATCCAATTCTCTTTGAAACATGGCATCTCAACCCCACACCCAACCATCACTAGGATCCATCACAACTGTTCGTTGATATTTTCAGAGTAAGGGCAGTCTCAGTCAGACACGAGGCCGAGGTGTGATAAGGCAGCTCGACTGGCACTCTTGCGAGTACCAGGAGACAGAATCCTCATCATACCTCAACCCCCGGACATCAGTACTTCCCTCGAACCCGTGGGTGCGAATTGAAGCGTAAAACAGGCAGATCGACCGACTCTTGTGAGTCGGGAGCACAGTCCTTTTCGCTTCGGTCCAAACGGAGCTGCAGCAGCGAGGTGGTGTCTTAGAGAGCTTGTCACATTGAGTATCATGACCACCTTGTCCAAATACAGCGCAGGGGTATGTAGCAACCAACACTTCCGGCGATCTCGATGATTGAAGCCAGCCCTTGTCAGGCGCACTATACACGGCGAGGGAAGTTGTCAACCAAGTAGGGTGCCGATCGTGAACCAGATGGAGGTTCATCCAACGGTCAGATGCTGTAAACTTGGCGATTTGACAAAGCAACAATTTGCATGCGGATGAAACCCATCCATGGTGTTCTTCTTCTTACACAGAAACAGCAAATTTTTGCTCCTTAAATAAACAAACACGAGTGCATCCCAATTCTGCTTATGTAGACACAAAATGGGAAAGTGTCTCAAGCACTCGCACTCTTGTTGTCTTCCATCAACTTTGCTAGTTCGGAAGCCATATCTGGGGTCTTGACCTTCAATACCCAGCGGACGAGGTTACCCTTGTAGAAAAGGGGTCCCTTGACAGCACCGCTCTTGCTGGTAGACGCATTCTCGTAAGCGACGCCGTCAACAAGATGAGAATTGATGAGGATGTTTGCGTTGGGTTCTACACGGAAAACAATACGAGTCTTCCCTGTCTCCTTATGCTTTAGGAGCCGTATCTGACCGACACCCATGGAGTTCCAATCATTAGGGTTGAGTTTGGTTCCCTGGGCCATTTCTTTGGTCACGAACATTACGGCTTTTGAGCGCCCTTCCCAAAGACATGACTCGTTCTCTTCTCCTGCTCGGGACTCCATCAATGATGCTTGAGGGTCTTCAGGCGTCTCATCAGTCTCGTTGGTGGCAACGGATTCATTGTCTGTCACACCAGGAGAGGTAGCGCGCGAAGACACGGCAGAGCTACCGGCCGAACCGCCCCCAAGGTGTGAAATGGCTCCAAGAAAGCCCGGCGCAGGCGTAGAGGAGTTTGGTACGCCGAATTGGAAGCCAACTTGATTGGAAGTCTCCGTGTTCTTTGCCGTAGTCGATGGAGTACCAAACAGTGAGCCGAAAGGCTTTGGGGTTGACGAGTCGTTGTCTCTCGGTGATGCGGAGGTGAACTTGAATGTCGGACCATTCGAACTATTGTTGCCACTCCCAAACGAGATAGGTGCGCCTTCTTTCCAAGTGTTATCAGTCCCAGCAGGAGAAGTGAGAATTGACTTGGCCAGATTGTTGTTTTTGTCCGCATTGCTAGGCGTGCTGGGTCGGGAACCGAAAAGGCCCTCTCCGGGAACAGGGCCTCCTTTAGTCACACCTCCAGCAAATATTGAAGCACCTGGTGTCTGTGCAGCCGTCGTGGTAGCTGGAGTGGGGGTGAAATTGAATGTGGAGGCTGGCTTATATCCAGACTTAGCGGCCCCTGTGGCTGGAGTGATGGGTGAGAAAGTAGGAGCTTCGGGCGTGGATTTGCCAATATGAGATCCCCACACAGCTGGGGGAAACGAAGAGTTCTTCGCCGATTGAAAAATTGGAGGGGTGGACCCGGTGCCCGATCCTTCCTCATTGCTGGCTTGCCTGTCTGGATTGGGCTCTATCCGATCGAACAAGCTTTTGCCTGCATTTGTTCGTCCAGCAGATCGATCCAAGGCCTTTTGTAAATCATTGTAATCATCTTCCTCTCCGTCCTTATCGTCCGAGGAAGCTTGATTTGCTTGATAACCATAAGGATATTCTTCGGCTGCATCGTCGCTGCTTTCAGATTTGTCCTCCTCGTCCTGATCGGCTTCATCCTTAGTGTAGCCGCTGGACTCCCCTTCACCATCTTCGTCCTCTCTCTCGGTATCATCCTTACTGAAACCGCCGGACTGGTTGCGATAACGGTCCTCCCTGTCGCTTTCATCCTTACTGAAATCGCCAGGTTGGTTGCGATCGCTGTCCTGACTGTCGCTTTCATCCTTACTGAAACCGCCAGATCGGTTGCGATAACTGTCCTTATCTTTTTCGTTCTGAGACTGCTCACCGCTTGTCCCGGTAGAGCTTAGAGCAGCAAACGGGTTTGCATCTTTTTGGTTCTGAGACTGCTCACCGCGGGGGCCGGTAGAACTGAGAGCAGCAAAAGGGTTGTGGAAAGGTGCCATGGCAGGTAAGCCGGAGAAGCCAGGTCTGCTAAACGCTGGCTTCTGGGCAACAACGGGGCCCGAGATTCCGAATTTGTTTGCCGGCTTAGGAGTTGCAGTGCCGGCGGACACCGACGCGGAAGGCGTAGACGCAGAGGTCGACGACTTTTCAGATGCAGATGCAGAGCCAGAGGCAATCTTGGGAGTAAACCCACCCTTCGCAACGGATTCGAATTTGGCTCTCTTTGCCCGCATCTCCTCCTCGGCTTGTTTGCGAAATGTTTCCTCATCATCTTCGTCAGAATCAAAATCCTCTGCTTTTCGTTTCTCTATCAGGTTCTTCTCAAATTTCTCCGCGTTCTCCTTGGCCTTGGCTCCGAATGCACTCATGAAATTAGTGCCCCCCGCACCAAACTTTGGAACTTCAAAAACAGGCTTCTTTGGAGGAGACTTTGTGGGCGTAGTCGAAGGAGCCGCAGTACTAGGCTGAGGACCAGAAGTTATCTGAGAGAAGGGGTTGTTGTCTTGGGGAGCTGGCTCCGGGCGGCTTACACTGGAGCTCGGACCTTTTTCGGGAATTATCTCGTTGAGCCGCGCCGTAGCTCGCGATGAGTTTGAGTCATTGGGTGCCTGGTCAGAATTTGGCTGCTGGGGAGTGAAACCAGTTCCGAAAATAGAAGATGATTTGGACTGGGTCGTGGTCGTCTGTGGACCATTATCTGAACGTGTTCGTTTATTTGACGGAGGTCGCTCATCATCAGCATCAATGCGGTCACCTTTGCGCTTTGTGCCTGCCAGATTTCGTGTGTAGAGTCCCAAGGACGCGCCAATGCTGTCACGGGCTGCAACATAGTGACGGATAATGTTATCGAAGTCGTAAGAGCGCGGGTCTAAAGTTGCCAGCTTTTGTTGTAACCCAGCATTCAGAGAATGGAGACGGTAGTTTCGATCGTACTCGCGGTAGCGTTCGGCATCCAGGTGACTAGGAATAAACGGGGGTGCCTTCGTGTACACAGGTGTCTTCGAAGGCTCTGAGGTGGAGGGCGGCATGTCATTCTTGAGTGAAGGTCTCGAAGACGACGATGAAAGTTCGGCTCCGGAAGACCTATTGCCCACATCTGCAGCAGATTTGGGGGTTGCCGAGAACAAGCTGGAAGCAGTACCTTGCGCTGGTTTTTCCGAGTGACCTGGCGTGGATTCTTCACGCTGAACGGGCCCTTTTCCAGCATCCGTAGCATTCGCGGGCTTACCAAACAGTTTTCCGGCTCCTCCACTCTCACCTGTGCTATTATTCTTCGCGGGCGAGAAAAGGCCGCCGCTAGATACAGGCGTGCTTGTCGCGGAAAAGCCGAATGTTGGTTTTGTGACAGGACTGGCAGCCTCCTTGGATTTGTCACTTCCGTTGCTGGTTTCGGAAGCCCCCTGCTTGGATCCAAAGGAGAACACACTGGAAGACTTCGGCTCGCTCGACTTAGATTCTGCAGTGCTGGCAGGTCCTGCGGGAGGTGCACCCGTTGCGCCAAAAGTAAATGAACCTTTTGATACGGACGTGCCTTCGGCCTCGGTAGATTGTGCTGCTTGCGGCATCTGACTTGTGCCGAAGCTGAAGGCTGGCTTCGGTGTTGCGGAGGGTTTTTCTGTGTCTGCCGACCCTGAAGTGCTCGATGGCTGTGCTGAGGCGCCGAACGAGAAGCTTGACTTCGAGGACGAAGAAGGCTCTGTCGCTTTGTTGGCACTGGGTGATCCTGAAGGTTGGCTGGGCGCACCAAAATTGAAGCTTGGCTTGGAAACCGGCGCAATCGGCGGCGTACCTGCGCCCGCAAATAGTGAAGCAAAAGGATTCGCTGATGCCTGCGCAGCCGGCTCCGAAGACGAAGTCGTAGACTTTTCTGGAGAGGCGCTTTGTTCCTGAATACTAGCTTCCGGTTGCGACGTGTTTGTGGACGTGCCAAACAAAGGAGGCGCTGATTTACTCTCATCGCTCTTTGCTGCGCCACCTGAACCACCAAAAAGACTGCTCTGGGTCGACGTGGTTTGACTCTGGCCGAAAGAGACAGGAGCGGCGGGCGCGGCTCCGAAGCCTGCGGTTGGGGTCTGACCACCACTCATGTTGCCAGAACCGAACAGGTTGCTGCTAGCAGAGCTTTGACCAAAAGTGAATTTCGGTTGCTCGCCCGATGGCTGAGTCTCGGTCACTTGCCCACCTCCGAAGGATGGCATAGGACTTTGGGGGACTGATGTGCTCTGACCAAAAGTGAAGCTGGGCGCAGAGGTCGGCGCAGCAGCATTGTTGTTTGTCTGACCGAATGTGAACGAAGATGCCGGGCTTTGTGGGGTGGATGCGCCCTGACCAAAGCCACCAAAAGAAGGTTGAGATTGTGCGGGTTGACCAAATGGGTTGCTCGGAGGTTGCGAATCTTCTGGCTTGGATATACGCCCAAACAAGCCTCCGCCGCCCGAGCCTGCAGTATTGTTTGCACTCTGGTTCGCCCCAAAAGCGAAAGATCCGTTTGGTTGCTGTTGCGCTGCCTGTCCAAAAGTGAAGCTTGGACCCGTATTGCTATTCATATTATTTGAACCAAATGCGTTGCCGAACGCTGCCTTCTTTTGAGGCGACTCCATAGAGACGTCTTGCCCTGCATTCATTGAAAAACTGGAGCCGTTTATCGATGAAAAAGGATTAGGGGTTGTCGTTGGCACGCCAAAGTTGAAGGTGCTCGACTGCGGGGGTTGGAAGTTGAAGCCACCGTTGGCGTCAGAGGAAGGATTTTGAGTGCTTGAGCCGAAGTTGATGCCTGCGTTCAGGCCGGGAAATGTTTGTTGCGGGATGCCGTTTCCGAAAGTAGTCGTGCTACCACCGCCAAGCGAGGAGTTATGTGAAGATCGGTTGGCATTAAGCCTGCCTTTAGGTGTCGCAATCCTGCAGACCAATCAGTATCATCCTTCCGGCGCGAGCAGGACAAAATCAAGCAAATAATTTTACAATGAGAGATGGCAATGGGGATAGCTCCGGACTCAATCACGGAGCCAGGAATCGACCCTAAGATTGTTCATTCCAGGAGGGCAACAACAATAACAACGCAGACGCGCCAATGAAGCAACAGAATCGACCAAGGCGGTGTACTCACTTCCTCCTCGCGAGCTGCGCTGCTGTAGACATTGCGGGCTTCTCTTCGCCAGAATTGGCGTTGGCTATTGACCCGTGTTCCTTGGTGATGTATTCGTCGGCGCCACGTTTTGGCATGTCACTGGCGGCCGAAGGACGGCCGGGGGACAGAGGTAAGGAGGGTCAGGACTTGGTGAGGATGTACCATCGAGACGGGGACTTCGGCGGGAGGGTAGGTGTCGATACCGGCGTGTTTGAACAGAGGGCGCCGAAGAGCTGCAATGATGATGTTCAAGTTCGCTCAGCGCTGTTGTGACCCGGGCTCCTTCGACGCCCAAAAAGATTCGAGTCTAACAAGCTCGGCTTGGCGACGGTCAGATCACGTGCTGGCGACACTACTACTACTGTACTGCGACTGGCAGCCAGAGAATCTATGTCTTCTGTCTGTGATCACCCTCTCCTCGATTTACTAGTAATTTTGAGCTTCAACTTTTTCGTGGGAGAGAACAAGGTTGATTCTACAGACTTGTTTTGCGACACGCAGTCTAGATTGATGGGAATATGTTGACAGTTATAGTGAGTGAATAGGCCGGTGGGAATATTATTCTATTACTACAGTACCACTGGCACCACTGCCTTCACATTCACTTCACTTCACTACCTGCAGCCGGCGAGGCAGTGTCAGGGACCGGCACTGTCGCTCGACTACAAGTCTGAGCTCACGCTCATACAAGCCTTGACTATTCTATACCCAGCGACCATTGTCCTGCATCATTTAGTGTGTTGAGGGAACGCAGATGGCAACAGATCCCCTGTGGTGGTTACGTGGCACTGCTGGGATCAAGCTTCTTATAACTTCAAGAGTTGCCTATATAAGCTCGTGGTTTGAAGCCAAGGGCTATATCAGCCGTTTCTTGAGCAGCGGCGTCGATGCAGACGCCTGCGCCGTACTGTCTTTGCTTCATTTGGCTGCCTGAACAGGGCAGCACTTGCTCCAGGCAACAAAGGTAGGTGAAGATTGTCGCTACTACTGCATATCCTCATAGGTAATAATTGTAAAACAGAGAGAGAGTACAAAAAAGGGCCAACTTTAATCCTGTTATTGGAAGGGAGGCAACGTAAGAGTCCCTACCTAGGTAAGGTATTCCTGTTTGACATGACGTCCAGGCACCTCCGCTTATACAGAATTGGACCAGAAAGTAATCAAAGCACCGGTTACAGCTGTAGCTTGTACCATTGGCCATGTAACGCGGCTGAAGTGGTTCGAGACGCAGAGCCGATGCGGTGTTGCATGATCAACGTCATGGGTAGACAACAGAGAGACCTGGGGGAGATGCTGTGCTACCTGAACAAGAGGGTTGGCGTATTCTTCGGAGGATTATGAAGGACCCTGTGATGGCTTCAGCTGTACCTCCATATCACCAGCTTGGGGTAGCAAACATGCCTCACAAGTTGACAACGCTTGTACGAAAGCGGCTGCACACATATCGGAACGGCGATGGCTGTCTCACTTGTTGCATGAGAACGTAGTCCCTCATTGCTCGGATGAGTGGCCCTGTTGTCACGTAATCATCATGATTGGACAGCTTGATATGCCCCGTACCCCGACTGCTGGAGCCCGACGCCTCAGAGAGGGTATAGTCAGCAATACGGATCTGATCAGTTGTGGATGGTGGTCATGGTGACATGAGCGGTCAAGGCCAGCGTTGCTGTTACAGAATGATGCACGGGTACAACGTTGGTGTAGTTTGAGTCTTTGAGGCACGCGGGTTTACCTTGGCGACTGCCATACAAGGGTACCTACCTAGGTACCTGGGTAGGTATCTATTCTGCAAGTATGGATCGAGCCAGCCATTTTTTCTCCTACACCCTGGATATGCATGGCTCCCGACCTCACATTCGACCCGGTACTGGGAGCCGTTGTTACCTGGGTATCGAATAATGTTTGCCTATGGTGTTGCAGAAGCAGGCTGTGGAGGCTGAACAGCCGTGCCAGGCCAGGGATGAGCTTTGTTTAGAATTTGAAGGGCAAAGCCTCGCTATAGGCCAGCTGTTGGCTAGCCCGAACCAGCTTGCGCTCTCCCGCAAACGAGGGTGCTAGTTTCTCCCCCAGCCTACAACATCGCCGGCTGCTGACCGAATAATGGCGCAGCGAGGCTGGAAACTGATACTAGTACGGTAGTAGCCACCTGGTAGGGAGGGATGTCGTTCCGCCCAGCCTGAGCGTCCCAATGTTCCCGCCTCCCAAAAATAACCCTGTTAGCCTGACATAAGCCTGATGTTAGCGCCCTGTTAGCTTTTGAGTTTCGCCATTCGGCCGCTGCGAGACGAGCATGGGCTGACATTAGCATGCGCCATGCCCGGCGCGGTTAGCTCGGCACATTATCAGCCCACCGCACTAAGCCTCCTACGACAAAACAACCACAACCACCATCCATCTGATTGTGGCTTCGACTTCAGTTTCCCATCTTCGATAGTTCCCACCCTCCGCTCACCCACTGCATCCTTCATGCATCCCGCCTTGCAACCTCGTACTTACGGCTGGATGCGTCGGCAAGAAATAAGGTAGCAGGTAACAGTAATCCTGGGTACTGGCTCCATCCAGACGAGCCTGCGATTTGTATTTATTCAGGTGGTTGTTCCTCTCTTGCGTTTCCCAGTTGTCCAGTTGTTTTCCATCCCATCGATCCATCTGTCTCTCTCCCAGGCTCACAGACCGAGTGACTGGGACTCTTAGTTGGTCCCTTCATAAGCTACACAACTACAGCAAATACCCGCGTTGACCCTTCAGCCTCTCCTCACCATGCTTTCCTCTCTTGTGTCTGTGCTTGCAGCCACTGCCCTTCTCTCCTCCTCTCTCGTCTCAGCCGCACCCCAGAATCTGCGCCATGCCCGGTCAGCAGAGGCCAACCCCGGCTCCGGCTGGGGATATCAAACATGCAACTCAGAGACGATCCGAACACGAGTAGACTTCAACAGCATGGCACCAGCCGAGCGCAAAGCATACACCGACGCAGTCAAATGCCTGATGGGCAAGCCATCACAGCTTGACCCAGCACAATACCCTGCCGCCATCAACCGATACATGGACTATGCAGTGATCCACGTCAACCGCACACAGTACGTGCACTTGGACGCCTTCTTCCTGACGTGGCACCGCTACTTCCTCTGGCTGTACGAATCAGACCTTCGACAAAACTGTGGATATCAAGGCGCATTCCCGTACTGGGACTTCGCTGCGACTGCGTCCGACCCACACGCATTCCCAATCTTCGATGGATCCGAGTACTCTATGTCCGGCGACGGACTGTATGACAACACAGGTCCCATCACGCTTGGTGCGAACCTGACCATCCCGCACGGCACGGGCGGCGGCTGCGTGACGACGGGTCCTTTCGCCAACATGATTGCCCCGATCAAGTTCATCGACCCCAGCAATCTCACCACGGGCACTTTGCCTCCCGATGCGTTTGCGTACAACGAGATCTGCCTGCAGCGCGACCTCAACGCCTACGTGTCACAAACATACACCAACCAAGCCGAGCTGACGGCCGCCGCGCACGCCAGCAACGCTTCTGAGTTTGAGTTCCTCCTCAACGGCATCATCGGCAGTTCCAGCTTGGGCATCCATTCCGGCGCCCACTTCTCCATCGGCGGCCAGATGAACAGCATCCATGTCTCCGCCCAGGATCCCATCTGGTACCCCTTGCACACCATGATCGATAGGGTCTACACAAGCTGGCAGACCAACTACCCCGAACTCGCGGACCAGCTCGACGGCAGCACAGGCACCGCCCTCAATATACCACCCAGCCCTGTCGTCACTCTCGACACCGTTGAACCTGACTGGGGATACTTCCAACTCAACCCCATCCAGGTCAAGGAATTGATCAGCACTACTGCCGGCCCCTTCTGCTACCAGTATGACTCGATCATTTCCTGAAGACATCACGCACGCATTGCTTGATCAGATCCAACATTAACTCCATGGCTTGTCATGTTGACTGGCACTGTTTTTTATGAATTGACACAACGCATGTCTGTATGAAAGCCATATTGTACATAGAGGCGCGGGGCATGATTGATCCTTTTCGCCGCCAGCCCGACGCAAAGGACAAAAGGGACGAAAAGGTGATGGATGGCACTGGTGAGACCACAGCACGCAACACATACCTTAATGATTAAATGGGCGGATGGAATGAATGGACAAACAAAGGGGAAAACTCAATTGAGCGTCATTTTTACCTCGACTTTTGCTTTCTCTACTTTCCAAAGCTCAGTTGACCGCTAGCTACTCTAATGCATCAAATAAGACATTGTCCCTTGAAATAAAATGCATCTCTCTTCCGTCAATCCCAAAGCCCTAGCCTCTTGCCCGACTTTTTCCAACACCGCTGCTGCTGCGCCAACGCCACCGACCAGCAATTTTTCGTGTACTACCTAAGTCTCCATCCATATCATCAACGTTCATACAGACCAAGGAGATTCTAAGCAGTACTCGGTAAGCAGCTTTTTAGTGCCTCTTCAACCGAAACTGACTCATCCACCTCCTCTCGTCCGCCTGCCTTTCGAGCGCCTGCCGCATGGTCTTCGAGTAGATCTCCGCGCGCTCGCGCTCCTCACGTTCAGCGGTATCCTCGCCCTCCTCCAACTCCCTGATGAGTTCTTCATGGTCGGCGAACTGCGGATTCGTGCTGACGATGCCGATGCGCTCGCCCGTCCAGACCAACAGATCGGCATCGCCGCGACGGCCGCGCTCCGAGTCCGGGACGTTGAGCGGGATGATTTTGCGCGCAACTTGGTCGCCATTGATGGAGCCACCGGTAGGGCTGGTCTGGAAATTGTTGATGTTCCATTTGCGCACGAGGCTGCGGCCGTCGCGCTCGACCCACTTCAAGCCACCTTCGGAGTCGGAAAAGACAATCTTGGTCCCGTGCGATGCCACAGACAGTAGTTTGGATTTGGCTGCCTCTTGTCGGTTTTTGTAGCTGAACAGCGACGATGAGTCCTCCTTGGACTCGGAATTGTAGTCCATTGGAAAGTCGGGTTCTCCTTCTTCTCCTTCGGACGATGATGTGGAAGAAAAGGTGCCGTTGGCGTTGCTGTTAGTATTATTGCCTTTGCTATGAGGTAGTGAATATAGTTCGAGAGATCCGCGGCCTCGGTACTCGCCGCATGCAACCAGCGTCGAAGTCGCTCCGCTTCCAGGCCCAGCTCCAGCTGGCGGGTAAGGGATCGAGGTCAATGCCGAAAGGCTACCGCCGGAGTGGATGACGTATTGGAGACGAGGGAAGTAGCGTCGGTCGTAGGATAAAATGCTGGGAAACCGGCCGGCAATGAGGATCTCATTGTCCGAATGGTGTAGGATCGATAACGGTCCGGGTTCGACTTTGGCGTAGGCCATCCAATGATGGCTTGCAGACCGGTATGGGTCACGCGAAGTTGTATCTGAGATTCCGTTCGGCCTCGGTCTGGGATAGGTCGGTGGGAGGGGATGGGGATTCCGGGAATGTGAGAAGTCTGGAAGAATGGCTGTCGAACGGCCTGGGACTTCATCCACGCGTTCACGCAAGGACTCGCTGGAAAGGGCAGTGCTCGGAATTCGAGGGTCGAGGATATGGAGACTCCATTGCGTGCCTATTGTCAGAGGTAAGTCCGGCGACGTTGATTGAGACAATGCCGTTATCGGGTACTTGTACTTGACACTTGAGACGACCTTGAGGATGCTGAGGTCGACCTCATTGAGGATATTCCCGACTGCGACAAATGCCTTTTGCTGCGCCGGGAAAGTGCTTACGCAGTCGACAACTAGCGATTCATCTGGTTGCACAGCATCGGCGAACAACGTCGATGGCTTGCTTCGGCCGAGTTCGCGAAATCGCCTCCTCCCCAACGAGTCCTTACTGAGGTCCCAGATGCAGATGCTCGAGTCTTCCAGGTACCCCACGGCCTGATTAGACCCGTCTAGAGAAGCAATGCCTCTGATTTCCAAGTCTTTCAAGGACGGGCACATCAGCCAATGGGTGTTCAAAGGCGCGTGTCTGCCTTTGTATTCCGAGTACCAGTCGACTTGTTCGTTTTTGCCAGACAGGTCCCATTGATTGACCGCGCGGGCCCTCTGGCTCTCTCGAAATGATTGTTCCGAGGCATTGGTGTGCCTGGAAGGAGACTGCCGTCGCCCAGGTTGATCTGAAATAGTCAGACTTTGCAATGCATTTGTTATCATGTTCAAGGTACCGGCATTACGTCTTATCGAGGCACTTGGAGATTTCTCGAAGCATTTGTATCTCCACAGAGGATTTGCGCGGGCGGTTTTGGCCAGAGCCACGCATGTCCGCTGCAGGGATACCAATTCTTCGGGCTCAAGGTAGTCGAGGATATCAATCAAGATCTCCTCCGGGAGTCTTTCCATGACCTTGTTATCTCGTCAATCTCCCACAGAGGAAAGAGGAAGTCAGTGATAAGGAGGAATATAGAAAACAGGCACTGCCGAGGTATAGCAGGGATCGCGTCAGGGCTAAATAGAGAACGATTTGGAAAAGGACAAGAGGGAAGATTGTAGGGCTAGGAGTCACTCTAGCGCCGTGTCATCAAGAAGACTGAACAATGTACAACGCTCAATGTGCGAATAGATCCATTGACCCAAATGTCCTTGTTTAGATAAGCTGATACAGTGTATAATGCTGTGATGGGAACACTTCGCATAAATAAAATGGGATCCATGGATGTTAAAGCACAGAATCCGATGGAACGCCTGGAGCCGAGAGGCTGAAGTTCCCCCGCGTTGACCGCTTTGGTACTAGCGGCCCAGTGCTAGTACCGGACGGCATTAGCGGCCTGCTATTGTCTCAATACGGTGCTTCGGCTGAAAAGCTTCTACAATGGCCGGATTCGAAATTAACGTCGGTGGGGGTTGTTGAAGGTTCTCGAATCGCTCAATTCGGTATAGCGCCGATTACAGTACGGTATCTCCAACTACCTACTACAACGTACAACGTACAACAACTACACTACTACTACTACTGCTACTACTACTACTACTACTACTACTACAATAACAACAACAACAACAACAAGAACAACTGCAACTACTACAACTGCAACTACTACAATGGAGTGCGAGCCAAACGCACGTACGCCAGCGCAAGTGCAACAGCCTTGTACTCCGCAGCCAGCGTACGTACAACTACCAATACTGCCTCGTACTCAGTACTGTCAGACGAGTACGGATACGCCAACGCAAGTACAACAGCCTTGTACTCAGTGCAGTCAGACGAGTACGAGTACAGATACGCCAGCGCAAGTGCCTAGTATACCAAAACGCCAGTGTCTCACACGAGATGATCGACTTCGAATACTCGCACTACGAGAATATGCTAAGTAGACCTACTCGCAGATCGCTAAGCACCTTAACGTTACTGAACGTGCAGTACGATATACTTGTACGACTACTAAACGTCCTACACCATAGTATAAGCGCGCCGGAAGACCTACTACGTTAATAAAAGAGGAGATCGACAGACTAGAGGCCTTTATTTTAGAATCGTAAGAGACGCGCCGTATGAAATACCGTGATGTTGCGCGCGCAGTCTTTCCTGAAAGAAAAATCAGTACTACTACGATACGGCACGCTCTTTAGTCTCGTGGCTACTACCGCTATATCGTAATACGTAAGCCGTATATAAATAAAAAGCAACGTAAGGCGCGCCTTAAATAGGCCTATCGTTACGTTAGTTAGACGCGTGAGCAGTGGTATACTATTCTCTAGAGCGACGAGACGTGGGTAAAAGCTGGCACGCACCGTAAAGTCTATATTACTCGTAAGGCTGGCGAGGAACTCGAGGAGACGTGCCTTCTACTACGGCGCGCGAGAGCGCCCGCGTGGCTCTTCTGGGCCTGTTTTAACGGCAGAACGAAGGGCCCTTATCTCTTCTAGGAGAAGGAATAGGGGATAATTAACGCCGAGAGCTATTTAGAGAGAATAGTGCTACTTATCGACGGCTAGTTGCGCTCGAATCTACACCTATAGTTTATGTAGGATAACGCTCCTACGCACTCCGCGAGACGTACGCGTGCCGAATTCCTCGAGCGTCGAATATATATTATTTGGTGGCCCGCGAACTCGCTAGACTTGAATCCAATTAAGACTGTATGGAGGTGGATTAAGAGTTGGCTATAGGAGCACTATCCTGATCCGTTCGCGAGTTATAATCAACTCCGTGATCGTATACTCGAGGCGTGGTAAGCGTTACCTGAGTCAGTACTCGAGGAGATTATAGACTTAATGCCATAGCGCTGTCAAGACGTGATTAACGCTCGTGGTGGCCTAACACGCTGGTAGTTGTGTACGTAGTAGTACGTTATATAGATATATCGATAGCAAATGCAAGAGGTGTAAAATACGTACAGTCGCTAGTGCGAAATTGGCAAGGCTGTAAAAAAAGGAGCGCTATACGATTTCAAGTATAGTGCGCTCCACAGCCCCACGGACGTTAATTTCGAATCCGGCCGTTGTACTATGACGAACACTGCATTGCACGTGAAGGAAGGCTTCTGCTGCGGTGTTAGTGGTTGAACCACCCATACTACAACATCGTAGACAGTACAGCATCTCTATTCCGCTCCTGCCACCTTGACACCACACTTGCTGTCGTGCAGTCTGTGTCGCGACTTCCCTTTCCGCAGTGATTGCCTCGATGGCTTCCCGCAGTTCAACGGCCAAACGAGGCCCAAGTGTTTTGGTGAGTTTCTTCACCACCGTCAATCATAACGTCTCGTCGCAGCCATGACTGATATTGAACTCGAACAGGTCTCTGACCCTCGCGAAGGGAGAGTTGTGGGTGGCAGAAAGCAGCCCTCTCGCTTCATCACTGTCGACAATGTCCTCCAATATGCGTCCGACATTCCTTCCATGCAAAAGAGGCAACCTCAACGGCCACGAGCATTCCGCAGCAGCTCCGGCAAGCCTCTGGATCCTAGGTTGACTGGCCGGTATGTGGGGCCTCATATTCCGTCTCGGTCAACAAAAACGTCCGAGAAGTTGGTTCTCTTGCCAGAAGCCGTTGAGGAAGAAGAAGAAAAGGAGGGCTTCCTCTCGGATGCGGATAAAGGCCCACCGCGGGACGGCGAAGATTATCGCAAGGCGGGAAGAGAAGGAGTCAAGAGTTATGCAGAAAGATTGCCCAAGTCAAGGCGCACAGAAAATGAGCTTCCAAGGGTAACCGCCTACTGCACTGCGCAAGCATATAAATTACAATCTGCTGCAACGTTCGTGCGACAACGGCACGGCGGCCGCGCCAAACTATACGATGACTGCTTGTATTGCGCATACCACCTTCCTTTGCTTCCAGGAAATGATGGGTATCGGATCCGAAGCAGCCCACCCGTGCAAAGCGCCCGCGGTGGTACCATGTTGGACGAGGACATCGAGCGTAGTGAACGGAGAGACTACCAAGAACCATATGATGCCGAGGAGGAAGAACAGCACTCAGTCAGGGGCAGCTATACAGGGGATGACCAACCAAGTGATATGCACCGCGAGAATGAGGAGCCGGAACGAACGCGGAGACACAGCTATCCTCCTCAAAAGTCAAAAATCCCTGGAACGGGTGTGCCGGTGGATGCCTACCGCTATGCTGAAATGTTCATCTTCAGCTATGGAGTGGTCGTGTTCTGGAATTTTACCGAAAGACAGGAGAAGGATGTCTTGGCCGACTTCGCTTTTGCGACAATCATTGACCCGGAAACTCATGCGGTATCCCCTGTACAGATCATCACTAATCCTCTGGATGAGGAGGACTTTGAAACTGAAGAATTCCACTTTGAGTACAACAACGAGATATCTCGTCCACGAGTATACAACGACATGATCACGCTGCGGAGTGGCGATCATATGATCAAACTGGCCATCAGCCACGCGATTGCGCAGAGCACGAAGCTGAGCTTCTTTGAAGAGACGATGGCGGCCCAAATGGAAGCAGCAAAAGATGTTCCGGGGCGCCTGGCAAAAACTGGCGAGCTTGGATTGAAGCGTGAGGAAGTAATCAAGCTGCTGGGCGGCCTTTTCAAAAGTCGGGTCGAGGTCAATTTATGTGAGTTACCTTGCCTTCGTCGTCGACAACCTGTGGCTGACTCTGAGTGTTTTTCTAGCATCGAATGTGCTTGATGTGCCCAACCTCATCTGGGACAGCGAGCCGACCCTACATCCGCTATACAATGCTGTGCGTGAGTATTTGGAGATCAAGCCGCGGATTCAGGTTCTCAACGAAAGATGTCGGGTATTCCTCGACTTGGCCGAAGTGTTGTCGGACTATATCTCCGACGACAAAATGTCCAGGATCACGTGGATCATCATTGTCTTGATTGGAATATCGATCTTGGTGACTTGTTCCGAGGTCTTTGTACGCTTTGGAATTCTGACCACGAAGAAAGGACAAGCGGTCTTACAGCAGGGGTTATCTGGCAGTACTGAGCTCTAGCGCTTTGTTTGTTGACAGTGTGAGGGCGACCACATTGCGTGGGCACCTGTTTTAACTCCGTCTAGCACGGTGTGGAGGAGTTCTTCAATAATACGATAACAATGGAATGTCTCGACTGTTTGACTTATTATCCTGAGTAGATACCTAGATAGAGGCGTATCTTTATCATGCACACCCAGTGCCGATACAGGGATGCGCTTCTACAGAAGTGCTTATACGCTCACAGCTGAGTATCGCACGCAGGTGGTCTTTCTGACCTTCTGCCTTAGGTACTGCATCCTTATCCGCTACTCTCCCGGTCGAGCCGGAATATGGTCTTTTACATCCCACCAACGAGATAATATACATATCCTCTTATCTTGTACATACCCAAGTAGGTTGCTTGTGCACTACTCGGCACGGGGTAAGGGTGGCTAGTAGTGCAGACGGAGACGACCGACGCGCGTGAACGAAAGCAGGGGTAATTCGGCTCCTCCGCAACTTGAAGTAGGGCCCCCATGTGAGCATAGCGGCCGCTATGTTGCATTGAAGATGGAGGCGAGCCTTGCAGACATGGTGGTTTCTCTTCCTTATCTACTTGGCGAGACGCCTAGCAGCAGGCGGAGGAGTAGCATGTGAGGAAGTTCGAGATATCGGTCGAGATAGACGGGGAAAGCTAGGGTCTCATATGGCTTGATGGCAACAAGCGTCGAGCATGGCCGAATAAGAACCCAGTTTCGAATCGAAGGAAGCTTGAAAGGATGATGGTAGGTGTCGGGCTGTCCGTTCAGAGGGCCAGTAATCAATGCCGAACATTTAGCAGCGTTGCAACGGACGAGGTCCACCAGGGCCGCCAGATCGCTGGAATGGAGCACAATGGCTGGTACCAACGCCACCACACGATCCAAACGGGATGGAAGACGAAGGGCGACGACGAGTCGAATCGCAGTTGGATGGCAGTTCTTGTGTTGTGAATGGTGGGATTCGGGGACCCGGCGCCACTGGTTTGGCTGCTCGACCATTATTCTTTCTGCGCTTCGTCGTCAGTCCACAGTAGTTTGCACAGTAGCATCGACGAGATCAACGATCACACTTATCGAATCTGCCACTCACACATACGCATCCTGCTCCCAGTCCCCTGCTGTCATCCCCCCAGGATCCATCGCAAGCTCGGTCACGGCCAGACGCACACACTACTACCCTCTCAAATACACCCTGGAACCTGTCGTATATAGAATCTCTTATTCCCTTCCCCTCCACCATGTCGCCGTGGTTGCTCACCCTTGTCGCCTTCGTGCCCGTTCTTTTGGTGGCATTGTCCTTCCTCCGCTCCACCGTCCTGTCCAAGTACCTTGACGATAGTACCCAGAGGAGGCGGGAATAATGAGCCGGTCGCCTTCTCCGTTGGGCACCAAGCCGGACGGCTTCGAGACCGAGAACCGTAGACACTCGATTGACGCCCCTGCCGAGGAGGGTTTCCATAGGCAAACTCATCACGACCTGCCCGACCATGGTCACAATGCCTCACCACAGAGGGGCGTCGACCCGAATCCCGATCTTGCTCTGCACTATTCCCACGAACACCAGCACAAGCATCTCCACCATGGCCGCCCTTCGCTTTCGGGTCGCCATGATGAAGTCCTGTACGCTGAAGGAACGACAGTCGACGACCGGCACACTCTTAACAAACAAGACCCTCCTCAAGACTACATCAAGCACCAGCTCCGGCCGTCGCATGCGGATGAAAAGGACTTCGTGACCATGGATGCTGAAAAGGGTGCAGTTGACCCGGGTCGCATTGAGACAAACGTATCAGAAGAGGAAGGCAAGCGACACCGTCTGCCGCGGATGTACTCGAAATACAAGATTTTTGTGCATCTTTTCATTTGGCTCGTGTTCACAGGGTAAGTCATCTGCCCGGCGTGCCCACGCTGCTGGTATATTTGCAGGGCTCTTGTTTTAATGCCTTTTTCCAGATGGTGGATTGCCGGCCTAGTGCTACACCGTCACGATCTGGGCTGGTTGAAGCCGTTTCTGCTATGGCTGGCCATCACTCTACGCCTGATTTTCTTCTGGGCCCCGATCACCATCGTCACCAAGCCTATGCACTTTGTGTGGAACAACACTGGAGTGAGGGTCTATAACATGATTCCAGGCAAGTTACGAACGCCTCTGGCGGCTCTTGTGACCATCGCTGTTATGTTGGTCGGCTCTTTTGTCTCCAAGGAGTCGGCAGACAACACTCGCGGCAATCGGGCGATTTCTCTGCTTGGCCTGGCCATAATGATTGCTCTGCTCTGGATTACTTCTCGCGACCGCCGAAGAATCCAATGGCATACAGTCATTGGAGGCATGTTGACCCAGTTCGTCATCGCCGTCTTCGTGCTCCGGACGCAGGCCGGTTATGACATCTTCAATTTCATCTCCGAGCTGGCTCGTGACTTGCTAGGCTTTGCTGACCAGGGCACATCGTTCTTGACCGCCGAATCCGTCGTCAATCTCGGCTGGTTCTTGACCGGAGTGGTACCTCCGATTATCTTCTTCGTGGCCCTTGTCCAGTTGTTGTACTACCTTGGCATTCTCCAGTGGTTCATTGGGAAGTTTGCCGTCTTCTTCTTCTGGAGTTTGCGGGTTTCTGGTGCAGAGGCAGTGGTGGCCGCGGCATCCCCTTTCATCGGCCAGGGTGAATCCGCCATGTTGATCCGGCCGTTCGTGCCACATTTGACTCTGGCGGAAATCCACCAAGTCATGACCTCTGGGTTTGCCACTATTGCCGGCTCTGTCTTGGTGGCATATATTGGACTTGGTCTGAACCCGCAGGCGCTGGTGTCTTCCTGCATCATGTCTATTCCGGCGTCATTGGCCGTGTCCAAGATGAGATATCCCGAGACCGAGGAGACGATTACTTCTGGCCGTGTTGTTGTTCCAGATGACGACGAGCATAAGGCTACTAATGCTCTGCATGCGTTTGCAAACGGTGCGTGGCTCGGTATCAAGATCGCCGGCATGATCATCGCTACCTTGCTATGCATTATTGCTTTGATCGGCTTGATCAATGGCCTTTTGGGATGGTGGGGAAGGTGAGTCAAAGGACAATATGGGACACCTTTGAATTTACGACTGACTTTGGTTGTTGAAGATATCTCGACATCACCCAAGACGGCAAGCCTTACCTCACGCTGCAACTCCTTTTGGGGTACATCTGTTATCCCGTGGCATTCCTGTTGGGCGTGCCCAGAGCCGATCTCCTCCGAGTGGGCCAACTCATCGGCATCAAGGTCATTGCCAACGAATTCGTCGCCTACAATTCGCTTACCTCGGAGCAACAATATATCGACATGAGTCCTCGATCCAGATTGATTGCCACATATGCTCTTTGCGGTAAGATTCCTTTTCTTCTTTTTCTGTTCCATTCATCTCACTGATGTTTTTCTGTCTGTACAGGCTTTGGCAATTTCGGATCGCTCGGCACCCAAATCGGCGTCTTGTCTCAAATCTCGCCCTCGCGCTCCGGTGATGTCTCGCGTGTAGCTCTGTCTGCGTTGTTCTCCGGCGTGCTCTCCACGCTCACTTCTGCTTCCATTGCCGGTCTCCTGATCACCGATCAAGCGACGCTTGCCCAGCAGACTTGAGTGATTTGTGGTTGTTGTGTTGATCCTGCAATATGGGCTGCACAGACAAATGTACACAGTGTATATGGGCATGGCATGCGAGGAACAGTGCGAAGGTGAGGATGAAGTAGCTGCAGTGCATCTCCAATGAATATATCTCCGTATCCCGGTCTCTGTCTCTGTTATATGCCGTATACCCGTAGAAACCAAATACTTTTCCGTTGTGTGTAGAACGTATTGAGTGTATGTCCCGGTCCCGACTTGAGTCCGGGGCACAGAACAGCGACTCGTTACTGTTTTGATCAATTGAGTCCATGACCGCTCAAATAAGGTAGATAGATTGGATGAACCGATCAACATGTAGAGTATAAATCACACAAGTACCGTGCTGTAGCTGTAGACTGTTCTGGCTGCTAGCTGAATACTACAGTCCGGATTCTTGATTTGTTTTAGGGATTCTCATTTCCTCATATGATTTGGAAGTAGTTGAAGGTAGTCCGTAGATGCTGCTTGCAGTTTAATGTAAGATAAGATAACTCTCCATCATGTAAGGTCGTGAGGGACTTGACATCAATTCATCCATCCCATCAATCCTCGGCTGCCCATTAAGCATTAAGGTAGGTATAGCCAATGCCGGGGCCGGTGCTCCGGATGCCATCGCGCTCAGTGCACCAGAACTTAAGTATCTTCCTGCTCTTGACGTTGTCGCTTTCTTTTCTCTAGTTGTGGCCTCTCCTTCTCGTCGCGTCGCCGTTGCCGTTGCCGTTGGCACTGCACACAACCATGACCGTCCCTCAAACAAGCAATCATTGACTCCATCAAATCGGCGTGATCCCTGGCAAGCCGGACCCTTTCTGAATCCTGATCCAAAGGAATTATCATCCCAGAACTCCATCTCAATCACCACCATTACCACCACTAGCAGTGTGAGGCGCTGTCGTATCCCTCGTCCCATAGCTCGTCTGATCATGACCATTCCCCACCACGATTGATGCGGCTGCCTCTTTCGCATGATGCTCCTGCTCCCCAGCACCAATAACAGCAGAAGTAAGCCTAGCAATCTTCGCCTTTTCCTTCTCCTTTTCAATCGTCCCCATCTCACCCATCCCGTACCACGCAACCGTAGCAATACCCAGCAGACCCGCAAGAATGCTAAACGTCATAGCGACGATTCCCTTGGTCGTAAACCCGTCGGGCAGCGGAGCATGTGGCGCCGGAGCTTCAGAGACGTCAAGTAAATTCTCAGTGAGTCCTGCCGCGTTGCCGGCGACAAGATATGGAGGATCGTTGGCGGCACATGCGGCCCAGTGGTTGGCGGGGATTTTGTCGGCGAGTTGGTGTTGAAGCGTTAGAGGACTCTCGACAAACGTCATGATCAATCCAGATTCAATATGCCATTCAATATGACAGTGGAACAACCACACCCCCGGATTGTTGGCCTTGAAGCGCATCACCACATGGCCGTTCGGTCGGACCAAAATAGTGTCGCGCCGCATAGGAACACGAGGCAGATCGACGGTGCCGTTTAACACGAGCGCCGAGTCGTAGTCGCCCGCTTCGTCTTCGCTGCGAACAATGGTTTGGAATACGTGCCCGTGGAAATGGAATGGATGTTTGCCCGAGTCTTGGTTGTTGAGGACGATTTCGACGGTTTGGTTATGGCTCAGAACGTAGGAGTGCGTGTTGGGGCCGTAGATTGAAGGGTGGGCGGCTAGGTCGCCGGTTGTTAGGGCCGTGTAGAGACTTGGGACTTTGGGCGGGACGTAGGTGATGCCGCTGAAGAAGGCGTAGTTCTGAACGAAGTAAACTGTTAGTCTATGCTTCGTGCACACACCACCCAGATCAAAAATACTTCAAATGGAAAAAGTCAATCAAAATGTATATGGTTTCTTACCTTGCCATCGCCCAAATTGTCCATGACCACATCGAGCTGAACCACCAGGTCTGGATCCTCATACAATTCTTCGCCGTCAGTTGGTACCAGCCCAAAATCGTCAAAGGGTTCAAAGGTTTCAATCTCCTTTGGTGTCGGCAGGGGTTTCGAGTCATCATAAACCAAGTAAGATGTAACGTTCGGATTTAGGCCCTTGGGGATCGCGTCGAATAGATCTTGGTCCATGGATCCCACGATGGCAAAGTTGCTGTCGGTTTCGTTCTTGGTGGTCAACAGCACACCATACCTCTGAGCCGACGTCACGTAGAGCATGCTCGCCTCGGTCGGTTCAGTGTAGATTCCATCGACTTCAATGATGCGGAAAGTATGGCCTTCAATCCAAAAGTACTGCGCAGCAAAGGCTCCCATGTTGACAATGCGCAGGAAATATGTCTTGCCGGGTTCAACGGCGATTGTGTCATTCTGCTTATCATTCATCAATGCCGCTTGAGGGACTGTTTGTGGCCTCTATGTTAGCTCAAATACCAGATGGATGGCATATCAAGTGCTTTGAGAATCGGAAGTGGCGGCCTCCTCAGGTACACGAAAAAGACTTACCTGGCTCGGCTCCTGTGGGATTGGTCACGCTCATGAACTTTTTGATCAGACCGGGCATTTGGTCATGATACCAGTCGGAAAGAGTCAAGACCAGTTCCTCGTCGTAAAGATCGGCATATGGATTCTTCGGGTCGTGAACAATGAGCGGACCCCGTAGTCCATCTGGATATTGCCCATTGACATGCGAATGGTACCAGTATGTGCCCGGTTGGGTTATCTATCTCGAGTCAGCTTGGAGAAATTCAATAGTGGAATAAAGGTTCTGTCGTACATTGAAGTCATATTGGAAGGTGAATCCAGGAGGAATCGGACATTGAGTAACACCCCCAACACCATCCATATGGTTTGTACCAATTTGGTAGAGACCGTGGAAATGGAGCGAAGTGGTCTGGTTCCCGAGATCGTTTTTCACGTTGATAATGATCCTGTCTCCCACGTCGGCTTCAATTCGTGGGATGGGCCATTGCCCGTTGATGCCAATGGTCGGTCTGAGGAACTGTCCATCGGGATTTGTGATAAGCCAGCCAACAGTGAAATTGTATTCACGAATTGCGGCGCTTGCAGATGAAAGCAGGAGGGAGAGGGTCAAGAACAGGAAGGACAACGCCATGCCGTCAAAGACGCGACAGGAGAATGTAAGGATGCTGCACAGGTAGTCGAAGGGAAAAAGAACCGCTGTCTTCGACTTTGGCGAAGGGATCAGATAAGATGGGAGAGAAACGAAGAAGATATGTACGGGTACAGCATAATGTCGGTTCCATTGTCAGACCTCATCATTGATTGCTTCTGCTGACACCACATATGGAATCCTTCACGAGGACTCTCCGACCCTGCTCCGATGTGGAAAGCGAAGGTTGTCCCCATGGTCTGGCCATCTGATTAGATTATCACACAACTTTCCTACCTTGCACTAGTCTCAGGGGGCGGACAGCCTCGAAGGAAGCCATCGAGACTATAGCGTGGTCATGTCCATGCATTTTTGAGAGTCTTTGGGCGAGCGGAAGGGACAATCCTGACGCCACATGATATTTCGCGATGTCACAAACACTTGCTCCCGGGAAAACCCTGTCGGGAGTGGTTCAACACTTGACAGTGAGGCTTGAGGGAGCCCAACGCCAAGGAATCAGAGGAACTGGAACCGCCGCTCAGGCCCACAGCTACGTCGAGACAGGAAAACTGAAAACAGACCCTTCCGCTGGCGGGATTTCTTAAGCGACAGAACTCTGCGGAGATGCCGCCAAAATGCTTGGCCGAAGCGTGGTTTTCTCTGTGGAGTGTCGTTGAAGCGCTGGGGCTAGCTACAACTGGCGTTCAAGCAGAGCTTTCTCCTGGGCAAGGCAGCAGGAACACACTTGGTGTGGTGTGACCAGCAATCGAGAGTGACAAGACCCGACCATGGCGGAGGGTGGATCAACGCTGGCCAAGAGTCCGTCGCGGGCCAAGTCTCTCAGGGCTGGTCAGATCAGATAAGACATGTTGTCAATCAGACCATCTTGTCTAATCGGATCTAGCCTCAACAATGAAGATGATCAACTATCGAGCTCGCTTGTGAAGCGCTCTGATCGGTTGGGCTCAGACCATACCTCACCCAACAGCTGCTGCAGGGCATGAAGGCTTTCTAAATCTCCGCGGCGACAGGAGCACCTACTGAACTTCTGTGTAGTCTGTATATTATTATACCGCAGATATTTCGGGATCCAAGGGGCTGCTCGACCCACAAATCGTTACAAGCTGAGAAGCTTTCTGGTGCCGGACAACACCAAACACCAAGCATTGAGGACCGCCCCTCAAGCACTGTTCTATTTGCAGGCATCCTCTTAGCTAAAGCCAAGAGCGGCCGAAAGGTCCTAGTGTGGGATTTGGCGAGAAGAGTCGAAAATACCCGACCTGATGGATGCTGATTGCTCTATTTTCTGGCCTTCGACTCGTCCAGGCTTCAGGGAGAGTCGAGACGCTGAATCACTTCAGTCAAAAGATCCCCGACAGGGCAAAGGTGACTCCTGTGACCCGCCTCCCCGGACCCCATCATCTGAGCCTTACCTGGAACGAAAAGTCTAGCGTTTGAGGTGGCACCTCGAAGCGAACTCAATGCCACACGCGGGCGACGGATTTTTCTTTTTTCTCAGTTCAAGCCTTGACACTTGTCGCCATCACCACTCTGGATTGCCATGTCTAGACAGCGATATCGGCGTTGGTGGACTGACCACGAAAATGATGTTGTCTCTTGCCGTGGAGAGGTTTGTTCTGCCGACGGATTCCCGTCTAAATCCTGAAGAAGAATGTCCTGTTCTGTTGCTTCTCGGCCAAACACGACCCACCCATGTTCATAGTAGCTTCTCAAGGCTGGCCATATTATAACATCTTATCTGATGGGACGGACGCCCGCTGTCTTCTTGCTTTCTTCACAGTACTCAAGAGGTATATCCAAGGGCGAGCAAAGCAGGGTACTCACCAAGCCCGGAACAAGGGCCTTCTTTTAGTGACTTCACGTCTGCTACCGCGCTCACAAATCACCATGGTCAACGTCTTCGCTGTTCCAGTCTTCTTTATCGTATTCAGGGAGACCCTTGAGACGAGCATTGTTGTCTCTGTCTTGCTCTCCTTCCTGAAACAACAACTCGGTCCAGACCGAGACAGAAATGTTTACAAAAAACTTCGCAATCAGGTATGTTTGTAACGGTGATCGCTATCCACCACAGGCTAACCTGTTTTTTGTCCAGATTTGGTATGGAACATTTATCGGGTTCTTTATATGCCTGATCGTGGGTTGTGGTCTCATTGGCGCCTTTTACGGCATCGGCAAAGACAGCTGGGGCCCCGCCGAGTACATCTGGGAAGGCGTCTTTGCTCTCGTCGCGGCTTTGATCATTGCTGCCATGGGTGCTGCGCTTTTGCGTGTCTCCAAGATGCAGGCCAAATGGCGGCTCAAGCTCGCCAAAGCATTGGAGGCCACGGACAACAAGAACGCCAGACTCGGCAACCGGTTCAAATTGTGGGCGGAAAAGTATGCCATGTTTCTGCTGCCCTTCATCACCATTCTTCGTGAAGGCCTCGAAGCAATTGTATTCGTGGGCGGAGTGAGCCTGGGCCTGCCTGCCAGCTCGATCCCGTTAGCCACGGTCTGTGGCCTCGCTGCTGGCTGCGCGGTTGGGTTCATCATCTACAAGGGCGGCAACATGGCTCCTCTGCAGGTTTTCTTGATCGTGAGCACGTGTTTCCTTTACCTGGTGGCTGCCGGTCTCTTCTCCCGGGGTGTGTGGTATCTCGAAGCCGATGCTTGGAACAAGGCCACAGGTGGCGATGCTGCCGAGAACGGCTCCGGACCGGGCTCATACGACATTCGAAACAGTGTTTGGCATGTGAACTGCTGCAATCCCGAACTGAACGGTGGTGGTGGCTGGGGTATCTTCAATGCTCTGTTTGGTTGGCAAAACAGTGCCACATATGGCAGTGTTATCAGCTACAACATCTTTTGGCTTGCCGTCATTGTCGGCTTCCTCTTGTTGAGGTTCAAAGAGTCAAGGGGTCATTATCCTTTCATGAAGGCCAAAGCAACCGATCCCATCATCGAAGACAGGAAACACAGTGACGATGCCACCAGCAGTGCCAGTGTTCCTCCTGCAACCGAAAAGCACACTCACCGAGCAAAGGAGATCTCTAGTGATGCTTAGTCCTGTCGCTCACAGCTATGAGCTCGACTCAAGCTCCAAAGAAACGATGCCTTGGTGATATTGAAGGTTTGAGTGAGGTCGAGGTTCTCACCAGTTGCATCAGACAAACTGACTGGGATGCGTCCACAAGGAGAGAAAAGCCGGCTGTATAGAGAACCCGGCCGATGGAAACGCAGAATGTGGCGAGGCATGAACGAGTTATGTCTAATAGTTGAATAGTCAGCAGCAGACTCTTACACTATCCCATCTATACCCAACTGCCTTTCGCAGTATCGTGCACTATTTTTTTGATTGCAGGCAGTGATTGATCGCTCTGAAGACGTTGAACTGCCGGTGAGTGGCAGAGAAACTGCTGTCTGCTCCCACTTCCACGCGACGCCGCAAACCCGCGACGACTTTCGTGTAGAAGTCGTGCATAAACTCGGGTCTATGTGGTAATGATCATATTCCTAAGTGAGATGGACGGCCTGCGGTACAGAATTGATTGAATTGCTTTTATTGCTTATCGAATATGCGATGCAAAAACTGGGTAACCTGTGGATGCAACGAAGAACAGACGCGAAGAAATCCTCCCACTGCACAATCAGCTGCGACGCATTCATCTGGAATCATTCCGACCACATGCTTTGCACTTAAAACAACATGAACAAATCCTCTTCTCCTCCCGACCTTTATGGGCCGGACAACCGAGAATCGAATCGAAAAGAAGCACCCGCTTTTGTCTTGCCATCCATCTCAAAGTCGACTTATCCAGCATGTCACGCTACTTACAGTGCACTGCAGCCCACCCGCCCTGCCATTGCAGTCACCATAAAGCGGTAATTCTGTCATTGTTTTGTTTTGTGCACATAAAAAGGAGCAATAGCCTCCCTTTAGAAGTCGAATCCAGCGTAGGTTGCAACAAAGGTGAGGTTGTGGGTGGATGTGCAGGGGCTCCTGTGGTTAGTAAGCAAGGGGAGAGGGGGATGTAATGAGGGATTCCGGACACAACCCTGGGGCAGGAAGGTGGATAGGGAGTCGGGAAAAACTACACTCGTGACCTAGATAATTAGTTTCGACGGTTGGTTAGTAGAAGATGTTGTGATGGTCGTGTCGATGGTCATCAGTCGTTTCGAATGAAAGCCGGTCGAGCAAGTGTCTGCGGGTCAGCGAGGATCGCTGCGAAGGATGCAGCCGCACGACCAATAGCTCATCAGCTCAAGAAGGTCGGCGTCGTTTCGGTTCGGGTGTGTCCAAGTCGAGCAGATCGAGCTCATCGTCATCTTCTACTTTTCGCTTGGCCGGGTTTGCCTTGGACGGAGTGACAGGAGGACTGTGAGCCTCAAGAGTACCAGCCGGGGACGTTGCACGATGACCATTGGACACTGGCATAGTTCCACCATCTACCGTATGGGAAGCATCATCGGTAGCCAGGTGCGGCTCTTTGGTGACTTCGAAAGTGGATGGTTGAACATCCTCGCGGGACATGACGCCGTCATCAGTCACGACTTGGTCTGTCGCTTCTTGATGGAAGATCTCTTCGTCGCCGTAAGCGTCAAAATCTTCTGCGTTTGCTTCATCGGCACCCTTATCATGCTCGAATAGATCCTCGGCTTCTTCATCGGGGTCTTCAAAAGTCTGTTGCGCACCCAGTTCGGCTTCATCGCCAACAACGACAGTGGTGTCCACCTCGGCGACCTCAGCTTCGACGGTGTGTGAACTATTCGTCTCCTGCTCGTGGGGGTCCAGATGATCCGGGTCTTGAGGGTGGACTTCCTGACCGCCAGGACTGGCCTCGTGGCGATGAGCTTGTTCTTCTGTTGGTGCCTCTTCATCCTGGTCCTGCTCAGTCCCTCGCTGGTGGGATTCTTCGGGCAGATCACCCAGTTCAACAGGATCATGTGGGAACTCTTCCGACACGCTAGCATTGATGGCTTCGCCTGTGGCTTCAGCTGCGGTCCCTTCTAGGTCACCACGTTCTTCTGTCGCTGCACCATTACCGGACTGATGGTCAACCTCCGGCTCAGTCGTGACTGCTTGCGTAACTGAGCCATCCTCATCGCCCTGATCTGCGCCAGGTACTTCCTGGTGGCCGTAGTCTTCCTGTTCATCCTTGTAGTCTGTTGCTTCCGTACTCTCGCCTTCGGGTTCAGGAGTGTCAACATGGTCTGCGACGACTTCGGAAAATGTCCTACCCTCTTGAGACGAAGAAACAAGATAGGCATACTGGGACGCCAAGCTCACGCGACTGCTCAAGTAACAGTACAATGGACGGATCTCCTGACCAACATCATTGCGACAGAGCTGCAAATACACGTCCAGAATCTGCGCCAGAGTGATCTGGGAGGCATACTTGGAATCCTCACAGATATGGAGACCTAAAGATGTGATGTCGAGAACAAGCTCGTCATGGTGGTCCAGTGTGCCTGTGAGGAGTTCACGACAGGCTGCAAGAAGCTTATCCAATGGCTCAAAGGCGAGTGACGAGTCAGCCAGGAAGTACATCGAAGAGTCATCTCCGATCATAGGAGGAAACAAGGACATCTCTTCCTCCAAGTACACCAACGTCACAGGATGCACGGCGCGACTGGTGGTTTCTTGTGTTTCAGTGGAGCCGTGAGCCTTGTCATGATGCTGCTGCGTCTCTGGAATTGGGTTGTTCTCAACTTGCGCAGAAACGGTCTGAGGATTTGCCGCTAACTCGGCGTTTTCTTCAACGTGGCGGCTGTCATGCTGTTCGCCAGAGGTGTCATCAACCTGTGCCTCTGCGGAGACTTCGGCAGAATTGCTAGCGACGTTGTCCTCGGTTTGTTTGTCTTGCTCAAGAGAGCTGTTACCAATATCGTGTGCTTCGCTAGGGGCCTCGGCCTCACCAGGGTTCTCAGCAGCATCATGATGGGCGTTTGCTGAGTCTTGCTCGGCATTATCAAAATTCCCCGAAACATCTGGTGCTGTTTCGGCGGCCGGTTGGTTAGTAGCTAGATCGTCCTGATTCTGCTTGTCAGGCTCTTCTTCAACATCATCAAAGATGACTTCCTCTTCCACCTCGTGAAACTCTTGTGCTTCATGCTGAGCCGTAGTCTCCACCGCCTCTTCTACCTGCTCAGCCACAAGGTCGATATCTTCTTCCTCCTCGTAAAGAATATCCTCATCTTCATCAACTCGAGCTTCTTCGGGGAACGCATCCATGTTGAAATCTTCATCGCGGTTGTCGCCTCCGAGTGTGGGATCTTCATCATCAATCATGTCGTCATCAGGAAGAGGTGCCTGGTTCTCATCTTGCATAAGATCACTGGCAGCTTCTCCTTGCTCTACTGCGTCGTCAACCATGTCATCGTGCAAAGATTCTATGATGGAAGGCTCGTGAACGGAGTCCAGGTCGACGTCGAGGTCGTCAGCTTGACGAAAGGGCGATGATGCTACATCCATCTTGTCATCAAGATGGGAAGGGTCCAGATCCTGGAATGTGAACGACGGGATTGCGGTCATTGCTGGTTAACATGCGAAAGCGAAGGTGCTTCGTGCCTGCATAGACTGATTGCCGTGCTTGCGCTTCCCAACTTCTCCTCGTTGCAGCGGGCGTGTTGCTGAATTTTGAACGGCGCAGTTCGAGTGTAATGGACACTATGGCAGAGGGAAGTGGTTAAAGAATGAGAAAGCTGGGATAGCAAGGGCTCGCAAACGAAGGCGGAGGCGAGGCGCAGGCTGCGGAGGTTACAGGCCTTTTAAGGAAAACAAATCCTATCGTATGCGGGTGGTTGGATATCTGGGCACTTCCTTTGTGGAGGGATAGCATTAACAGTGTGCGCAGTGGAAGAGAAGGTGACAGAGTGTGACTGCTGAAGTGTGAGGACCTCACGTTGGGCTCCCGCTGAACTGAACTGAATGTGATGAATCGAACTTGGAACGTTCAGGTTCTACCACGCGCATAAAAGGGTTGTTGCCAAGCCTGCGCAGGCTAACATGTGACACAACGGTGACGCAGGCAAACAACAAACGCAACTTCTTTCTCACTACTACGCAGCATTTGTACATAGCCACCTTTTTACTCCAATCCTTTCCCAGTGCAATTGCTTCATGAGCGTGCCACAAAGATTATGAAAGGCCGAGTGAACCAGATGAATACCTAGGTAGGCTATGGTAGTACATCAAACATAAAGTACGGTTCCGTACTACGACGTAGAGGTCTGGACGCAGGTGCATGGCAGCACTAAAGCCTTTGTGGTTAGATGGGAACAGCGCGCTCTGAAGCGGCGTCATTGTCGGCCAATTGGGGTAATACTCTACATTGGCATTTTGGACATCGCACTCGCTGTCCTCTCCACCACCACCACCACCACCACCACCACCACCACCACCACCACTACTAGTCCTACGACGCCGACTGCTCCTCAACATCGACACAAACACAGACTTGGTTGTCCGGGAATTAACGTGCACACCTTTGTCCTCCGTCCGCCGACACAATGGTATTGAAATCCTCTGTTCTATATGCTCAGGGCACTATCTCACTAACTTGTAACAGGTCATTCTCGCGGCCTCCGTGTGCACCAGGGGCGGCAAGCCCCTACTATCACGACAGTTCCGAGAGATCCAGAAGTCTCGGGTAGAAGGATTGTTGGCATCTTTCCCGAAACTCGCCGACTCATCGACGCAACACACGACAGTGGAGCAAGAGAACGTCCGCTTCGTATACCAACCGCTTGACGAACTGTACCTAGTCCTGATCACGAACAAGAACTCCAACATCCTCCAAGACATAGACAGCCTACACTTATTCGGACAGGTAGTGACATCAATCTGCAAGAGAGTGGACGAGCGGGAAATCCTACGCAATGCGTTCGAACTGCTCAGCGCGTTTGACGAGCTGGTGACCATGGGATACCGAGAGAACCTGTCGCTCAGCCAGATCAAGACATTTTTGGAAATGGAGTCGCACGAGGAACGGATCCAAGAAATCATTGCGCGGAACAAGGAACTCGAGGCCTCGGAGGAGCGCAAACGCAAAGCCAAACAACTGGAACTACAACGAAAAGAAGCCGCACGCTCGGCCGCGTACGGACGAGGCGTGGCACCCAAGATGCCCACCCAGGCCACATACACACCTCCCGTGCGACCGGAATCAAGCTACGACACATACGAGGCGGAAAAGAACAAGATCTCGAACAAATTCTCGGCATCCCGTCCAACAAAGGGAATGCAACTGGGCAAGAAGTCAAAGACATCCAACGCGTTTGCCAAAGTGCAGCAAGAGCTGGGTCCCGAAGCGGCCGCCCTCGAAGACCAACATCACACCATCTCCTCTCCCGCCGCCCATCACACCGACCTCCCAGACCGCACAGCAGCCCGCCACTCGACAGAAACTACACACGCGCCTCCCATCCTGATCACACTAGCCGAGACGCTGAGCGCAAAGCTGACTCGCGAAGGAGCACTCAAATCATTCGAAGTGAAAGGCGACCTGCAACTCAAGATCAGCGACGCCTCGCTAACAAAACTGGCTTTATCCGTGCACGCTGTCGAGGGGCCCCTAAAAGCGCAGTTCCGCACCCACCCCAACGTCGACAAGAACCTGTTCACGTCCCAAAAGGTCATCCAGCTGAAAGACACGACCAAGAAATTCCCTACCAACAACAGCATCGGCGTCCTGCGCTGGCGTGCCACCGCTCCCGCAGATACACCGGACGTCCTGCCCATCACGTTTACCGCTTGGGTCAACAAGTCTGACGACAGCTATACCACCATCACCATCGAGTACGAACTGACAAACCCGGATTTGACCCTGAGGGACGTTGCCGTCACCATCCCGTACTCGTCCTCCGAGCCCGGCGTGTCGTCGTTTGATGCCATGTACCAGGTCACCGGCGACTCGCTCGAGTGGACTATTGGGACTATCGACGCCGACAACGCCACCGGCAGCTTCGAGTTTGAGTCCCAGGCCGACGACGAGGCCGAGTTCTTCCCCATGTCTGTTAGTTTTGAGATGAGCAGACCTTTTGTCGATGTCGACGTCTCTGGCGCCCGTCTGCTCGAAATCGACGAGGAGGTCGACTTTGAAAAGGTCGTCAAGGCCACTGCTGACGGTTTTGTCATTGAGTAAATTGGAGTCAGATAGACTGAGAAGAGACGCAGTTTGACAGGAACAACAAACTGCTCTTGCCTTCTTCGGGCCCTAAGAACATGCTACTACTGTTTCCAATGCTTTCCTCAAACACCAGTCTAGTTTCCTCCCTCATGTTTGATCTGCGGCAAACTCGATAGATGTACTGTAGCCACGGATTCGGACGAACAGCTAGACACCCCGGCGTTTGGAACCAAGGATCGATGATATTGCCTTTTCATGATTGACCACCGGTCAGGAATCCTTTGTTTACGTTTATTTGATCATCATATTCGTCGACGTGGTTTATCTATGTATGTACTCAATACGTAGGCAGACAGGATAGTGTGCGTCTATCCTGGTCATATGTCGTGTTCCACAACTTGTGGAGTGGTAGTGGTTCAACATCCGCTACAGACCCCCGGGCCCTCCGAAGTCCTGCTCGTGTTTGTGTTCGTGTAAAAAGTGATCTAACATGCGTGTTTTGGCCGTGCATCCCCATATCCAGCCCCATAACGACATGCCAGAAGGCATGCATTTCCCGCCGTGTGCGACAAAAAGGGGAGAAGGGGAAACAGGCGAGCCAAGTCCGCTTGTAGGGAATGTAGAGAAGTCCAGTCGTGCGGTTTCGGGAAGAGAACACTTTAGGTCGGAGTTAGGGTGCCATGGCGAGCGCCACAGATAGAGGGTATCGTATGGAGGTCGCCACTGCATCAATCTCGGTGGAAGACCTCCATCATGATGGCCAGATACCATTGTCGACCAGGCGGAAGAAGTCCCATTCAGGCGCATTTTCGGTCTTGAAGTTCCAAAAGATCCAGCCCTGGATCTTTGACTCGAACACATTGATTTGAGCACGAATGTAGTTCGTCGTTGCCGTCCTTAGGTCACTGCTCCACTGGTCGATGGAATCGATGTTGGCGCAGGAGCCCACGTAGGAAGATCCAGGATAGGATCCGTCGTACCGGGACCCAAGTCCACGGCCATTGATGGCAGGAGCACAGTCAGTCATGGCGGCGGACCATTCTCCACATATGACGAACTTGTCGAAACCTTGAGCCCATTCATTGGCATGAGAGTAGACGTAGTCGACATGTTGCTGCCAGGACATTGCGACAAACTCGTTGGTGAAGGCTTGGTATTCGTGGTGGTCAACAATCGCTCCGGAGATGCCTTGGCCGGTCAAGAACCCGTTCCATTGAGAAGGATCGGCGAAGCCATCGTGAAAAATGACTGGAATAGGCCCGGCGCCTCGGACTATGTTGAAACCTGATTGGTAGTATCCTTGCGTGGCTGATCTTCCGCCTGGAAGACCTGCCATATAAGGTTCGTTCAACAACTCAATGCCCACAACCACATCCGCAAACTCGGAAGTCCCGTACTTCTGCGCCATCTGCGAAATCACGTTGAGCGTGGCCTGGATAGAATCTCCAGTGGTCCAGCCAGGGGTTGAAGTACGCTGTCCAGAATTGTCGTAGCCATTTTGCGAGAGCGGTGCGCCTGTAGAAGCAATGTCAGCTCATCGTCCTGATCGACTCACTGATGAGCCGTGAGAGATTCTCTCTCACTTACCATGAAGGTCGATCCAGACCTTTAAGCCAGTCTGACGAGCCCAGCCGATGGCTGCATCAAGGTAGTCGGCGGCACCTTGAATGTACGGGTCTTGCTCATACTTCTGGAATGCCCAATACCCAATGGGTATCCGGACCAGGTTCAGGCCGTTGGCAGCAATCTTCTGGAAGTCGCCCAAGGTCACCCAGCTATCCCAGTGACTCCGCAACACCTCCTCGGCGTTAGGAACCTGCTGACAGAGAGTATATTCGTCGACGATATTGCCGCCGAGCTGGTTAAATATGGATGGTGTAATCCAAGGTTCCAGCACCAGCCAGCCTCCAATATTGACACCGCGCACTGGCGTTGACCCGTAAGAAAACTGTCGTTTATCCAGCGGCGACCTGGGTAGGTTAGTCACTTTGTCAGTTCTCCAGAATATTGTCTTGCATGACTCACGCCGAGACAGTAAAGGCTGCCAGAGCAGAAAGAATGAGGTTTCCGGCCCTCATGATTGAGTAGTATCAAGTGCCAGGAGGATCAACAAATTGGTAGACCACCGTAACCTCAATTTACCTGGGCACTAGCTGCCCAAAAGACTGGACGTGACACGCTGTTGGTAGACCCGAGAGCAAACACTTCTTGCCGGGCCGGCGATACCTTTATGCTGTGTAAGGCGAGATGACCCTGACAGCAACGACGACTCCCTCGCCTCAAGGCGATTGGTTCAGGAAGGAAGCACTTGACCTGGCGTGAGGGGAAATCAAACGGTCACCTGGTATAGAGAGAAAGAGACAAGGAATGGAATGGATCGAGGTAGCAACAGACCTGGTACTATAGGCTTCCATGGTGTCGATCCAGGTATAACACACGGTGGATATATGGCACCATGCGGATTGAGGACTACCATCCGACCAACGGAAGAATGCGAACCCGGTATAGATTGGCAAACATCTTGCATCGTACCATTCTTCTTCACGTAACCCAAGAAGAAGCTTGGATAGATGGTGATGGCTGCATCAAGGCTAGTACAACATAAGGTAGACAAAAGGTCAGGTCGCCAACGCCCGCGGATGATGGAACTTGAAGTGAGCATGCTGGAGCCCAGGATCGCCAATGGGTGGAATTGGCAGGTGGGTACATGGTTAGTCCCATACCAGCAGGATCGCGCGCCCGTTCGGTTGGAAGAGAGGACAAGCAGCACGGCCGGTGGAGCAGAGAACAGACCCAAGCCGCGCAAGTGGCCGTTTGACGGCCTGGAGGCCCGTGGCATCAAAGGCAGCGAAGAGAGGATTCGGCCCGGAAGACATGTTTCGGCGACAGCTGGCCTGGCTGGACCCGGCAGGAAGCGCAAGCAACATGGGTTCGGTTCTGTCTATCTGCCTGGCTGTCTAATGGCCTAGGCAGGCTGCTGTGCTGGTGCTGAGTTGGCAAGGAAATCAGCTGGAATACGGGCGGAGCGGAATGACGTGAAACAGGGCAACTGAGCCAAATGGCAGGTGTGGAGAGAGAGTCAAGGGCCAGCAATCACTGGAGACAATGCATCGAGAGCCAGGGGAGTGACACTGGGGGTGGTAGTGGTGGTAGTAGTAGTGGTAGTAGTGGTAGCAGTGAGCAGGCAGATAGACCGATATTCACTACTGCCCAGGTGCTGATCTGGTTTCTGGTACCTAAGAGATATCCGGGTACCAGGTGTCTAGCGGGTAGTATTGTGGTTAGAATGAAGGAGCATGTTAGGTAGCAGTATAGTAGCTACCTACTAGTAGGTAGGTGTAGTAGTGTAGTTGAGGATGTACAATGTCGTAGTCAGTGATTACTACAACGTCGAAGTAGCGCAGCGCAGTCTTGGTGGCGGCATCTTCAACACTGCACTGCAGACTGCACCTTGACTCGCATCATTCCAGTGATCATCATCACCATCTCCATCTCTGCCGTCGATGTCGATGTCTGCAGCAACTGTAATGTCGGTTGCTGTCGATCCTTTCTCCTCCATTTGCCATTCGTGCGCAGGCCCAAGTCGGCTGACCAGCAGGACACTGCTCTTCGATCCTCGAGTCGTGTACCGGCAAACGCCACATCAATCAGATGATGGATACTACTATACTGCTACCATGGTAGACGCTGCTCGCATGGCAGGGAGTCACACCGCCTGACAACTCATATGCTCTCCTCACTTCTCCTCTGTCCTGCCAGTGCACGCCTTTCGCAGACCCTACGATTTCTGGATCACAATCAGTACCGCAAGTCTGAAGCGATGAGACATCCTGAAAATCCCCCCTACCGAACCTGCTTCGCTTGTGCATACCTAGACCATGGCAGTTGTTCGGCTGCCAGATGCTGACTGCGAACAGCAAACCATCCCTCCCCATTCTTGCTTCCAGATCGTCCCTTGCATGCCAATTCAAGCATTGACTTGACCGGCACTTTAGCCTTTTCCAGGACAACAGTTGCATAGTTCCCGGCTACACACGGCCCCAGTCCACCCACAGCTGCCAGGTGGGCCCACGGCCGCCCTGCTGATACTGTAGCTGTCCCAACCTCTTTTGGGAGGTGGCTTCCACCTCTTGGAAGAAGCGCGGAAGAAGCTCAAGCCATGCCGAGGCACGGACGATTACAACGCTTCGAAGTGGTACTTTGAGCCTCATGTGGAAGAGAAGGCCTGCATGTGCAATTCAGCACGGAGGACGGATGTTCAAACTACGAATAGCTAATAGTACTAAGTACATTGCCCATCGCGGAGCACAATCCATATTTCTATGCATGTGTAGAATGCACCCATGCCGGAGCTATACCGGCCCCTTCATGGCAAGGCAGCCTGCTGGCTCTGGTCTCAAAAGATTGGACCACACGTTGCCGTTCCTTGCAAGGTACCATGAAAGGCCAGCACATAGAGACCCTAGCACCTCTTACGGCCGGCCGACGCTGATTCTATCTACTCGAAACCCCCCGTTTTGTTTCAGAGTACTTCGGTAATACTCTGTCGCCGAATGATAGAGTTCTGCATCTGATCACGCGAGATGCGATAGTAATATCCGGTGAATTCGGCGCAGTCCATCTGGCGCAAAAAGTCCTCGTCGTGTGTGATGATGATTAGCTGGAAATTCGCTTGCTGCTGTCGGTACTTGATGATATCGCGGAGCGAATGTGCCAGGCTTTCAATATTCTCCCGGTCCAGGTTGGTCGTCGGCTCGTCCAGTGCAATCAAACCGCAATTCGCGCTGAAACACTCGGCCAGTGCCAGTCGGATGATGATACTGGCCAGCACCTTCTGTCCCGCGCTGCATCGGCCTCGCATGTCCATCTCAGCTCCTCTCTTGACCATCACCACCCGGTAGTTGTACGATCGATTGCCCCGTCCAGATTCATTGTCGGCTCGGATCATGATGGTATCAACGTCGGTGCCTTTGTATGTCTTCCGCCATAGTTCCTCGATGATGCTGTTGATCTCCTCCATCTTGAGACTGTGGTATTTCATGATCGCCTTATCCAAGGCCCCACCATATCGGCCCAAGTCTTCCACAGCTGCCTTGGTGGCCTCTACTTTGATATGTGCTTCTTTGTATCGTATCGCAGCATCCGACAGGTCTGTCTTGTAATCCTGGAGAAGCTCGACGAGTTGGGCGTCTTTGGACTTCATCTCTCCCATGACACCGGCCTGCAACGCACTGAGCTTGTTGTGTTCGTGAGTCCATTTTTCTGATTCCTTCTGGAACCTGTCTCGGTCTGCCTCCGCATTCTTGCTCTCGAGTTCCTCGATCTCTATCCTCAGCTGCGCAAGCGCTCTGGTCTCCTGGCGATATCGCAGATTGTCCGAATATCGACGTCGCGTAGCCTCACTGTCCCGAATCTGATCATTGATCTTGTTGATGTCTCGAGTCAATTGCGATTGTTGTCCTTGCATCCGCTCCAGTTCTCGCTCCAGATGGGCGAGTTCTCGATTAATGCGTGCAAGCTGGTTTGGGCCGTCCCGGTCCACATAGGAGCGCACCTGGTCATTCAAGATATCAAGTCCACTGACACTTTCACTGAGCTTGGACTGTTCGTAAGACATTTCCTGCTCCTTTGCGGATGCTCGTTGGTCAACGTCCTCGTACTTGGCCTTAGCAGTTGCGATTTCCGGATCCAGCTTCTCAATATCCTGGTCGAGCTTTTCCAACGTGGCTCTTTGTTTTTGGTTCAGAGCACGAAATTCTTCCACCCGGGCGGCAAGTGAAGCCTTCTTCTCCAGCTGAAAGCCAACGTTGCTCAGCTCACCCTTTAGATCACGAAGCTCGAGTTCCATGGTAGATAAGGTAACCCGAGACTGCTCTTGCTCTGTTCGAAGCCGATTGATTAAATTTTGTGTTGCCCTAACCTTTTCAGCAACGGCGTTGAGTTCTTCTCGTATGTCTTCCAATGTACGCCCGCCAGCACGCTGGGATTGTTTCGCGGAATATTCCTCGATCTGGGCGTTCAAAGATTTGATGTCAGCGTCGTATTTGGCGATGGATGCCACCGTTCGGCCAATGGACTCCAGTTCACGCTTCGCATGCTGACGTTGCTCAACAATCTTGTCATGCTTCTCGATCTTGGCAAGCAAAGCCTCCTTCTCTCCGCTCAATGTGGACAGATCTTTCTCGGCTGCGGGGATTTCAGTCTTGACAAGCTTCTTGAAGGTTTCATTCACAATTCCCAGGTCAAGCAGGCGTCTGTACTCAGCTTCAGCCTCTTTTGAAGTCGTGCTTTCCGCCTGCGCCAGAGTCTTCTCCACCAATCCTTCGATGCGCTTCTTCATCTTCTCCAAAGCTGGATCATTGGGACCCTTAAAAGTCCGCGCACAGGTTCGACATGCCGGCTTCTCACTCTTGAGGGTCTCTAGAACCTTTAGGTAGTAGTCATGAAGACCCGCAAATTGACCACTGTCCTCACGTGCGTATTCGGCATCAGCTTGTGCCTGCTGCAGAGCTTCCTCGTATCCTTCTGGGCCGTCTTGGACGACCTGGCGAATTTCCTTATCGCATTTGCCTGCTTCGGCCTTCTTGCGTGCGAGGTCGTCTCGAATTGTCTTCTGCCTGAATTGCAGCTGGTCCAACTCTCTACCCACCGAGTCTCTTTCCCTCTCGGCCGAGGCCGCCTCACCGGCGGCACTGCCTAGCGCCCCCTGGTAAACCTTTTCCACTGTTGTAGGAGTCCAGTCCTCTCCGAGCACCTTGTTGATACGTTCGCTGTGAGCATTCAACAATGTTCCCAGACTTCGCTGGCGTTCCTTCAGCTCTTGTTTCAAGTGTGCTAGTCTAGCCAGTTCTTCGGCCTGCTTGGTTGCATGGACTATTTCATCGTTCAGGCGCGAGCTCAGATCCTCATAAGAGCGGAGCTCTGCGCTCGCTTCTTGAAGCTTTTTGTCCCAACCACTGGCTTCTGCAGCCTGTCTCGCCTGGCGTATCTTTGCATTAAGGTGGTCAATTCGTGACTCAACAACAGCTCTGCTGCCCTCGTCTACCTCGATCTTGTCAGCTCGTCTCTGAAAGTCAGCTGCTTCTCTGTCATTGATATCCATCTGTTTTCTTGTGCTGACTTTATTGTCTTGCAAGGCGGCCTTTCGTTCAGTCAACCTGTTGACGAGGGTTTGGGCTTCACGCCGTTCAGCAGTGTGCTCAAGCTTGATACGATCAAGCGCGGTGCGTTGATCTTTGAGCATCTTCTTGATTCGGAACAGGAACTCCTCGACCTGGCTTTCGTCGCTGAGATCATCATAGCCCCGAATTTGATGTTTCGCAGCCACCTCTCTGACCATCTCCTTTCGTCTGACAAGCTGCCTTTCGTGCTCCTCCTGCTCTTGCTCGTATTTACCTTTTAATTGGACTTTCCGCTCGCGCTCTTTTCCAAGCTCTTTGATCCGGTCCTGAAGCTCAATGTACTCTTCTTGTCTTCTGCGCATCTCGTCCCTCAATTCTTGTTGTTTTGTTTGAAATTCATCGAGGGTTTCCTGTAGCCAATCATCCGGCTCGCTGACTTCCTCGAGATGAAGTTTGAGACTGTCGATGGTGCTTTGTCGGCCCTGGGCCTCGATCCGTTTCCCTTCCAACGACCCGAGAATCCTAGCGTAGTCCTCCCCCTTCCTCCAAGCGTCCTCAGCGAGTCTCCGAGCGTTCTTGATTTTCTCTTCCAGTTCTTCCACTTTTGCCCGCATCGACTCCACTTCTTCCTGGAGGCGGGACATAGTCCTCTGAACTTTGACGGCTCGATCCTTGTCTGTCTTCGCATGAGCCTCCATGATTTTGTACTTTCCCAGTTCCTCATTGTGTTTCTTGCGGATCTGCTTGATATTGTCAATTGCCTTGGTATATTTCTGCGCCTCGAAAATCTCATCGAACTTCTTTTTGAGCGTGGAAGGATCGCTCAAAGGCCAGAAACTTTCGTCCTGATGGCAGAAGATGACGTTGTCAAGGATCGCAGCCGACACCCCAAGAGCCTGGGGTATGCGAATATCAAGTTCAGCCACACGAGATGAGATGACAGACTTCTCGCCATGCCTGCTAATGTTCAACGAGTTTTCCAGAGACTTGAGAGAACGACTATTCTTCTTGACAGTCAACTCTAGGCGTCGGGCGACGACAAGTGGATCGCCCTCCGCAGATTTGAAGGATACTCGCACCAGGGCCCGGACCATCTTGTCATTGCCCAGCTTGGGATCGTGCACAAACGCGCCGCCGACCTTGGTATTAGGAGGCTGTATTCCGGTAAAGGCAAATTTGAGGCATTCAATGATGGTAGTTTTACCGGACCCGTTTTGGCCTACAATAAGAGTCAAGGGCGTCTCAAATCTGAGTCTTTCGGGATGCCCTTCGGCAAAAGAGCGAATGCCTTGAATCTCCATAGAGTGGAGACGAGACATGTTTGCGAACTTGAAGCAAGAGACGACAGACGAAGAGTGGCAGGTTCAAGGTCGCGGAATAGGACACGTTGGTGGCGCCCGACCGTGTCATCAACATTGGTTAGAGGGTAGGTACACCCAGAAGTCCCACGAAGACAGTGTCTGCCTGTTGATCTCAGGCTGTAAGTCAGTTCCTCTATTCCAGACATTCATCGCGTGCAGTGGCAGTGGTGGAAGGTGATGAAAGGCGACGGATGCCCTGCACGTGACAAAAAGCACGTGATCAGGGCGCGGCTGCCTGGCACTATTCCATAAAACACTTAGTGGCAAGCGCGCAGTCACGTGTGTGCTAGCGTGGGTAGCAGCTTGGCCAAAACTGCGATCGCAACTCGAAATCTTGATCTGGACACGAAATTGTGATCTTTGAATCCCCGGCAGCTGAGCGTCCTAACAACTCCTTCTCTCCACCCATCGACTACTATGTGAAGTCGCCAAACCACATTTCAGCGAAACAGCAGCGAGCACCACTCCGCCGCCGGTAATATTTTCCGAGAGCTATAGCCCCTGTGGCCCTGTCTCATCTTCGATTTTGCAGACCCTGCGCCGGCCTCCCCACACTTCAAGTTGCCTGGAGGACTGTGATTGTCCGCCCACGGTGCAGGTGTGCCCCCTTGGGTCTTAGCCCTTGCTGGGTTTCCAGCTCATGGCCGAGTTGGACTGCACAGGATAGGACCCACTGACGTGTTGGTACAGTAGTCGCTGCCTGCCATGGGGAGTTACCAGCCTGACCCTACCGCCGTCATGGGCGCTGCCTTTGACTACCAGCAAGGCATGCTAGACCCAGCGCTGGTCAGCAATGGCGCCGATATGACACTTTTTCCCGATGGCTTGTCCCTCGACCTGTGTGCGATTCCACCCACAACTTTCGATGAGTTGAACTTGGTTCCACACAATCTGGCCGGAGAAAACTCTGGCAAGATCGACTCGCCTGACAATAACATGCCCGCCAACAACGCCGGTGCAGGGCCTCTACCAGCTGGCCTAGCGGTACCAAGCGCCCATAATGCCGGTAGTACCCTGACCGAATTCACAAAGAGACGCAACTGGTCCCAGCGGGTCATCGAAGAGCTCAAAGATCTCATGTATATTTTAACCCCGGATGGCCGGCTTATGTACGTCTCGCCCTCGGTAAAGACTCTTACAGGCTACGACGCGGCTGAAGTCGTGGGGAAGTCTATATCGGATTTTCTGCATCCCGATGATTCCAACTTGTTCATTCAAGAATTCAACGAAAGCATTGCAACTGGAAACACTTTACGCCTCTTCCACCGATTTCGTACAGCCGAGCAGAAATTTCGAATATTCGAATGTCATGGCCACCCTCATCTCACCCACGAAGTTGGGCAGTCAGAGTTCCCGGGCTTTCCTGTCAGCCCTGCTGGAATCTGTCGAGGCTTTTTCATGATGGCAAGACCGTATCCGACCAGGAATTCGGAGCTTCTGGACTCTTTTCTTGAACACAAAATAGAAAATGTCCGACTTCAGGCTCGGATTGCCGCCTTGAAGCGGGAAGAAGCCGATGAGGCTGATGCTCCGCAAGAGCACTACCACAAACAAGCAGCCACCGCCAGCTCCCGGACACCGTCTATCTCTGCAGACATGACGCCGGCATCGCCATCTGTAACTTCCAAGCAGGATTTATTGGATTATAATAGCATGCCGCCACCCGCCAAGCCTACAGTCTCAAATATTGCTCTTACCAGGGAGGCTCTTGACGAAGCACAGGCATTTGCTCGGCCTGACAGCATCCGGGACAAGATGGCGAGATATGAAGGCTCGTCTCATGTTGACTCCATCGAGATGATGACCGGGCTACGGTACCGCGAGGGTGAGAGATCGCACGGCATATCAACTGGAGGCACTTCACCTGCTCTTATCCGCGGCGATGCGGGAATCCAAATTCCTCTCGAAAAGGCCGAGTCACGTTATTCCTACTCTGACAAAAGACAGAAGAAAGTCAAGAGCGCCGACGAATACGTCTGTACAGATTGTGGCACTCTCGACAGCCCTGAATGGCGTAAAGGTCCCAACGGACCGAAAACTCTTTGCAATGCCTGCGGTTTGCGGTGGGCGAAGAAAGAGAAGAAGAGAACCGGCGCGAGCGCCAACGTGGAAACGGCTTCTAATGTCGCGAATGTTTCCACGAACGGAGCCAATGCAGCACCAACTCCAGCGCCTTCCGGTTCTACGCCCATCAAAGAGTCGAGTTCGACTGAGTCGTGAGGCTATCAACAGAGCTGGGGGCGGTAATGAGCTACGGAGTGCGCGTGGATTCCGGATCCCTCGGATGCTGGTACATCAATCTGGGCATTTCTTGAGGGCGGCAAGCCGTCATCAGCTTTCTGCTGGTCAAAACTCTCGTCTTATCTGGTTCAATGCGTCGATGCGGCCATCTTCATCGAAGAGGACTCCGCCGGCACCAAGCTGGACATTTCGCAGGGGCTCATTGGCCCTCCGCCTGTACCAAGACGGCATTTGCCCTCATTTCCAACCACTCCGAAGTCATGACAGAACCAGAAATGCAGCAAGCCGACCGCTCAAATGCGGTTTCCGCCCAGTGGCAAAATCTTGAGTGCTTGGTGGAAGGCCTCCCGCTCCCCCTCTCCTCTCCGCCGTCCCGTCCGGCTCGTTTATCCGGGTGGGCGCCCACCCGCCACTTCCGCCGTTGGCCCACATCAACAGAACCACACGCGACAAGCCACAGCTGGTTATGTACTTCTACAACGTACAATACTAGCCACGAGGCATGCTATCCGTTTAGCCGTGATAGTAAGGTATGATGTGGCAACAAACCGGCATCTCGCATATAACTCCCTAGCAACAACACGCCTCTTCCTACACACCTATGATCACCCTACGAGATGCTGCCATGCCACGGACCGCCCGTGCCTTGTCGACCAAACCTTGTGTTGATGTAAGAGGATCTACCGCTCTCTCTTCACCTGGGGTCACTGGTTCAGCAACACCAGCACGGGACGCACGCCCCTCCCTACCCTCAAACGAACCATCTTTCGGGGATATATAACCGCATGTGCGTCAAGCACAAATACATTTGTCCGTTTCATTTGATGTCATAACGAAGACGAAACGAACACGACCACGGATACGCACACAAACACGATTGGCGATGTCTTTCCTTTGTTCCTCTTTTTCTTTCTTTGCCCTTATCTCGGCGGAGCAACGGCCATGGCAATGCCTTGAATAGAAGCCTTGAGCGGTGCTCAGATGTATTTATTTCTCTCATTTTCTAGATGTTGGCGTGGAGGTTGATCTTATGGTGACACTATTGTTGCATTGGCTCGCAAACGAAAAGCCATGGGGGCGCGCGGGTGCTGGCCGCTTGTATATTCTGCGAGATCTAACATACCATTGCTAGGTATCTAACATGCCGATCAATAGCAGATGGAGACTATGATGAGACAAAATCACGGTGTAGCACATCATTCCTGTTCAGTGCAGAGATGCCTGAGACCCAGTACCTCCCTGGTTCTGTAGCATATTACACATTGGACGTACAGGAGATCCCCTTTTCTTGACCATTTGGTCTCCGTATCATAAAATCCAACAGACTGACAGACCCCTTCAGGTTTACGGCCACTATCTCAAGTCACCGTAGAAGCGTCAACAGCATCTGGACCAATATTCTCGCCCGAAAGATCGGCCTTGGAGGCAGGTTCGTCGTCGGCCTTCCCATCTGCGTCTACTATGACGATATCCCCGTCCTGCTCTTCCGCCGACGAGCCAGCCCCGTGCTCTTGCCCTTGCGTTTGGTCCTGTTGTTTATCTGTTCTGTCTATCGCAGATGAGGTAGTGATGGTTGTGGTTGCTGACGCTGACTGTTCTGTCTCATCCACCTGCATCTGATCGACTTCAGCCTCAGCATCATCGTCGCCAGCTCCAGCAACACTGCCAGTCCTGTCCTTGAGAACAATCTCAAAATCGTCATCAGTATCCACTGCTGCGTCCCGATCTCCAGAACCAGAACCAGGCAATGTGTCCTGCTGACCAGGGAGCACTGTCTGTGCATCATTTGGATCCGTTGCATGGCGAGCAGCAGCAGCAGTATTGCCCCTATCACTGCGTTCAGCATCACCATCACCTCGCTCAATGCGGATCTGCACATCATGGCCGTCGACTCTGCCCACGTCAACGGCTCCCACGACATCGGGACCACGAGCATGAGGCACGTCGTCCTCCTCGGCGCCACCATCCATGTAGACCCCATCCTCGGTGCCGCCGGCCATTGTCCTGCTGGTATGCTGAGCGTTCCGGGCGGTCACAGGAACCACTCCGGCCTCTTGTTCCATGCGCATCAATTCGCCTTGAGTAACGGCCCCATCTGCGCGTTCGGGGACAAGTGGATCCTGTTCAACAGAGGAAGACATGCTGTTGCTGCCACTGCCTGCCATGCTGCTGTCGATTTCGCTAGGGTCATCATTATCTCCCTCCAAATGCATCGAGGAGTCCTCGCCTGCGTCTGCACCCACGATCCCATTGCGCAACCACGGTATGGGGGTCAAAAGGGCGCCGCCGAGACTTTCATCGCTGCCCAACGAGTTGTTGTCATAGCCCGTTCCGTTTCGGCCGTCCGAGTTGTTCCAGAGAATCCCGCCTCCGCCGTCGCCATTCACGCCGTTCACTAATGCGGGCGTGTCGGAGAGTGGGAATATGTCCGCGGTACTACTGACGCTGACTACCCGGTCGACTGCGCGCAGCCACGCGGGCAGCGTCTTGTAATGTTTCGTAGGATATAGCACCAGCTCTGCTAGTCGCTGGATGGTATGGGGTGGCTTTTCGGAGAACGAGGTTCGTAACGTGTGAGTCACGCTGTTGAACAGTTGGAGTAAGAGGGCGGGAAGTTCTTCGGAGGAAGTAGAAGACGCCGCATTTGTTGGGTCTTGAGACGGTGGCAGAGAGTCAGGGACACGGCTCGCTGATGAGTCCGGGAATGGAGGGACAGGAGGCAAATTCCGAACGGGTGTCGAGGGGGTTTGTGCCCTCGCACCGTTGGAGTCGCGCGGTTGAGTCGGTGAAGATGATGGTGGAGGTCGGTTGATGTTGGGATATGGGCGTGGCATGGGAAATGCGGTATATACGATCTAGACAGAAACTGTTAGATCCAGATAAGAGATATGATCCAAACAACTTGAACTGCTGGGCTTCGGATGTGAGTCGCATACCTGGTTGAGACGCTGGAGGAGAGGCTCGATCATGGAGGGCCATTTGTCACTGGTCCCCGTTAACTCTGGCCTGTCTGTGAGAAGAAAACCTGCCGGGAAGGATACGTACTAGTCCATCTCGCCATTTCGGGCAACATCTTCCAGCGTCTTTTCATCCAAGGCTGGACGATAGAAAGGACATGTCAGTGGACTTTCTCTTGCCTCGCTCTGGGGGACCATTGCTGGAACTTACCTGCAGACATCTTGTCCAGCCAAGAGATAGCCAATGTTGGATCGAATGCAGTCGCCGGGGTGATGACCTGCTACACCTGGCTCCTTCTATACAAAATTCTCATGTCATCGTGCAATGATCTCCAGCGCAAGTGTACAATGTTCAAGTTGTACAACGTACATTTGCCGCAGTTAAGCGTGAAACTTGAGGGCGCATGTGGACATTCAAGAAGGCTAGTGTCGTTAGTGGCATGTTAAGTGCGCTAGCCTGGTAGAAATTATTATAGCCACTTTTCAGGGTAAAAGCCCAGCCTAGAACTTGTTACTTCAAGTTGGCCACTACCTACAACGTAGGTAGCTACCTAGGTAGTAGTAGGCTACTGAACGCCTGACAACGGCCCAGCAAGACTGATGCCAAATTCACCCTTACTTAGGTAAATACCTGGACTTACAACGTTGTATATGGCCGTTCCAGGTATACTACTGTGTTACTAGTAGTAGCATCTGTTGTACATGGTAGTTCACAGAGGTGATATACACCCAAAGTCGTTGTACACAGCAACTTGTGAGCTTTTAGCTAGAGTACCAGGTAGCTGTATGGACCTATTAAGCGGCACCAACGGTTATACCACTGCAGTGCAGCTGCGAAAGGAGCCAACAAGGCGAACCCCACCCACGTCATGCAAGTGCCTTATGTCTCGGCCGATGTCCCTACAACTTACACTGGCAGCCGGTGTGAAGGTCGTTCAGACACTCTCAAAAGAGATCTCCTTTCCCTGCAATATATCGCGAAGGACGTAGGGCTAAGGTAAAAGTCTGGGTCGCAAGATGAGACAAACGAGGGCCTGCCTGGTAATTCTTGCAGCGAGATCTTACGTTGGGCGCAGAGCCTCCGAATCCTGCTACCACCTCACTTATTACTGAGCTGAGACTTCGCCCTCTTCTGCACGCCCTATCCGGAGCAACGCTTCATGCCGATGGAGCTGTAACCCATCGTCCGTACCTAGGTAGTCCGTCGCATAGATTACCACTGCTTTATACCTCGCAGAATGGATGCCGCTGGCGATGAAATCGAAATTGAACAGGTCTCGAAATGGGGAAAGCCAGACTCAAGTTCCCTGATCATGTTCGTCCAACAAGTCCGGGAACATCGGTTGTGACACCTGACAGGCATTCGGTCTCGAACGATTTCGATGCCTTACAGGCCAAGCGAGGGCAGGTGGCAATATTTTGATGTCCGTCCCTAATTGATCCTGGACCCGGTTGCCCGATACTTACTACCGCTGTCAACCCACACCAGTCTCAGGTTGAATATCTAAAACACCCCCGGAGTCCTGTCCTTGACTCCTTACCTGGGCCTTGTAATTCACGTCCAGAGCAGCTGTTGGAAGTCGAACAAGATTCCGTTTTACCAAGCAGACCACGGTACAAATGGCATCGACAGGCGTCGAGGGGCGGCCTCAGCTTACTATGTACAGCCGTGCCCGCGTGGTGAGGGCAAGGGCTGGTCCATCCGTGGCAGCTCTGCAGCGTGCAGCGTGCAGCTTGGGGCATGTCCAGTGCCCAATGCGCAGTGGTGACACCCAAAGCGAAAAGCCAAATTGGGGACCCTAGGCCCCGGAAAGGCGGCAGGCTAGCCGTAGCGGCCTGAAGGCACCCAATCTAGGGCACCCTAGGCTTCAGCTGGCTCGCCCGCATGAAGACGGGAGGCTGGATGAAGTCTTCGAGGACCATTCAGAGATTGAGGCTGTTCATGGGTTGCCTTTGCTGCGGCATGTACCCCGGTCTGTTATTCCTCGTATTGGACTGTCCCAGGTTGCCTTTGGCGTTGGCAACTTTCTTCAGCGTTCCTCCAGGAAGCAGGCGAGCATAGCCAAATCGAGGCTTGCACAGGAGCCGAGGGGGACGCCGTACCCGCAGTGTCCACTCCAAAGGCGCCCGTGTTCGTCCCACTCCTGTCCGACCGCGTGCTTCCAAGAGCGGTTGGTTGGATTGTTAAGTGGATAAAGGCAGACAAGCAGCAACACTGGCAGCAGTAGTAGTGTATTTGGCAGTAGTTGGCTCTCACGGACTCTCCACAGGGTGATCCCTCCAATCGTCAGCATGGCTCGACCGACCTTCCATCGTCCTCCCTCAACCTCTCTGGTTTGTTCTTTGTTCATTCACGGCACAGTAGTCCAACGTGAACTCCTTCACAGCTTCACTTCTTTGTATCGTGACTTGTCATGAATCCGGCGGGCATCTGCTGTCACTGCCATGCAGCGAGCGGCCCAGTATTAACCGTCCTTTGTCCTTGACTGCGACTGTCCGTCTGTCCAGGTTCCGGAATGACCTTATCCCCTCCGTATCGACTGTACCACCTCCAGAATTCTGCAGGCTCGGGTTGCCAATATGGAAACACTGAATGTCCCTCCGGAAGGCCTCCTGCTCAGGCATGAGGCCAAATCTGCCCAAGAAGAGAATCAGTCGAAGCAGCCTCCACAAGTCATTCGGTTGGACCTCGTCGAAGGGGTGACCAAGGAAATACTGCGTTCGTTGAAAAACAAGGACCAGGTCCGGCTTCGATGTGGGAAGACACCAGCGGTGATACTTGGCAAGAAGTCGATACCTTTGGAAAGTACTGTTGACACTTTCCCTTCGGAGTTGTTTACCCAACCGTCTGATGACAGCCGTCATCTCTACTTCTCGGGAAAGTTGAGCCACAGACTAGAAGTGCGGAAGGCAGAAGAAGACACCGCAGGCAGCGATGAGGCGCTGGCTGCACTTGAAAGTACATTGAGGTCCATCCAAGAGCAACGAGCATCGAACGAGACCAGTATCAAGGACACTGGGAGGAGTCTCGGCAAGAAGGAGAACAAATCATCGTCCTTGTTAGGACAAAGCCCTGCCCTCAGGAAGGACCATCTTCTGGGAGGGTTAGCAAGATCTACACCATCCACCCCCTTCTTGAGTGCATCGTACTCTCCCCGACAAGGACCAACTTCGGTTCCACTGTCTTCGGGACTGTCTCAAAAAGACAGAATACGTCTTGACGCCATACGCATCCCACTGGTGCATCTTCTTGCTGTCAAGCCCATGAGCCCAAAGTCGATCTGTGCCCAACTGCATTGCACAAAGGATGATTGTGAAAAGCTGCTCACCAAGGTGGCAAGAGATTGTCCACGAGGCGACGGGCTGAAGGAGCTGAAAGAAAAGAGCTATCGTGAGCTAGATGTATTCAAGTTTCCATATTGTTCTACCGAGGATCGACAGCGTGCGATTGATCATGCCATTCAGGCGTACGATCGAATGCGTGTGGATAAGAGAGACGACCTGTGGCAGCTTCTGTTGCCTCCAGAAGAGCGCGGCAAAGGCAAGGTGCTGTCGAAGCTCAATTTTGACAAGCGTGTCCCACCCAAGCCCGAACGTCAGCAGGGCGAGGACGGCAATGACAGTAAGGTTGAGGCATCTGACCCGGAGCAAGGCAGGCCAAAGGGCAAGAAGGATGCACTGGGGCTGCAGAGGAAACTGAAAGACAAAGCTGCAACAGGATCAAAGACGCCGGCAGCGAAATCGGACGCAGGCACTCCGCGCGCAGCCAGGAAAGAGACTACGCCGTCCGTAAGCAACTCGAAGTCCGCAAAATCAGACGCCAAATTCAAGTCGTCCGAACGCATAGAAGACTCAGATGAAGAAGCTGATGCAGTTGACGTTGCCAACCCGAAATCACCGGCTAAAAAGACTGCTTCAAGCTCTACTACCAACATCGCCAGGAAACCAGTGCCCGATGAGGCCAAGGCGCAGAAACCGAAGTCATCACAAAACGTTTCGCCGGCTAAGAAGTCACCTCATGGATCTTCCGCCTCAGTGTCTTCGTCCAGCGGCAGTGGAAACGAAAAGCCACGCCCTCCTGCTGCCTCGAACCCTCCAAAGTCTTTGAAACCTCAGCCAAAGGCCGACAGCACAGCGTCTCGCATTTCACCTAGGCCACGGCACAATAGTTCGCCGCAGAAACCATCTCCTCTCGGGTCATCCCCTCCCACGACTTCGACCGACGTGGACAATTCGACCTCCAGCAAAGCCTCCAACCAGTCTTCTGCTCCTTCATCTCCACCATCCGGTACAGATATGCCGCGGTCAAAAGCAGAGCGTGCTAACGGAAGCAAATATTCTCCGGTTATTGCTGACAAGACTCGAAACATGGTAGCTGGAAAAGTTAGTCCTGAGAAGGGCTCGACCAAGCGTAAAGCAGAACCAGCTGAAAACGAACGACCCGCGAAGAGGCAGCAACAGAAGCAAAAGCCCTCTAGCAACCTTGCACCACTCTCCAATGGCGCAGTTCAACATGTCAAACGTCCCTCCCCAGCTCGGGCTGAATCTGAACGCTCTTCGTCGCCAGAAAAGCCAGGCGTCAACCGCCAAGATGTCATGGAAGAAGCAAGACGCTTTCAAAAGTACTACAAGCGGTACAAGGACCTGTATGACAAGATCTCGCAGACAGACGAAAAGGATCGCGATCAAAAGGACATGGGGGATCTGTGGAGGATGCATAAACGGCTGTCGGAGATGAAGGCAGAGATCTGGGACAACTGGGACAAGGTCGAGAGGGTCGACAAGGCAAGGGAGATGGTGGCAGTATGAATAAGATTGCAGCACACTACCAGTGCAGCCGGCCAGACGAAGTGAAATGGCGAGCTGAAGCTGGATGATGATCTAAACGCAAACCAAACCGAGAATTCTGTAAGTGTCTTATGTATGAACGGCCTCCTACGAAGTGAGAAAATGAACTTTCAAATTGAGGACGAGCTACTTCAACGTGCCGTACTTTTGTACAAGACTTCCACCGCGGCAGCGTGCAGGACAATTCTTCAGATCAGACTCACATCCACCTCGTCTAGTTGTGTTTGGGATCTGACTACCACCTTGTTATCCGCTTCTTATTTGTTTGCTCTTGCACAATCCTCGCAATCCAAAGTCAAGGTTCTCATTGATTGATGACAGTCACTGGTTAACGAATTCACCATCCCAAGTTGTTCCACTTGTCGTCCAATGCACAAGCTCTTTCCTAACCGCTTGCGTTCCTACTCGGTCGAAGGCACGCAGCGCAGCATGAACTAAGTAGCTCAAAACTGAACACAGCGCCCTTGCTTCAAGAAGACGCTCCCATTCCAGTCTCACTTGAACCTGGTCTCAGCGTTGAAACCTAACTTCTTCCCAACTTTCCCATTCAAACCAACTCAACTCGACACCACTCGACACCACTCAACAACAGTTTTCCATCCCTCTCAACCCGCTTACTCTCTCCTCTCCCTCTCTGTCTCTGTCAGAGTGAGACAACACTACCTCAGCAATGGCGAAATCCAGATATCGAGAGCGCGACCGGGATACCAGTCGCCGTGCCTCGACCGCAGCTCCTCCGTCTCGAGTCCCGCTCCAGGCGCCAGCGCGTCCATCCGAGACCTCTCGACGTTTCAGCAATTTCATCGACCTCACCGAATCCGATCCATGGTCCGACCAGTCTACCAACAACCTTGGGGGAGGACCACCACCAGCAACAGCACTGGGGAGAGCAGTCAGATCTAGCACCCTTGCACCAAAAGTCACCGGCCGCGCAAGCACAGGCACCGTGGTATCTGTCCCGCAAGACCCGCGATCGAACCCGGCCTACCTATTCCAGCAACTTGCATTGCAGCGCAACCGCGCAAGCGTCAGGCCATCATTCTCAAGTAAACAAATCGAGATCGACAGCGGGGACGACACAGAAGAAGGACAAGAACTCAGACCCAAGAACTTGAAGCGAGCGGAGACTCCGACCCCGATTGCAACCAAGAAAGAGAAGAGGAACCGCCATCGCAATTCCAAGACTAAGGTGAGAAAGGCGCAAGAAGAAGAAGTAGAGGCAGAGGCACCCGTCGTCGAAGCCAGTGGCGCGGCGAAGCTCGATGGAAACAAGCACAAGCAGAAGAAAGGGAAAGAGAAAGAGAACAGTATTACTGCTATTCTCCACAACAATATCAACAAGCAGCCAGACGAAACCAAGACCGACACGACCATCCACAAGAAGTCCAAGAAGTCCAAGAAATCAAAGGCACAGTCGAAGCATGATGGCAGTGTGCCAGTGGTTGACCTCGAGAACACCGACAGAGTCACAAACACAAGTACAGCCACGATCAGCAAGAAGGACATGATCAAGATCAAACGCGAGCCTCGATCTCCCGAACCAGGTATGTTACGATCAACAACACGTGTTGCATATGGCATATCGCATTACATCTTGCTATACCCGTACCAGTTCAATTCCAGTCCTTGACTGTTCTTTTTGCCGAGATATACTAACAAATGACTCAACTCTCCCCAGTTCTGCCGCCGACACCCTCTCCTCCACCACCATCTCAAGTTCAATCCCGATCCGAGTCTCGCAAACGAAAGCGCGAAACCGCCATCGCCAGCACGGCCGCCACCGTCTCTACCGACTCCACCACAGTCACCGACGATGATGACGGCGATGACGATGACAAGAGACCTCCTGTGAAAGTTTCAAAAAAGACAAAAAAGACAAAAACTATTGTCCAAGCCGAATCCAGTGGTAAATCTAGCAAAGCTGCAGAAATCGAATCCATCGCCATCGCCAAACTCCGCGAAAGTTTACCTTCCGTCCGAATCACCCGCGTGACACGCGACTTGCAGCGCGAATTTGATGGAGTCAATCCGACAGATGTGGCCGTCCTCGTCACGGCTGCTCGAGAGACGATTATTGATCTGGCTAGACAGCAGGTTGAGCAGACGGAGCAGTCGTACCAGATGATCCAGGCCGAGTTGTTGAGGATGTTGAAGAAGCAGAATGAGAGATTGGAGCGGTTGGAGGGGAAGAAAAAGAACAAACATGGATCCGCCGGGAGAGGGGCAGGACTAGCAGCCGAGGATGAGACTGCGAATGAAGACGATGAAGACGATGAAAGTGAAGAAGGTGACGATGCGATGATCGGTCGACAACGGCCTGATACTTGTGCGTCGAATTGATTGTGCAGCGCATGTCAATGTCAGCAGCCGAGTTGATGTCAACTTCTCGGATACCGGTTGGGTAATCTGGATTGAAGGTGAAGTTGGGCTTGGGCTTGGGGTGTGAAGCATCTGCGGTGGCGTCGGGATACTGACTGTCACTGCGTGATGCGATACACCCGCTACTGGAGTCGAATCGTCAAGGTCGCGTGCAGTGAGTGGTAACTGACTTGTTTTGTATGAGTTGTTCTGGGCTGTCTTGAGCCATCTGGACCGAGCGGGTCAACCTGATGGCCTTGATGTGCTTGGTACCAGGTACTTACTTGGCCGAGACTGAAGCTTTTAATTCAAGGCACCTACTGTCTGTATGTACCTAGATGCTAGGTAAGGTTGAGTCGAAAGTGGAACTTTTTTCGAAACAAAAGTTATTACTGCATTTCTGTGTTCATCTTCTCTTGATCGCTTCCCTTCCTTTCGTCTTCCCTCCCTCATCTGCCCCTATGTCTCTCTGCTCGGTCCAGCCTTGCCTCTTTTTACTTCTTTTCTTGTTGCCGTTATCACGACAAAGTCCAATTCCCACTCCAAACCTTCCCACCCAAAGCCCCCTCCAAGCCAACGACATTCCACGTCTTTGCAACAGAATCATAGGAGCCATTTGCCACGACCTGACCATTGATCTTGACCTCATTGGTCGCCGGCGCACTCAAGACGCCCAGAACAGTGATGTTTGCCAACGGCAGGTCCAAGCCAGTATAGTTGCCCTGGACCGTAACATTGAGAGACGGCGAAGCTGTTCCTCCTGCTCCCGTTCCAGTTGACCCCGATGAAAAAGTGAAATTGACCAGCTTAGTAGCATTAGGCGCCACCGACTCCCCATCATCCAGATACAACGACCCCGAAGCGGAGCCGTCAACACCAGGCGCAACAATGAGCGACCAGCTCGTATTCCGGGCCGCTCGCGTCGTCAGGGCCATCTGCTGCGTAGCCAGCACGACGCCGCCGCGGATAAAAACGGGGATATGACCCAGTGGAGCGTCGATGGTGACATTTTTGTCGTTTGCTCCTGCTGGTTTAGCAACTGGCGTCTTATTGTACCAGTCGTAGTAGACATCGGTGCCCTCGACGAGTCCCGGAAACACACCGTCGACACTGGTAGCGCCTTGCGTGAGGACCGGGGTGACGAGAATCGAGGGTCCCAAAAAGAATTGACGGTCCGCATCTGCGAGTGTCGGGTCATGTGGGAACTCCCAGGCCAAGGCGCGCATGACGGTGTCGCCTCGCGTATGGGCGTAGTAGAACAAAGTGTACAAGTACGGCAGGAGCTGGAACCGTACGTTCATGGCGACTTTGGTCGCGTCCGCCACGCTGCTCCAGACATAGGCCTCCTGCGGATTCGCAGACAGAGTATTGTGGTTTCGATAGAAGGGGAAAAAAGCACTCAGTTGCATCCATCGATTGCATAACTCCTCGTCGCTGTTGCCGTTGAATCCACATGTGTCGACGCCGAACATGGGGATGCCGAACAAGGAAAAACTCAGGGCTTGTGGGATCGAGAAGTACATGTAGTAAAACTTGGCGGTGTTGTCGCCGCCCCAGTGGCCTGCGACTGTGCCGGAGCCTGCGAATGTTGATCGGCCGATTATGAAGGGTCGTAATCCGGGTCTTGCGGCCAGAAGGGCTGCGTATGTCGCTTGCAGGATCTGGTGGCCGAACAGATTGTGCACGTCGTACTCCTGAATTCCGTTGTGGTGCGTTGCGTTGGGCGAGACGGCGTGGACTGCCAGGTCGCCTTGGACGTGGTTGATCACGTAGGGTGGATGGTTGACGTTGCGTTGGCCTGGGGTGGGCGTCGTTCGAAGATAGCTTGTTGAGGAGGAAGACGAGGATTCGCTGGTTGATGCACTCGTCGTTGCTGTCGCTGTCGCGGTTGCGGTGTCAGTTGCAGTCGCACTGCTTGAGGCCGTTGCGGTCAATGTAGCTGAAGCTTGAGATTCCGACGCCGATGAAGCCGATGCCGCTTCCGTCGCGTTTGTCAGGTTGAAGCCCTCTGGATAATCGTAGATAACATTGCCTGGTTCACCGGGCAGTTTGAACGGCGGATGGACAGGGTTGAGTGACAAGTTCCCACTGCCACAACTGCCGACGCAGAAGGACGACACTTCGCTCATGTCGATCCAGGCGCCGTCGATGGGCAGTTTCTGATGCCAAGTCACCATTTGATTCTTCCACCATGCCTGCGCGACCGACGTCAACCAGTCCGGAAAGGCGGTGTATCCGGGCCACACGGCGCCGATGTACAGAGACCCGTCGGGGTTAAGCAGAAATGAACCGGTTTCATTGCCGTCGGTGAACGGTTGGTATGCGTCGCTGGAGTTGTCCGGGTTCGGGACGTAGATGGCACTGTCGATGATGGGCACGTAATGCTGCCCTCGGTCGTGGAGACGTTGCAGAAAAGCCGTGCCATCCGAATAATTGAAACGGATGGGGTCGTTGTCAAAGTCCCGATATTCCTTCATGTAGTCGATGTCGTTCCAAATCGTCTCTAGCGGGATTCCGAAGCGTTCGTAAGTGTCGACGACTTCCTCGGTGACGGACCAGTTCTGGTATCCCCAGCGGCACTGATGGAAGCCGAAGCCCCAGTAGTTTTGTAGGACTGGCTTGCCAATGACATCGAGATACTGGTGCGTGACATCGGGCTGTGTGGGCCCGGAGAAGAAGTATAGGTCGATACTACCACCCAACGTCCTCCAAGTGACATTTGTATGACGCATCAAGACCTCCATTCCATGGGCATTCCGGAAGTAGACTCCATGGCTGGAAGATGTGTAATTGCCCGTCGCATTGCTAGCGTCAAGTGGCTCCGTCGCCAGAGAGGTGGTGTTGTCGTCCCCGAGCTCGAAATACTTGGTTTGCAAGTAGAACGGATGGCTGCCGTAGATATTGTAGTCGATGGGATCGCCTACGTCTGCAGCGTAGATGGTCCGAGTGAGGTTGTTGCCGAGTCTAAGAGCATGGATGACTTCGCCGAGACCATAGAGATTGTAATTTTCCTCTTGGTGCGTGACTAATTCGATGAACTGGTTTTCGAATACCAGCTTAGTCCCTGTGGTCGAGAACAAGACGTCGCCGGTGCTGTTTCTAGTGACATTGAAACCGAACCCGCTGTTGGGGGTGTTGGCCCATGTAAAGGTGAGGTCGCTCGTCGTCTGCTGGCCGCTCTCCTGTCCCGGAGCAGCCACATAGTCGCTGGACAGGAGATACCAGCTCTCGTTCTGCGAGCTAACATAGGACGGTTGGATGTTGATGTGCAGTCTAGCATTGGTTTGGTACTCCACTGTCAGGTCCAGATCGCTAACATCCGTACCATAAAGATTGCAAGCAGAGCCCGCTAGCGTCAAGTGCGCCGTCAGACCCGATGAAGACGTCTTGACATCGCTCGCCGTATAGCCTGGACATTTGTCCTGAGCATTCGGGGCTGTCGGGTCGTTGATGTTGGGTAACAGAGTTGCACCCTCATCCACGCTTTCAGGTAATGTGAATTGTGCAGGATATGCCGTCGTCACCGAGGCCGTAGAGGCAACAGTGGAAGTGGCCGATGATTGAGCTTTGGCAAGACATGGAGCGAGAAGAAGGCCCGACAGCAGGGCCGGTGACAACATGTTGCCGGTTTCGTCGGAGCAGCCTTGCTCGACCGGCGTGATTTGCTGGACAGCCGACTGAAGCCTGAAGACAATAGTGAGCTGCCGGTCCGATAGAGGCCGTGGAGTATCAGTGTTCTGTCGTCAGACACGGAGGATAAACAGCAGCAATAAACAATCAGCTAGCCTGACATCAAGTACCCCTACTGGTGCGGGAGTATTCAATGTTTGACAAAGTCAGAGCAGCCCGGAAGAGAGACCAGGCACGATACTCTAAATCATGGAGCCAGGTAATGAAGCGCGCAGGAAGTAACAACGCAAGCACATGGGCTTAAATAGTAGACAGTGTAAGGTACCTCCGGGAAGTACCTAGGTAGGCAGGTAGGTAGAAGGTAGCTGTGTATCCATGGACACGCGCAGCATTGCTCGGACTCTCGGAGGCACTCACCATGCAGACGACGACACCAACCAACCTATCTTCAAGAAGGCATAGACCGCCAGGCAAAAGAGGAGCACGATGCAGCAGCACAGCGTCGTACCCCGGGTCATTGTCCGCAGCATGGGTTTGCGGACAGGCTTCTCTTTGGCCATCATGACCGACGGTAACATTGTTCCACCCCAGTTTCTCCTCTAAGAAGCTCTCATCCTGGTTCGTCGCGCCCTCGTCACCAAGGATGGTGGATCCCAACCTGAACCTATTTTGTTCGCCTGACCCCGGCAAATGCTGGAGTGCGGGCGTCCGATTGTAACCTTCTGGAAGGTGTCGAAGCGGTCGGTGACTTGAAGACGCCGAGCCAGGTTGGAGATGCAGGTGGAGAAGATCGACCTCACTACAACTGTGCTATACTTGTAGTAACCGCATACTGCGTGCTGTCCCGACATGTACTTAGCAGTAGTCGAATTGGTGAGATAGTAGTAGTGCCCGTGGGGTGAAGTTTGACAGCGGGAGAAATCACATCTCCATGGCACTAGCGGCCACCAGACAAGACCTACTATGACAGTAGTAGTAGTTGAACCGCGCGGATCCGTCCGGGGTCATGCTGTAAAAAAGAGGAGAGACAGAAGCTCTTCACGTACAAAGAGACCTGGAACAGCAGGGACCAGAGGGCGGACCATCAACAGCTAACGGAACCGATAGAAGGATGTACTTGGAGTTGCGGTCGCTGGATTGAGTAGAGAATATATTGCGGCTTACCCACCTACCAGCTCTACTGACTACCCAGTTAGTATCTTATTCGAATACAGCACAGTCGGCCAAGTAAGCATAAACCCGGCCTTGGAAGCTCCATCACTGCCATGCATCATGACGCCGTTCGCCAAAGACAATCTGCCAGGGCGCGACAGGGGGAAAGTCTGAAGATCAAGTAGAGTATCACCGAGCGATAGACCGAGATACCCTCAACCCGCCAGCAACGACCATAACTCCCTACCATCAAAACAGCTACTAGTAACACCGCATCGAGACGAGACACAGAGGACCGTGGCTCCGTCACTCACTATTCCATCCTTACGTTACTAGACAACGTGGAGCGATTTATGTTCTTCGTTCTTTACTTCAACTTCTCATACAAATGCTATGTAGGGGGTATCCCAGGCGGCAATCTTCAGTCTTCGCAAAGGCAAAGCATGGCAAAGCGGATAGCAACCAGAGACCAGTCCTCGGTGCCAAAACGGCGGTGCTCGACTCAAGTTTGGCTGTCCTCTCCACTCCACGGCAGGAAAAAGAAAACGTCAATCTCGTCGACCTGACTCCGTCCCAAAAAGACTCGGAAGACAAAAAGGTCATTCAATAACTCGTGTCCGCCCGAGCAAAGCGATAACGACAGCAGGAAAAAGTATCTGCTGATTTGAGAATAAGTAAAATCCCAGGCCCGGCACAACGAAGAAGAAAATGCGGATGCTGGCCAACAATTAATCATTACAAGAGAATCCTCCCCACACGGTTACCAGACCTCGTCGACCAGGTACAAAACTTCCTGGGCCGACCTCTGCTCACCTGGCCAACCAATCTCTTCCCCACCATCAGTAACCATCAGCTGGAGCTCGGCGACGTCGAAAGAAATCTTGCACCTTTTTCACCGCCCCAGAACGGCCGCCGTGATGAGTAGGTCCGTGATCACGGTCGTAGGCCTCATTAAATCGGCGGTTGTTCTTGACAAGCACCACCCGTCCTGATCGCCCCTGTTGCATTGACGGCCGACTGACAGCTGCTTCGCTCATTTCAGGATACTGAGACATCATCTGAGACATCGGTTCACTCTGTTGACGTTGATGGTTCCGGCCTTGCCCTGGAGGAGAATATACCCCAGTGCCCCCATAAACGTCATTCGACGGCTGTGTTGGCCCTACTCTTGGAGATTGATACTGTTGCTGCGGAGGCCGAGAGTAGTTGTTATACGCAACGGGCCTCGATGACTCTTGCTGTCCGTCCGTATTAGACACTTGTCGGGCCGCGTGTTCGTGGCCTGTCGCGGGGCGACTCGAAGCAGGCTGCACATGTCGGTCGCCGCGCGGACTCGCAGACGGGGCTACCGTTTCGTCCTTGGAGCCACCCATCAGACCCTTGAATGACAGCGAGTTAGGAATAAGTGAAAATCGTCGTACCGGCTTCTCTGTCTGAGTTTCCAAATCAGTGCTCCTCTTCTTCCCCAGCCCAAACGAGAACGATCGCTTCGAGTCAGTCGACATGCGAGGTGCCGCATCCGATGGATATTCCCTCATACTGGTTGGAGGATACTTGCGGCCGTTCTTTTGTCGCTCGGGATCTCTCTTTGCCACCGAGTTGGACCGGCCAAATAGTCTTTCGCCGAGCCCGCTCAACGTGCTTGACCGGCGATGATGTGTAGCTTTCTGAGCGGGCTGTGGGTCAGGCGCCGGCATAGGGGTCGTCATCGGTTGTCCTATCGAGTTCTGCGCTCCCGACTGTGGAATCGGCCCGGAGATGTTGTAGCCTCTGACCGGCTTCGCGGGTTGCGTGACTCGACCCTGCACGTTGGTAGCAGCAACTGTCGGCGCGACTGGTTGTCCGTATGATCCGCGGGATGGCAGACGAAGATCAGACCGCGTATTGGTAGGACCACTAGTAGAGGTGATAGACCCCTGAGTGCTCGGTCTGGTCACGTATTGACCGCCGTGAGTTGCGTTGGGACTTGCGCCAAAGGCACTAGTAGAATCAGAAACCGACCTTGGAATATCACGACCTGGCCGGACGGGTGATGACATCTTATCGTGAGTCGAGGACTGTGTTCTCCGCTGTGTGCCCTCGACTGGCGGGTCATGAGGTAACGGTTTGGACAGAGACGTTGCCGGTGCGTAACCAGCATTGACTGCTTGTTCGGCTCCGCTACGGCTCGCCGACGGCGCCACGGCGGCTGTGCTTTGTACACGAGCTGTATGGGTCTGAGGTGGCACATACTCCGGTTGCAAGGTATGGCGGGCAGTGCGATCACGACGAGAGCTGGTGGAAGATTCGTCAACATCGTGCAGTAATCCTTCGGGGGTGCGAGACAAAAGGCCAGGCGAAGAAGTCCCTCCGGTTCTCGATGGGCCTTCCCGGACAGATGCGCTTCGGTTCAGAGGTGGTGGCTCGTCTTCTTGGTCAGGTCAGCAGCTGTCTTCCTACCTCAATTGTGAGTGACTTACCGGCCGGAACAGCAGTATGCGCAATATCGGCGACATTGGTGGTACTACTGGTAATGTGAGAGACCACATGGTGGTAATCACTCAACCAACTGTGACGAGCAACTTCGAACAAATCGGCGCGCTTTCGTGGATCGGGAACTAGAATCCGCCGCAGAAGATCTCGCGCATGTGGAGTGACGTACTCAGGGAAGGTCAACGGCGTCGTGGTGATGTACTTGTACAAAAGATTGATATTATCACCCTCGGGGTTTGCAGGGTCGTCGTCAAAAGGCAGGTATCCGGCCAGCATAGCGTACTGGCATCGTGTCAGAATTCAACAGGCCCTCGATCAGCAGCTTCACTTACCAGAATGACACCACAACTCCACACGTCCACCTTTCTGCCTGTGTACAAGGAATCACTCACAACCAGTTCGGGGGCGGCATAGCAAGGACTACCGCAGCTGGTCTGCATCAAGTCGCCCCTCCTCATTCCACGGGCATCAAGCCGATCGAGTTTGAACTTGCGTACAAACTCCTTGTTACCAAGGTTGTACTCAATTTCGTCCGACAGCTCGTCTTTCGGATCGAAGGTGTTAGCAAACCCAAAATCCGTGATGATGATGTTCCGGTTCTGGTCTAAAAGCAGGTTTTCCAGCTTGAGATCTCGGTGCACAATGCCTTTCTTGTGCAAGTACCCAACTCCTGAAACAAGCTGAGCAAACAATCGTCTGGCCGCCGGATCTTTGAGGTAGCGATGATTGAGAATGTAATCGAACAGCTCGCCTCCTGATGCATATTCTAGAATGATGCCAATATGTCGTTCTGTTTCCACCATCTCGTGCAGTCGGACAATGTTGGGATGCGCCAAATCGCGCAAGATAGAGATTTCGCGATAGATCTTAGGCAGTCGCGTCGGGTTAGAGGCCACCGTTTCCCTCCGAATCAACTTGATGGCCACCTGAGTGCTTCCATCTTTCTTCCAACCCAGTTTGACTTTGCCGAATTCCCCTTCACCTAGAGTTTGTCCAAGCATGTAGTCGCCAAACTGTACTTCTTTCCTTCGAGCTTTGGAATAGTCTTGCCGCCGCGCCGGTCCAGGGGCGGGCAGAACATCATCGGAAGCTACGTCAGCAATTGCAGTGTCGCTGATTGGGGCGGGCTGCGCTTCTGCAACTCGCTCTTGCAGTCGTTCTTCATCAACCTGAGGGTCTGACACGACGAGTCGATTGATCACCTCGCTGTGTTCGCGCACCAAAGGCGCAGGTGCCGTCGTCGAGAGCATGGCCGCTTCGGAACGACTTTGGGACGGGGAATTGTGCTCACTTCTTTCTTTCGTGCTTGCGGCTCGCTGTGGACCATCGGGGCTTGCAGGGCCTTTTCTTCGGCTACGTGCAGCAGATGCGGCCGCCGTGGCTGTATCGTCCCGTGGCCTGTCTCGCGTTCCTTCGTTGTAATCTCCGACATGGTTTTGAACTCGACTTGTCTGTGCGTCCGAATTATTCTGCCTCGTATGCCTTGACCCCGCGGGTCTCGCTTCCGATGAGGTAGAGACAGAGTGCGCTTGATTGCGAGGATAACCTTGTTGTTGTGACGAAGTTCTCGGTGGCGGTACGGGGGCTCCGTCGTATTGATCATGTGCAGCAGATTGGTTTCGATAATGATAAGGGAGGGTGGTGGTTTGCGCATGGTAGGGGGCAGTAATAATGGGGGGCTCTTGTGCCTGAGTATTGTATCCCAAGTCATCGCCGGCGTTGTGTGTAGAATGTTGATAAACGCCAGAAGCTGGATCTGTCCTCCACGGGTTCTGGTACGTTCCTGTTGCGACCTCGGACTGGTCGTTGTAGTAGCCCTCCACATCTCGATCTTGCTGCTCGCTGTACTGGCCATCGCTGGGTGAGGAATAGGCGGAAGAGGTAGGTATGTGGTAAGGGCCAGGAGGCTGCATCATGTCCATTGACATCTTGTCTCTGCCTCGGCCGTGGGCTCGACCAAGAACGCTCGAATTAAAAGCACGGGCAGCTTGGAGTAGTGATGTTTCCGCTGCGGCGAGAGCGTATGCTGCGGTTCAGGAACTTGATGTCAAAGTCACTACTTCGATCGTCGTGTTAAGCAAGTGGTGGAAGGGATGATTCGACCTGCCACTCACCAGACGCTCTCTGCCTCTGCATCCACTAAGGTAGAATCTTTTTAGGCAACCGATCATAAGCGACGCGAACCACCCGTTCAATGTCGTACAAAACAAGTAATGTTGTTGCCCTGGAGTGAAGTTGATTGTTGTTCCCAGCGTGAAGCACGGTTGGGTGCACAACTGTATCCGTCTTCTCTCAAACAACCCGGTATGAATTTCAGAGCAAGGGCAGACGCCGAACCTGCGACGTCTACAAAGGGCACCGGGTCAGGCGGCGAATGCGTGGCAGACTGAAGCCAACCATCAACAAACACGAATGAAGGTATCGGATTCCGGCGTAGACAGGAGGCTCGCAGGCATGGCGGAGAACGGCTGAGGTTGCGGGTTCAATCGAGGCCGAGCGAAAGGAGAGTGGTCGTGGCGCGTCGAGATGGCTTTGGGCTTAGATCCAACTTGAAATCGAACTTCACTGGCCCGCAGAGATTCGATCAAGACGGTCGGCGGAGAGCTGATGCGGTGGTGAACAAGGTAAAGGTATTCGGTACGTAGGATTTGGGATGGGATTATGGGAAAGGTGTCTATCTAGCACTGCACGTACAGTAGGCTGAGCCCATGTTTGCTTGCAGTGTGTCGGTGAGGGAGCAGTTGCTTTCGCTACCAACGCAGGCAAATTAGACTTTCTCCCGGCGACTGTAGGCTTGACTACCGCGTCTGTTAGGCACTCGCTTTGGGTTTGGGCGCCCAGTCACAGAGCCACAACTTGCCCTGAAGGTACTATTACGGTGGTAGCACTCGAACAACAGCCACTTCCTGGGATTGGAAGCCACAATAGATCAACTACTACGCACTATTGTTACCAGAACGCACATCCTGGTGCAGGCAGTTGTCCATGGTTACCTACTCAACATCTCAAGGTGAACACTGCTATTGTCAGTCCCAGTCTTAGAGCCATCATTGTCCGAGATGGTCATCCCACTCAGTTCTGGTTGCTGCCGGCTGCTGGCCTCTAGGCTCCCTCATGGCTCTTTCAATTATTGAACACGCTCGACACGGCCCATACTCCAGTCGCGGAGCTAGCTTGGATGCTAACGAGCACGCCCACAGTACTACTGTTGTGGTGATGCGCTGTCAGTTCGCGCCTACTGCTGCCCACCGCACAGTGATTGCTCAGTGAGCAGGACCCAGGGGCGGCCTCTCCACTTTTTCGGTCATCAGACGACATTGGCATGACCATGAGCCGCCTGTCGCGATAAGATACATAGAATCCCTTACTCGAGGCAACATACTGGATAAGTCGCGTAGATTTCGAGGATGGCACACCTACAGCGCTGCCACTCTGCGAGAAACTCCAAACACTAGCAAATACAGGCACAGAATAAATCTTCGTGGTGGGCGAGAGTCATGCAGGACAGAACTGTTGAAGCAACTGACAGGCAAAGGCTCCCAAACCAGGCTCAACCTGAAACCATGAAACATGCACTTCAAGGTTCTTCGCATGGTCCATCCTGCTAGCGAAGTGCCAGTGGCCGATGTGGACAGGCTCGGCTGCCATGCCGTTTAAATCTAGGCCATCCGAGAGCATTTCTGACTCGTGAAACACAGCCAGAGGTGCACGTTCAGTGGATCAAAAACGGGGGTTGCGGTGTAATAATAATTAAGCAGCAGCTTTCTGGCCATGGTTGCGGCTAGACAGGACTTTCTTTGGTTGATCGTCCGAAGCGACGCCTTCGTGGGTTCAAAGACGCGACGCTACCACTTGACGCGCAGCAAGCATCAAGCTGAGATTGTTAGTATACCGCATTACATGGCATCGCTGTAGTACTACTACTATTATCACCAGTCCTGACACCACACTTGAAACTTGAAGGCCTCGAGGCATGATTCAATCACCGGCGACTGTGTTGGCACGCGCACGACGAAACATATAACTACCTAGGTATTAGTATTGCTACTGCACCGTGCCAGAGCTGTTGGTAGTACCTGGTTGTCTGCTCTTCTCGCGTTCCGCTCTGTCCTCCCGACACTGTCATCAGTAACTGGAGCTGGGATCCGGGATTATGGAAAGTCGGAAGCACAGACCACAGCTTCCAGTGGAAGGGGCCTGCCGGTATGATCGACACATGTGAACATCCTCGCAGCTGCGATGATCAGATGCTGCAATCTATTCGAATTACTACCTGGACTCCCCAGGAATGGGAGACGTCGCGCACTTCATCTCTACTTGTACTGCTTGCAATTCCCAATGACTGTACTAGTATAACAATAATAAGCCCCTCATATTCAATCGTTATCGACGTGTCGTGGGTATAGCCCGGCAATCATTTACTCATCCCTCATCGCTTTTCACGCACATTCTGACCCTGCAAGGTCGATCCCAAAGGTTCCCCAACCCCAGACGGATATGCCGGCGGCACATTCGCAGCATTGCCATAGCTCTCGACTCCATAGCCTGGCTGAGTGACTCCAGCCTGTGAAGCTCCTCCGTACGTGAGCTCGGACGAGTCATGGTCGCGTCGCTTGCTGTCACGAGGCAGGGCATCGGCTGGCACAACACCTCCATCGCCCGTGCCAACCACGAGTTGTTGTCCGTTTGGCAATTTGCCCACCACCATACCCTTAGCCACTGACTTGATCACCGCACGTCTCGACACTCCCATGGCATCGATGTAAACCAGACCCACGTTCTTGACACCACCCGCCAATCCTTGCACCACGGAACCAGCCTCCTGGCCATATTTGTGGCCTACCACATTGCTTGCCGCCGCAGAACCGGAGGTTAGTAGATTGCGGCCAGCCTGATCGATGCCATCTGCAATGGTCGAAAAAGCAATCATACTCTTGTTGAGGATTCCTGGCTTGTAGTCTTTACCTAGTTCTTTCTTGCCCTTTTCACCCTTACGTGCCAGGCTCGCACCAAAGTTCTGGGCGTAACGACCCAGTTGTCCGACAGTCTTCGCGCTGAGACCAACAGCACCCTGGGTTAGGGAATGGATCTGTCTGATTCGGTTGTGAGTGGCCGGAGAGAAGGTCATAGGTTTGGGATTTGGCTGCGTCTTCTGCTGGTACGACTCGGCCCGAGAGGCTATTGCATTCGCAAGGTAATTGGAGCTGGTCACAATGAGTCGCGAAGCGGTCGCCGAAGATTGGACAATGGTGGATTTGGCGTAAGCAGGATGTCTGGCCATTTGGAGGTAATCATCAGACACGTTGTCGACACGGATTTGATTGCCCTGGCCTTCGGCAGGCAGCTGAATCTGTACAGGAGCTAGGTTGAGCGTGTTAGTGAGACAGATTGTCGATGGAGAGTCAATGTACGTACTCTTTGAACCCGGCTTGACCGTAGAAGACTCAACCACGTTATAACTGTCCTGCAACTCGCCAATGACACTACCATTTTCTTCGTCCACAAGGACAATCTGGCCATGCTGGGCTGGCTCCTTTGCGGGGTGTTCGGAGCTGATATACCCTTCTCCCGGGCGATATGTGCTCGGGTCATATCTTCCGTGCTCATGAGGAGGAGCCGGAGCCCGCTCTAGAAACGCTGTGCACTGAGCGAGGATTGTTTCGAATGTATCCACCTCCTCTTGCGTAACCTTTCCCGGGCCGTGACCGATCGATGGGAATTGAATGCGAATGAAAGCACCGGCCTCAGGTCCTAGATCCCAACGGGGTATGAGATAACTGCTTGGAGGCTTGTGATAAATCTGAGTCGTCGCAGGCAGTGGTATGTCGACCTCGGGGGGTAGATGGAGATGAAGGTAGAAATCCTCCTCCGGCGCGGAGCTGGTCGGTTCTGTGCTAGACAAGTCCGCAAATGGAGACGACGTGGGCACCATCAACAAAGACAACGTTTGAGGCGATTTCGTGATGGGGTGCTCTTCGCCATTTTGAACGGCAAAGGCAGAGATATTGTTGACGCTGTACAGCACCTGGGGCTCTGAATGACCGGCAGACATTGTGAAATCTTGCTGTAGGGCGGTCTTTAGCAGAAATATCACACGCTCTCTTGTTTCAACCAAACGGTGAGTATGTATCGGAGGAGTGTCGAGTCGTTCTATCAACAACAGTGGACTTCGAAGAACTGGCAGGAGGCTGGTATGGAAGTCACAACTAGCAACTTGATAACCCGGGCGCTGCTAGGGTTTCTTGTTCTTATAATATAAATCAGTCCAAGTAGCCGCGATTGTCTGGGCATTAGACGCCAGCTCATCAAGTTGTTGACCCTGGAAATTTCCTGGCTCTTGGTCTGGCGTCACCGCGAAGCGCCCACCACACAAGCAAGGGACTGGATGGCACTAATTAGTAGGGTATGTCATGGTGGCAGTGCTGCGCCACACTTTCCTTCAATCACATGTTAGACGCCACAGGATGCGATACCTATATACAAGCCATGCTGGCAGACTGGCAGCGGATTTGTGCAAAAGCTGGCAAAAGAAGCATGTCCGCAAGCACGTTCACCGCACAAGGCTAACAATGAAAAGCACCTCAGGCTGGAATAATAAATATAAATATGTTTTTAATGGTCGTCTTACATGAGAAGTCGAGGTCCGGGCGTAAGATCTACGTCGTCATGCTATTCATGCTTCACAACGGCATATTCTGTACTTGTGATATTTCTCTTCAAATGCCTAGGCACTTCTGGTCGCACAGCTTCTCCAGCGTGGGGCATGATGAACGGACCAGTAACTTGACCGCTACGGACACCCACCAACTTGAACTGCTCAGGGCCAGGGAGGCCCCCTCGGCCTAGAAATGGTGCCCCAGGCTGGGGGTTCGCTTCCGAATCAACCCCGGGGCGGTTCCAACCCGTGGATAACCGCGGAACCGAGGAATGTACAAATCCAAAGCTCTGGCGGGTTACCATTCATTGTGAACTGTGAACCATTCCATGGCCACCAAGCAGTAATATATCCAGTAGTCCAGACCATCGCCTTCTTTTTCTTCTGCTCAGTTCGCCGCTGCATTGCCCTCAAACGGTCACCTGTTTGCGTCTCATAACCAACATGGCCTCCATGCGCGTTCTCCGGCCACTGGCCAAAGCCGCATCCAAGGCCTCCCTCGCCTCTACAAGCAAAACTCTTCCCCGGAGGACTTTCCTACCGTAAGAGACGATAGAGCCTGTAAAAGGAGCGTCTTTCCAGCTGACAAAGAGATCAACAGTACGCGCACCTTTGCTACGACGTGCAGCCGACCGAAGCCTGAGCCGTACATGCCCGACGATGTTGACACCACTTCTCTCACGCCGACACCCATCACGCATTTTTCCGAAACCGAGATAATGCTGGCGGAATCGGTGTCCAAGTGGGCCAACGAAGAGGTGGCCCCTAAAGTGCGGGAGATGGACGAGTCAGAAACCATGGACCCTGCGATTGTTGAACAGATGTTCGAACAAGGTCTTATGGGATTTGAGATCCCGGAGGAATATGGAGGTGCAGGAATGAATTTTACGTCTGCCATTGTGGGGATCGAAGAGCTTGCCAGAGTCGACCCTTCGGTTTCGGTCATGTGCGACGTGCACAACACCCTGGTGGTGACCGCGATCCTTAAATACGGCAGTGAAGCGTTGAAGAAAAAGTGGCTCCCCAAATTGGCGACAAACACCGTCGGTTCTTTCTGCTTGTCTGAACCTGTATCGGGGTCAGACGCTTTTGCGCTGAAGACCAAGGCCGAGAAGACGGCCAATGGATACAAGGTATGGGAAGCACAATTGCTTACGCGAAAGTAGCAACTAACCCAATCTCAGATCAATGGCGGAAAAATGTGGATTACAAACTCAATGGAGGCCGATTTCTTCTTGGTTTTTGCCAATCTCAAGCCCGAGGCCGGTTACAAAGGTATTACGGCTTTCATAGTTACCAAGGATATGAAAGGCTTCAGCATCGCCAAGAAGGAGAAGAAGTTAGGAATTCGAGCCTCGAGCACATGTGTCATTAACTTTGACGATGTTGAGGTGCCCGCGGAGAACCTGCTGGGCGAGGAAGGCCAGGGCTACAAGTACGCCATCAGTCTGCTCAACGAGGGTCGAATCGGCATTGGAGCCCAGATGACTGGTCTGGCTCTAGGCGCTTGGGAGAATGCGGCCAAATATGTGTGGAACGACCGAAAGCAATTTGGCAAGCTGGTTGGAGAGTTCCAGGGCATGCAGCATCAGCTTGCCCAGACATATACGGAAATTGCCGCTGCTCGAGGCCTTGTCTATAACGCTGCTAGAAAGAAGGAGGCCGGCGAAGATTTCGTGACGGATGCCGCGATGGCGAAGCTGTACGCAAGTCAAGTGGCAGGCAAGGTCAGCAGTTTGGCTGTGGAATGGATGGGCGGTATGGGTTTCGTCCGAGAAGGCATCGCCGAAAAGATGTATCGAGACAGCAAGATCGGGGCCATCTATGAAGGGACGAGCAATATTCAATTGCAGACGATAGCAAAAGCTCTCCAAAAGAAGTACACCCAGTGAAAAGGATGGTTACGAGAGTTTGAGGTCTAGATGAAAGGATTGCAGCATGTACAGAATATGCCATCTTCTTTTATCAACTTTCTCGGCGACAGGTTTCCTGCCAGCGATGTCGAAAATACAGCCGAAAGCCTCCCATCACCATACTGGACGGCTGGAGGTTGCGGTGATTGTGCCGGATTGTGCCTCGAAGCCTTGCGACAAGATATAGCATTACATAAGCATACGCATTGAGGAGAACACACGGCCCAGATGTCAACTAATATTTGGTCGTAGAATCCATCCACCCTCATCACACGATCGTACACAATGTCAAATCTCACGCTACCGCACATGACCAGCTTGCTTAGCTGCCTTATGTAGTCGCCGACTCGACTTGCTGCCATGCACTACTACCTACGGAAGCGTGAACATCGAACAGCCAGAGGCCAGCTGTTCCTCTTTCCCTAGGAGTAAATCATGGAAGTTGAACCGTCAGGACCGACAAGGGCTCCTCAGGCCTGCCTAGCCTGCAGGAAACAAAAGCGACGATGCGACAAAGCGCTGCCGAGCTGTTCGTTGTGTGTCCGCATGTGCCGGACTTGCGACTATAGCGACACCAACTCAAGCCCCGGTTCAGAAGACTTCGCCATGTTGAGGCAGAAACTTGCGGATTTGGAAGCTCGTCTTGACGGCCGGCGTTCTGGCTTTGGGTGGTACGAGCCGATACGGTCTATCAATCGGGGTTCAACGGAGAATAGCAACGGCTTCACTTGTGGCAACAGCTCATTTCCATCGGCCGCCTTTTTTCTCGACGCCGAAGTCTTTGAACAAGCCAGGATGACCATCCCACGGCCTTCTCTGGCCATTCCTACAGAAGTCATGGCAACCCTGGGGATCTCAATCCGAGACATACGCGACATTGTGGACCGATATTTTGCCAACATTCACACCTGGCTGCCTTTTGTCTCGAAGAGGCGGCTGGATCTGGCTCTTTCAAATCCCAGCCTCGACCTTTCCGCCGATTGCGCACTGCTCCTTCTTGCCATGAAGCTCATCATCCAAGCTCCGTCCGGCGATCCACAAAGTATGCGGTCACCTCTCTACGCGTTGACAAAACAGAATTACGCAATGGTCGAATCTGAAGGGTTGATTTCCCTACAGACGTTGCAAGCAAACATTTTGATCGCCGTCTTTGAAATAGGCCACGCGATCTACCCGGCGGCTTATATGACCACCGGCCAGTGTGCCAGACTGGGCCATGTCCTGGGGATCAATGACCGCAACCATGCACATCAGTATTTCCGGCGGCCACCGGTCTCCTGGGCAGAAGTGGAAGAGGAAAAGCGTACATGGTGGGCGACAATGCTACTGGATCGGTAAGCCCCATTTGATATCGTTCAGTCGACATTCAACTGATGTCTCCCCAGTTATGTCAATCTAGGTGGTGGTGACCATATGCCTTTGGCCACCGAAGACGCTTCCCGGAGCGACGTGCTCCCGGCAGACGACGAGAAGTGGGATGCCGGCGAGGTCACAACCAGTGAACCGTTATACGTGTCTTCGCCCACAAACGTCAAGACTGCACCGTTTGCTCGAACATGCCAGGCCACCCATTTGCTTGGTAAAATGTTCCGGTTGTTGAATGATCAACTATCTGACGCGCCGCTACGGTTCACCGAGGCAATGCACCTCTGCCGCACGCTTCAGGCCTTGGCCAGATTACTACAAGCCGATTTCCAACAGTCGCCAATGCGCTATGGGACTGCCTTCGCATTATGTCACGGTGCTTTGCTGCATCTCTGCGATCCTTTCTCATGCACAGAATCGAACCGCGGCGACCACCCGGTGGAAGAGACCGAGATGCAGACTCTTGCCATTGCAGCGGGAAAAGCCACCGTTACGGAGATCCTAGGCTTCAGTCAACTCCTAATGGATTTCATGGTGGCCAATCCGGCTGCCATCAGTCCGTTCCTCGGTGATTGTCTCTACTCGACGGCAGGCACTTATGCATGGCTTGCTTATGAGTCAGGTCTCGTGGAGATGGGTGATTCGTATCGTAAAATCCGGAAATTGCTCGAAACCATGAACTCTCGATGGACGGTTGCTGGCCACTACCTGAGCCTCCTCGATGAAGCGAAAGAGAAACTATACCCTAACTGCTTACTCTTATGAGGCAATGGATGCCGAGACGATGGTCGAGTGATTCCGGGAAAATACAATTCCCTTCTTGTTGGAATGAATTCGAGCTGCTTCTCGGCCTTTAAAACAGATTTTCCGTGGTTGAGCACGCTGTCACCACAACATGCGATGCAGATGCAAATACAAATACAAATCATCCGTACCTACCGGTCGTATGGCCTACATCCCTGACAACCCTGAGGGAGATTTGGCAGAACGAAACAGCCCTGGAGAAGCAGGCCCGGAAGTGGCCCAAGGATGGACTCCTGAATTTCCGCTGGACTCCTTTTTTCCGAATGGTGCAACAGTCGGAACGAAACAGAGCTGACAAACGAAGGTATGTCTAGAGCAAGGCAATAAGACAGGGCAATATTCGGCACGACTAGACCGTCTGTGCAGGACTTGCTCAGACGGTCAAGAAAGTGCCGGTGAACGGCCATACAGAGCACACTGTGGGTCGTTGATACTCGCCAGGCCGCAACAGGGCAAGAGGGATAATCGCCGTGACTTATCTCATAGCCTATCACTACAAGGGGAAGAACAAGGGCAGGTGGGGACACCGCTGTTAAAGCTGCGGTCGACGAAGCAAAAGGTATCGCAAAACCTGCCCCGTGGTGGTGCCAGCAGTGGAAAGACATGCCGTCTCAGGGGAGACTACGACGACGGTGTCTGTGCCATAGGCGATGTCGGAAGAGGAAGGAATTGCTGGTCTGCCGCCACCGTCGTATGACCACATTGAAAACTCTTGGTATTGTAGGAAGGATATAGATATATCCATGAACTGTAGCAATCAATCGCAGTCGTGGTCCGGGGGCTCCAGGACTTCGAGAATACCACAAGTAATTCTTCAGCATGATACGGGACATACAACGTACTTGGGCTGCGGGCATCGGCCTGCCATGATCCACAGAGCAAGCCTGTCAGATACCTTGAGTTAAAATCAATTTTTAAGAATCTTTATTGGCCTGCAAGGCTACAGAGTTTCTTTCTTGCCACGAGGCTGTAGGTATTTTTTGACGCTTACACGCCAGCCACAGGAGTTGCCCGATTAAGATTCCCGCGCCACAAGTGGACAAGTTGCCAACTTGACCTTTTCAACCAGTAAATAATACCTACCTTAAGTACCTACAACATTGTAACAATACTACCTTACGACTTCAGCCATACCAGTCCAGTCCATCAATTGTTGAATCCGCAACAACAGCCACTGTCCTTTCTATACTATCTTCCATCGGACTTCGAGATCGATATGATATGAAGACAGTCTCGTCATCATGGCAGACTCTTCCGCCATCTACAAGGCCCGCAAGGAGGCCTTTGTGTCGAACCTGTCAGGCAGCTCCCTGACCGAAATCAACCTCGTCACACTTGTTGCAGGAGTAAGTCGGATACACCTTGTCATTCCAGCAGGATTCCATCCTTGGACATCTTTGCTATCCTCTCACCCCTCCGTCAATCCTATCTTTGGACAGAGGAATGCTAACCATGTCCTTCTGCATGTCCAGTCAGCAGTCCTTCTCTGGACAGCTCTACAAAAGACCCAATCCTTCTTTACGCCATACACGCCCATTGCGGCGGCGGCAGATTTTCTGCTCAATGTGTGCGCCATCCTGTTTGCAATCACGATATATGCGTCTGCGCCGCTAGTGTTGAACATATTTTTGATCTCACCGGCGATTGTTGTAATCTTGTTCAACCGCGCGACGACCCCAAAGCCGAAACCAAAGTCAAAAGCGAGATCGAAAGCAACCTCAACCTCGAAATCACAACCCAAACCCGAGCTCAATTCCTCCGCCAGTGCATCTCGATCTTCAAATGTCACAGTCGACAGCTCCCGCTCCCGTCGGTCGGTGTCTCTTCCCGTCCGTCCATTCCTCACACACTACCGCGGATCCATGCTGGTGGTTACATGTCTGGCGATCCTGGCCGTCGACTTTCCCATCTTCCCACGCCGCTTCGCCAAGGTCGAAACCTGGGGAACATCACTAATGGACCTGGGAGTGGGATCGTTCGTTTTTTCCGCTGGAGTGGTTTCTGCGAGGGCGTTAGTCAAAGCCGAAGAACAATCCTCCCAGTCCTCCACTCCCGACGCCGCCTTCATCAGCCGCCTTTCCAAATCCATCCGCCACTCTTTACCTTTGTTCCTTCTCGGCCTCCTCCGCCTCTGGAGCGTCAAAGGTCTCGACTACGCCGAACACGTGACCGAGTACGGAGTCCACTGGAACTTTTTCTTTACCTTGTGTTTCCTCGCCCCGTTCGTCGAGATTTTCGATCTCGTCGCCCGCAAGCTGCCAGTCTTCGGTGGTGGTCAAGGCCAATACCGCTACGACAGTCTGGCTGTGTTGCTGGCAGTCGTGTATGAGGTCCTGTTGGATAAGACCGAGTTGTTGAAATATATCATCTCGGCGCCGCGAGGGCCGGATTTCCTATCCATGAACCGAGAGGGCGTCTTTTCTTTTGTTGGCTATCTTGCTATCTTTTTGTGCGGTCGCGGCACGGGGATGAGGGTCGTTAGGTTTCGAGGCGAGGAAGCAGCGGCAGCTCTTGCTGACGCTGACGGTGCTGCTGGAGCTGGAGCTGCTGGGCCTAGTGGTGGTGGTGGCGGTGGTGGTGGTGGTGGTGGTCATGATGGCAAGAATGCAAAGCACGAACAAGTCACCGACCAAGTCCAATTAACCCGACTCGAACGTCGCGTCGTTCTAAAAGACCTACTGGTCCAATCAGTCATCTACTCCGCCCTTTATTACCTGTCGACGGATTTTCTCTTCTTCAACCTCAACGTGTCGCGTCGGCTGGCGAATCTGCCGTATGTGCTGTGGGTGGCGGCGTTTAATAATGCCCAGATCTTTGGGTTTGGGTTGATTGAGGCTTGTGGTGTGGAGTTTGGGTATGGCGGTGGTGGAGGTGGAGGGCCGACGACTGGCCTTCACCGGGGTGGTCGGGCGGCTGGTCAGGATGTTGTCCGAGGAGGAAAAGAAGAAGAAACAGAAGAAGGTGAAGGTGATGATGTTCAAGATCAAACGACTTCTCGCATCCTCCGCGCCTTCAACAATAACGGCCTCTTGGTCTTTCTGGTCGCAAACCTCTTGACCGGACTCGTCAATTTGACGTTGAACACGCTCGATACGCCGCCCACACATGCGATGGCGGTGATGCTTGCTTATGCGGGGGCCGTGACGGCGGTGGCGATGGGGTTGGAAGTTTCGGGGGTTAAGATCCGGGTATAATTGACTTGGAATCCTACGGTGGGGGGAAGGGGGATAGATTCTACTTCAGCATATTATCCCTGACGGTGACTGAACCGACAAGGACAGATAGAAGAGACAGGATTGTACCGAGTACTGAGCTACAGTCTCGTAGTCTTATACTATACTGACTGCATGGTAGCATACTAAGGTATGCTATGGTACTTGAATACTACTTCTAGTATCAGTATGGCACCATCTTAATCCTCCCCCTCATAGACTCGGGCAACTCTTCCTCCTTGACCAGACCCATCTGGACACAATCGCCCCAGAAGAACATGGCGCGTTCGTGCGCGTAGCCGAGATAATCGAATTCTTCGTGGTCGTCTTGTTCCTCGTCACCAGTACCACTGACACTCTGATCGTGATCATCATCTTCACCTGCATGGTCGTCGGCAGGATCCAGCCTCGAATGCACAGAAGGTGTTTTGTCCGGGTCGACGGTGGCGTCGATTTCGGATTCGACTTGATCACCGCCACTGACATTCTCATTCCCATCTTCATTCGCAGTCGCAGTCGCAGTCACACTTCCATTATACCTCTCGGTGTCGGTTGCATCGACATCACCACCCCCAGTCAACTTCTCTCCCTCAGTTCCACTTTCGCCATGATTCAAGACCGATACAGACTCAGTGGTAGGGGTGGCCACAACAACACCGTCATCGCCTTCATGGTGCGCCTCCTCCTGCAATCTTCCCTCAGGTCTGTCCCACCGACTCTCCCTTTGAAGTCTCTTTTCTTCCTCATTCGGAGCATCCGACATGGGATGAAGATGATGCTGGTGCAAATGCTGATACCGATCTCTCATACCTCCCACGGCGGCATCGACTCGAGTCTTTGTCATTTCTTTAACTCTGTCCATCATGGCACGAGCGGCACCACCACCACCGGCCTTTGCCTTCTTCGCCGCCGACTCCTCCTCTTCCCTCTTTTGCTTCTCCTTCTCCTTCTTCTCCAAAGCTTCCAGCTCGGGAATCTTGGCCTGCACAATTCCCCAAGCCACCCACTGCGCCGAATTCGCTAGTCTCCACACCCTCGTCTCCCTAAGTAACCGGTGGATTTCTTCCTCTTGGGCTCTTTCACGTTCCGTCTCTTCCTTTTCGTAATCGGTTTCATTAATCCCACCAACAGTAGTTCCTGGAGTCGCCGGTGTCCGGGCATCGAGCATGAAATCACTGATATTCGTCTTCTCACGTCCCTCCAGCTTCGGAGTCGCACTCGCGGCCGGGTTGAACTGGGGGCGATGCATGACATAGCTCCGCACGAAGCGATACTGTTCACTTTCATTGGGATACCGGCGCGTGTCACAGGCATAATTGTGTTCGGCCCGATGATAGTTGTAGCACCATTCGGTGAAATGGTTGGCAAACTCGAGACCTCGGGTGTTCTGCGACGCGTATTCAAAGTCAATCACCACGAGCTGCTTGTGCTGGTTTGACGGCTGGAGCAAAGGTGATTCTCCACTCGGCTCGAGACGCATCAGGTTCCCGTATTGAGTGTCGTTGTGGGCAAACACGAGAGCTTTCCGGATCCCGTCCATTCCGCCGCAGTCGGCGATCAACCGTTTCCGGTACGCTTCGTACGTCTTGCGAAACACGGGCCACGGCACTCCGCAGATCAGTCCGCGCCGGACGTAGCGTGGATTGACGTTGTGTTTCTTCCTCGCCACCACCCCTTCTCCTCCTCCTCCTACTTCTTCCTGTGCTTGAGCCTCCTGTTCAGCCAGATAAACTTGCTGGTCTAGCCAGGTGATGATCTTCTCACACCGGTCGACCCACTTGTCCCAGTTGATGAAGATGGCGGGGCCGGCTTCAATCTCCGATTCCAAAAGCTCAATTCCGTCATGCAGTTCGCGCATCCGCTTGGCGATCTGTTTGGAAGTTTCAGGCACGCGCAGGTCCTCGGCCGTCAGGGTCTTTGCATGCAGATACTCTTCGAAGCGACCGTTGTCAAAGGACCCTAGCAGACGAGGTCCGATACGTCGACGTGCCAGACGGCGGAGAATGTTGAGTTCGGCCTGTCGGTCGATCAGGTGTTCGACCTGCGGACCATAAATCCGCAGCAGGAGTTGAATCGGCTGTCGTTTCGACACCGGAAGCCCTGAAGTAGAAGAACCTCGCGCTGTTGTGCCATCGCCCTGGAGACGGTCGTACTCCTCCATGTTCTTGGGAGGACGCACAACATAGACGGCATTTGTCAGAGCGCCGCTTAACCGAACCACCTCGATATCTTGGGCGCGATCAATAGGAATCCGACGCCAGCCTTTGAGCTTGAGCGTGTGCGTCAGACGCACAATGTCCCTTTTGAAATTAACCCAATGTTGATAGTCTCGCCCTTTGGCACTTTCGCTGGTATCGGCGTCGGCCATTCCACCTGTAAATGCCATGGTCTTTGAATTGTCGAGGTATGCCTCGACACTCGGCACCAGAATATCATCACCAAAGAACTCCGTGTCGGACGATTGAGGCGCTGTCGTAGTCCGCTTGTATTTTCGGGCTATTGATCCTCTGCGCAGGTGTGACGTTGAGGGTTTATGCGTCGGTCTCGATACATGAGACGACAAGGACGAGGTGAATCCCGAAAGGATGTTTTCTAGTTTCTCGAGAGACAAGTCGGCTTCATGGTCGACGGGACTTTCATAGCCTTTAGAAAAACTTTCGTCGGATTGGTCCCCGGGCACCTTTGCATGAGGGCGATGATGGTCCACAAGGTATTGGAGGTGATGGCGACGCTGCTGTCTCCTTCTCTGCCGTTTCGCCTTTTCCTCCTGTAACCAGTCGACGACCTGGGACAGGAGGACCCGAAGGTCAGGGGTCTTGCTGTCACTGCCCCCCGAATCGGGGTTGTTGTTACTGACACTGTTGCTGTTGCTGCCGGCATTGTCTAGACTGAGATAGGACATCCCCTGATTGACCAACGACGTGGTTGAGGATGAATGGGGAAGCGGAGGCCGGCCGGTCATTTTCTTCCCGGATATGCTGGCGCGGTGATACCTGTGAGGATGTGATGCGACGAGCGTGGGCGAAACGCTGGCATCGTCATCTGGTCTTCTGCCGGACCCTATATGTTCGGGCTCATCGTAGATGGTCACACCTGTTTTGACACGACCAACAAATTAGTTTGGGGTGTTTTGCCATGGATCAAACGATGGGTTTGCCCAAGACGGTGCAAAACCAAGGACTCGTCCTGCCCGTCGTCTGCACGCACGACGTGGTAACATAGTTATGGTAGTCTCGTGACCACAAACTTTGATATGGCGGCAGCACGTGCATCAGGCTCCATGATAACAAACATGATCAAGCCTGTGGACAGGACCCGATGGGAGCCGCAGCAGCAGCAGCATATGTTTACCGCGTCGTTTGACACAACAATCGCCGCAGTGGTTGAGTATAGCTTTCCATTGAAAAAGATAGGCAGGGCAAAACGCATTGATTGCAGTGTTCCGGGTAAAACGTACCTTTCTGGGCTCCCATGCGTGGAGAGGACATGGCCGTGGTGGCACGCGTATCGCTGCTGGACACATTATTCGACGAGTATGATGCCATAGTACTTTATCGAATAGCACACAGGCTGTACAGTGTGGAAGTTGTTTGTCGCTTCTGGGCGCTGGATGTTCCCGGTGCAGTGCGCGCTCAAGGGGGGACAGTCAACAAAGTGAAGCCCTACCGACAACTGCTTACATCTGCCGTCCTGCTCGATAGCAAACAGGCCGATCTCTATAATGCGGTCAACAGAGTCATCTTCCAGCTGACAGCACAGAAAGCCAACTTGAACCGGTGGAATCCTGTCTATCACCGGGCACTGGCACTGGCACACAGACTGGATTGAACTGCCACTGGAGTGGCTCTGACGCGCAGTTGCAGGCAAAAAGTGGGAAACTTGTACAGCCAACAAACTCGAAGCCAAGCCAGCTCGCGGCCACAACCGGCGAGCACGTGCCCAAACCAGCGCTTTGATACGGGACAAACTGCCCAGGTGTTGACAAAACATGCGCAGTACCACCCAGATACGATGTTACAATTCCATCCGAACAATGGGTACACGGTATTGTTGCAATAATATAATATAGACACAGTACATGTACACATGGGCCGATGCCAATGACACTCTACCAGACGAATACGAATCTTCAATTCAGTTCGTCCCTCCAACTCCTTGGCTCCGTCTACCTACCTATTTGTTTACGGTGGGACATGTATCTGCTGTCTCCCTTTCTTTCTTTCCCAAACGTATAAACTCGTTCTCAGATCCGAGTCCCTCCCTTTCCGCGCCCATCCTGATCGATCCCTATCCTATCCAGACCTGTGATAAAATGCTTGCAGTGTTTGTTCATGGCTCCATTCGTACCCATGCGTTGATATCGTTACAGGAAAAGAAAAAGCGGCTTCACTTCATTCCGCTCTTTCTTGTGAAAGCTTTTTTCCTCGTGTCATCGGTCATTGCCCTTCTGCGGCGGTTGGTCGTACAGTCTCGTCACCTGCTCGCCTCCGGGACCGTGACTCGGACTGGCTCTTCCCACCTCGTCTGGATCTTCCACCAGATCGCTCAACCCAAATGCATTGTGCTCCACGTCATAGTTATGCATCAACCCCGTACTCTCAGCGCTCGCGGTTCTCGGTCCGCCCGGGCTGAACGTGAGGCTGCTACTTCGGCGGTGCGGATCAAGGCTTCTCCTCGCTTGCATACTCCGCCGTGTCTGCAGCCCCGTAATCCCGTCGGTGGGGATTCCATCCTCATCGGGTATTTTCCCATTGAGCAGTCGGTGGCCATCGGGATCGCCCCGAGACAAGTTGAGAAGGTACACGCCGGCAAAGATGATCAAAAAGCCACACAGGAGAGAAATCGTGTTGACGGCATCCGTGGTATTGAAGCCTTGGAACAAAATAAAGGACGCGCATAACGTGGCCGTGGTAAAGGTGACATAGTACAGAGGATTGACGATGGACGTGGAGAACTGACTCAGGGCCTTGTTGAAGTAGTTCATCTGCGTGAGAATGCAGACAATGGTGACAATCATAAACACATAGGTGGACGGATGACTGAACTGGTTGTTCCCGTTGAAAGTCAGTTTCAGCGCAATGCCGAAAGCCTTGACCGACATGACCGAGATCGAGCCCACGGTCGAACAGATCGAAATGTATACCATGGGGTTCCTCTTGCCGTAGATGGGCGCCACCTTGTATATCATGACCGTCGAGAACACAATGGCCGCGAGACAATAAAATATAAACGCTACAGCGAAACGAAACAGTTAGCCCAATCGTCATAACTTTCCCACCCAAGCAAAAGATAACCGCAATGTTCGCATACCTGGTTTAATGGCAAACGCCAGGATTTCATCCACCGTCTCAATCTCCTTGTCAGGAGGTGCATGCAGAACAATAATCACCGACCCCAGCAGACAGATGGCACATCCCATTTTCCCCAGAACTCCCAGCTCTTCACCCAGAAAGTATGCGCCCAACACGGCTCCAATGAGCACACTGAGCGCGCCCAAGGGAGTCACCAAGATAGCCGGGGCAAAGGCATATGCAGCAAAGTTGGCGACCTCGCCCACCACCAGCGAGGCTATCCCTGCCCACCACAAAGGCGTCTTTAGATATGCGAATCCTTCTCCTTCAAACCCATGTTTGTCCGCCGCATCGTTCAGACCCTTTTTCGTAATCACGAAACTGGTTCCGATGGCGAGCGTCGAGGTCACGGCCAATGCGAGGCCTATGTATTTGTCTTCCAGCCCGTCGAACATGGCTGCAGCAACAACAAACAAATCGAGGGCGCAACGGCGTATGCGCCGAGTTTGGATCCCAGGGACGACAATGTGCTCAGCGGCTGCCGCGCGGCCGTCGCACCAAGAGATGGGTTGGCACGTTTGAGAATAGATCGCAAATCCAACAGCAAGTCTTTTTTTCCCACGCGCCGGGCTGTCAACCAGAAACGAATATGTGGCCGAACGCAGCAACGGTGATATGATACTGATGCTGATGCTGATGGTCGGGTGCAGTGAGGGGCGCTTCGTGGGAAGGATCGAACTCTAGGCCAATGATGGGTAGTGAGCGACGATGCCGGTGCAGCTAAGGTAGTAGAGACTCGCTAAACGACTGCAGTGAGCTGGCTCGAGTGATTGAACGGGCGCAACGTAAAAGGCGCACAAAGGGAGATACGTGTTGTCTAAGGTAGAGTCCGGACTCCTGAAAAAACAATAAAGTTGTACGGAGAATAATAACGCTGAACCTTGGAATGGGGATGGGATCATGCGGTGCGGTGCCAGTGCCGGCGTGTGGATGAGGGATGAGGGATGCAGCACGCAGAACGCAGCCAATGTGGCACTGCAGGGCGTGGATGGTCAGGCCAGGCCAGGGGCACTCAATCCGCAACTCAGCAATCAGCAGACAGAAAAGACAGCGGCTGATGCAGCGGAATGGAAAACTTCTTTCTATCTTGGTCTCGACGCCAGACGCGTCAACCCTCGACCGTCAATGGGAAGCCTTCCTACGAGCCACTCTTGAAACAAAAATACCCACCACATCTGTCAACTCGATGCCATCCGTTATTACTAGTAGTTGACGTGCGAAATGCAACACCTATACAACTTCAACGGTGTCCTTTCCGTCCCCTTTTAAACATTGATGGTGTGCTCACCTACTCCCAGCGGTGGTGACAGAATATTGTACTTCTATCACCTACAACCCTGGGACTGTCTAAGGTACGAGCGCCACGAAGCCTTGCAACCAGATCGCAACGACGTTCACTGCCGACCTACACAAGTTTTCCAACTCTCAGGCGACTAATAATATACCATGATATGGCATTGACAGTCACACCAACCTACAAGAAAACAGTGGTCGACAGCATATGGCACCTATATCTCTTGCCATCTCGACCTCCAAAGATCTCTGTAAGGCTGATAGGAGTGAGCAAGTACTCGTAGATGAAATATCATTCTACAATTACCGCAGGCTGATTCAATCTATCATCGGCAAACAGTGCGTACTAGTATGGCGCACTCGATCGACGCCTGATCTAGATGGTTGAAACACCAAATCGGCTAATCTCATGCAAACAATCCTCGCAAGCCAGGCCAGGCGTTGCAATAAAGTCTCCTTCGTCTTGTTGCTTTGTTGCTTTTACGAGCTCGGCGCGGGAAAGAGATCTGGTACTCTTGAAACAGAACCAGCCAGCCTCGTTTAGGACTCTAAAGACTCTGCTAGACCCGGCAGTTCTCTGCAGGAGTGCAGCCACCTGATCCTTTCCTGTATCAACGCCGTGGCCAGCCTGAACTGAGTGGAAAGAAACGATCAAACAAAACGCCCCCGTCCCCGTGCTCTATCGCTGCAACCGAACCTCCCTTTTAAAGAACCCAAACAGACATTGAACTTTTTGAAACAAACCCTCTCCAAACCTCTATCCTCTTTGTTTCGTCCGCTTGATCAGGACCAAAGTGACCTTCCAACGGACCAGCGGAGGTCGACCGAATTGCAAGAGATCGCTCTCGAAATCGGCCAGTTTAAGGAAATCCCAGTATTCGAAGACCGTCGTTGATGACGGCGTCGAGAAGACGCCTGTTCTTCTCTCGGTCTAATGACCTTTTTTCATCTCTGGTTGATAGGCCGTTTCACGTCATTAAGATTAAGATAATAATGTATCACTCTCGTGGAGAAAATGGCGCGCTGCCGGCGACGCCAGTGGTTGAAGTCGTTGCTGGTGGAATATCTGGCCACCATTTTCACATCATGCTCGAATCGCCCGAGAGGCCAGCTCCCACATCTCCGGCACTCTGAGCTGCCATCATATTGGCCATCCCCAATGACGGACTCTTGCCTGCATTTAGCTGCAGTTCCGGGTTGCACGGAGGCGAGTGTGTCTTGTGGTATTTGAGCCCGTTCAGGTTCTTGTACCGCTTCTGGCATACTTCGCACTTGTACGGCTTTTCCTTCTCCATCCCCAAAGTACCAGGGTAAGGTGCTTGGGTATCTGGATCTACGATGGAGAATGTGCCGTCGCCGTTTTCTTGCAGACGCTGATTGTTGTGGCCATGCTGTTCTCATGTTAGCCAAGCACGTAAAACTCTTGGTGAGTAGAGACTTACCGATTTGTGGTATTTGAGACCGTTCTGGTTCTTGTACGCCTTTTCGCACCCAATTACAGGACATCGGAAGGGCTTCGGTTCCTCGTGAGGGAGAATGTTGGTGGTGGTATCGGGCAGACCAGCCGCCGCCTGCCGCTCACGGATGGTCCGGGCAATTTCGCTATTAGGTCCGTATTGCCCGCTACCGAGACGACTTTGAACCGACTGCTGCCCGTTTTGCCCGGCGTTCATGCCTTGGTTACCGGGGGAAAACAGTCGTTTGGCTGGCTCATCGATACAAAGGTCGATCATATCGTTGTTCATACCGAAACCAAAGTTTCCAAACCCATTAGGTAGGCCATTGAACAGAGGGTTGCCCTGCATGGACATATCATCCATGCCGCTCATAAGGCCGTCATCTAATTCTCCAGGTGTGCCGGGCGCTGAGGAATCGGGGGTGCCCCGATACCCGCTCTGCAGATCTTGAAATTGTTGCATGGGATTACCCATAAGGGTAGACGAGGCATTGTTACCCTGGAAAGCTGTAGATGGCCGGCTGGTTGAGACCGGAGTGTTGGGAGTAGACTGTCGGAAGGCCTGATGACCTTGCATCATAGAGGTGTTGAGTTGAGGAATCTGGCCTTGTGCAGCACGAGAGAATGAGGATTGAGGGGAGATCTGAGACTGGTTCTGGGTGTACAAATTAGGTGGTGGTGTCTTATCATCAGACCCGCCATCGATATCATCCATCTCCATGTCTTCGACCGTGTCCATATCCGGGATGGTTTGCAGGGTGCTGGAGAAGCCCGAAACCGAGGGTCGCTGCATATTCTGTGACGTCGATGACTGAGACCCGAACGGCCGACCCGATGCATTTTGGGACTGCTGCTGTTGTTGGTTCCGTTGTTGGGCTTCTTGTTGTACCTGAGCGGCCGTAGTAGCTGCAAGAGCCGCTCGGCTATCTGGAACCGCTGCCTGGTTGGCCTCTGCGTGGCCCGGATCTTTTTGGGCATGCGCTTCCTCGTAGTGTTGCAGCAGGTCGTGCAGTGTCGGCAGCGTGAGGCCGCAGCACGAGAAGTCCTTCATGAAATTGGCCTCGAGCTTGGGCAAATAGGATGAGGAATGGAATGAGGGGGAGTTGAAGGTAAAGGGAGAAGTTCCCGACATCATCATGCTACTCATTTGTCAGTGCTGCGCTCCTCACCAAGCAGCTTTACGCCTACTGGGAAAATCAACTTACTCGTCTCTGATCCAGCTTCCGACTGAAATCCCTCCCCAGCTCATGCCGGTGCCCAAACTCTGTGCTATGCTCTCGCGTCGCATCTTGTCATTTGCCACGCCTTTCATGGTGATCGGTCGAGCGCCATGTTCGAACCTGGCGAAATCATCGGACGCATTAGAAGGCATTTGGGGGATCGGGCGGTTCAGGGCGGTTTCCGGCATCTGGGTGGCCATCTTTCGCTTCTCTTCACTGTCGCTGCGCTGCAAAGCAGAAGTGAGCGTTGAAGGCTGGTTTCCGCGAGGAGAGGTTGACGTCTGTCTCGCAGATATGTCGATTGGTGTGGCTACGCTCGCCATGCCCCGAGCCGGTGGCGAGGCACCAAAGGTTGGGAAAGTATTGTCGTCGAAGTCGGGTTCGAGTATGGAGTCGTCCAAGCACAGGCTAGTGGTGGTGCGCCCAACGTCGAGCGGCTTTCTAAACCAAGGCAGACTCTCCTTGTCTGTCTTTTTCCCAAAGGATGGCCCGCTTCCAACGGGTGTGGCTGGGGTGGTATCTCTAGAGGTGGACTGCGACTCGTCACTCGGAGAAGGCGAGTGATGTAGTGGCGGAGGGCTTTCTTCGTACTCGAACATAGACCTGTCGGAGAATGATCGATGATGGAAGCAAGATATGTTCTATTAGAAGGTGGTTGTCGCTAATCGAGGGCCGTGATGTTGTGGGGTCGCTGTCGTGATGCACTGAGGGTGCTGAGAGAGCAGATGAAGGTGGGATGTTAAGGAACGACGTAAGATCGGGGTTGTATAAGGATGCAAGCTTAATGCCTCCGGAGTTTGGAATAGTGTCTCTTTTGGACGAAATAATGCCGGGTATGGTCGTAGTCAAAGAGGCGGCGAGAGCACTGCAGGGGATGAGTATGCAGGAGGATGAGGTGGAAGAGGGAAGACAGTTAAAGTTCAGGGTAATGGTGGTGGTGATGATAGACCGATGAGAGCAATTCGAGTCGAGTCAACTACGAGAGAGCCTTGGGCACTTCCAACTGGTTAGTGGATGGCGATGGATTCGGGACCGCAGGCTGTACTAGGGAACTCGAGGCACCTAGAGCCTCTGGCGCACTGACTGGCTCGAGCCTTGGAGAACGGGCTTAGTTGGGGCACTAGTAGGGGCCCTTACGCCTAGCAGGCCCATTAGCCCGGAGCAAGCACCACTGTGGCATCCCTGCCGGCTGTGGGACCCGCCCATCTCGCACCCACCGCTGTGCAGCACTGCCAGTGTCACTGCACTCTCCCATTATTTCCACTTCCACCTGGCACGCCCACTTCCAGTGCGAGCCTCGGGGCCTCTGCGTCGATTTCTCGATCCGGACCACTCGTTGTGAGAGGTTCAGAGTGTCGACGAGAGAGTCAGGCACAGTCTAGAGGAATGTCCCTTTAGAACTCTACGGATACCGCTGCGCTGCGGGACACAACTTCAGTACAATGTCGTGCTGGATGACTGACCGCTCCGAGTCACCGACAACCCGCAGTCCACGTTATACTACTCCTGTACCAAAGAGTGACTCCTCTCCTTGACCGCCCGCAGGCCAGCCCAGATCCTTTCATCCCGCATCCGAAATGGTCTCCAGATTCCAGGGCCACCTGATGGATAATGGATATCATATAACATGCTGCAAGTCATTGGCTTGTTCTGCGACTATCCGCGTAGTAAAATGATACTCAGCACTGACTCCGGAGCCCGTCCTGTTCAGTACTGCAGGCAGACAGACAGGCAGGCAGCCCCGACATCAAAAGCCACCGTACTCAGTGCTGTCGGTTCAACGAAGTAGTCTACCATTAGAAGCGGCGGATCAGGCCCTATCCTGGAAACCAGCAGCAAATGGTCGGAAGCAAAATGCCCTCGTCGCCGTGCATCCCCGGCCATGCTCGTCAATAGATAATCATCATCGTCAAATAGTCCATGACCATTTCATGCTGCTAGCCGAGGACGACCAGGTCTGGTAGGCTGAGGAGGATGTCTTTTGCACGCCCTCGAGCCGACCAACCTGGCAACCAACAACCCGGACCAGAGGATCTGTGTCAGTTGTCAGCCTGGCTGGGTTGGGACGAAACATGTTTGCTCGACCCTGGGTAATCAAAATACCCAAGCCAATTGAGGTGTTCGAGCTGCGAAACACATCAGATCCATAATCTTATGTTGCGTCTCGTCCGACCAGTTCGAAAGTGCTAGGTGATGTCCACTTGGTCGCTCTCACAAAGGGAGAGAGGTTCGACGATGAGCCCCAACCGGAGACTCCATCCAGGGACTTCCTCGTCAACCGCAACGGTCTGAATGGCTGGTGGACCATTCGGAAAGGCTCAGCTCGGACTCGCCAATAGCGATGTTAGCCTAGGGTCACCCTGGGTCAGATTCTCGAGTGGTCAGTTCCACCCACTATTATCCTCTACCTCGCAAAGCTCGTGGCGCCCTTGTGCTTGTGGTTTAGGTCCTGTATCCGAAGTCTGAGGCATCAAGGATCGCAGCAAAGCCGTGGCTCAGCTTGAACCCCCGAATTCTGGTGGTCGTCATCACAGGTCGGTCTTTGCCTCTCTCTCTTGCCTTGGACTCTGACAACAAAGTCGGTTGATAAGATACTAGTAGAAGGATGGGCCGATCTTCCTCTAAATCCAAGAGTGTTTCTCACCGGTCCATACCAGCGTTATAGTACCTCTGTTGTGGTGGACACCTGCAGCGGGCAACTGCGCCGGCATCACGTGGAAAAGGCTCGGCTGCCTCCCGAGATGTGACTTCTGCCACTTGTACTACTGGTGCTGCTACTACTACTACTACTACTACTACTACGGCTGCGACTACGGGTGCATGGGTGCCAGGTACCTAGGTACCGTTGGCGCCCGGAGGGTCGGAAACGGCATCTCCTCGGTTTCGTCAGAGTGACGAATAAACGAGGCAAGCGCGAGGCACTCGTGGGCCAAGCAAATATGACACGCATCGTTTGCCACCGCTTTCTGCACAGCTACTGACATGAGATGCTCAAGGTACGGGAGTAGAGGCCGCGAACTTGAAGATGTGCCCGCGAACCGAGCCATCGTGATGCAATTATGAGATGCCGATAGAAGAGCAGCAGAACAGCATTGCTCAGCCGGATGGGGGATGCGATGGCCGCTTACTAGGCCTCAGGCTTGGCTGATCACAATGCAGCTAGAGCGATGGCAGCCTGACCAAGCATGGTGGTGAACTTTATTCGGGCTGAACTGCTCACTTTTTGACCCTTCTAGGATTAGGCTTGTGTCAAATCTTCACCGGACATCAAGTCCGCGTCGACTGCCGAGCCATTCCCAGCACCTGAAACTCCAGTGATCATCTCTGGCAGCTCGAGTCTATCGCGGTGCCTCAGCCTAACTGGAGTCAGTACTAGGTTGTAGGTATTCAATGATCATCGATTTGGCTGCACTTGTGGTGGTGTGTGCTGCACAGAGGCTCTCTCCAGATAAGCGAATGAATCTGGGGTGACATCACCTGCAAATCGCTTTGGCCGACGGTCGAACCACGCATCATTTGCTATATTGCTGTGATAGTCGCCGCCGGCCACAGCGATTATTGAAGAGAGGTCAGACCCACGCTAGCTGTTGCTCGGACGTCCAATGACATCCACTCACAGGGTTCTGGAGGCCCATTTGCCCGGTGGATGCCGAGAGCCGTGCAAGAGGATGGGGGCACACTCGATCGGAACATGGAATTGCAGTGGTGGGCAAACTATGACTAAAAGGCCTGTCGAAAACAACGCAAGTATTATTTTTGATGGAACCCATCATTGCCATGGCTGGAGAGCCAATTTGCTGGTCTGCTAACCTTTCGGATACTCCAAGGCTAGATCGAGGGGCAAAGAGCATTACCGGTCGGCTGGGTCACGGCGGCCGGCATCCTTTCCTCTTCCGCAGCGAAGAGGGTGTGGCATGTTACATTATTGTTTACCTAGGTAGGCTCACAGTGTGCAAGCCACGTTGTCTGCGTGCCAGTTGATCAGGGACGGCAAACATGTGACAGCGTGCCGGCGGCTGCAGTGTCTCCTGTCGGTCGGTGTCTCTTGTTTTCGGTCGAATTGACGTTGCAAGCTGAGGTTTGGGCCCTGGCTTCGACGCTTTGGGTAGCCCGAGACGGGGCCGATTTCCCTATCGACGAATACCCTGGCTGTCTCGCAAGGCCGCGCTGGTTGGCCGTAGAAGCAGGTCCCTAAAGGGTCTTCCTGTTGGATCCCGGTGAGTGTGTGGCAACAACGACAACTGTGAACGCAGTTTGACTGTTGGAGTTGTGAGGCAAACCAGGTATGACTTCACTCTACATTCTGGTTGCCTCGCCCAACAAGGCTGCCGGTGTTTTTGTCAGATCTCATAGACCAGGAGTGTCCGAGATGGTCCGAAGATCAACAGGAGTCGACCATCGCTAGACGATCTCAATGATGCAGGCATGATGAAAGCGGTGTAGATCAGATCACCCTCAGCAACCTCAGCTCTACATGGCTACTCATGGTGAGCCCCCCAAGGTCGACCTCCTCCTTCTGGAGATCCTGCTGCTGCCTTCAGAGGCCGCATGCAGTGTAGCGGTGTATACAGTGGTACATTATACATTACTGTGTATTTCATCTTTCTCGCAGCAGAGCAATCCTGCCCAATCTTGCCTTGAACGATTGGGGCATCATGGGTATCAGTGGTGTAGGCATTTTGTCTCCCCATCACCGGTCCATCCTGTCTCATTAACCTTACACTTTCAATTCCTTCATGAGTGGCCGACGCCCGACCGAGCTGACGACCGACAACCGCGTCTGTTTCACATGCACACCGCAAGGGTTGTTGGAGACGTGTGTATGTCATATTATCAGACATCGACACAAGCTCTTCTCGAGGCTGAGGTTGCACTGTAGCTCAAGCACAGTATAGTCGAGTGGATCCTACTGAAGGCCACCTTTCCCACCATCCTGCCACAGGGGATGTCGACAAACTATTACCTCCTACCGCCTACAACCACTACTGGCGGTAGCGCAGTGAAATCATGTGGTTGCCGCGTGCCACACTCGGAAGAACCAGATTGTTGGGAAGACACGGCTTGAAGGAGGCGCCGTCGTCTATCTTGCCCAGCACCAAGCGAGAAGCGAAGGCTTTAGGAGGCCCCCTGAACCATCCATTTGTTGTTATTGATTTGCAATGTTTAGGTGCCGATTTGATCCATTATTTCTCTTGAATGGATCCCAACTACTAGTATACTACGGCCGAGGCGTTCATAACACTGCTAATAATTGTCAATGGGGGTGGTTCCGGACCATGCCACTGCCCACTACTACCACAGCCCACCGCACCGCATCGGACAGGTTCTCCCTAAAAACACTCGTCTCCGTTTTTCTATGGAGCCTGCGCGCAACCCTTACCACAAGTATACCGAACTATTTGCCTCCCATTTTACATTGTACAGTGTATTAGGCAGGTGGTCTTGCGCCAATTTTCTAGAGTTGTTCTAGAAAGAAGTCAGTGGCAGCACTGGGCACCGCCACGCATGCCCACTTTCACTTTGTTTGTTTGTCGCTGCCAGTGGTGGTGGTGGTGGTGGTGGCGCGCGGCCTTCGGTCTTCCCGCTCAGCTTAGAGTCTCAGTCGAATTTATTCCGGGCCCCGCCACTCCGCCTGAAGGCTGTCGCCCGAACCCTTGTTTGACCTTGCCGGTGCTCCATGTGGTGAGTATGGGTGTGTAATAATAAAGCAGGCAATATCCCGCATCCCGCAAACACCGAAGGCTCCCTGTGGCGAGTCCATGCAGAGCAGGCTGTGGCCCGTTGTGGTCGCCTTGCCAACCGCCAATTACGACGCTTACAAAAATAATCCTCGCGAAGTGGCTCAACAGAAGCAAGTGATTATTATTGAGAAGCCATGACTGGTTGGTGATCGCTTTTGAATCCCCTGGACTTTCATTTTGGGCAGAGGCGACGTCGACTCGTCGGCAATTGTGAATAGTTTCGTTGGCAACATCTGCATTCGATCATACAAGGTATAGTTACACAATCTGCTCTTGATGACTATCTACTACGTTGGCATAATCTCTCAGCGATCTTTCCAGTGTCCCGGTTCAGCAAAGAAGAAATATGAAAAATCATGGCACGATCTTCCACCGGCCTTTGCATAATGTCCTGCTTCCGCAAAAAAAAAGGAATGAAAACCATATGATGGCTCCTCAATCCAAAGAATGGCTAATTTGTCATATGTCCATCTTGAAAACATCCATCATTCTTTCCGTCTGCAATCATGTTCCAACAACACCCTGTTCTCACCGGCAACATGAATCTTAGGCCTGGATGGACCCATTCCCCTGTGTGGTTCCAGGACTGTGGTCACGGGACAGCACTGCAGACTTCGCATCGGCCACAACGATGTCCTGATTTCCATGCCAGGGGTTTGCCCTGCTCACTCTTTGGTGGCAACCAGGCGATCATTTTCCCCTTCGCCGTCAGCATTCGGAGACAAGATGGCCCGTTGTCCTGCTGCATCTCTTTCTTGTTCAGGCGGCGATGGCGGCAGAGAGAACATGACATCCTCTAAGCTACTGTGCAGCCCTCGGTGACAATGAGGGCAGCGTGGGCCCATAATTTGCCGGTATCGGCTGTATTGACGAAAGTTTGTCATGGCCATACAACCATGCAAGACACTTTTGAAAACATGAGTTATTAGCACACAGGATGACTTGATCGGCACGAGGGAGAAGCGATATCACGGACATGGGCTGCCACAAAGTCAGAATGATGGACCGAGTCATTACTCACCATGCAACGATCGATCCAATACAGGCGTAATTCTTCATTGTCAGCTCCTGGCCATAGTAATAGTAATAGTCGTTGGTTGCATCAACCGTGCCCATGACGAAGAGAACCAAGAACGCGATGACGCCCAAGACCTCGATGGTCAGGACAATCAGAGACGGGCAATGGGGCTCGTCGGCCAATCTCAACCTGGATCTGGATCGTTTCTGCCATAACCCGGCGACCGTGAGTATTCCGTTGAAGAGAAGGGAGGTTGCAAGGATTCCCCCGAGAACAAGGAATAAGGTTCTCTCAGTTGCGAAACTGAGGCTCATGGCGACAATGTCGTTGACGACGAGACCCAGCCGGATTGGGAGTGCCAATTCTGACATGTCGTATTGCAGGCTGAACGATTCCATCTTGCTGTGAAGCGGTGCTACGACTGCCTAGAAACACGATATGAGAAGTCTCCTAAATGGGTTCTCGAATATGGGATAGATACGAGAAAGTAGAAGATTCAACCCCTGTGAGGCCAATACCGATATATACTTGGGGTGAAGGACCTTCGTCTATCAGTTGGAAGGATTCTGTGGTGGGACACTAACAGCAGAGCAACAGTTGGAAACGCTGCTGCCTGTCCTGTTGTCTCATGAGCATTGTAGGGCAATGCTGTGCAATAATGATGGGATTAATTGCTGTCTGGCCCAGATATCCAACCCCTTACAACTATTTCCGGAATCCCAGAAGCTTCGAGGACGAATCAAAGGAACATCCTCATGCCCTTTCCGGGACGAAGGATCACGCTACTTGCTGTTAGCTAGCCCCTTTGGTCATTCAGTTGTTGGCCCGCCCCTGCTGGGAAGCGGCGGGTTATATGGACGCGAGGATACGTGAACTTGGATGGCACAGCCCTCGAGAATCAATGTGAGGTACGAGATGGCGATCCAATACTGTCTTATCACTATGTCCGGATCAGTAATCACCATGGAAGGACCCAAGGATTCGGGGCTTTCATTCACATCCCCAGCTCCGTACCTGCCCCGGAGCGGTCTTTGTCTGAAAGTGTTGCCTGGGAGTATAGACGTGCAGGTTAATGGCAGACCAACGTCGGTGTCTCTCGTAGCACCGAGTGACGACGCGTGCGCCCTGACACACTACTACACTAGTCTGTCTCAGATGATGTGAGAGCCACCTCCTGTGGCATATATACCTAGATGGATACGGGATCACCTTTTGGTACAGTACATCGTACATCTAGGTACATACCTAGGTATACCTGTCGAGGTAGTCGTAGTGGGAGGTGGCAGTGTACGGATCCTTTCAAGTTGGCATCCACGGGGATCGTTAATAATGCCAATAGAGGAGTAAACATAATACCGGTTATGTACTAGCCGTGTGCTTTGTGTGCTTGAACTTGGGCTACTAATCTGATTGATACTAGCCTGATACTTTAGCAGGTCTAAATTTGGTGCAGCAGGATTCCCGAATATAACGCTTGGCAAACGATCCATTCCCACACCGGCAACTGTGAAGAGGCCATAGACCACGGGCCCGTGACAGCGAATCGACGATACCTTAGTTTCAAGTTTGTCGCTAACAAAGTGCAAAGACCGGAACACGGCATTAGAGACTGACACACGAAGTAGAGCCCTGGTTCCCCGTTCAGGCTGCTTTAATACCATCCCGGACTTGTCTCGCCGCCACCAATGGCCGAAAACTCTGCCGAGCAGGCTCAGGCTCAGGCTACACAACATACGAATGGAGTTGCAAATGGAGTTGCAAATGGAGTTGCAAATGGAGTTGAAAATGGAGTTGCGACCCCGTCGACAGACGGTACAGCGACAAAACGCAAAGCGCATGAATTGAGCGGGCCCGAGACTGCAGTGGATGGTAGAGACGACAAGCGACGCAAAGGGACGGCACCAATCAAGGCCGAGTTTTTGGTGGTGGACACCTCAGACAACAATGGGAGCAACCTCGTCGAACCCCGAGCAGCGCGGGACGAGGCTGACGACGATGCAGCGGAAGCGTTTCACCACAACAACCGACAACCAACCAGCAACAACTCGAAACGGAGTAAACGGCAGGAAAAGGGGCGAGGGCAGAACAAGGCTCGCGACTACGGCAGTTCTCGAGATGAAGTCGGCTTGTGCTCGACTCGGGTGCATGCACCTGAGTTCTCGCCAGAGCCTTGTCCCTACGGGGATAACTGTCGCTTCGACCACGATTTACGCACATACCTGGCTCAACATAAGCGGAGTGATCTGACGACGTTCAACAATGGGCTCTGTCCCGTCTGGGAAGTCAAAGGCCGGTGCTCTGCAGGGTGGAAATGTCGATTTGTGGGATCTCATTCCAAGGAAATCGAGCATGAAGATGGGCGTCGTGAACTTGTTCTAGTGGAAGATCCCGAGCGGATTGCCAAGCATAGCCAGACCTCTGGCGAAGGTGAAGAGGCGGGCGTCGCCAATGTCCTCACGGCCCAGCAACGGACCGACTTGATGAAGCGGAAGATGCCAACACCTAAATCGGACGTCGTGCTTCCCTGGATAGACAAACAGACCAAAAAGCCGTCTGAACAAGGCGGACGTCGGCGGCAGAACGGCGACAACAATCAGAGCGGGAGCGGGACTGGGTTGCGCAATTCATCATCACCAGAACCAGCAGGCGGGAGTACAGAGCAAGGAACAGAAACCAACCTCAGCGATTCCCGCGCTGCTTTTCAGGATCCTCCTCTGCGGCCGTCAGAAAAGCGGAGGCTGTACTTTGGACCTGAAACACCTATTCTGGCACCCCTAACGACACAAGGCAACCTCCCATTCCGTCGATTGTGCACATCTCTCGGGGCACAATTTACCTATTCCGAGATGGCCATGTCGCTGCCATTATTGCAAGGCCATAAACCAGAGTGGGCGCTGATGAAAGCGCATGAGTCGGAAGTGCAGCCTCCCACTTTCAACATGCGGAGTGCCGGGCAGAACAGCAGTAACAACATCGTCTACGACTACGGGTACGATCAAAGTCAAGACCTACGGTTCGGAGCGCAAATCGCCGCCAACAAGCCCTGGGTGGCCATCAAAGCCACCGAAGTGCTCACAACTTTGTTGCCAAAGGGATTGAGAGTCGTCGATCTGAACGTCGGATGTCCCATCGACCTCGTGTACCGCGAAGGCGCAGGCTCAGCCCTAATGGACGCGCCGAGCAAATTGGAAAAGATGCTTCGAGGCATGAACCTGGTATCCGGCGAGACGCCCGTGACGGTCAAGATCCGCATGGGCACAAAGGACAAACAGCCGACAGCACACAAACTAGTCGAGAGACTCGTGCTAGGCAACCGTCGTGACGACAACAATCAACCGATCGAAAACAGCGACCCTTGTGGCGTGGCTGCAATCACTCTGCACGGCCGCTCCCGACAACAGCGGTACACCCGCCGCGCCGACTGGGAATATATTTCGCAGACAGCAGCGTTGATCAAGAACTTACAACAGAAAGCAGACACAATAACAGACACGATTCACGAACCCGACGAGCGAGATCTGCCCAATGGTCACAAGGGCTCGAAAACAGGTAAAGTCTGGTTCGTCGGTAATGGAGACGTCTACTCGCACGAACATTATTACGACCATCTTGAACATGCGGGAGTTGACGGTGTCATGGCCGCTCGTGGTGCCCTCATCAAACCCTGGCTGTTTGAGGAGATCAAAGCCGGCCAGTACTTGGACAAATCATCGTCAGAGCGTCTGAGGCTCGTCGAGCAGTTCTGCAGGTATGGTTTGGAGGCATGGGGCAGTGATGAAATGGGTGTCGGCACTACCCGTCGGTTCTTGTTGGAATGGCTCAGTTTCGCTTGTCGTTATGTCCCTGTCGGCTTGTTGGAGTATTTGCCTCCTAATATCCAGGACCGCCCGCCGCGGTACAAGGGACGAGATGAGCTGGAAACGTTAATGGCCAGTGACAATTACAAGGATTGGATTAAGATCAGGTAAGCAAGCACTAAAGAACACTGAGGTCGGACTTTGTTTTGGAGTCCTGATCAGCTTGACTTGCATACTGACATTTTGACTAGTGAAATGTTTCTGGGTCCCGCACATCCGAATTTCCGCTTCGAACCCAAGCACAAGTCGAACAGCTACGATACCCAGGCCGAAGGGTAGTCGCTAACAGGGAGGATGAGGAGAATGAAAATGGCCCACTTCAGTGATGATACACCAGAGTCCCATTGGGGTTACACATTCGAGCAACACCTGCACGTCGAAAATGCAAAGATAAGGAGTCTCCATTGGGCTGGTAACCTCGAGCGACACAGCCAAGTGATAAAACCCACTAGAATCTCCCTGGACGCGAGAATCAAAGCAATAGCAATACATCGAAATTGCAAAGATGAGAATCTAAGCAGCCAAGAGTAGCAGAGTCAAGGGTCAAAGATTTGTAAGACATGAAATCAATTCGAAGCGACTCCGTCCAATTCAAGTCATTAAAGTCATCCAGTCCCCAATCTCAACTCCAGAACCCTTGAATGAATCCCCATATACTAGTACCGTACCACACAAACACTTTACACCAACTAACCAAGGTACCCAAACTTGCTACCTAGTAAGTAGGTACTGTAGCCAGTTGTGACATTTCCATTCCTTTCCTCGCTGGATCCAATCAAATCCAAAAGAGCAGAGCAGACTTCCAGTAGTAGCCACACTACTTGATTCTCTTCGCAACCCCGATCCTCGTCCTACTCACCTTATCAGCGAATTTCAGACTCGTAATCGTTTCGGCGAGACACTTCTTCTCCGGCGCGACCATGACAAACATGAGCGTCTTGCTGTTTCCCCCGAGGCTGAATTGTAGCAGGTAAGTAAGTTTGCTGTTGCGGTACGGGATATGAGTTCCTGCAAACGAACTTCCACCTCCGCTGCTGCTGCTGCTGTCTCTTGATGAACCCACACCACCACCTGCGGCGCCTGCTGTCACTGCTTGCTGTTGACCTAGAGCTCCAATCACATCACCCAGACATGACAGGGACTTATTGATGTTCTGAGTCTCCTTGAGCCGGGCGCCCTCGACTTTTGAATGAGAAAGCCGTTCCGACCCAGCTAGATCCACCAAGTTCAAAGTACCTTTGCTCTTTTTGCCCGTGATGGAATTGTAACCCGACAGCTTGAGAATAAACACAGAATGACTTCGACTGCTGCGTTCGTTGGCTTTTGTGGCGGCCACGGATCGTCGAGCCATGGCTTGCGCGAGGATCCCCTCCACTTGTTCCTGGCTGTCCAGACAAACCGTGGTAACGTCCGTGATGGTCGTTTCGCAAGTTGCCATGTCATGTCGGATCTCGTGTTTCTTGTTGGTCTCGCCTTCCTTGCCCAACAAGTCCCGCAACTCCTCATTGTATACCTCGACAAAACTGCCTTCCATGGTGTACTTCCACCCTCTGCTTTCGAGCTCCTTGCTCGTACTGTAAATCTGTCTCAGTGCTCGTGGGATCATCCCATCGTCCGATGACATGGTGAAGGTCTTGCCTGATCCGGTCTGGCCATACGCAAAAATGCACACATTGTAGCCGTCCAGCGCGGATTGAATCAGCTGGCTGATCTCCTCGAATATTTCTGCATTGTTGTTCGATGGATTGAATACTCGGTCGAACGAGAACGCGTGTGTCTTTGTAGTCACCTTTCCTAGACTGTTGGTCTCGTCGGGTCCTTTGACTTCAATGTCCTTTAATTCTTCGTCCGTCTCTGGGAATGTGATTTTGGCTGTTTCTTCGGCCTGGTCCGCGTCGATCGTCGGCCGGACACGACAGAAAACTCGAATGTTGCCTTTCAACTCTTGCACCTGGTTGTGTAATTTGCGTCGAAGCATTTCTTCCTTCCTAAGTTTGTCTTCGCATTCGGCCGCTTTCTCAAGAGCTTCATTCATTCGCCTCTCCATAGCGGCATATGCTTCCGACTGTGATTTGTTGTCGGACTCAAGAAATTCGATCTTGGCTTGTAGAGCCTGCCGCGCGCTCTCCATCGAAACCGCATTCGTCCCGGCTGTGGCTAGGTTCTGGCGGAGGTCATTGTTCAGCATTTTCTCTCGTTCGAGGTCTGCTTTGAGTCTTCCAATTTCCATGTTGATAGTTCGGACCTCCTGTTCTTTCGACTGCAGATCCATTTCGTGTCGTTGTTTTTCAAGTGCACCTTGGGTGGAAACCTGGGCTAGAGCTTGTAATCGTTGACTTCTTTCGGCTTCCAATTCGTCTTCCAGCCTTCTCTTCAACTCTCTGATCTCCTCTCGGTGGTCGGCCTTGAGACGATCCAGGTCTTCCCGGTGAGACTGCCGCATGTTTTCGCTGTCTATCCGGTGCTCACGCTTGAGCTCTTCGATTTCTTCTTCATTGTCACGTCTCAATTCTTGGGCTGCCCGCTCAGCGGCTTCGAGTCGATATTTTGTCGTTTCCAACTCACACCTGAGCGCTATCATGGACTCCGTGAGTTCTTTGCGTTCCCTCTCGAGATTGGCAATGGTCGACTTGTAAGAAATGTTGATCTCTTTCGCTTCCACATTATCCTCCATGGCTTGTTTGTAATGCCTGCATACATCCTCGTACATCCTCTCCATGTTGCCATATTGTTCCTCGGGATCCCAGGCTTCTAAATTTGAATCCTTTGTCAGAAAAGTTTCTTGTTTTTTCTTACGGGGAGACGTGGCAGGTGGTTTTGGGAGGGGTGGGGGGGAGAATATCGGCGGTTCCGCCACTGTGGGAGTGCGCGGAGACGGAACAGGAATCCTTGAAGGGCTCTCTGGCTTTTTCTGCTTCGGCGTTTCCGGACACAAGGAGAGATTTGCAAGACCCGTCGTGATCGAGGCGGTCAAAGAGACTTCTCGACTGGGGCCGTTGGGGCGCACGGGTGGGCCAAGGACCTTTCCATTGTGGGAGAGACTTCGAAGCAGTCTGTTTTGTGTAGACACAGATCCATTGACCGGGGTACGGGTGCCATAGGGTAAAGGGAAATTGGAGATAGAAACCATACGTTTATTAGGGCCATTCTGATTTCCTCCACGGGTTCCAAGAGCTGTAGCAGGCCTCGCGTCGGCCCCTCTTGCTGCTTTTTCTTTCGCCAGGGAAGATTTCGGCCGCGCGAGACTCGACGAGGCTTGGATACTAGGAGGTCGAATACCGCTGCCAACGCTGGCTGAGAAGGAAGATGGTGTGGCGGAAATGGATGTACTTTTCGAGAAGTGGGAGTTGTTGCGCTGTGATTGAGAAAACGAGGAGGGGTTTCGTGATTGAGTTGTTGACATGACTGTGGGATGGACGGGAGCATTCGATCTCGGGGCCGCGGGTATGCTCCTGATCGGTTGGCCGGCGCGCTCAGCTAATGTTGCTCTCTTGCTAGCCGGCTCGGGTACTGGGACTGGAGTTAGTCTCCCACGTGTTTCTATCTTGTCATTTACCAACAGTTCGATCCTTGTCTTTTATGCCCGAGAAAGGTCGGAGGTGGCATGGCATTTCGTGAATTGTGCGCTGAGGCACTGAGTTCGGTCAATTGCTTTTGAGGAGATGGTAAAGTATGCCGTGTTGGCTGCGGCAGCTGAGAAACGAACTGTGACTTCATCTTAGCAACAACAACGGTTGGACTGGGACAAAAGCCTACATTCTCTGTGTCGGCCATGGTGAGGAAGTGGAATGACCGGTCGTTGAGACAGTGAGGTGGTCTAATGAGGCTGAAACGCCATAACAAGTCTACATGAGGTCGGTGGTGATGTGTAGACAGCAGAGTGAGATGGACGGAATGATAGGACGCGATGAAAGCCGCAATCACAATCATGGAAGTGACCGAAACCGTGGATCAAAACATGTTACCCAGTTAGGTAAGGTGTAAATTGCTTGGTCATGTGACGAGGCTGACAAAGCACATCGTGAACAGAAGACATATGTTTCTATCTCCACCAAAGAAATACAGAAAAGACAATGAGAAAGGTCGAAGAGTCTCGTAATATCTTGCAAGGGATTCGTCCTCATTATATTTTTATCAAGGCATCTTTGACTATGTCTGAATATCACGATGTTGTGGCAGACAATGGGGCTAGACATGTCTCGGTATACTGCCTCCTCCCATTCACAAGGGACTCAGAGGACAGATACATGGTGCCCCAGTGTTCCATTTTCTGCTGGAGTAGCCATCAAGGTGTTTACCAGTTTGCAACATCCTTCCTTTCGGGATCATGCACTTCTTTGCCTGCCCCTTCCCTAATGACTTCATCCAACACCTTGACAAGCCCCACCACTTCTTCCACCGTGTTATAGTGCAGCAGAGAAACTCTCACCACTCCATCATCAGGATCTGGGATCCCTAAGACCTTCTCCAACAAGCGCTTGCTGTAGAAGTGTCCATACCGGATGCCGTAGTCCGACTTGGCTTCAACCGCATCCACAATTCCGAGCGAACTCTGGCCCTTGACTCTGAAGCTGATAACAGGGTGCCGAATGTTTCTATCCGAAGAAGGTTCACCATAGATCTTGATTTGATCCGGTTTCGATCGCAGATAAGCCAATAATACCTCCTGCAATCTCTCTTCCTGGGCCTCCATTGCATCCCAGCCGATTTTGTTAATGTAGGCAATCACCTCCGGGATGGATTGAACGCATTCATAGTTGCCGGCAGCCAAGCCCATCATTTCCTCCAGGGTATTTCGGCCCTTGAAAAAGTGGCCAAGGCTGTTAAGCTGCTCTTGTGCCTTCTTGCTGGCGTACAACATCGACACGTGTGGACCGTAGACTTTATACCATGAAAAAGAATAAAAGTCCACACCAAGGGCCTTGACGTCGATGGGCGCATGGGGCGCATATGCCACGGCGTCGACACAGAAGAGAGTGTTGGGGTTGGTTTCGCGAATGACTTTGGACAACGCCGCGACATCGGTAATGGTTCCCAGAATGTTCGAGGTGTGTGTGCAACAAACCAGTCGTGTCTTGGGCGACAACAATGCCTTCAAGTCATCGGGCTCTAGTCTGGGGTTGGAATTGGTGTTCTTGGTGGGAACCCACCACTTGACCGTCAACCCCTTCCACTCGGCCATTTGCACCCAGGGGGCAATGTCGGCTTCATGATCGATATTCGAGATGATGATCTCTTGCCCCGGTTCAACCTTGAGCGCAACGGAAAGATTGCGGAATAGCTGGGTGGTCGACGCTCCAAAGACCACTTCTTCCTGGGAAGCGTTGATATATTTTGCGCCTGCAGCATGGCCGGCATTGAATTTGTTGGTCGACTTCTGTGCTATCGGATAAGATGCTCCAAGTTGCACATTGTTTTTGGACAGATAGTCGGAGATAGATGTGATGACAGACTGCAAGACCTGTGCGCCTCCAGCATTGTCCATGAAGACTTGTTTCTGGGCCAGGGCGGGAAAATGTGACCTAATGGCCTTCAAGTCTAATGATTGCGATCCCATGGTGAAATTGACGACTGTCCTTGTCCAGTTCCGATTATCAGCCTGGTTCAAGTCGAAGGGCGGTTGAGAGTGGCGATGACCTGGGAGGCTCGGCTGGATGGAGAAGAGTCACCCGAATATACGGACGAGAGATGATATATGATACCTTAACCGACTCAAAACGGCAGTTGGCCGGCCTCAGGATGTGATGGAGTGGGCAAATCCGTACCGGGGGAAAAGCAATCAACTCGTTGGCATGTCGTTGCTGGATCTCAGGGACCGTGACGCCCTGCGATGACCTGTCACATCCATGGATTCGAGTATCGAATGGATCTTCGGTAGTCCTCCTCTTCAGCCACGGGTCCACGTCTGCCAGTAACCCGACCACAGAAACCCCTCGTTGAGATCCACATTGCTCTGGATCCATGCATTATTGTACCACTGTATCTTCTTCGACTTCGATATCAGCTTTCAACGTCCAGTGTCCGGTGCGGTTGTCCAAACTCGGTTGCTCAGCAATGAAAATCATTATATTTCCCACCATTCACCACATCCCTTCTTGCATGCCTCCAAGTTCTATTGTGCTTAGAGCACACCATGCTGAGCAAGTCGGCCAGTATATGTTCACACCGATTTTGAGGCCAGAAGTTCGAACGGCAAAGAGAATTGGGACTTGGAGCGGACATGAATGCGCGGCACAGAATGTCCATCGCAAGCTCGATTATTGCATGAGCATCATGTCGCCGGAGCTGCACAATTACTTTTGGCGATGCAGCGATACAGCGAAACAGCGATACAATATGGTGCTGGACGTGGAAGGGAATCAGCAGACCCGTAGTGAAAGAAAGGTCAGTCATGATATTGTTATCGCGTTGGTGTAGCCATTGGATGCCTGGACCCGTCAATCCCTCTAAAAGCCACGGAATGATGTCTAATCATACACTGGCAATGCATCCCAACGCCTGGTCACCTCGTCCGTTACGAGACATCTACCATGTTTGCATAATCTGTTTCGCAGCCCGGCACTATGAGTCGTCGAAACTACTTCCTCTTGTTCTCCGTCTGTTCGCGCTCTGCATGCGCCGAGTTGTTCTGCGGATGCATTGGTGCTTCTCCCACCATCCTCTTTTTCCATTCGATGAATTCCACATCCTTCTCCTCGCCCATGTACTCGGCCCAAGCGGTGAATTCTCGGTTGGTGCGCTTTTTCAGGGGTGGCATGTCGGAGCTGCTTCGATGGGAACGATCATTTCGGTGCTGGCTTGTTGGTGTCTCTTTATGGATGCGGTCTATTTTGTCCTGCAGACATCTTGTGTCCTCAAGACCTTGGCCCTTGGATGGCATATTGGCTGGTCGTTTGTCTTGCTGTGTAGCTTGTTGTGTCGCGGATGATCCGCCTTCAGTGGATCCTGTCTCGCTTTTCGATGATTCTTGTGAAAGGAAAGTGTGAAAGGACAGTATATTCCTAGTACTGGGCTTGAACTGTTTTGGAACGATGCATACTATCCTAGAACGTGTGGACATACTGGATCTTGTTGTAGAATATTTACGCAGAGTCTCCTTGATGGAAGTGAATAGTAGCTCTTGACGTGGTAACTCACCGTGACTCCCTGTAAGTCGCTGTTTCCACCTTCACAGCACAACGTCCAAGCCTTCACCTGCTTCATTGAAGACGTCCAAGAAGCAGCGACAAAGACAGCAGCGCTTGAAGTGAAGGTAGCCAGCCGCTGTTGGACATGCTTGACGACTCGGAACTTACCACGTATTCACAGCCAGCAGCTTGGCGAGGGCTGTATGCAAGATCTCTTCGCATGGGCAGGGATGCAGCGCAGTAGTCACCATGATACGCTCTCTTGCTTGAGCCCGGACTCGGGTTCTGCACGGCCAACTGCACGGCCAACTGTACCTGCATGTGAAATGTCCATCCAGCCTCGTGCTGACATGTGGGTGTTTATCATCTTTGAGAATTCAGAGTTGTCTTCGCTGCTGTAGGGATGTACGAGACGGGGACGACTCGGCTGAGGCTCGCTGGACGGGCTTGACATGTGTCTTTGGCTCTGACTACCGGGATCGCAGAAGGCAGGCTGACAAGATATATGCGAAGAATGAAGGAACAGAGAGTCACCGGATGGATGAGACCCCAGTCGGTGTTCCGAGAAAAGGACATGGGCGGCATTCGTCAGGCCAGAGGATGACAGGTCATCGGGCGAATAAAAAGTATACACGACTCGGAATGTGACATTTTGATCTCAACTGCGCATGTGAAAAAAGAACATACACGAGAGCGAGTCCATTGACTCCATACCACATTACATATACCATGATGACTGCCTTCATCGCCATCACCACCTCCATCATCATCGTCACGAGGTAACGATCGATCATCCTTCAAGTTCGTCCAACCGTGTCCTCGGCAGCGGAGAATTTCCTTCTTCTCCAACTCCATCTCCAGCCTCAGCTGCTACTACGAACTGCCATCGAAACACTTTACTGCCATATGTTCCGCTCGTTCGCTTCAACAGTCGCTGTGCGCCATCTCATGCTCGGAACAGACTGTCCTCTCCATCTCGCGCATATATCATGTCCTGGCACGCTCTCTGATTTCTAGGTACGAAATTTATCAGTGTAAGCTGGCTCTCCTGCTGCAGCGCTCTGTGCGGTGCCGACTCCCTCAAGATGGAGAAGTTCTCCCAGTTCCGCGACAAAGGTGAGACCATCGGTGTGAATGTAGACAAAGAGGTGCCGTGGCTGACTCGATCCGCAGGCTCCGGCATTGCGCCGTTCCTCCCTATCCCAACCGAGCCCGCCGGTATTCGATTGCCTTTCCACATTTTCCTCTTCGTCTGTCGTGTGCCACTCCTCCTGCTCTTCTCCATATCGTACTTTTTGGTCCTACAATGGATGCCTATAGGTGTCCTGGGAAGGAAAGCCTCATTATGGTGCATACTGGGCATACCAGGCATATGGTGGGTCGACCTACAAATCGACGGCGTCAAAAAAGGGTACGGAACTGAAGGGTGCCATGGTTCGGAAGATGGTGCAGTCTGTACTGACAAGCGAACCAGGTCTTTGGCGAAAAACAGTGCCAGCATCCCTCGCGCCGGCTCCGTCATTGCATCGTCCAGCACTTCTCCTATTGATTCCCTATATCTATCTGCGATATTCGACCCGATATTCGCTGCAAGCTATCCAAACACCAGACTGGTCGAACCTATATCCCTTTTCACCGCCGTTTGTCGCGCATTCTCATATCCCAAACTCAATCCGTCTATACGGGCCAAGTTGGTGGACTTGGAAACATATATCAAACAAAATCCCAACCGTATCGTCGTGGTATTTCCCGAATGTACGACATCTAACGGCCGAGGAATTTTGCCCATGAGTCCGTGTTTGTTGACGGTACCACCACGCACCAAGGTTTTTCCTGTCAGCTTGAGATATACCCCGAACGATATCAGTACGCCAGTTCCACATGCCTACTTCACGTTTCTGTGGAACCTCTGCAGCAAACCGTCGCACTGTATCCGCATTCGCATTGCAGAGGCCGTATACAACACTTCGAGGAGGAACATGGAGCAGGCTGCTGCGAAGAGCTCAGCCTACAGCAACAGTCACCTGGATACTTCGGCCACAGACAGTGCTGCGAGCGATGCAGACACGCTTGTGGGCAGCGAAGAACTCGAGGGACCTGCGACCAGGGAGGAAAAGATGTTTCTAGACAAGATTGCCGAGGCTCTGGCTAGATTAGGACGCGTCAAGAGAGTCGGGCTGGGAGTCAAGGAGAAGATTGACTTTCTGGAGATGTGGAACAAGTCACGGAGAAGACGATGAGCAACCGGTAGAAACTGGTCTCGCACAAAATGACAACAGTATCCCACACACTATGCTATACCAGGCTTGAAAGATATCCCACTGCACCCGGTCTGGCTAAATTGCCGCACAAGAGATATCGGGTTTCGATGCATTATCCAGACGGAAAATTAAAGTCCTGTCAAACTACCGGCCATTCCGATTTACCGCATACACTGGCGCGACCGTTTAATTTCGATCACCTGGTCTGTGCGTCCATCAACACCACGTCCACGACCGATGATATGCACGATATATACAACGGCAGAGTTTTATTGCGCGATGGACGTGGACCTGGTGTTTTCGTTTGATCCTGTACCCTCGGAGGCTATTCTCGGGCTACAGTCCCAACATTATTACCTCGCATCCCCCAAGATCCAACAGCAGTCGTTGACCAATTCCTGACACTGGTTGCATGACTGCGTATTGATAAGACCGAGTCGGGCGTATCCTTCTACTAGGGAATAACGAGCACCACAATCCACCGGAACCTCAGAACGTATTCATCACCATCACCAGTGGCAATGCATTTTCTTTCTGTGTTGGCTGCCGGCCTCACACTCACCCCAGGCAGCGTATATGCCGCGACGCAACTCAGTTTCTTCGAACACAATTCCTGTAATGCAGGGACCTCGTTCGAGCAATATACCGACTACAACGTCCTCACCGCCGACACATCATGTCACCAACTACCGAACGGGACGGTAGCATTTTACGTGAACCAAATTGATCAGGGTTGTTCGAGTGAGTACCAACCACGACCACCAAAGACTTTCACTTTATATCCTACCGACATAGTTCTGTTTTATTTGTGTCTTTCCTGTCACTTCAACACACGGGATAAGACTACCTACCTATGTACTGTATCTATGTCTTTGTGGTTCCCAAGCCGTGTTGTGCAATGTATCCCTCTGAATATCCCCATAGACCAGCAGTATCCTGGTATTCAACGAGAGACGACTTGTTTGCAGTTCACGAATATACAAGTGATGTCTTGGACGTCCTACCAGCAGTGCCTCACATACTATTTTCGTCTCTATGCTTCTCTCTGCTCTGAATGGTCGCGAAGCTCATCGTATCTATTCTTCTCCCCCTTTTGAAAGTCTTCAACTGACCACTCCCGGTGTTTTCTTCAATCTCTAGTCCGCTCATATACCTCATCCAACTGCAACCCATCCTCATCTTCCCTCGCCGGCGTCCTCATCGGCGTCGGAACATGCTTCTACATCGACGAAGGCGTGGACTTGGGGTCCTGGCGGCCCGACTGTCTTGGTGTCGATTATTCGTCTACTAATGGTCTGGACACGTCGAATTCGTATACTTCAACTTCGTCAACTTCGTCAAACAACAACGGCAGCAACGGCAACAGTAGTGGTAGCAGCAATTCTACCATCACTATTACTTCTGCTGCTGCTCCAGGTCAATCGTCGAATTCAGGTGCTGACGCGGCGGTTCAATCTGTTATCAAAACTGCGACGGGGGCAGTCACTTTTACGCCTGTGACTACGAGTACGACATCAGCTTCGGCATCGGCGTCGGCGTCGGATTCAGGGTCAGGGTCAGATTCGACTTCTGCTGCTGCGAGTGGTACAGGTACAGGTACCGGTACTGTGAGTGGAAGTGCAACCGGGACAGCGAATACGAGTACGAGTACGAATGGCGCTGCGGGATTGTCAATGGGACCATTGATGACTTCCTTTGGCACAGTCATGGCCGCTTTTGCTCTGTTGGGTTGATGAGATCAACCTTTGAATCTGCAGTGGGTCTGGATCTGGAGTATACTCTCGAAGGAAGTCATGCATACCTATATACCTTGGGTGATTTTTTATTTGGCGCAATGGACTGCACTGCAATGGTCAGCGTCAGCGTCAGCGTCGGTGTTGGTATGGGTGCTGCAGGTGTTGATCTACTGTAGTAGAGTTCCGGTGCGGTGTCAGTGAGTGTGGTACAGTACCAGCATGAAGTGTCAGTGTCGATTCCATATCATTTATCACTTTTAACCATCTATCTCTCCTTTTGCTCTGCTTGTTTTCATTTTTTTAACGTCTCTCAGTTCGATCAGAGGAATAAAATCGAGACAGGAATGGAATTAGGACATTATATCAATATCAATACCTGCACTTCAAGTTCTCCAAGTTCAGTTCCATGTCGTTCTTCTCAAGCAGCCGAGCAACCAACTGCAGTGATCAACCTAGCAATCAACACCACTTGCAGTGAGTGGATAATGAAAAGGGAAGGGAAAAGGACTAGAACCAAGGCCACGAACGTTTCCTCATATTATTTCATTTCATTTGCTTCGACTCAATACAATTCGCGGTCCCCATGCGGGCTCTTACCACTGGCACCGTTGTACTGGCTGGTAGTAAGCACGGCACACAGTAGGTATCTGTCTGGCCCAAAGCTGACTGGCACCGAGACTGACGCTGGAACTTAAGCTGGCACTGGTATGTGCTCGACTGGGTACAACAAACAACTAGAACCAGGATTGAACCAGCTGAAGTATCCTAGTAAGAGGAGAAAAGGCAAGGCAAAGCAAGGCATGGTATCACGCTAGGTTGCCTCCCTACCTCCATCTTGAACTCGTTCGTTCGCCTTCCATCAATCCTCTCTCAAGCTCATCTTCGTACTTATACGTGATGCGCCTGCTGTTGCTGCTGCTCCCACCACCGGCACCACCACCCGAAGCAGAAGAAGCATTGGCTTTGGCAGCCTTTTCTCGTCTCTGTTGCTCCTTGAGCAATCGTTCGCGGTTCCTCGCTTCGCGCTCTAATGTGTGTGGATCCTTTTCTTGTTCTTTTTCCTTATCTGGCGCTGGGGTAGCCGTTGCACTTGACCGGTGAGAGCGACCATTCATACCAGCAGACCCAGACAATCCAACGACTTCCTCTGTATCTCGTCGGTGTTCTCGTTTGTGCCGTCGTGATCGGTGTCGAGAGTCTCGATCTTCCGTATCATGATCTTGATGCTGGTCGTCACGGTGGTGTTGGCTTGGCCGATCATAGTCGTAGTCGTAGTCGTGATGCTTTTCGTCTTCTCGATGCCGGTCGTGCCGAGACCGCTTGCGATCCTTGTCCTTATCACGGTCGCGATCGCGGTCTCGGTCTCGGTCGCGGTACTTTTCGTCTCGGTCTTTGTCCCGTGCACCATCTCGATCTCGATCGCGGTCTCGATTTCTGTCACGATCACGGTCACGCTCTCGTTCACGGTCGCGAGGGCGGTGGCCACGGTCTCGATCTCGATCTCGGTCGCGGTCGCGGTCTCGATCACGCTCACGGTCTCGCTCTCGGTCCTCGTATCTCGACGACTTGCTGCTTCGATATTTGCCATCTCTGGTCTGTCCGTCATAACCATCTCTATGGCTGCTCGACAGGACAGACTCGTCGTAATCTTCCATCTCATAATCTCCGTTCGCATCTGCTTCGCCGCGATGCCGACGAGAGCGGGAAGGCCGGATTCTCGTTTCCAAAGAGGTCGACGCCGGCTTTTCTTCTTTGTTGTTTTCATCTCGATTTCGACGCGAGGATTTTCGATCGACCGAGCCGGACCGCGAATATGAACCTTCTGTCTCGTCATTGTCGTAAGCATGACCATTTCTACCCTCTCTCTTGGAGCTGTATTCACGCCCGTCTCTGTCACGATGACTGTCTTGCTCAGCACCTTGATCTTCATGATCGTATCCTTGTTGGTCAGACTGTCTTTTCGTGGAATGATCTCCATTTCTCACTTCTTCGTGACCCACAGTTGGAGTTCGGCTGCTTGCACGTTCGTAGTCTCGAGATTCCGACCGGACCTGACGTGATGCCATCGATGCCCTACCCATGATTTGAAAACCCGTGCCTGCTGACCGTGAGGACGGTCTGGCGGGTGGCCCAGCCGGTTCACGCATCGCTCTCGGACCCGTCGGTGCACCTAGGACACCTATCCCTTTTGACTGATCGGGCGCTTGCGTTTGCACTTGCATCTGTGGGTTTACTGGAGTGTGACCTTTGAGACCATTTGGTGCAGACGAGGGCATACCACCCCGACCACGTATGGGAAATCTACCATGTCCTCGAGCACGAAACCCAAAGTCTTTCATGTGTTCACCATACTGAGCGGAAGGTCCCAAGGGTGCCGAGGGCGGCGGCATTGGCCCTTGGAGGTCTTCACGATAGGCTTCAGGTATCGCTTTGCTTTGATTCTGGGTTTGAACATCACGGTCAAGATCTGTTGTTGCCGCACCATTTATCCGGGCATCTTCTTGACCTTGTTCCTTCTTCTCCTGGGCTTCCTGGTCTCCAAGATCGCCATTCTCTGCAGTCACAGCACCGTCCGCGGGGTTTCCCTCTTCCGTGACTGGTTTTTGATAGTCATCGCCCAGCGCTTCTTGAATCTCTTCCTGTCCGCCAGGAGCGAACTCGTCGTCATCATGGTGGTAGTCGGCCGATTGGTTCTTTGCTGCTGCATCGTTCGACCGATTACCCGGGTGTTGAGACTGCGTAAATTGATTGTCATGCTGCCGCTGGTCAAAGTTGTTCTGGTAGCCTTGTTGGTACTGCGAAAACTGTTGAAAGTTACCACGGCCTCTACCATAGCCGCCACGTCCACGGCCGCGGCCACGACCGTAACCGCGACCGTAGTACCCGCCTTGAAAATCACCATTGGGATATGATTGTGGGAAGTTTCCATTGGGACCCATTTTGAAACCGTAGTTGGGACCAAAGTCACCAGGGCCCATGCCATTCGGGAATGCATTTGCATTATTATTCTGCCACATATTGTTGGGTTGGCCATTATTCCAGCCGCCAGAAAACATCCCTGGGTTGGGACCAAAATTCATTCCCATGTTCATGCCATTCATGCCTCCGTTGGGACCGCCAAACCCGCCAAACATGCCAGCCGACATGGGATTCATACCCATGGGCATTCCTAAACGACCGGTCAGTAACGTTTTCGGGAAGACAGATGTAATGGGCTGACTTACCCATCATTGGATTGAAACCAGGCATGCCGTTGGCCGCCATCATCTGCATCATCTGCGCGTAGTCCATGTTGCCGAAGCCATTCATCATGTTTGAAAAGTCCGCCCCACCCGCGCCCTCTGTTACGCTATCGCCTGCGTCTTGCAGGTTGGGTTTGGATTCGGAAACAGAGGTAGAATCGTCTTGAGGAGTGTCAGCTGCGTCCGTTGTGGGTTGCGGGAGTAAATCTTGATGGTCGTCGTCGAGTTCGACTTGAATGTCGACGTCGTCATCAAGGTCCGCAGATTCGGGGTCGCCGTCCTGGTCGGTTGTTAGCCGCCACGTGAAGGAATAATGCCGCTAAGCACTTACCTCGATTGAAGGTTGCACATCAACTGGGGGAACATCGTCGGCCTCCACAGTCTCAACTAGCTGCTCATCACCAGTTGTTGCTGCAGTCGCCGCCGCCGCCATTGTTGTAGTGTCCTGTTCCTGGCCCACCACGTTTGTACCCTCTTCGGCCACAGGTTGCTGAGTAGGTGTGTCTGCCACTGTAGCAGATTTGGCTCTCTCCTCCGCTCTGGCTTTCTCCACCGTTTTGAGGTAGGCTTTTGCAGTGTTGCGCATGGCCTTGTTTGGTTTGCATGTCTCGGAGGTGAACGGTTTATGGTCACAGACTGGACAACTGACATCGCAAGCATTGTTGAAGCCTATATTGTATGAGTATTTCTGATAGTTCCAAGCACCCTGATGGTAGACGTACATGATTCACAGATCAAGCCATCGCAACAGGTGGCCTTGTAGGCATTGAGGTTAAACTTGTGGCAGGCTGCACAGTGCAGTTTATCAGGGACTTTCTCCCAGTCAAGGGTACTGCTGGGGTTAGCGGGCTCTCAAACTGAATCTGTGTCCACTTGCCTGATCAAAGCCGCCAGGGAGGCATCAAGGGTCGGAACTGCCATGATTGCTGTGGTTGTCTAAGTGCAGCGGGAGGACGACAGAGACCGACCGTCCAAGGAAGTGGACGAAGAAGTTGACGGCCGCCGCAGAACAAACGCCATAACCTGATAGCACGTTGGGAGGAGTCACCGGTGTACAAAGAAGTCTAGGTGAGCCGATGGTGAGATTTCAGAAGACATTGAGTCATATTTCAGTCGGTGATCAAAAGTTCATGAGATATTGATAAATGGAAGAAATGCAGCCGCGCCGTTTGTACGGGCGCAAACGTTGAACGCAGGCAGTGAAGTTCTACAACGATCGCGCGCCCAGCGCCTGTTCAACTGTTCGCTTGTTCTTCCTGTGGCCCGCCCACTGCAATAATCATGCAGTGTGGGCCACTGCGCTTGGGTGCTGAATGGCCACCCGCAACTTGCTGTTCGATTCGCCTCGAACGCACCCCAGTCTACCGCAGATCTCGAGAACGCATCCTTTTCTACCTACCCAGGTACATGGCGTTCATATCATCGAGCAGTGCAGTGGTGTTGGTGAATATTACTAGCATCGGGGAAAATGATGAAGTCATCGATGCGAAGACCCTTTGGAAGTAATCACATATATTGTAAGCCACAGAGAAGCCACAGACCAGCATCACAAGATATATTTACTAGTAGTCCAGAAGTCGCTGTCTCGGTTCTCCATGACCTGTATTTACGTATATACCATTATTTCAAGTTCTTCAACACCATTGGTGGTATTTACAAGCCAATTCGTCGCTCATAACAGACATATTTGGATAAGACCTTGAAGGCCGAAGAACGCAGCAGCATGATCCTGGGGCCTATCAATGGCATCGATTGCATTGCATTTGTGGCCTGTCTGATCCCTCAGCTGCTTTATCAACTGAATCCCCTTCTGCTCCTGCGTGTACTGGCTGGAGTGGTACCATTTCTAGGTCGGCAAATTGACCCCAAAGAAGTTCGAAATTAACACCCGCTAATGCCCTGATAGTCTTCCAGCTCCCATTTCACTTGATCAAAGAACGCCTTCTCACCGAGAAAGAGAAACAATCCCCTTTCACTCAACATGCCACCTTCTTCCAGGACGTGGTGGTCCGTTGTGTTCGATATGCCTTCGCAAAAATTCCTGCAAGTGTAGGCAGAGTATTCTTCTCCAAATGGGTATCGTATCCGTTTTTCAGGTATCGCTTGTTGAGACATGGTCATCTCCATTGCCCAATGTTTTATACAGAGATTGTCCAACCTGACTTTCGGGGTATTTGGATTGCCGATACCCCCCATTCCGATCCTGATATCATCATCTACTATTGCCACGGTTAGTAGCTTCTCCAGGCAGCTTATGAGCCCAAAAGGTAGAAAAACTGATTGAAGGGGCCAGGAGGTGGGTTTTCTATGGGGTCAGCATATTTCTATCTCGAATTCCTCATGGCCTGGGCGACACGGCTAAAGCAGAGCGGCTTCCGCAACCCTGCAGTGTTTGCCTTGGAGTATACGCTCGTACCAGACGCACAGTGGCCGACCCAATTCAAGGAGACCGTTGCTGGATACAATTTTCTGTGCGAGACCTTTGGAGAGGGATCGGCGGCAAAAATCAGCGTCAGCGGTGACTCTGCTGGAGCGACCCTGGTTTTGAGCATGTTGCTTCATCTGGAAGGCGACGAACAAAATCCAAACAATCAGCGGCTGTCTCGCCCGACTCTGGCCATTCTACTTTCGCCATGGACTCATCTTGTCTCAGAGCTGAATAGGAACACCGCGAGTGACTACCTTGATAAGGACAGTCTACATTTGTATGCGCGCCAGTATGCTGGAGGCGCGGCGACAACTGACAACTTGATCTCACCTGGACTGTCCACGAGCGGATGGAAGAAAGCATCACCGCTGGAGGGTTACTGCATCGTATATGGAGCTGAAGAGGTGTTTAGCCCAGCAATCGACGAGACCATTGCGCACATGGAGAACGAGGGAGCCACAGTCAAGGCTTATCGACAAGAGGCGGGCATTCACGCCTGGCCTGTCGTGAATTTGTTCCTCGGAGACAGTCGCGAGGAACGGCTGTATGGATTGGATATCATGACCAAGTTCATCGTTTCCTCGAGTCCGACATTGCAGAAGTAGACGCACAGGCAACCCTGTCGTGCAACTCATCTTCTACCGCATGCCATCAGATTAGATCAAGTTTTTAACAACTGTCATAAACGACCTCTGGGTCTGCTGCGAGGCGACCACAGTCTGGAGAGACAGGGTTGCCACACGACAGTTGTCTTTCCCCAGGACCATTTCCAGCATGCTTCTATCGTCATTTGGCAGCGACCAGGAACAGAGATATCCAACGAGCCGATAAGGATAGAACATAAAAATGCGAGAACGATACCAGGACGAGTAGAGCTGTTAAGATGCTCTCAAATTATTTACCTACCTGACTGCCCTGCAGTGAAGTGTATTTCATTTTATTCAACATCATCGTAAGGCATGGTGAAGTACGGAGGGTCTAGTATGCGACAGCAGCAGTAAAGAAAAAAGATCGCAATTATTGAATGACATGCAGTGGTGGTTATAGCAAAACAGCAGGGTTCAGGTGAATCTGGACTAGCGCGTGACAAAATTGGCGCGGATGATGATGGGTGACATGTCGCAATTAGAGCCAATCCGCGCCCGACACAGCCCCAAACTCTGATATTACTGGTGGATCTGCTCTGATCCGATTCCTGCGGCTGTCGTGGCATCAGCTTTTTTATAAACATGCGCAATTCCCCCTCCGCCGCGCCTCCCCTTTTTCCGAGTCGTTCTGCAGACAGCGCGCCAGCCCCTCTCTTCTGCTGCTAAGGCCAAACTCGCCGCTTCACCCGAGCCATACACCGCCATCGCCACCACGCCAAAGCAACACCTTGGACCGGATCTCTGTGTCCGAGGAGCTCTAATCCACGGCCCTACCTTTTTCCGGCCCTTACCTTGCAGGAACCTGTTCCGGTTCAAGTTGACGCGAACACGACACGCCCACCGGCCTGGTTTAACTGCAGTCAAACAAACACTACCACTGCTAGTAGTGTCTATCCGAACTACTCTACAACTATCTGCTCAGCCGTGTCTGACGGATACTGCTGCCTGCCAGTGCTGCAGTAAGATCAGTATTTCGTTTGCCTGGCCCTGCACGTGACATCACCAACTGGCAACCTGACTCGAGACGAACTGCACCTGCCTGCTGGAACACCATGAAGGGCACGAGTATTCTTTGAAAAGAATACCTCAACACGACGTCCAGCCCTACCAACATGTCTGTAACCACACCATCGACATCTGTCCAGCCAGTATCAAAGTCAAATCAAACATCTACCCGTCTATCCACCTGTACACCACCCTCGTGTCACTGTCAGCCTTTCTGAGCAATGAGTGACGAGCAGGATAAGTATCGACCTCGTTCACCGGACCTGTCAGGCTTCAACGCCCCACCGCCTAGACTCAGTCGCATTCCTTCGTACTCTTATACCGCTTCGCCCTTCTTCTCTCCTCAGAGCGCCGCTCCGTCAACGTCCTATTTCAGTTCCCGGGACCACTCCGCTGTCCCGCACCAGGCTTATCCTCCATCCACCACTCCTAGGACTCCGAGCATACCCACCCAGCCTCCCCTGCCAAGTCACTCGCCACACCTGCCACCATCCTTCGACAATCCTTATCCCTTGCACTATTCGCAGCAGCAGCCTCAGTTTCAAGCTCCGCGGCATTTTATTGGAACTGATATTCACCAGCATCCACCTCAACAATTCGCACCACCTTATCCGAGTGTCGATTCCTTCCACGACATGGCGCGCACGCGACAGAGGAAAGCTGCCGAGGATGCTCAATTCGCTTTCAACCAGGACCATCATGCAAATGCCGTCAATCCAATCAAAACAGAGCAAACACAGGCGCCTCCGCCTCCGCCGGCTAATGTCGCCAATGATCCATCACATGGCATTGATGTGAGAACAAAATTCCCCGTGGCACGTATCAAACGCATCATGCAAGCCGACGAGGACGTTGGCAAAGTTGCCCAGGCCACTCCCACAGCTGTTTGTAAGTATTACTACCCCTTGATCTCTGCTTCACATTCTAACATCGTCTAGCTAAGGCACTGGAGCTTTTCATGATAACTCTGGTCACCAAGGGGGCAGCAGAGGCAAGGGCTAACAGTTCCAAGCGCGTCACGGCACAGCATCTGAAGGCTGCCTTGATGAAGGACAGTCAGTTCGATTTCTTAACCGAAATTTGTGAAACTGTGCCCGACGAAGGGTCCAAGAAAGGCAGAGCGAAATCCGAAGCAAAGAGTGAAGACAGCGACGAGGAGATCGCACCCAAACGAAAAGGAAAGACGCGTAAGCGAAAAGCTAGTAGCGACGACGATACCGATTGAACGGCCACATTTCGTCGTTGGACCTCTTTCCCCCTATTACTACTGCTACATTTGTACATTTGTACGATTCTTACTATCAGCAAAAACATATTGCTGTCCGAGTGACACATTGGAGGGATTATGGCGCAACCTGAACATGACCCTCTGTCTTCAGACGAGCACAATACAGACGCCGTAAAGGCCTTGTCCCGCTGGTACTGCGCCACGATTGATATCCATTCAGAGCGCCGCCTCCATGGAATCTTTGGCTGGGTTGCCACGCCACATTGACAGCTTCACCCAGGGGCACCTTTTAAGTTTCAAGCCCCACGAATCATTCCGGGACTCTCGGATTGCTCCTATGCATAGACACTCTGGTGTCTGCTGGGATTTGATGGAGTGTTGTTCCTCCAAGGCCAGGGGGCTTGATTCACGACAGCCAGCAGGATGACAAGTCCGAAGAAGCAGGTGAAGCCAAGTGCAACCCAACCCACGACGGCAGAGTAAGCCACCACCACAAGACACAACAGCACGAAAGCTCCAACGGTCAATGCGCCCATAAGCCCACTGGCAAAGACGGCATACATCTGGACACTCCACTGACTTGTTTTGCCGTTGGTTCCGTCCCAATCGGCGACCCAATGATTCTTGAAGAACGTCAGCAACGTTGAGCCTAGCGAGGCAAATGCGAGAGCAAGCAGGAACAAAAGCCAACTGATGGCCAAGAACAGTTGGATCTGTTTGGTGCTGAATGACGAAGTTGGAGACGGTGGAATGTTGTTGTTTGAGAGCACATAAGAGAAAGTAATGCTTGCGCCCAGCGTGGCAATGCCGATGATCGTGGTGAACAGTCCATTGAAGAAGGTTGCCACTGCTGCGCCCGAGTGTTTAGCCATGGGGCGGATATGGCTCAGGGAGTGTCCATGCTCAGACCATATACCAGTGGGTGACTTTCTAGGATGGGGGTGATGCGCGTTGGTTGTTGGTTGATATGCACCGCTGTAGCCAGCAACCATTCCATTGCCCTCACTTCTAGGCGCTCTAGGTGCTGTGGTGAATTCGTCCCCTGCACTTCGATTCTGCTCCACGACCATGGTTCTTGAGACACAGATATTCAGGTAGTTCTTCGGCAGTGGTGTTGATTGGACCACCAGATCGAGCCTGGTGAGGCTATCGGGACCACAACAAGTAGGCAACTCAGAACTATTTGAATGAGAGCATACGTGCAGTAAATCAGATCAAGCTTTAGAAGCACAGAGACTAAGCAGTATATATATCTCTATTGAACTGCAGGCAAAAGCGTTTCGATTTGGATGCCTGGTCAGAGAAGGCAGTCACGACCATCCGATCTCACAGTACAAGGGCAACCGCAGCAGTAACGAGGCTCAGTTGTATCCCCTGCTTGGGGGCCTCGCCCTACGAACTCCATCCCATCCAACACCGGCTGCGGCGCAGCTGGACACATTGACCGAGCACCTGCCTGGTCTTTGCACCAATATGAGTCAGTGCATACGAATATGGACCTTGTGAGTCTTGCGCCAAACCGGTCTGCTGCTGTGTGATGTTGAACGACTCTAACCAGCAGGTGACTGGGTAGCTCACGCGCCTGATTGCAGGCTCAGGTACATCCCCAACCAAGCAGCGCACCAACACACCTGCGGAACGCCTCGCGACTTGTAAGAGTATCTGCAATGCATTGAATGTGAGTCAACCGACCTGACGATGCCGATGGGACTGTCTGTAATCTGACCGGTCCAGCAAACCTGGCGCAACGGCAGCCTTGAACGCGAGGACGATGTCGCCCTGGCATACACCACGAAACTCCTCCAACGTTTGGAAACGATCCTCCAGGACGAGTCGCGGAGAGCGGCACCTCACTCCTGCCTACGATATGTCACCTCGAGTCAATCGTACATTATAGTCACGAAACTGGCACTCTCCTGCAGGCACGTCGACATACTCAAGACAGCGGCGCAGTTGTTCCATATTCTTATCAATGGCGAAGCGGAGGGACTGCTGGACAGCAAACTATTTGCGAGGTCCTTACTGGATTTGGTCTGGTATGCCACAATAGGAGGAAGACTCATTGTTGAGGAACGCTTGGAGACGGATTTGGTTGAACTCCTGTTCGAGATCGCTACAAAGATCAGATTGGACCCAGATATCCTGCCCGCCTGGTTCTACCCAGACCGCGAGGTACCCCAGGGCCGGAACGCTGCAGATGACCCGAGGAAGAGTCAATTTCCCCTGTTCCACGTGCTCGTACAATATGTCCACCATGACGGCTCGGTGGGCGACTTTGCCCGCACGGCATTACTGTACTTGACGGAAACGGCGTCGAAATTCCGACCTCTGGAGACCTGGATGATTGAAAGCGATCTAGCACCTCAGATGGCTAGTGGTCTAGGTGCTCTATACAGCAGGTTGAGCAGACAGTCCACGCACTTCATCAGCCAAACATCGACGCCTCCTATCGTCGCTTTATCGGACGCTCCGCAGACCACGGTTGCGCCGGCCGAATCGCCTTCCGACGGGCAGCAGGATCTCAAGGCTTTCTTTTCATACCTGGCATTTTGGCAGGATACATTGAGTCATTGTAAATCCGTTGAGGTCAGTGATACATTGTTGGACCATTTTCAGGTGCTTTTTGTCCAACAGCTGCTGTATCCTTCTCTACTCGAGTCGTCCGACGTTGAAGGTGGCTCCACTGCTGCGGTTATAACACATCTCTCACGGATCCTCCTTGCTCTTGACCATTTCCAGCTTGTGGACCGTATTCTACGATACCTTCTGGCTTCTCCGGCCGCTCTGCAAGAATCCAAGGAGAAAAGCCATCGACGGCAGCGCATGTCTGTCAGTCGAAGGAAGTCGATAGATCACTTGAAGACCATGGCGGAGTATGCTGATAGCCCTTCACCGAACCTCTTCAACCTCCTCGACTTAATGGAAATAAGCCTGAAATCAAGTCATTCGGAGACTGTTAGTGCTTGCCTCAAGCTGCTGTCTGTTCTCCTCCACAAACAACATTATCATGTTGCTGTTGCTCCAAGCCTATTCAAGCTTGAGCCTGCCCCAAACGCTGCTGGTCGATATGGGGTTGACGAGTTTAACAGTCAGCTTTGCAGACTGTTTGACGAGGCAGCAGCCATAGCCACCCATGAGGACATGGACGGATCCTATCAGGCTGCTTTGTTGGATGCTCAGACCCTTCTGGAGCAGCATAGCTGTTATCTGACGCGCGAGCCAGATACTGAGACGTCAGACAGGCACATGCTGTCCATCGGCCGGAATAGCAGGCTTTACGACGCCTTGATCACTTTACTGCAGAACTTCTTCGCCAACGACACTGTCACTAATCTCTACCTAACGGAATTTTTGATATCCATGGCCGCGTGCGAGCAAATAGATCTCCATTCTTGGCTCCTTCCATCCCAAAAGGGAGGTTCCATCGAAGAAGATTCTGCAGACAATACCACCTTTGTTCTTGGGGAATTGGTCGAACAAGTCAGGCAGTGGCGGTCTCAGTTCCCTCAATGGGATGACTTGATTCAGGAAAGAAGATTGGAACTGTTGGAAGAGGACCGGCAGAGCCGACAAACAAAAGATGCAGGATCGAAGAAGAGGGGAGAGTCGCCCAGAAGCTCCAACTCTCCTCTGCCTCCGCGACCGTCAACTCCAAGAGGAAGCAGGATCATCACGACAGAGTTTGGTTCAATAGGCAGTACGTTGTCGAAGGCTGGGAGTCCAAAGGCACCCGCTGCGGAACGTGCAAGCAGTCGATCGTCTTTCCGCCGACCATTACAACCTGCAGAGGCTAATGTGCAAGGAAATGATGCTGCTGCACAACAACAGTTGTCCGCTTCAAGCTCGTTACTAAAGACACAAGTCACCTTAATGAGCCTAAGACCACCCGAAGAGGCTTCGGCATCCTTGCCCCTCCACGCTGGACGCCAGCAATCTCCCACTCCCCAGCCTGGCTTGCGTGTTGCTACTGTGAGCAACGAAGACTCGGGGACTGTCACCCCAGGTGGTGAGGGCGCTCAAGCAATACGAACTCAAGCCAGTCTGAGTCATATAATGACGAACGCCATCATACTTCAAGAATTCATTCTTGAAATCGCCGCCGTGGTGCAGCTGCGGGCAACTTTCTTCGACGAAGTCCAATTCAAGGCTCCGACTACTGAATGATGAGGTGCTCAGGTGCAAATCCTCTATTAACCGTTATTATCACATTCTAGCGTACTTGACGCTTATGTTCCGTTAGCCACAGTGGATAGAGTCTTCTTCTCATATTCATCCAGAAGGGACAGGAAATGGTTCCTTCGCCACGTCGAGATCCACGAAATACAGAAGGCATTCCGCTGGAACTGAATGAGATCCTTTCTGGTCACATCGGCCTCCACCGCCATCTTTTCAATGTTTTCATTGACATAAGCCCTAAAATATGCAGGGTCGTCCGAATTGATAGTGACCTTCACCCCACGGCGGAGGAGGTGGACAATTTCTTTACCTTTGAAGTCCTGGGTTACGACCGAGTTTGAGACTGGACAACATGTCAGCCCGATACCTTTGTGGCGCAGCACCTCGATTAGCGACTCGTCCTCAATGACATTGGTTCCATGGTCAATTCGATCAACCTGGATCTCGTGGATGACTTGACGAATGTTGTCAATGCTGTTGGGCTGGTCTATGTCGCAATGCGCAGTCAGGAGGAAGCCTTCTCTGCTTGCACGCTGGAACACGGCAGCAAACTTCGAAGGCGGGTTATCGCGTTCGTCGGAGTCCAGACCCACGCCAATGATCGAGTCCCTGAAGGGCAAGGCCTCCATCAGCGTAGCCATTGCATATTCTGGAGATTGGTCCCGCAAGAAGCACATGATCAGGCTGGCAGAAATCCCCAGAGTTCTTTGAGCAATCAACAACCCCATTCGGTATCCCCGAAGAATAGTCGGAAATGTGACGCCCCTTGAAGTGTGTGCCTGAGGATCAAAGAAGAGCTCCACATGCTTGACATTCTGGGAATGAGCATGGGTAAGATAAGAGAGGGCCAGATCGCGGAAGTCATGCTCCGTTTGTAGGACTGCCATATTGGGGTAGTAAACTGCGAGGAAGCTGCTCAGGTCATGGAAAGAATAGCCTGACGTCTGGTCGAGAGATGACAAGGCTGGCGGTAACGGTAGACCATTCCGCTCTGCTAGGGTGCGGGCCAGCGAGGGCGTCAAACAGCCTAGCATACACGTCATCGCCCGTCAGCTTGCTCGTGTACCTTGGAACATTGTTTTGATCAGGTAGGAAACAACAGTTTGATACCTTACCTTCTAGATGGACGTGCAACTCGGCCTTGGGCATGCCGGCGATCCAGGCTTTCAAATCTTCGGAAGCCATGGCGATGTATAGACCGATGACAATGCGGCACGCTGTGAGTCGAAATCTAAGGTTGATGGATAAAAGATTGGTTCAGTATCAGGCGTAGAATCCAAGGCAAGACTACGCTGTTTGTGGTACTAGTCGTAATCCTATTCCATGATCGAGGCATATGCCCACTTCTCAATTCAATTTTCAGGCTACGTTGTAGATGGTTTGATAAGAGGAATCACGTGGAATTGCGCAAGGCGGCGTCAATACCTGGCTAAAAGTTGCTACCACTGGCAGTAGAGTACTATCGTATTTTAGGTACCTACAGTACCTAATGAACTTGATGTGCAGCTGACGGGAGATGAGCATCGAAAAGCAGGTTCTAGGAGGGTTGAACTTGGCCGGGAGTGCCTAGGTACCTATTGCGCTTCCTCTGTGCCATTGGCGCGGAATTGCTGCAGCCCGGTCATCAATGACTGTCAATTAGGGACTGCTTTAGATGCTAAAGGCTTATACTAGTACAGCTGTCGCAGGATACAGACAACCTTAAGACGAACGTGCTGGATATCATCTAGATATGCTCATATCTTTTTGATGTAGAATTATAACCTTTCAAGTTGTACATTTGTTATAAAGAGACAGGGGAATTGGGGATGATTGCTATGGCTTCCACTGGGTAAACAGTTAGCAGTACGGGGCCGGGGCGGGCACCACTGGCATCTGGCAGCGGGCGCCCGTAACCCCGTTGCTGAACCTAAACCTTAGGCGTGAAGGTAGTCTGTGTTAAGCGGTTGATAACTCCGTAGCGCCCAATATCAAATTATCGGCGCGATTAAAAGTGCAGCGTAACAGGCGGCGGACACAGCACTAAACAGAGAGACTAGTCCTCTTTAGGCTCCTGAAACAGCCTGGAGCAGATCCTGCAGTGCTAAACACGGTGGAGGCGGTGGCCCAAGACTCAGGCTGCCCACTGGCACTGCACTGCACGACTCCTGAACCTGGTAGAGAGACCAGTATTAGGTCAAGTAGTAGTAGCAGGGACGCAGCACGTAGGTAACCGGGCATCCTCGAACAATTTCTCCTATCCCGCTCAGGCTGCGCTCCCCGACGACAGCGTGATCATCAATTGTTCTTTCGACAGACCACGAGGTCGTCATTGACAGCATTGGACTTTGACGCGGTGTATCCAACCTCATCTCCGCTCATCATACCGGCCACCACCGCACAGACTCTCACGCGCACATCGTCGCGTCTGACACTCCGCAGCTGTACCTGCATAATAAGTGACTGCACCTTGGCGACGCATTGCAATTACTGGTAGACGGCCGCTCCGACCATCCTCAACCACCCGATTTTCTTTTCAGTTCGAGTTCGACTGAAAGGCATTGTTCTTGCTCCGAGTCTGCGTCGTTTGCTGCGTACCGAAGGAAGATGGTGGACTTGAACTAAGGCGCCTGCGGCCCCGTGAACAAGCCTCGCGAAGCCAGTAACAGCGTGTCTCATCTTGCTGCGGTTAACGATCCACGGCATCGCATGAACTTGAACACCGTATTCCAACCGCCTTCCTCCTCCGGCACTTCACGGTTCATACTGTGAACTTGATGAGCCAGGCGCGATGGCGTTCCTGTTCAAATCCAAAAGCAAACATAACGCGCCGGCTCCTGCGAGCCTGCCTCCGGCGAGTCGAAATGTCCATACGTCCGATGGCACACCAGCCTCATCCACTCAGACGAGTTCATTAGAGAAGAATACAGAACGGTCGACGACGCAATCGCCTGCTCCCAATGCCAACGCCGCTGCCAATGGCTCAATGACTTCGATGGGGTCTAGTATGACCGGCGCGCCTACATACCCACGGCGTGAAAGGGCCGAGTCGGAGTCAGGGGTACGTTTGTTGCTTGCAATTGAGCGGTTTATGTTCACGGACTGACATTGATTCTTCTACAGGCTCGTCCTGCTAATGCCGGGTCGCAAGTCTCCCAGGTTCCTAATGCTGCTCTCTACCCCTGGTCGCAACGGCGGCTGAATTTCCCTACTCCGCAATCAAATCCATTTCCTCGCTATGGCGCCGCCGTAAATGCCGTCGCATCTAAAGACGGCGACATATACATCATGGGTGGTTTAATAAACGGGTCCATGGTACGCGGTGACTTGTGGCTGGTAGAAGCTGGCGGTGGAAATCTGTCTTGCTACCCCATTGCTACGGTCTCTGAAGGCCCTGGACCAAGAGTCGGTCACGCCAGTCTTCTGGTTGGCAATGCCTTCATTGTCTTCGGTGGTGACACCAAAATGGACGATTCTGATGTTCTTGATGACACTTTGTACCTGCTTAATACCTGTAAGTGGACTATCTTCACGTTGTGCTGAATTTCGCTTACCGTCTCAGCTTCACGCCAGTGGTCAAGGGCCGCTCCTCCAGGACCGCGACCTTCAGGCCGCTATGGCCACACCTTGAACATCCTGGGCTCCAAAATCTATATCTTCGGCGGTCAGGTTGAAGGTTATTTCTTTAATGACCTCGTCGCATTTGATCTTAATGCTCTACAAAATCCGACAAACCAATGGGAATTTCTAATACAAAACACTGGTGATGGTGTTGGCCAAACGGGGAAGGTGCCGCCTCCGCGGACCAACCATACTGTCATCAGCTACAACGACCAGCTGTACCTGTAAGTGGCCTTTCCGACGTAAATGAAAATTCGTATTGACCAAATTGACAGGTTTGGCGGGACAAATGGTACGCAATGGTTTAACGATGTATGGACGTACAGTCCTGTCAAGAACAGCTGGACACAGCAAGACTGTATAGGATACATCCCAGCGCCCCGTGAAGGCCACTCGGCTGCATTGGTCAACGATGTTATGTATATTTTCGGCGGCCGAACCGAGGAGGGAACAGACTTGGGTGATTTGGCCGCGTTCCGTATTACTTCAAAGAGGTGGTACACGTTCCAGAACATGGGGCCTTCGCCATCGCCGCGGTCGGGCCACAGTATGACCGCGTATCGAGACAAGATCATCGTTCTGGCCGGCGAGCCCTCATCAGCACCGCGGGATGCTAACGAACTGAGCATGGTATATGTCCTGGACACCGCCAAGATACGGTATCCCAATGACGCCCCAGCTCTTGGTCAGGCTGGCGACGCGAAGCACCCTAGCAGTCCGACCAGGAGGCCGAGCACAGATGTGAGAACAGCTGCTCCGCCAATCCGATCCACGTCGAGAGAGGGCCAAAGGAGTCAGGCCGGGCATCGCGAACCATTCGCTGGTGGACCCGTCCAACGGCCAGATGGAGCTCATCAAAATTCACAAGCCTCAAGACTACCGCGAGCGTCTATGGCGCAAGGCCCCACCGGACCAGGACCCCAAGGTCAACCAGGCACACCTCGTATGAATGGAGTGCAGTCTCCCGCTAACGGTGGGCCAAGAAGCCGGTACAATGGGCCACCTATTGACACCCGAGCCCCTTCTACCGGACCAGATTCAATCCGGTCCGTGCCTACAGATACCTTGGTGCAAGCTCCAGTCATCAAAGAAATGCAGAGAGACAGCAATAGACCGAGCAGAGAAGGCAGCCCGGTTGCTCATGGCCGTAGAACGCCAACCCAACGGACAGAAACCAAGGCAAAGGCGATGGAGGCAGGTGAGGCGGCTCCATTAGTCCACAATGGGGTTGCCAGGCAACGATCCCTACGCTCACAGCGAGCTCAAAGCTCTATTGACAGCACAGAGGAAGGGCTGCTCGGTCGTTCGTCTTCTGGGCGACATCATGGGGATTCCCATGCTGATGTCAGAAGTTCACGGAGCATGCCCGATGAGCCGAGATCGCCCAAAATGAACCCTCATCAGGAGGCGCTTCTCAAAGAATTGGAGACAGTGAAGAAGACGAACGCTTGGTACGCTTCTGAATTAGCATTGGCTCGCAAGCAAGGTTACCACCCGGCCACGTCGCCCAGCCCGACTATTGACGAGCGGGCTGTGACTCAGGTGGCGGAGGATGACCGACCGCTTATGGAAGCATTCGTGAACATGAGGACGGAAATGGTCAAAATGCAGGAAGCCATGGAAGCACAAGCCTCGTCAATGGCCAAACGGGTAGCCGAGGTCGAACATCAACGAGACGCGGCGGTTACCGAAGCGGCATATGCAAGGGCCAAACTTGCTGCTCATGGTGGCAGTCAGCGAAGCACGCCTCAGCCAGACGCATCCCGGGAGTCTGACGAACAGGAACGGTTCACTGATCTTACGCGCCGGCTTGCATTGGCTCTTGCTGCACAGTCGGAGCATAAGACTAAACTTGACTCCCTGCACAATGAACTTGCGGCGGAGAAAAAGGCCCGGGAGTTGGCCGAAGACTCTCTGGACGCCTTACAACGTCGATACGAAGAGCTGAGCAACGGGCGAAATCCCGGCGAGCTGGAAGCGTTGCGGGCAGAACTGCATGAAGCTCAAAGCTTAGCGCGAGCTGAAGCTGGCCGGAGGGCTGAGGTCGAAGAAGAACTACGTCTCCTCCGAGTTGAACACGATGGCTTGCGGGAGGCTCATGAGCGCGCGTCCTCGCGGTTGACGGACCATACCGTCTCTATGGCTGCATTGGAGGCTGCAGTGGCAGCCTCTACCGGCAAAGCCAGTCTCTACGAGCGACAAATTGATGAGGAGCGTCAGCAAAGAGAAGCCGCCGAACAGAAACTTTCACAGCTCAGGGCTGAGCATGAAGACAGGACTAGAGAGCTAGAGTCCACTCTGAAACGCCTACGAGATGCCGAGGAACTTGCCGAGACTAATGCGAAGGAAGCCTCCACGCATCGTGAGGCTTTGCTCGCCGGACTTGCCAAGCTGTCAAGTCCTGAAGCAAATTCGAAGCGTGACTCTCTCACGGAACAAAAGATGTCGGCTCTACGAGAATCTGCGGAACAAGCGGCAAACCTGGCCAAACGGAATCAGGAAGCGGCGGAAAAAGCCGCGCAGAAATTACGGACTGCTGAGGAACGAATCGCCGGTTTGGAAGCCTATCAGGAACAATCAAGCCGAGAAGCTCTGCAAATCCGACGCCAGCTTCAGGGCGCATTGCGAGACGCCCAGAATTACCAGGCCGAGATTCGAGAGCTCCGAGCCAACCTTGAGGTCAGTCAGCGCGACGCTAGCGCACTGGCAGTTCAACATAGTGCTCTCAAGGATCTACTATCAGAACGTGGCATGAATTCTTCTGATCTGAGGAGGTCTCCAAACTGGGACCATTCTCCAACCTCTCGACTCGGCACACCTGAGCAAAATCGGCTGCGAGAGCTCGATCAGCAACTCCAAGCAAGCATCAAGGCGCACGAGGAGACCAAGAATCAATTCGAAGCTCGTCTGCAGGAGGCGGACAGCGCCTATAAGGAAAAGCTTGAACAGCTCGAGAATGACTATCAGTCTGCTGTCCACTACGTGAAGGGAACGGAGAAGATGCTCAAGAAGATGAAGGAAGAACTCACCAAGTACAAGGCTCAGAATTCTCAGCTTGCAAATGAGTTGGAAACGGCTCGGACCACCAACAACGCTTCCACAACGGCGGTCGACACTTCGGCTTGGGACAATGAACGCAAACAGTTGCAAGAGTCAATTGAGGAATTGAGGACACAGAGTTCCAAACAAATCACCCTACTGAAATCCAACATTGCGTCCCTGAGATCCGACATTGCCGCCCTGGAGTCTGAACGAGCTCAACAAAAACAAAATCATGAAGAGTTGACACGATCAACGGAGCAAGTGGGCCGAGAACTCGAACAACTCAAGTCCGAAAACTCTATGCTAGAGAAGCGTGCCCAAGAAGCCGAGGCAAGGGTGACTATCCTGCTCGATCAAGTCGGGCAATCGGTTGGGAACTATCGCCGGCAGTCTCAGTTGCAGCCCCTCTCTCATGGTGCGGTCAATGGCATACATCATAACCGAGGAGAGAGTGTTTCAACGCTTACGGATGTCTCGGTGAACGACGATGTTCTCGGTCATCGAGATGAACGTGGCTCTGTGGCTCTTGACAATCTGGCTTCAGAGCTAGAAACACTAAGATCACAATGGGAAAGCACGAGCAGGAACAACTATCGAATCAGTACACAATTTGACTCGGAGAAGACGCCGACCACAGAAACCCATGGCAGCGAGCTCAGTGATAATCTGGCGCATTGGAGAAGGCGACTGGCAGAAGAAGAAAAGAGTTCTCGGGAAACAGCAGTGGCTTGAATGCGTTTTGCCAGTTTTATTTTCCGACGGCTTATGGCTTGTGAGTTGATGACTGGTTTTATGGCTGACCAGATCCGCCTGAAGAAGAGGGTGAATGGTTATTTTTGATTGCGATGATCGCGTGATTGTTGTTGAACAGACTCATACTTTCTTGTGGTTTGTACTGCACTTGGTGGCGTTTTCTTGACCGAGCATGACTTTTCTATTTTCCTCTTTCTGGGAGGGAGAGGCCCTGGATGGCCATTTGGTGTATCGAGTGAACGAGACAAATGACGAGATCAGCCGAACTTGGGTGTATTATCTGTGCCCTCGGCTAGCGCGATTCTCAGGAGACCCTTTTACAATATCGAGTCTAAAGTTAAAGCCAACCCAACGTGGCGAAGATATCTTTCTCTTTTTCTTGCCTACCACTCGCTCTCTCCATTTTATGTACTATGGTAGACCTCTCCGGTCCAGGTGAGCTATATCAATAATCTTCGCAAGGGGCGCTCAAGGTGTCAGCCTCGACGACTCCACAGCCTTGCACGTGACACTAATCACGTGATGTTGATATGCTGGTCACCAAAAGCGGCGGTGCTGACAGCCATTTGGGACTGGCAAGGCTGACAGATTTCCAAGTCTCTAACTGGTGAATTTTGGCGGTGGCAGCGGCGCCGGAAGTGCAGCCCTTCGAATCTCAAAAGAGGCTGGACGGCATACGACAGACAGCACACAGCACATTGCACATTGCACATTGCACGTCGGTCCACCAGCCGGTCCGACCTACATTGTGTCTCTTTGCAGGCCGCCATGGGCTTGTAAAATAGCTTTTGTCCACCATATCTTCTAGGCAGGCGTCTTGCGGCGCTTGTATTGCCATTCAGTTCGACCTTCCGTTGAAGTGTCCCTCACCCTGCCGGCACTACAACCTGGGTAATGTCTGACCACAACGAGACTCCGTCGGCTATGCACATCGCCACAAAACTACCAGTGGTTTGCTGGAGGAACCTCCAGACCGTCTAGTTTCCCTACACCGGCCGAGACAATAAGCCACAGAAAGCATGGCGTCGCAACCTAGTAGACAAAGAGATGTCGGGCTGGGGCTGGGGCTGAATACGAGCATTCGCAGGCCCGCAACGCAAGGCGACACGTCGACGCCAGCGCAAGACACGTCGACCACCGATGCGACTCGAGCGTTCTCCTCCCCCATATTCAAACGACCGTCGTTGGTGAACGGGACCGGGTCTAGTCAGCAAAGTGGGCTGTCGTCATCCCAAAGAATAATTCCAAAAGAGACGGAAGACTACTTGACGGCCAGGCCGGCACCATTACATCGTACGAAGAGTGACCTTGGACCACGGCGGAAAGAGGGAGGCCCGACAAGCCCCTCGTCAGAAGACAAGCGTGCGCACATCCGGCATGGCTGGGACGATGAATACACTTCGAACGAATACCTGTCACTGTTACACTCGACATTTTACATGTACTACACGGAAAAACGGCACGAAACCAATGGCTCCCTATCAGAGGAGTCGAAGAAATTCCCCAGTGTGGACTGGCGGATGAAGGACAGGATGAAGACGGTCTCTGCCGCGCTGGCCATCTGCCTCAATATTGGTGTGGACCCTCCTGATGTGATCAAGACCAACCCTTGCGCGAAACTCGAGGCATGGGTTGACCCGACCGCAAACAGTGGTGGCACAACCAAGACGATGGAGCAGATTGGCAAGCGGCTCCAAGAGCAGTACGAGTCGTTGAGCTTGAGGACCAGATACAAACAGTACTTGGATCCTTCGATCGACGAAACGAAACGGTTCTGCATCTCCTTGCGTAGGAACGCAAAGGATGAACGAGTTTTGTTCCATTACAACGGCCATGGTGTTCCTCTCCCCACTGCCTCTGGAGAAATCTGGGTGTTCAACAAGAACTACACCCAGTACATACCTGTGGGAATCTATGATCTACAGTCATGGCTTGGAGGTCCCAGTCTGTTTGTGTATGACGTCTCGCATGCAGGCAACATCGTCTACAATTTCGACACATTTCTCGCTAAACATGAGAAGGAGAATGAAGAGATCAAGAAGAGAGATCCAAATGCGCCCGTCCAAAACTACGGAGATTGTATACAGTTGGCAGCTTGCGGTAGAACCGAAATGCTGCCCAGCAATCCTGACCTGCCGGCCGACCTGTTCACGTGTTGTCTGACGACGCCAATAGATATAGCGTTACGATTCTTTGTCTTGCAGAACCCGTTACAAAATGGTCCTCCACTTGACGATGGGAAGATTCCTGTGCCGGGCCGTCTCCAGGACCGACGGAGCCCGCTGGGCGAGCTTAATTGGATCTTTACAGCCATTACCGACACGATTGCCTGGAACAGCCTACCACGGCACTTGTTTAAGAAGCTTTTCCGCCAGGACCTCATGGTTGCTGCCTTGTTTCGCAATTTCCTGCTCAGTGAACGGATCATGAGGGCAAATCATTGCCATCCAATATCATCTCCTCCCCTTCCAGAGACACACCGACATCCACTTTGGCAGAGCTGGGACCTTGCCATGGAGATGGTGCTGGCACAGCTTCCCATGCTTCGAGAAGCGGAGGAAGGCAAGCGGGTGTACGAATACCAACATTCGACCTTTTTCGCCGAACAGTTGACTGCTTTCGAAGTGTACCTCAGCTCAGGACCGACCAAAGATCGCGCGCCGGATCAGCTGCCCATTGTTTTGCAGGTACTCCTTAGTCAAGTTCACCGGCTGCGAGCTTTGATCTTGTTGAGCAAATTTCTCGACCTTGGCCCTTGGGCCGTCCATTTGGCGCTGAGTATCGGTATCTTCCCTTATGTGGTGAAGCTGCTCCAAGCTGCATCGATTGAGCTTAAGCCGGTCATGGTTTTCATATGGGCCCGCATCATGGCGGTCGACTACACTGTCCAGGGTGATCTCTTGAAGGACAATGGCATCTCCTACTTCATCTCCATCATGAACCCTCGTTCAGACATCCCTGTCGGCAATGCTAGTGAGCATCGGGCCATGTGTGCTTTCATCGTGGCCACCTTTTGCAAGAAATATCCTCCCGGTCAAACAGTGTGTCTGCTCCCGGAGGTGTTCCAGGCCTGCCTGCTCAACACGGCGGAACCTGAAAACCCTCTACTTCGACAGTGGTCATGTTTGTGTCTGAGTATGCTGTGGTGTGACTATGCCGATGCGAAATGGATGGGTATCCGCTGTATGGCCCATGCCAGGCTGTGCGAGTTGTCTCTTGATCCTGTTCCTGAAGTCCGGGCAGCCATGCTTCATGCGCTGACCAATTTCTTGGGGATCCCGGACTTGACCGACCAGGTCTCTCAGATCGAAGAAGGTATTGCCTCTTCAGTTCTCTTCATGACGTCTGATGGCAGTACACTTGTCCGAAAGGAGTTGCTTGTGTTCCTCTCGACATTTGTCCAGAGGTACGAGAACAAGTTCATGGTCGTGGCCTACGAACAGATGGTAGAAGAGAGGGACAGACATCCGTACAAGGACAGTGAGGCCGGTGTATTCGTCACACGAGATTCACTCAAGGCAGCTCCGATTTCTGCAAACACTATCTATGGTTCGATCTGGGTTCATTTATTGGTATTATCCGTTGATCCTCATCCGGAGATTGCCAGGAATGCGTCCATCATCGTGGACTGCGTTCACGAGGCCTTACTCAGTTCACCGATGGGCAAGATGGCCACCGCTGTAGTGGACGATCTGCTAAAACTCTCAAAGAAGGAGGACTCGCAGTTGAAGAAAGTGTCGTCTCGAGACTCACTGAGAGTGGCGGATAGACCGCCAGGCACTCCACCGCCCGCTCTTCAAAAACAGCAGAGTTATTTGTCGTTGAGCCTGAAGCGAGCGGGTAGCTCACTTCGAAACCTTGCATTTGGCTATTCTGGCGATAGCGCGTCTACATCCAAAGACAACACCCCTCCGAGTTCACCTGGCAAGCCCAGGGAGCCAGTCCATCCTCTCAACACCCCTCGTGGTCGTCTCCCACCCGAATGGAGCCGACCACCGGAAACACCTGATTCCACCAGTACATCAGGAACATATCACCCCGCGCATATGCCCACATCTGCAGGTTTCACCCCTCTAGATCCCAAAGTGAAACCAAGCATTCCTCTTCAAAGCGCATTACTTGAGTGGTCCACTGAATACTTCCGAGAGCCACAAATGAGGCCGAACGATCCTGACGAGCCCGGTTCCGCCGACTACAATTCCCGACTCTGGAGACGTAACCGCAATGAGAAGATTATTGCAGACAACCAACCGCTCAAGGGCGTTGCCGGCAGCTCCAAATGGACACGTCTGCAAGGATTCTTGAACAATCAGAACCAGCCCATGAATTTGGTCTTCCATCAATTCGATGACCATTTGGCCGTCACTGACGACCGCGACACCGTCAGTATCTGGGATTTCCAACGGAACGAACAATTGAGTCGATTCAGCAATGGCAATCCTGCCGGCAGCCGGATCAACGATGCCAAGTTTCTGAATGAAGACGATCAACCGCTCCTTATGGTGGGCAGTTCCGACGGCGTCCTCAAAGTCTATCGAAACTACCACAGTTCATCCGAAGTCAAAGTCATTACGGCCTTCAGGGCACTAACCGAGTTAATTCCAAGCAACAAGAATGCAGGCCTGGTGTTTGACTGGCAACAAGGTCAAGGGAAAGCATTGGTGGCCGGCGACGTCAAAGTGATCAAAGTGTGGAACGCCGCCACGGAACTTTGTGTCGGAGACATACCAGCTCGAAGTTCCAGCTGTGTCACCAGCTTGACTAGTGATCAAGTGGCGGGACAGATTTTCATCGCTGGCTTCGGCGACGGTGTGGTTCGAGTCTTTGATCAGCGTCTCAACCCACGGACGGCCATGGTCAAGATCTGGCGCGAGCATCGACAATGGATCACCAACATCCACATGCAGCGCGGTGGTGTGCGCGAGTTGATCTCCGGTGCGCGCAATGGAGAAGTCAAGCTGTGGGATTTGCGGAGTGACAGTTCGGTACTCACACTCAACGCCACTTCTGGGTCTAAACATGACCATTCGATTGTCAATACAACTGCTGCGGATACGATACCAGCGTCATCGGCGACGACCTTGATGAGGAGTCTGTCTGTCCATGAACATGCCCCTGTGTTTGCTGTGGGTACCGATAAACATGAGGTCCGGACGTTCAACACCAACGGCGACTCGCTCGGTGTTTTTGAGCCGTTGTCAAGTCGCCTCTCGCAGGTCGTCGGGGGCTCGCTTGCCGGTCGTGGGTACGGTAGCCAAACGCCCATTGTTGCCACGGCTTATCATCCTCATCGGATGTTGCTTGCTTGTTCGGCATTGGGTGATGGCCATGTTAGCTTGGTTAGCTATTGAACTGACAGGACAAGGCGAGGCCAGATGGATGGAAGGCGGTTGAGGTTGGAGGTCGTGGAATCGCCTTTCGACATCTAATACGGCACTTACTGTACTGTGTGGTACCTGGCATGAATGGGTTGGCAGTGTACCGCAGTGTATTGCAATGCTGTGGTCGGGGGCGATAGCGCATAGTGGGTAAAGAGTCTCCGGGTTTCATCCATACATTTGAGCGAGCATGAGCATGATTCATTCCCCACCGCAATAGAACAGGGATATGCGCACTGCACCGCGCCGCCACTGTGCTGTGGGTATGATTAGGTATGGAAAGGAAAGAGTCCTATCAACTAGTAATAATGAAACACAAACACTACTATGAAGACGTCTGTTTTCAGTACTTTGCGTAAAAAGGTATGACACTTTGCTCAACGTCTTCTCCTCCTCCTCCGCAACTCAAAATCCGAATCATCGTACAAGTAGTCATCATCATCCTTCTCTTCCTCCGCCTTTGCTGGCGCAGCGTGGACTTCCGTTGCGGCGGGCTTGTCCTGTCGACTATTGTCTTGGCCGGGGGCAGGTTCTAGACCCCAGAACGTAGTGCTGTCCACACTTTCGATGCCACGGTTCCCCAACAACCAGCGACCGAGACCTACGACGGCCTCATAGGCTTCTTCTCCCGTCGGCACGATATTCGACCTGGGCAGCAAGAAGCCGTAATTCCCCGTGTCGCGAAGCTTGATCTGGAAAGAAAACTTGACGAGCAAATCATGATAAAAGAAATCCAACGCGGATCCGCCCTGAGCGTCGGCCTGGATACGAGTCCTTTTGGAACTGTGGTCCTTTTGGTGGGCCTGAAACGAAATGCCGCCCTCGCACGCACTCTCCACGCCATAGTAATGGCCGTTCGTCAGCCGGAACGACTTGGCCAGACCGAGTGCCACCTCCTCGAGATCTTCCAATGTCGGCGGACTCACGTCGCAAGTGTAGCTGTACGGGTACAGCACTTGCTGCGAGTACGAGTGCAGATCCAAAAAGGACACCAATTCGACATTGTTGTTGTCCGTTTGATTTCTGGCCCATTCGAACAACACCTGCGCTTCGGTTCCTGCCAAGGGTGCCGGTCCGGCATAACTGTCGCTGCATGGATTGTCGGTTTCTCCAAAACCGTCCCAGCCAAATGGGAATGAGCGCCCGATATCAATTCCAGGGCAGAACGGGAGTGATGTTGCCTGTCTGTTCTTGCGCCACAGTCTGTCCGTCGTCCACGTATATTCGTATCCGTCTGGGTTGAGGACAGGGACAAAGACCACGTCGAAATGGTCTAGGATTTTCGTCACATATGGATATTGTGGGTGTCCGTATCGCGTCACGAGGTTGTAAGCGATATATGCTGTCGTAGAGACGGAAATCCATTCCCGGGCGTGAGTCCCGCCGACGATCAATAAAGTCTGTCGCTTTTCGGTCCCATGGTCCGGTTCATCGTTCGCCGGTCGCGCCCCGATCCGCAGGGCGGGAATGTCTCGTCCTTCGGCGGAGAGACCGATACTGGTTAACGAGGCGTGGTTGGGGAAAAGAGATCCAATCAGTCGGAGCCAGGGGTATAGGACTGATAGAGGCTGGTAGTCGCGGAAGAATAGGTCCTCGGGCGCACCTCTACCTGATGCCCAGTCGTGCAATGTGGTGAGACCAGGGGTTAGAGTGTTGCCTTCATCGGTCGATGAGCTTTGTGGATAAGTGTCGTAGACTGCACGGGCGAGGTCGTGCATTAATGGTGTATATGAATCTCGAAGTGATGGTGGGAGTAGGCCGATAAATGACGGTACCACGTCTTTGGCTATCCTGATGTCCACCCACTCGTCCGTCGCCTCCCAAATGTCCAGGTACAAAATGTTTGACGCCTCAGCCAATGCTCTTGCTTCATCCTCGCTGTTGACCCGGAATCTTAGGACAACGTCCGCCCCGTATCGTGCGCGAAAGTTCTCCGGGGCCACCCCAGTGCTCGACGCCAAAGTGGGTGTGTATTCTGGTACTGAGCTGCCTGGTATAGACCATATCCGTTCAATTAGGGCGTTACGGAGTCTGCGGAATGGCCCGACTGGCTTTTCGGTATGGGAATAGATCGCTTTGGGTCGGAGCGAAGTAGGAAACTCGGCGGAGGATGAAGGGTCGGTTGTCGGGACAGACAGAGCAAAAGGAAAAAGAACAGACAGAAGCAATATATTACGCAGAGATTGTGGTGCCATGGTGGGCATAAGCCTAAGCCAACTTTTATATATTATCGTAGTAGAAGCATGAGAATCGACGCCCCCGGGAATAGAAGTGGTTGGAGTGAAGGGTGAACGAATGGGCAAAGGCCTGTAGTTCAGGTTGTATACCTAGGTAGGATGGCGATGATGTTGGAGACGAGGACCATAGAACCAAGCGCAGTCTCCAGTCCACGGCCCGCAGTCCGCAGTCCGCATTCTACGAACTCTGGAAATCGTTGATGCCTGTGCTCTGGCTGCGCCTCGCTGCAACTACTTGATCATCATCTCCAGTTTATTATTCCGATTGTCGATTAAGCGATCTGATATGGGATGAGCTTCCCCTCCTCGCGTGAGGGATTGAGGCATTCCTTGAAATGTGTTTGGCTGACGATGCCCTTTTAGTGTCCTCCCCAATAGTAGGTACTATAAAATACGAAGAATGAAACTTTGTCAAGGCTTGGTAACTTTTTGCCATGTCCTTCCGTGGCTATGGATCCATTGTGTTCACTTGAAGCTAGAAGATTGTAGCTTCACGAGGAATGCTAGACAAAGGTACTACTAGTGTCGCTCTGAACGGTCATGGATGTTTGAACAGACACAAATAACTTTTGAAAGGTACTTAGAACGTGGCCAACATTGCCGTGGAAACGGTTCTGTTACTGGTCATGATGGACGTTTCTATCTTTTCTTGATATGCTAGACCAAGTCGCTGTGCATCTCTTGTGTTCGTCAAGTCATGTCGAAGGTTTTTGACTGTCACTAGCAATCCAATCCAGTCCAAGGTATCTACACCTTGTATTCCTCCAAGCCCCATTTCCAGACGGTGGCGTATGGGGTCATGCCATCCTCGCGGAAGTCAACCAAAACGTACATGCCGTTCTCGGCCATCGATTCACCCTGGTAGATGTCGTAGTTGTCCCAGTTGGCCAGGATCTTCTTGGCTGCGGCAGGAGCCTCGGACTGGAATTTCTTGATGTCTTCCTCGGGAACACCCTTCTCCTTCAACTTCTCGGTAAGAGCCTTCATGTATTCTAGAAAAGGAGCGCGTCAGTTTTAGTGCTCTCCATATATCTGAGCCCTGATAACATACTCTTAAGTTCGCTCTGGTAGGCCTTCTTGCTCATGCCGCCCTCCATCTTTTGCAGACGGAACTGGTCCGCGAGATCAAGGACTGGCTGGTTGTCGCCGCCATCATCAGCGCCGCCCTCGTCCTCTTCCTCGGCCGATGGGTTGGCACCCTCAAGGACTGATGAAAGAATTAGTACATGCACCACTTGGTGCGACCTTCGCGGACATACCGAAGTTCTCCTGGCCCTTCTTGATCATGCGCCCGTCAATTTCCCAGAGGCCATTGCCGGCGTCAATGATCTTGGTGGCGTCCGAGACGATCTCGTCGCCAGTGATGATATCCTATGTGAGAACGACATCAGTCAAATGTTTACCAAAAGGCGGGGCAGGGCTCGAAATCTTTCGCGGAAGACAGTGTGCATACCCTGTAGATAATCATTTTGAGGAGATTGTTCAGATGACTTGAACAGAGGAGATGTCGAGTAGTAGAGAGATGTTGAGCACAGAAAAGGCGGAAAGTGAAGAAGCGTGGTCGACAGGGAGGAACTGGAGTGTAGAAATGTGGCTCTGACTAGTGGGGGGAGCAGCCAAAAATTCCACTGTTCGGGCAAATTGGTGGCAGTCGAGTTGTTCGAGAACTTTTGCTGCAGACCGGTATTGCTGTGATGCACGTGCTACACGTGACAATGCTCGTCACGTGAGCTTGTCAACCTTCAAATATGATCCACCGTATTAGTTGCATATGATCGACCGTATGAATTGTGCACCCTGCCACAACTGCCATGCATGATTGTGCCTCCGTATTCGTCGTATCCGCTCGCGACTCGCACCGCAATCGGGAATTAAAGCCTCATGGTGGCAAATCCAAACATCCATCTCGCTCATCATCAACCACTTCAACTCCGTGTCTCTCCACCCCGTTCCTTTCTGCCTCAACCGGCCTAATATACCAACTACTCCTTTTCTTCTCTTCTTCTCCTCTCTGATAGTTTCTTGGACTACTTCTGTTTCTCAGCTGCATGTCCGCTCCTTTCCTTTGCTCTGTAGGACAAAACGTCTGCCTACTACCGCCGCTCCCTTCGAAACCAGCCCAAAAGCACTCGGCGTGATTGTATACTATTGCTCCTTTCGCCAAACACATTTCCACGCCTGAACCCGGCCAACTCGCATGGTCGACATCATGTCGAACTCCACGAATACAGACCTACCTCCCCTCCCATCGTATACCCTAACCCCCCGACCGCCTATGATTCCAGGCATTTCAGATGCCGTCCTACAACTTCTGGCTCCGATTGTCGCCTACTGGGCGGTCTCACTCTTTTTCCATGTTCTCGATACCTACGATCTGTGCTCCCACTACAGACTACATACTCCCGCCGAAGTGCTCAAGCGCAACCATGTCACCAGATACGAGGTTGTGAGAGATGTGATTCTGCAACAAATCATACAGACTGCCTTTGGGTTGTTGCTCGCGTGCTGGGATCCCATTGAGATGACTGGCAAGGAAGAGTATGATGTTGCCGTCTGGGCACAACGTTTGCGCCTTGCAGAACGGTATATACCCGGATTGCTGTCAGTTATTGGACTGGATGCCCTTTCACTGGCACAAAGGTTGTCGACGAACTACCCTCAGCTGGCTGGTGTGTTATCTGGAGGCCATTACCCCACACAGTCGTTTGCGCCATGGGAGATCTCATTGGCAAGAGTGATTTACTGGATTGCCATTCCTTGTCTACAATTCTTCGTGGCGATCCTGATTGTCGACACATGGCAATATTTCCTTCACCGAGCTATGCACATGAACAAATACCTGTACACCACCTTGCATTCTCGGCACCATCGGTTGTACGTTCCATATGCTTTCGGAGCCTTGTACAATCATCCGTTGGAAGGCTTTTTACTCGACACGCTGGGTACTGGGGTCGCCTACATCCTTACAGGGATGACTGTGCGTCAAGGTCTGTGGTTCTTCACCTGTTCGACAATCAAGACGGTCGATGACCACTGCGGATATGCCTTCCCTTGGGACCCACTTCAGCATGTCACCTCGAACAATGCTGCTTATCACGATGTCCACCATCAGAGTTGGGGCATCAAGACCAATTTCTCCCAACCCTTCTTTACATTTTGGGATAGCCTCCTGGGCACCGCATGGACTGGCGGAGATGTCTCTGCTCGTTACCAACGTGACAGGATAGCCGCTCAGAAGAAGGTCGATGCGGATATTGCTGCCGCTGCCGCTGCCGCTGCCGCCAAAGCCTCAGTTGTGAACTCCCCTACGATCGACTTGGATCATGCCAAGCAGCAAGCCAACTCAAGTCAGAAGCAGGTACTAGGCGACAGAGAGAATGGCGGTATCAGGGTTCTCCAAGAAGAAGCCAGGGAAGAGCAAGAAGTCAAGCAAGCCCTGAGGAGGAGTACACGACGGAAGAGTGGGTTTGATACCAAGTTGCTGTCGGATCGTGTGACCGGTAGCATACACAACCGGAGTCCGACAATCTTACATGCGGACGGCATGCATTGATGGTGAAGAATGAGCGTAACTGCCCCCACAGGGTGTTCTCCTACACTGATTCGATTACAATTATTTGGGATGGTGTTTTCGAAGGCAGGGCTCTGTATACTGGTGGGACATTGGGCAGGAGTTCAGGAAAGGCTTATGTGCCTTGTTGTCGACCAACTGTCGACTATGGGTAATGTGTATCAAGATGGGCAGGCACCAATTCTATGGAGTGTGATTCTGCATTTTCAGATCACTGTTTGCGCCTTTTGTTCATGTTTTCCGCTCTGTCCATTCTGTGGCAATATGTCCTTGTACAATCATTCACCGTGGGATGGTCATTGCAAAATGATCTTACAGTATGACACTTGCTCGCTTTTCCACCCAACGCCCTTTTTTCAGCTTTTTCCTCCTTTTCGCGTGGTATGCAATTCTACAGTTCTGCGACTTGGCTATCGACCGAGAATAAAGGACCGAACCTTTTGAGACTCTTTATCCGTCTTTGTCAATTGTCTCACAACATTCTTTCTGCGCTGGCTCCGCTTCTACTGTCGATACTAAACAAAGGCAATGGCCCAATTCTTCTTTGTGACAGCTTCGTGGACAAAGGGACACTGCTATGTGAAGCTCTATGCCAACTGCCTCAATGTCGTGAAAGATGGCCAAGGGGCAGCACAAGATTATATTGCTTCTTCTTGACCTTTATTGCCTTCACCGTCACGTTTCTGTCTTCACGGTATCATCACCAAAACGGCAAAGAAGAGGTCACCATTGGAAAAAGACCACACTTTGGCGGACTCGACCCGTGGTCTTTTTGCAAGGAACGAAAACAAGAAGAAAAGGGGTTAACCCTACTACCTACCGTCCAGAACATACAGGTAAGACGAGAAGGATTTTGCTATTCCTCTCTCCACGAGAGCGAGAGCGAGAGCGAGAGCATGAGCCATGCCGAACCCACAATCATTAAACCCAGAAAGTCATGCTAACCAGATGCTGCATCTCCTAGATGTCCCCGCGAAACATGTGCCTCAGCTAGCGAGCATTTTGCAGTTCCGGCCGCGCGAAGATTTCGGAGTGCGAGCGAAACGAATCAGCCGAGATGCCAAATCCCTACCGTCGTTGCTGAGGCCTAGTCGGCTGGAACGGGCATTACTTCCTCCCCTCGGACATCTGTGCAACGGTTTGCATAAAGCACTGGACTACTCTGTGGTGGAGGTCGTGCTGCGGCATATCCAGCTCGAAGTGGGCGAGCGGCTCAACAACCTCATCTGGGGTAGCGAGCTGTTGAGTCCAGAACAGATCCGGCGTGTGGGCAATCTGCGAGCCTTGCATGCCTTATGGCTGCCGAGGAAGGAGTATGAAATGACCTTCTTGGCGTCGACGAGAGATTTGAAGTGGCGGTATCAGGAGGACCAGTGTGAGGCGTGCATTGTTTCGCGGATAACGGGGGATATGGAAACGTTGCTGGATCTGCTTTGGGTGATTAGGTCGCGGGCTACTGATGAGTTTCTGGCGAAAAGAGGTAATCCGCGTTTGCACGTCTGGGTACATGCTTGGATAAGGGCTTTGAGTGGCCATGTCGCGGAGAAGACGGGGGAGAGGATTGACGTCGATGCGGTGATTGGGAAGGTTGAAAGGGATGCGAGGGAGTTGATGGGTGTGAGGACCAATATTCACGAGTTGAGAAAGGAGATGTTTAAGGATGTCATGGGCGATAAGAAGAATTGCGAGGATGGACAAGGGGAGAAGATGAAGAACGTACATCCTTCCAGCGATGGCGAAGACGGAGATGAAGTTGGGGATAAGGTGTACAACTTGAACGGGTGGGATGCCGAACTTGAAATCATCAACGCCTACGCTGCGACCAACAGCACGCTGGCTCTGTCAAAAGGAGTTGCCAGTGCACAGCAATATCAAGGGGATGCTCATTCTCGAAGGGGACATGCCACCGTCAGACCAGACACGGTTTCTGCAGATCCTGCCACGAAAGGGAAGAGCCCTTACCGCCATCATCATCGAATGCCGGCACAGGAGTCATGGGAGACAGCACCCGTTGAGAGCTCAATGTATACGATCACCTCCTCTGCCACAGCAAGCAAGCGTGATCTTGATCTTGGGTACAATCCCAAGAGCAGACAGTCGAAGGCGGGCCAACCATACAGACACGACGACTCCAACGCTTCGAATCTCATGCGAACTGAAGCAGCCCGTTGCCCAGCCGATACGTACGTCAACTTGCTCGATTCACCTCCATTCACGTCTGACAGGCCGAATCTTCCATCGACCACGATGACAACAATCACAACCGTAGGTCCGGCGGAAGATCTGGAATGCACATCCTCCAAAGAGGGCGTGATATGGGTTCTATACGACAAGAGTGCGGAAGGAGATGACAACGTCGATACTCACGGCGATGGTCGAAGTCCGAATTTTGATGGCCGTGCAACAACCAGTGGCAAGGCTGTCGACTTAACATCCACGGCAACGTCATTTTCCCCCTTGCCATCGGCGCCGGAATATGACAGAGTGAGAGGCAGAGGCAGAGGCAGAACACATCATAATCCGCCTGCACCCGTAACCACAGCCCGGGCAACAGAGCGAAGGAAGAAAGTGCGGAGAGTGTCGTTCCAGACTGAGCCTAGCAGTACTAGTACTAGCTTGACTGCTGCGACCACTGCCATCGCGACTACCAGTAGCACTACGGTTTGGAGCGGATCGTACGCGAGTGGTCTGGCAAAGAAAAAGGAATTGGGTTGGTTCTATGCTGGAAAGAGGAAGTAGAGTGTCTGCTGCTCGAAAGAGCTGTACTTTCCAGTGCATGTACTGTTTGGTAGTGATATTGAACCTACTAGTACGTTGTACTACTAATGCTAGCACCTCGCTTATACTGTTCTATTGTACCAGAGTCGAATAATAATGGCCGTAGCTGTACTAAACCGAGCCCTTCTCAGAACTTGCGAGAATAATGTCATATGCGAGCCATGTTTGGTGAGGTACTAGTACCTAGATACCCACAACAAGCCCAGTCCCACAAATGACATCTTTCTGGAAGTATGATAAGGTATCGATCTTTGACGCTGGCTGTTCACCGCCCTCAGAGTATCCGACTGTGATAGCTCCTCCTCATCATGCTGGTGGCTGCAGTGTTGACATCAAAAGCGTCGTTGTGAGTTGCCAGCTGAAACTCTGATTCGGATCAGGATCCACCATGAATCAAGGAGACTCGACATTTGCAATGAGACAATATTGCAGTGCGGCAGGTAACGATCGGTTGAGGCTCTGCGACTGGTACTGTTCCTGCAGGACTGGAATTTCGCCACCCGGCTGCGTCAGTATCGTGCTTTATCTGGCTCCATCTCGGTACCCACAGAACGGCTCTTCCGACGTTCAACATGAGGGAAATGGCGTCGACGTGCATTTTATTCACGTGCTGCATCCAATAATGATTCGAAGCGTTTCTTTCGATCGGAGAAAATCACAAACTGGGATTGGTGATGTCCAAGTCCTGACGATCTATCCAGACCCTTCTATCGTGCTAATACGATCCACCACTTCCCTGGTGGATACCGGGCCCGATACAAGCGTTGACGCCTCTTGCGTATATCTCGTTGTCGTGCTTTGATGCATTTGAACTGTTTTCTTCTCTATAACATTGACTCCCAAGACAACGCAACTCACACATTGAACACCAGCTCAGACAAGCAAGACACTTTATTTTATATCCAAAATGGCTCCGATCGCAATTGCTCCGCCACCGTCCGAGCCTAAACAGATGCCGCTGGAACAGACGACAAAGGGTATCCGGCGAGCAAACAGTGCCAACATGGGCACGAAACGGAAAATCGTCATCTTTTCAGGTATGTTTTTTGTGTGAACTGCTCTGCGAGACTAGGACCATATACTAACAGACATAACAGACTTCGATGGCACCATCTTCCACCAAGACACCGGCCACACGCTATTCGACAACTTCGGATGCGGCCCAGAACGAAGAGCAGAACTTGCAAAGCAGATGGAGAGCGGGGAACGGACGTTCCGAGAAGTCTCAGACGAGTTGTATTCCTCACTCAATGTGCCGCTCGAGAACGGATTCGAGGTGATGAAGAGTGCGCTACAAATCGATCCTGATTTTCGGACATTCCATGAATTCTGCGTCAACAATCACATTCCTTTCTACGTCATCTCTGCCGGTCTTCAGCCTGTCCTACGGAAAGTCCTCGATCATTTCATTGGAGAGGACATGAGCAAGCACATTGACATTGTTGCCAACGATGTCAAGATTGCCGATGATGGTAGCAAGTGGGAAGCGGTTTGGAGACACGACAACGAGTTGGGTCATGACAAGGCACAAACCATCAACGAGTTTCGAGAGATGCAGAGTGAAAACGGCACCATCCCGTTGATCGTTTTTATCGGTGATGGACTTTCAGATCTGCCCGCTGCTCGTGAAGCCGACGTGCTCTTCGCTCGGCGGGGGTTGAAATTGGAAGAATATTGCAAGGAACATGGACTCCCCTATATCCCGTTTGACACCTTCGCCGACATCCAGAGAGAACTCATCAAGATCGCCAAAGTCGACGAGGAACAGACCCACGGCAAGGGTCTGCCCGCACACTTTAACCCTCTTGCCAACAAGTGGAGGCGGCTTAGCAACAAAGCACGAAAGCCTAATATTGCTGCGGCGTTCAGCCCGTCAAAGGAGGATGTGGTGCTTGAGTGGCCCGAAGATGCTGAGAACTCGACAGCAATTGAAGATGCCGAAGAAGGAAATACTGTTTTCGCAGCTCCGATGGCGTGAGAACAGAGTTGGTCCGACTTGCTGTCTTGTTACGTTGAGCTACTATTATGGCGAAGCTATGGCACGGTTTGGGCGGTACATTGGAGTTATGCGGACACGGTTGAGGTTAAGGCGTTGACACTGGAACATTCACTTCAAGTTTGGAAAGGAAGACATTTGATGACTTGTGATACGAACACAGTCCACGGTGCCGGCTAGATAGATTGATACTTCTACTGCCATGAGTGGCAGACAGTGAAAGTGAATGCAAATTCACTGTATTGATATCATTCCTAAACGGGCATAGTGCCTGATCTCCATCGAATCAGATGCCGCACCTTTCCCATATTAGAATTCCGCCTACTAGTAGTATTTTCAACATCAATTGTACCCTCATAACCTCGACCGCATCCTTTTCCCAAACCCAGCCCCTACTCTGAGCTTCTTGCTGCCGATTGGCTTCGAACTCGACTGGCGGAATTCCAAGTACATTTGTGGTCTGAAAACCAATATCAAGCCAGCACTTTGTCAGAAGCGAAGCCAGAAAACACGCGCAATTGATATCCCATCCAACAAATCCATCCGGGCTTAGTCCCATCTTCCTCCACTCTTAGCGAAACCGATGTCATTTATGAACAGAACTCTAGCTTTTCACTGCCATCCAGTTGATTACTCGCGGAAGTTCTGCCAGCCACGGTAACACAAATCGGGCGGCGGTTAATTTTCATCAATGCCTCGTCTTCATTCAGAGCCAGAGATACCGCCGAGTTTCAAGGCGAAAAAAGCCAAGATTCTCTCGTTGCTGGGACAGTCAGATGAGGCATATACAGACAAATCTCCAAAAGGCACGGTCGACGCCCAGATCCGCGAGCTCATTGCTGAAATCAACGCATATGACGGACTAGTGACGACCAGCAGTTGTGCAGGCAGAGTAGCTGTCTTTGTCGAAGGGCCGAAAAGGAAACCCAAGCCCGAGCCTGAGATATTGGAAGTCCGGGTTGGCAATGGAGAGCCAATAAATGGTGCAAAGGGGCATGCAGACGATGGCGTATCAACGGGAAGATCAACCGGGACCACGACTGCATCTCCAGGCGGAAAAGGCGGTGGCCGCTGGCTCTATGTCTCACATGATCCTATTCCTACGCCAAAGTCCAATCTGAAGGCTTCAGAACAACCGGCAGCGAATCCAACTAGCACTGAGGCGGTCCATTCAGAACCTCTGGTTCAACACGACGCTGAATATTTTACAAGCTTGTTCAAGCTCTCTTCTCCCCAACAGACGGAATTACCCCAAGCATCACCATCAAACAATAACGTGGCCCCTCTGTTGAAAGGAGTGGGTGCCAGTTCCAATCCTCGCTTGGTTCATCTCTCTTTCTCCCCTCTCATCCTCCATATCCTTTGTGCCACATTACATCATGCACGTGTATTACTGGCGGCCGCGATCAACGCCGGCTTCAGGGAGAGCGGAGTGCAAAGTCTGCGGGCCATGGACGAGCCCGAGCACGGGGTGATGGTCGCTGTGAGGACGGCAGGGCTGGGATTTGAGACGGTTGTCGGTGTCGTCTCGGGGGACCAGGACACGGCCAACCTGGAGGGAAGAGAAACCGTCCACAAGCTCGTGGATGAAAATTACCTTGCGGTTTGTGCCGGTGTGGTAAATGAGAGGTTTAGATGGAACGACGAAAGGCGCGAGAGGTTCAGAGCCGAGTTGCGCAAAGCAGTTGTCTCTACAACGGCAGCAGCATCATCAGCAGCAGCACCTTGTGGCACTGAGGACACGGCGGCGCCGGCAACGAGGCCCGAGTCCCGCTGGGAGGACAAAGACGAGCGTCGGAGAAGAAAGCGGGAAGAAGGGCTTAAAAGACAGAAAGAGGCGGAGAAGATGAAGAATCAGCAGCAGCAGCTCCTGGAAACGAGGACATCTCTACCGAATGGTTCAACCGGTCGACACATCTCACCACCACTTGAAGATCTCGATGACGGATTATCCACGTTGGGAATCAAATGATTGAGCAGGGCCCGTCAGAGATCTCACGGCGTCAATCGACCGTATCAACAAACACACCTATTGCACCATGGTTTGGAGCATTAAATCAGGGCAAATGCCGTCGTGTTCGGATCGGCACGTCTGCAAGAAAGGATAAAAAGAGCCAGCCAGAAAGAACCTCTACGTCTCCCGACTCATTCAGACGGAAGTGTCACTGCATATGGCCGCCGGACACCTCTGCCCCAGGCAACAGTTTGCGCACTCAAATAAATCATATATTAACTCAAGCATGTCCAGCTCCGGCTCCGGCTCCAGCTCCAGCTCAAACTTTACGTCCATGAGCCATAAACGGCTCTCTCTTGATCGTCCCACGAAGCAAAACCTCCTCATGCATCCTGACGAGTCCAAAATCCTGCAGGCCCGCGTCCTCAAAGTATTTCCGCAACTCGTCCTCACTGAACCCGTTGTGTGCAACGGTCCTCAGGGCCGGAAGGGCATCCGGATTCTCCATGGCATGAGTCACAAAATCGATGATGAGAAAGACCCCGCCTGGCCTCAGTCGCTCGACCAGCCGACGCGTGGCGAGCGGGATGTCCTGGAAATGGTGGAATCCCAACCCCACGACCACGAGATCGAAGTTGTAGAATTCCGGCGAAGACAGGTGTGCCGGTGCTGGATCTGCCGGGTCAAGAAGATTGCCTACCACGGCGTGAGCGGTGAAGGGGTTACTGTCAGATCCAGAGGCCTCCGCGGTTTTGTCCTGGTTCCCCTGTTCGCCCGCAGAAGAAGAAGAAGGCCCTCCGAATCGCGAATTATACTCTCGCACCATATTCTCACTCAGATCGATACCCACGTATTCCGTGGCGCGGGCGCCCAGAGCGTACGTCACGCTCCCCGGCCCACATGCATAATCGAGCACGCGGACTTTTTTGTTTTTGCCTTGTTCAGCGTCAGCTTTGCGCTCGTTCATCTTGGTTCTGGTGTGGACTGGTGGAGTGGAGTACCTTGGGTGGCAGCCTCAAACTCATGCCCCGGATCGACAAAATCGACGCCAATCCATTCAATGTGCTGCTGGATAAAGGCCGTGATTTTGTTCAGCATGTCGCGTTGCCATGGCTCCGCGGTGTACGACGATGCGGATTGACTAGAAAGAATGACAATTAGTTTGTCCCTTGAGACAGGAAACCCGGGCCGGGAGAAGAAGAAATGGGGGGGGTGCAAAAAGAGACCGAGAGGAGGAACTTACTTCCAATGCGCGCGGTTCGCCTCTGTGAAAGCCTGAGCCTGAGCCTGAGCCTGATTGGTATCAGGTGGAGGGTGACTTGATTCCGCCATCTCAATGTTCTTATCCCAAATCAAATCGGACCTTTCTTCGAGTTTCTGATATCTGCAAAATCTTTCTTTCGTTTCTGTTGCGTTCGAGTTGAAAACGAAATAATGTGCCAATCACTCACTGTCCCCTGCAGCAGAAAGCGACCGAGGAGGTCGGTGACGATAAGTCGTCGTTGTGGTCGTGCTGGCTACCGTAGGAATATGGAAGAGAAAGTCCCTAAGGTATATATATGTTACTGGTAAAGCAATATTCACACCGGCCGATCCATTACAGGAGATATTTGATATTTCAATCACCGGATCAGTCAATAGATGGCCAGTCCAGGAAGGAGCTTGCAGCTGATCATTGATGATTTGCAGGTATGTAGATATGAAAAAATGCCACATATACTACCATGTGTTTATATGTCAGTAGAGTGGCAGGTAGGACAAGTAGGTTGGTACACGGGTAGATATATCTACCTTATAATATTACCTTCCTGTACGGTAATGGGGTCGGTTAAGGTCAAAATTAAAAAAAAGTCTCCGAGCCAACCTGACCTGAATGATGCCACAGCCTCGTCTCGCCTCGCCTCGCCTACGGCGTCTACAACTACAACAATAAATGGAAATGGGAATGGAAATGGGATTCGGGGACCGAAGACCCGTCGGATAGTCTGTAACTACTAATCGTGTTAACACTACTACTGTACTATGTACTTCAAGTTGGTGGTGGAAACCGTTTGTTTGCCCATCCGATGATCATACAGTAATACTATTCAAGTTGTGGCGGGGTACCACTGCATTGACGACTGGGGCTCGGAGCCTTTTTTTTCCCTCTCTGGACTGGATAATGTACTACTACAATAGCAACCGCAGCAGACGCCCATGTACTACTCTCGACACCCCACGACAGGAAAAAAAGGCGGCCAGTCACTACCTAGGTAGTAGTAGTACAGTAGGCCGGGCAACAATCCACGTCCTACTGTATCGCAATGGAAAGGGCGGCGTTGTTTGTTTCGCAATGTGGTTTCCATTCTCCCTGCCAGTGCTTCAAGCTCCTCCTGCTGCTCCTCCGCCAATTCATTACTGCTTAGGCTCGGCTTACTAGAACATAGACACCCTTTCCTCCTTCCTCCTTGATCCTTGATCCTTCACCTGGAACTCGGTTCCCCTCTCGCTCTCATCCTGTGTCATCCTTCCGACAGGCGGTATGGTCTTGTCCCGTCCTCATATCTCTGTCCTTCTTCATTTCCATCAAACCTTCCATCCGTCCCTCGGTCCATTCGTCCAGGGTTCCTGCTCGTGCCGCCGCCCATCCTACCCTTCCCTCGTAGGGTCCCGGACCGCGCCTCCACTTGAAGATCAAAGATTCAGATAGAGATTACCACCTCCTTCCAGCGACAAGGTAAGCGCACAAAAGGTACTATGAATACATCAGGAGCGTATGCTGAATCGGACCACGACGGCCGAGCCGGGCCAAGTAGAGACTGCCAGTATAAGACGCAAAATATCAAAAAGCCACCCATTCCGTAATACAATTAAACCGGAAAACAACAAAAAAAGCAGACAACCACCCATTTTACATTCCATTCCGCAATCGCAAACGAGGGAAAAGGACGTGGCACTGATAGCCTAGGCCCTTCGTAAACAGGCATATCTTTCGCGCAGCGTGGGGAAGAAAATTTGATCAAACAGCCATCCCAAAACAAATTGCATCGAGTTTAGCCTCCCTGTCGACTATGTGCGGACGAAACGCAGTGGATAATAAGGAGATGTTGGGTCGCCCCGAAGTGTGTATCTTTTAGACGCAAAAGGAAAGAAAAAAGACGAAATTAGGTCGATCGTCCCTGTCGCTGACCGGTGCAGCGCCCAAAGAGCCAGCTCCTCAGGCAAACACCGCCGCCACTGGGCATGCACGAAATGAAGCATGGCGCCGACCACAATGTAGCGGCGGAGAAGCTGCATTCACCTTATTGCTTCTTGCCGTCGAGCTTGCTTAGCATCTCATTGTCACTCCGACCTCGCTGCTCAGTAAGACCTCCAGGAGGGTTGCCCAACATTTCGTGAACCTTCATGCCACTCCTCCCATTGGCCGAAGAGCCGGCAGAGTTGGGTTGATTGGCAGGAGGAGGGGTCCTCCCTTCTTCATGGCTATGCCTATGATGGGGAGAATTGTAGCCTTGGGCGGACTGAGGGGTCAGGCCTGATGTTGGTGAAGCATTGCCCTTCTGAGAATGTGCCCCATTCGTATAACGAGGCGGCTGCTGCTGAGGAGGATAAGATTGGTAGCTCATGGTGGACACAGCAGGCGACGTTGGTGCGCCGCTGTTGTTGGGATCATGATACTCGTAGCTACCACTGCTATTGGCGCGTGACTCGTACGTACTGTGTCGCGGGCGAGTGGTGGGATGAGGAGACTGGGATACATGAGAATTCTCATTGTGCGGGTCATCATCAGGAGGGGGACGCTTAAGACTGACACGATCATCATGCAGGACAGGCTGAGCCTGCCCCTGTGCGTCGTAAGGCGATCCAGCAGCAGCAGGAGGAGGAGGATAAGGGGCCATGCCTGGGTAAGGAGGATAGGCCGCCGGGGGAGGATATCCGTGTGCTGCCGGAGGAGCAGCAGCAGCAGGAGGTGGTGGTGGCGGCGGCGGGTAATTATATTGACTTGGAGGTCCTAGAGGCTGGCCATGGGCACCATAGAGCATTGGAGGTTCTCCTTCCCGGGGATAATGTCCATTTTGTCCTGGTCGGTCGTTTTGGCCAGCAACAGGGGCGCGGGCTCCAGGCCCATAAACAGCGTTGGCCGGAACGAAAGCAGCCTGCGACGACACGGGATGGAACAGACACTGTTGGTTGAATCGGACACAATTTTGGCACCGTCCGTCGGGAGAACTGTCGTAGCCAGAACATCGGATCTGAGGTACGTTTCATGTCAATATCCCTCTGAGCCAGTCTCGCCCAGGCCAAGTACACATACCTTTCTCTTTCGACAATACTTGCAAGCAATGGCTGTCCGCTGTCTCGGCGCCGCGGCGGGTGGTGGAGGAGGATAGTGTTGCGGAGGATAGTATCCTGGAGGAGGATACGGCGGGGGGAGGCGATACGCATCAGGCTGCATCGGTTGAGGCGGTTGAGCAAGGTCGGGCCGCGGGGGATAGGCATACGCCGGGTGCTGCTGATGGTCCTTGATTTAGAAATCAGTCCGTTACGCAGAAGACTGTTCGCGCCCGAAAACACGACGACACTTACCGAATAGTGAGGAGGTGGAGGATAGCCAGCATGTTGCGGCGGCCAACCTTGAGGCGGAGGCGGAGGATACGGATGCGCTGCTCGAGGGTCCGCATACTGGCCTTGACGGGCTGGGTCTGACGGCGGTGGAGGGTGAGCGTACGGGTTCGGATTCCGGTCATCCCTCACTGGAGGCCTGGAAGGCGATTGCTGCGCGTAGTAATCTCCTGGAGGAGGTGCGCTGTCCACTGGAGGATACTGAGGACGTTGAGGCTCCCTGGGATCTGCCATTTGCGCCATGTTCAAGGGTGGTTGTCGTGAGTGATACAAGACCAGAGGGTTGGGTAGCACGCGGCCAGGAAACAACCGAGGCTAACGGGAACGGGCAAGGTAAGGACCGTCGAGGTGTCGTAGATTGAAGCAAAGAACCAGAGTCGTCGAGGAATCTGCTCTCAGAGCGTGCGACAGAAATAGATCCGGACGACCCCAGAACCAGCTCGAGGTCGACAATGGTAAACAACAGCGCAGTTGCAAGCACTACACACCGAGCGAGAAGTAAGAGGATAAGTCCTGCAAGGGTGTGCTGAAGTGACGGGACCCCAAGGTATATGATTTGTCTTGGGGCGCGCGGGCGAAAAAGTCTGTGTGAAAGTACGGACTCGAACCCCCGGCAAAACAAAGATCAGGTGTTCGCAGCGCGGGAGGACGGAAGCTGACGCCTTTTGCTGCGCTGACCAGAGACAGTGGGATGGAGAGAGAGCCGTCAGCGGCGCGAGGGCGGGAGGGAGATGGAAGGGTGTGTGCGACGAGGCGTGGAAAAGGTGAGGGTCGAGGTTCGAGAGTGGACAGGACAGATTGGTGAAGAAGGTATTATTGAGCTGAAAAGGATGACGCTGAAGGGGGGGAACGAAGCGGTTGAAGAGGGATGATTCGACGTGACAAGTCGATGGATGGTGGAGAGCGGCCTTGCGTGGGTAGACGACGGACTGAGGCGTGGCAACCGGGTTATAGGCTCAGGCTGGCAGGCGGGCGAATGCAGGCACAACAGGCGAAGTGCACAACTTGAACTTTAGGCTCTCCAGCACGGTAAGCCAGGCTAGGGAGCTAGGCTGCTGGCGGGGGACGGGAGTTGAAGCCAGAGAAGTAGCTCCGTCGCCCTTGTGCCGTCTGTTCTGGAAAGCCGCTTTTGGCCCTAAGAGGTCCCAGTGAGTCGGGACCCGAACGCCAGTAGTGCGTCTGCAGGCAGGGGTTTATCAGGTGCCAGCTGCCAGGCGGACTCGATAGATCCCCCTCTAACCGTTCCGCTGCTAAAAGAGGCCTGCTTGCCTGTAAGGGTGTTGGTGTGCCGCCGGGGGGGCGTTGGTTGTTCTGCGTCTGTGCTGACTTCGCCTCTAGCCTTTTCGAACTAACGGCCGCACTGGGCACACTCGGATCTGGGACGTGCTTTTTTTCCTTTGTCCTTTACAGCCTTTGCTCGGCTGTCTGAGCCTAGCGACGTGCACGATGGTCGAGGAAGGGCAGCTCCGCGTCTGCCGAATGCGCGCACCCGCTCCACCTGACTGCCATGCAGCGTGGTCAGAGGAGTCGGTCTTGTTGCTTAGACTGGAGGGTGGATGATCGAATCGCTCCCTTGCGGCTGGTGTGGTGCTAACTCGTACCCACTGTGCGTCGGTAGAGACCCTAAAATCTAGGATACGCCTGCCCCTCCTTCGCTACTTTTCCTCTCGGTGTCAACTTGTCAACCCGCGGGGCGGCGTACAGGCGTGGGTTGGTTGGGTTTCGTATCAGCCGTGACAGCCCTCCTCTTGCCCCTTTTACACAAAACTGTTCTGCTGCACCGATGAGGGCGTTGTTTTTGGGAGTTGATGAGGATGGTTTGGGAGAAAGAGAGGCCCTGGCACCAACTGAGTTTGGGGTTGCAGGAGTATACTTTTCGTATTATTGCGCTGATAGACAGATTGATTGACTGACTGAACTGACCGGCGCTTCTTGTCGTTCCGTCTGCTGACAGGTCACTACCGATGGATGACCCAATGATCCCCACTGATCCTTCGCCAAAAGAATTATGTGAAAATCCACCGACTGAGGTATAGCTCTGGCGGGATGTTCCACAGTCCGGATTGATCTTGTCCGGCTATTACTGGAGAAAAAGGCAAAATGTAGTGGTGGTCGACCGTGCAAAGGATGGGGCCGAACCCAATGTCCAACTTGGAAGTAGAAATCGAGTCGAATGAAAATCAATCAATCCATCATCGATCAGTAGTAGTAACAGTGGCCTATTAATGTCAAAGTCAGGGAGGACGCTCGACAGGCTCAGGCTCAGGGTTAGGCTTAGGCTCGTTACGAGAAGGCGTCACCGGTAAAGACGTGCAGACGTGCAGCGCAGTAATAATACTAGGTAAGTGGAAGTACAGGCTCCACTCCGGGAGATGGCGGCCGCGAGGGCGGCGGCACAGGCGCAGGTGCAGATGGCAGATGCAGGCGAAGAACGGGATTTCCAGGCGCCCCGGATGGTTGCGTGCGAGGCGGCGGCTGATAGGCCGTTGATGGCGGGCCACCTCCCTCCCAAGAGTCAAATTCAGCTCTCGGTCGGACAAAGAGCCAGGATGGGTTGACCTTTACGGGCCAGGAAAACGATTGATGGTTGCTGCCACGATCCATTCTCGTTTGTCAGAACAGTACCTACTACTAGTAGTCACCGTGACTCTTGTAGCGCTGCAGTGCTGTGCCATGGCAGGATACAGTACCTACCTTAGGTACTTGCCAGTGCCCCTCCTGTCCCTAAGCGCGATACATCCTGAGATACACCTCAAGGTCCTCCTCCACCGTGACCGTCTAGATGGTGACGCCGCTAGGTTCGTGCCTCGTTGGATCCCTGCTTCGGCCACGTCAGGTGCGCGTCTTCTGCTGCTGTTGATCAAAGTAGTCCTGCAACTACTACTGCTAGTCCGGTTGCGCGAGTCAGAAATCGGAAAAGGCTCTATCGAGGCCTCAGGTCGGTCGCGGGTGTGGAGGAACAGTCTCCAGCTGCTACTAGTACCACTGTCCTGCTACAGCACGGCTGCCACTATTGCTAGTCCAGCCACAAATCCACACCTGGGATTTTGCCGCAGTCGGCCTGTATTGACTGATTGGTCTCCTGCCACAACCGCGCTACTGCTAATCCGCTGTAGTCAGTCCCTATCTCGTCCCTTGTCGCGGCCTTGAAGTTGCATTTGAAAGTCTTGATAGGTTTATTGGACCACCTGGACTTTTGGCTTACAACAATGACATGCGGCGGGGTAGGGGAAGGCTACGGAAGCGTGCCGAGTTGTCCTTGGGCATCAAAGTGAATCGTATGCCGGCGTTGATATTCCTGGCAGCTCGAAGGTGCTCGAGGTGGGGATTTAAATGTTTGGTGACGGCTTGAGGATCGCGATGAGAGGAGCAAAAGGAAGAAAAATAGTTGCGCAGATCCTCGACTAGCCTTGCACAGGGCCGAAGTCAATCAAGTGATCATAGGTACCTACCGATCATTAACGACCGTGAATACCAGGTAATCATTCAGGCTTAAGGAAGAGCAGGTCCATCTACGGTCTCGTTCTTCAGTAGCCCAGCGCAGTAGGTACAGTAGTAACCATGGCATAGCGTGGCGGAAGGATTTGATACCTAACTTGAAGGTAACATCTGAAGCCAGGACTAGAATCTGAGACAATAATGTAGTACCGTATGTACCTACCGTCATACTAGCAAGGGTATGGCCATGCGAGGGTCTGGGAACAAGAGCCCGAGTAATCAGGTTCTTATCGAGGGGCCACAGTCTCGCTTGGACACTGTCCACTGCAGCCGAACAGTCAGATTGTAATAAGCTTTATCAGATGCTATCAAGCGAGTTTACAACTCGCCAATGCCACCGTCAGAAAAGAATACTTGTGGTGGTACACCGCAGTACGTTTAGCTATACGGTATGCCTGAAGTACTACCAAGCCAAAGTCATGAAGCCCAGCCTGGCGCCAGTATGAGATATCTCATACCTTGACGCCTTTAAAAGTTAGGGACGGCGACCGGCAGCTGCAAAAACTAAAGTAGTGTACTAGTAGACGGCTCTCAGGTCCTCTCGGCCTCAACATGTCTGCAGCCATTCGTCTACCGGGCTTCCACAGGTACGATGGCATTCCGCGGAGCTGAAGACATGCTTTTGTACGTAAAGAACACTGGGCATCTGCAACGTGTAATGTGGCTTCGAGGTCTTCGGAGCCACCAACCCTTGATCCTAGAAGCTGAGGCAGAGGAGCACTGCACTTTCGACATCTGGGGCATTTTTAGCCACTTCATACGGGTCGAGTACACCTCTTCTGGCGTTTGGTCTGACTTTTGACTCGAACTACTGCAAGACAGGCGACATTTTTAGTGCAGCGCGCAAGGAGCGGCCCTTGGAGAAAGTATGCAAAGAAAGACTCGAAGCTTGCGGGCTGCCCTTCTTTCAAGTTAGGAGTGCTTGGTGTCTGAACCACAAGTGATAAAGACGGTTTGCTAGCGTACCTGGAATCCAATCAACTGCAGCCCGCAGTTATAGGAGTCCTAATACCACTGTACATTGTACAGTACTACTGTTGGTACTGTACGGGGACGGAGGCGAGCGAACCCTTGACCTAATTAAAAGTCGATTTGACTTAGGCGCCGTATCGTTCCACGCAAGCCACGGACTCAAGAATCCCACGCGCAAGGTGGCCTCTAAGCCCTCGCCTCCCGCCTTTTGGCCGCCTGCAAGTTTGGAGCCAGGTCAGCACTAAAAGACAGCCCACGGGCGGGCTCTGCCACCATGAAACGTACCTAGGTAGCCTAACAGCAGCGCCCGGATGGGGATCAGCCCACGAGGGTAGGAGAGTACCGGACCTAGGTTAGGTACACCACCTAAGTAGTAGGTGCTTTAGCACTGGCATGATTGACACACTGCAAAATTCCTCGTGTCAGGCCAATGTCCGCGTGTAACCACTAGTATTGTCGTTTCTGTGCGTCTTGCTCGTCTCCATGCGGGTTGACTCAAAACGCGGGATGCTGGGCGCTGTCAAACGTGTGCAAGGAGTCTGGTTGTTGATCAGCTACTTCACGGCTGCGCATCTTGCCTTTTGTTGACAATCCGATCAGCTTTCTCTACCGTTACCTTGGAACACAGCCTGAGCAAGAATCGCCACGTCCAGCTGCAACCTTAGCAGCAATGTCCGCCATGACAAATTCAAATCTCAGGCTCTTGACTTTGGCTGCAGCTTGACAAGCTGCAGCGACCAGGAATTGCTATTCTGCCAGATGGTGCCGTTCCCCGTCCTCGTCGGTCGTACTATCGATCATCCCCTGTACCTTGTCGCCCTGCGCGAGCCCAGTGCGGAGCCATCGCGGCCGTTTCCCGTCGTCTCAGTTCAAGTCGTTTGCCTCTGACACTCCCACAAGGGCGAAACAGGCCCCGACCACCAGAAATTCCGCTCTTGACTCTCTCCGTGGTAAGAGTCATCTCTAGGTATGCATCCAGCGGGGAAGCTGATGCTTAGCTGGGATGTTTTGGACCGAAGCTTTAGGAGGAGCGGTGTACATTTACGGGGTCCAGCCTGTCTGCTTCGATTCCAGCAGGGAAAGCTGTTGTTCAGACAAAGCCCCTGTCGATGGTTGCTGGCGTTACACTTTCAGTGGCTCGACTCTGGAGCACTGTATAGACCTGTGACATGGACCACGTCGGCGAAAGTATAGTAGGATGTAGAGCATCGAGTTGACTGTCGTCGGCCTCTGCGCGATGGTGCGAACCTTTGACTGCCCTTGATTTCGAAAATGTCTCGTCATCATCAGGTCGTCTCACATACCAAGGACCCTACAATTGACCGACACGAGGATCTTCCCTGCAGCCGTCCTTTTCATGCGTCTGCCAGCAAAAGTCGTTGCCATGTCAGCATATCGAAGCGGTCGTAGATGTACTGCGTAATTTGAAGCTTCGTTCCCGTGATGCGAGCTTGGCTGGCTGCTGGCCTTAGAGTGGACTCTGCTGTGGGCGAGCCACGGCAGATGAGGGAAGCGGGCAAGACCACATGTTACAAGAGTAGATCCTCCCAACTGACTACCCGGATTCTCTCCACAAAAAGGGCGTACTTGTGAATGATCCGGCCGCCTGGCCCAAGCTAAGACCTTCGCAGTATGGCGAGTCGAATGGGAAATGGCCGGTTGGAAGGAGGCCAAGGGCACAGAAAGCAGCGGCCATACAGAGTCGCCGAGTAGAGGCGAGGGGAGGGTCGGCTCTGGCCGTTAAGCCGCGGTTTGCGTCACCCCAGGATGCCCACCCTGGGCGTCGTCTATGCAGTGAGGCAGTGAACTCCTCTTTGAAGCTCGACTGTCCGTCGCCGTGCTTTGAGTCTCCTACATCAAGGGTGAATATGGGTCACCTGCCCAAGGGTTATCTGCTGTAGTAGAGAGCCGTGGCGTAAGCTGCTGTGGCGTCCGGCCAGACAGTCTTCCACCTCGCATCCGACGCTTCGTGATTTACCAGCCCCGCGCACCGCGCCGTGGTAGGTTGCTGGGACGGCAAAGGAAAGCGAGCGAACGCATGCATGAGCAGTGCCACGAAGGACCATTTGCCTCAAGTCAAGCCCGCATGTAGCTTTTTGTCATGTTCAAGCCTGAAATCCTGACCATTCATTCCTCCCATCCCCTAAGGGGCTTTGGGTCCACCGACAAACAAACATTATTGACCCTGGATGGCGGCTGTCTGGTCGATCCAGCCGTTCAGCTCGTCGGCGGACGCGACTTTGGATAGATGAATGCATGGATTTGATCGCAGATCGGGCCGGTAGGGATTCTCGACGATGCTTCTGCTTTGGCCAATGGTCACTGGATGCAGGGATACCGTGTTGAAGGTTGACCTTCGTGACGTTTACTCGACGCTGGAACCTCCAGATGTCAATTGGGGGCTGTAAGGGTGTCGCATCATCTCGGGCGCTCCCACTGTCCAACCAAGCCATTGGAAGCGAAATGGGCGCTGCCGCCGCCAAATGGATAGAGTGTGCAGATTAAGGGTGAACGGTTGTGGGAGAAGCGCAATCGGAAGGCATATCCCTGCGGCCCGACGCAGACGCTCGATTTCTTGCAGACCAACAAGAACACTCTTTGACTCGAGAGATCATAAGTGGACGCCGCCGCGGCCTTAAACGTCCGCCGCCAAAACTCTAGTCATGCTTCGACCCGAACATCCTCCGCGTTTGTCTGCTGCAGTGTGCGATGTTCCTCTGTGTTGCGTTGCAAGCTGTGCCTTTTCACCCTTCTATGGACATCCGAGCCGGCTAAGGCCATGATCGTGACGATATCGATGATTAGGTGACATGAGGAGCGGTGATGTGCTAATAGCAGGTAATGCAGACTCGAAGATACCTGAGAGCTAGGAAAGAGTGACGCCAGCCGAAGCCTCCCCGCGGCTTTGGGCGGGTAGAAAGCACCGGGGGCGTGCCTAACAGGCGTGTGAGGATGCCCAAGGCCCCTGGAACCCCAGGCCGTGATCTCCCAGCCAGCCCCTAGTAAGCCTGCGGCGGGCTGTGATAGTGGGTGATAATTACTGGAAATGATCTCCAGGCTCCCGAGGTCGTCAAGTTGGTTCGGTATTGTCACACTGCCTGATCTGCTGCTGTCATGACAGAGTCACATGATCCGTGGTTGATGCTTCAGCGGCTCGTCCCTCGTGCCAACCTGCAACCACGGCACAGAGACGATATGGGGCTTTTTCTCTGCTCCAGTCCTGACTCTGCGCCGCCCTCCCACAACTCACAAGCGCATCGCGCCGGCCTCTTTCTTCCATCATGTGTGCACACCCGGGGCCCGCCCGAAATCGACATCGCTTCGTTTCTCCTTTTCTAGGAGTTGAAAGACAAAGAGCTACTGTAGGTAGCAGGAAAACCATCCTCGACCGCAGCTGAGAAAGACGACTAGGACGCACATCCGTTACAAGGGAAAGCAAAAGTCATGAGGCACAATCGCACCACCCCCTGCTACCTACCCGCTGTCATTACTCGCGTACTTACCAGATGTGTAGGAGTTGCAGTCGCGCATCAAGACTACTAGCTTTTCCTTCTTTCTCTTGCCTTTCCCCAAGGTGGCATCCAATTCCCTTTTGTCGCCTACGGTTCAAATCCGTCAGAAGCCGAAGACGAGAAGCCATTGGCACTTCTTGTCAATACCAACGAGTTCAAGAATGACACTCAAGCGTCGGCGCGATGCCCCTGAGGCGCAAAGAAGCCACAACGTTATGCCTCATTATTACCAGGTTGACAGATGCTATCAATTGGCCCCCCCAGCTGGGGAGCCCGGGCGTCGTTGTGCATACAGTGTGCAACACACAGACATGCTCCACCGTGACACAATAACACAGTGGTGGGTGGGTATATCGCTGCCCGCGCCCAGATCCAACATCTGCCAATATACTACCTAAGCACGAGCCGCATTGCGCTCGGGGCAAAGTTTCGGTCAACTGCTTCTTTCCTTTAATGGGTGCCTTGGGCTTTTGCGAGTGCGGTGGCGAGGCTCGCATTGCTACCTTCTTTTCAGACTATCGTCTCAAGCATCTGTCTCACCACTGCTGGACTCGTCCTCATCGTCCTCATCGGGCATGACCACACTATTAAGATAGGTAACCTATTGATCCATCAGCAGTGAGCAATATTCTGTTTTTGTACATGCTGGTGGAGGCGCGAAGACACTGGCAGAGTTTTGCAGCTCGGGAAATCCCACGGTGGAGTGATGCTCTTGAACAACCAGACGTGCCATCTGGTTTTTGCTGGCCCGCTTATGACGCGGAACCAAAAGCTGGGTGACGACTTGGACCTGTTGGGAATATGGGGCCAGCGAGTCTGAACACGCTAAAGACCGAGGAGTGTGTCCAGCTCTGTGCGCAGAGTCACGCTGGCAGCATGGATTTGTGATAGTGGCCAGCAGAAGCAGAAATGGGAGGCAGAAGGTGGACTCACAAATGGTACCATCACACCAATCAACTCGACGATCTTTTGCAATCCTTGCTCACTCACCACCACTTCGTCCGGGATTGGCTTGCCTAGGGTGAAATTCCGCAAGCGAAGTAACTCAATATTGGGATTGTTGGCTTCGTATCCCTGCAGTTCAATTGAGGTCAGAAGGGTCCAACGTGCAAAGTCACCACGAATCGATCCCGAGATGTCAGTGAGATTTTCTTGTGCTTCGACCGAGCATTTTCGGTGCTGAAAGCTGCGCGCGATCATCCTTAGAGGCAATGAGGAGCGACCCGAGAGACTGGCACTTGGAGGGGCATTGTGCACGCCGCTGTCCGCTCCCGGTAGCCCCCATCTGCCCGTGGGTAGTGCTGCGCCTGGAAACCCACGCTGTGCTTTTTTGCTTTTAGGCGCACGTGGTGCCTGCGTTTTGTCGCTTCCCTTGGGCGGGAGAACTCGGCAGTGCGACGAGGTCGACCAGTGACGACTCTTGGACGTGGCGCTCCTGGGGCATGTTGACCACTCGCGCCAGGTCTACTGTTACCGCATTGCGGTGGCTTGGCTTGCAAGGCGTCGGCTTGACGCTCCTACCCAAGCAGCCATTGCAACGCAATGACAAATAATGGCGACGGATCTAGCTACGGTGCGCGCGGCAACACGGCGCTTCCATGCTTGACCGAGGAGTAGCAGCAGCGGCCTGCACAGACCTCATTCTACCCTTGGTGCTCCCACCCCGACCCATGCAGCGACGGAGAAGTGAATTGGCTTCGGAAGGGAGATGTGGCACGTACCTTGGGCTTGGTTTTTAGGGCGTTATCCGAATTTTGAGCGGCAAAAGCCTTGATTGCTTTAGCCTCGTCGTTTGGGATCCCTCCTAATATCTCTTTTCGCATCCGAGGATCCGTCAAGATCCGCCGGAGCCTTTTGGGCTTTCTGTCAATATCAGCTCTAATGAGTGCTAGCGCTTGTGCTTCGGGCGACCATAAGCCAGCGCCTCAACGTATCAAAGTCAGCTGGGAACTCGCCGAAGGGGCATACTTCTGTCCTACCGACGTAACTCTTGCCACCGGGCTTGATCTGGACATAGTAACCTGCATAGGGGCCCTTCCGCCCCGTTCGGGACCTTTTGGGGCGATTGGTTAATATTGCTCGTCTGTTGGGGCTGGACTTTTACCTACCATGCAGCCGAGAAATGGGGCTAGAAGGAATAGAGACGTCAGTGCTATGAGTCTTGAGAGCGAGAGAAAACCCCCCCCC